TGTCGTTTTGTGAAGATATCGTAGATAGAAATGAGGGTGGTTTGGAATTTGGGGCCTTGGTAGAATCGTCTCCACTAACTATATACGGCTAGCGTGCTGCTGATACTAAAAAATACACTAACCATATTAAGCTAGCGTATCATACCGTCATGTAAGGTAAAAAATAACCTTTCCAGAAAGGCTGGTGAGATTTTCCCCCCCCGTTTTGAGATTTTCCCCCCTTCAGAAGTACCAAAACCGCCGCTTTGGAAATTTACAAGGCAATATAGCCACACTTTCAACATTATTTTTAAATTCAAAACTTATATAGAGCTCTTTAGGACTCCCTCTTGCTCCTAGTCTCCGGAATTTAATCCTAATAAGTTGTGGTGTTACGTGATTTAGGATTAAAGTTATGGCAATTTTTTCATACAACTCACCAACTTCAGCACAAAATTAGACCACAACGCAGGGGGTATTTAGAGGTCTAAAATAGTAGGCTCAGTTACCCAGGCTTTAGTATTTTTCTTAGCATTTAAAAATTATATTATTTCGAAGTTGGTGTTGAGCTGTTTGGCGTTGAAGTTGAAATGTGGTGATTTTGGTACTTCTGAGGGGGGAAAATCTCAAAAACGGGGGGGAAAATCTCACCAGCCTTCCAGAAATCTAGGGCTAGTTTACGGTAAGGTCCTTACTTTTCGCACTTTACATATCCCTAAGTTCAGCCTATCGGACCACACCCATTCTAGTTCCGCTGACTCGTTCAAATCATGGCAACTACTTTTGCTGATGAGGATACATCAGTACCTCTATACAGAACTACATGGCAGACTTCGACTTCGACGGCAGCTTCAGGGTCAACATCTATGTCCAGAACCACTTCGACTTCGACTTCAACGTCGACTTCTAATTCAACGTCGACTTCAATTTCGAAGACGGCCTTGGGGTCCGCACCTATGCCCACAACTGCATCGCAAACTTGGGCATCAGCCTTGCCACCTCCAACTTTCCAGTTCAAGGGGATTTCTGACCTCAATAAACTGCTTATCAGTGATTCTACTCCTGAATTCTTTACAATTGAAAATGTTTCTACCCAGGACTTTGCCGGAATTGAATTAGCAAGGGAGAAGTGCAGGATACAGAAATTTCGATTGACACTCTACTCGGCTGATTCGAAATGCCTCTTCATCACCATTCCAACAGGACCTCATGAACGCCTTCATGGCCATCTCGACGATGGAATATTCCGGGAAATTGTGGGAATGGGCTTAACGCACGACCTAATACGGGCCGGTGCTACAATATATCAGAAGTGGAATAGTACTGGAGGTACAGAATCGGCCGGAGAGGGAGATTCAGCTCGTATCCCTCTATCAACCCGTCCATTGCCTAGCAATTTTCCGACGTTGGTCATCGAAGCCGGTTTTTCACAGTCTTTGTCATCGTTGAGACAAAAGGCAAAATGGTGGTTCGATGTCTCAGGCGGCGATATCAAGATTGTCATTCTTGCCAAGTTGGACCAGCAATCTCAAATAATTCATCTCGAGAAATGGAAAGCCATCCAACTCCCCCCCTCAGCTGGAGTAACAACACGAACACGAGCTGCTACCGCCGCCGCTGCCCCTCAGTCGCATTGTGTCCAGACCATTGATATTTCTCGCACCCCTGGCATCAATGATACGGATCCGAATCGATTCGATGGGGCCTCATATGTTATTACTGGTGGTCCTTTGCAATTGGAATTTATGGATCTCTTCCTTCGAAAACCTATCCCGCCGGAGGCAGACGTCGTATTCAGTGAAGAATTCCTACAAGAATATGCAGGTATAGTTTGGAGAGCGGTCTAACTAGGGAAGTGGAAGTAGAGAGGACGTTGGCTTAACGCTAGTATTGAGGCCGCGAGGTCTCAGTCGGCAATGGTGATGAAACTGATGTGAAAGCTCATTCCAGGATGAGGCTGTTCATTGGTTGATTTCGCAAGAAACTATGCATAGGAGAGACCTGGAATGGGATGTCGAAAAATACCACTGCACTAAAAGGGACATCCCTCCTGAAATCTCCATTATTAGTGAATATATTTTGACAGGAAGTGTTACCCTATAGATCACGGCCTAAGGGCAGTCGAGAGAATGGAGTCTGAGTTATTCGGCCGCTTTGGTGCTTAAATGGTGCTATTTCCCCAAGCTAAGAAAAGTTGACACGCGCTATGCTAAACGTCAAACACATCCGAAAACTGAGGTCTGAACCTCAAGGTTTCGAAATGCTTCGTTAGGAGTTCGGTGGGAATACATGCACTCTACCGATTCAAGAGCAACTCGAAAACAGCAGTCTCAGGTGCGATGGTAAGTTAAGAACAGAGGGGAATAGGGAGGACGATTCGAAAGACACCTAGAGAATGGAAGCTAGGCCATTTTGAGGCATGACACAGAAACTCGCAGGAGGGTTATTTCTGGCTCTGGTAATTTGGACGCAGAGGACGAGATAGGTTAGAAACAGGAAAACCGAGAAACGGAGAGCCGAAATGGTCTAAGTCGGGTCAGGGTGGTCTCAAAATTATAATGTGGGCAATCTGCAATGGTCCATATCGGGAGGGTTAGGGAGGCTCTGACTGGCGCCAGTGGATAGCAGAATTACCACCAAAATCGGCTTCACAAACCGCCGAAAACTGAGGTCAATCTGCCGTCGCATTGTTTAAAGGAGTTACAATTAATAGAATACTAAAAAAACTTGTTAATTTAAATACTTTTGTTTCCCTTTGGAGATATTAAGTGAAGTGTTACTAAGTGCTACTGAACCTGTTTGGTACAGATCAAAATATTCCCGTTGTCTAGAGCCAAACCCTCACAAACGGGATCTGATCTGGCCTAGGATATAAAATCAAAGACCGCAGATTTCTGAGGTTCTTGATGCATAGATCGACCGGAATAGATGCAAACGAGATCAACCTCGGCGAACATACCCAGCAAGTTGTTCTCATGGATACCATACCATAGCGCCCATTACTTGTAATGGGCGTGGGGCGCGAGTACTACGTAGTAGGATATTTATCCCCCTTGTTAAGAGGACTGTGTACCGAGTATCCATACTGTACAAATCGAAATTCGAAACACTAAAACGGAACCCGATAATACTGTCACTGCGACTCGCAATGGAATACTATAAGGTGTCGGTGGTAACAGTTGATGTCTAACCAGGTACCCACGGTCACTTTTCACTTTCTTTAGTGTAACCGAATTATGGTAGTGGTGCAAATACCATGATGGCCCCTTGCTCATGACAATATCCTCCATATTATCCATAAGGGGCAAGCACCGGTATGATATAATAAGAACACAAGGTAACGAAGCGAACAGCTTGTCTTTAGAAATTGATCACACTTTGGAAGTGATCTAGCCAACACTTATCCAGCTAGATAATTTGTAAGCCTCCTCTACTGTGACGCCTTGATCAGATCCGCTGCCTTTTCTGCTACAGCATACACCGAAGTCTGAATATTTGCCTGTACCTCCATGGGAATAATACTAGCATCGACGACACGCAGGTTTGATGTTCCGTAAACCTTTAGATTGTGATCAACCACACCACCGTCTTCCTTTGGCAACATGGAGCAAGAACTCATGATGTGCCATTGAGTCGAAAGATAGTTTTGCACATGCTCTTCCGCTTTCTCGGGATGGAAGGTTTCGTACGAAGGCATCTTCTTCTTGGTCCCATTTGGACCGTCCTTGACTTTCGATGCAAGCGGTTCGACGTGGATGAGCTTAGAATCGAGATATCGCAAACCATCAGCAAGAAGTGCAATGTCGGCTGGATGGGAAAGATAGCGGGGATCCATCAAAGGTTTGACATTGGCGTCTGCAGACTGGATATGCGTGCACCCTCGCGACATGGGATGGCTAAGACCGACTGCCATGGACAGATAGTTTCCAGGATCTTTGTGCTCGAAAATGCCAGACCCATGACTGGCGTTACGGAGGTCTGTTCCACCCGGAAGAGTAATGAACCAAACCGAGCAGGCTTCTGGGTCGAGAAGCCTGTCCTTGTGGATTTTCATTGCCTTAGCCTTCGCCGAGTCGTTTGATGTCTGTGACGAAGGAACAATTGCCTCAACCTTCTCTTTGAGCTTAGACTTGTCTTCGACAACATCGGAGTAGGACGAAAAGATGGAGCTAGTCATCTGATTGACGAGTAGGCCAATGGGAGCTTTGACATACTCACCAATCAACATCTCCATAATGCCTGTTTTCTTGAGATCCTCGATTGTTGCAACCCCAGGAACAACTTCATACGCAATACCGGACATAAGATGGTCCTGAAGATTTTCACCGACATTTGGATTATCAACAAGACAATTGATGCCGTACTTCTCAAGAATCGATTTATCACCGATCCCAGAAAGCTCAAGAAGTTGGGGGGATCCGATGGTACCGGCGCACAGAATGACTTCCTTCTTTGCTCCGACACTGTATTTCTTGCCGTCGACAAGAAATTCGACACCTGATGCGACATTGTCCCCATTTGCATCATTGACACTAAACACAATGCGTTGTGCCATAGCATCCATGATCAACGAAAGGTTGTTTCGTTGAGCATTCGGATGATAGTACTCGTAGACAGCCGAGCTCCGCCGGCCTTTCTTCATGTCAACCGAAAGCGCTTGGTCATAATATCCAGTGGAAGCACCAATATCGGCACTTGGATCTCGAAGGCCAAGGGCTGTGCCGAGATCTGGGCCAATTTGCTGTTGAGTGTTCAGGTACTCCAGAGGCGGCCATGAAGCCTGAATTGGCCCGTTGCCGTTGCCGATCCATTTCTGCATTCGAGTGGTGTCCAAGTGTTTGGCGGTATCTACTGGAGGAGGATTAAGCGTCATGAACTTGCGATAGTACGGTAACATTCCTTCCCAGTCCCAGCCAGGGTTTCCAAGAGCAGCCCAGTTGTCAATGCATCCCTTGGATGGTTTTGCTAGCATACTAAAGTTGATGGTACTTGAGCCACCAAGGACCTTTCCGCGTGGCCAGGCATGCACTTTTCCATTTTTGCCCTATATAAATTTTAGTTGGAAGAAGTAGCACTGCTCAGAGACTCACCTGAGGGACTGTCTTGTAGAGCCAATCGTATTCTGGCTTCTCGTACAGCTCTGTATGAAGTAATGGAGCGCGAATAAGAATGTCGTCGCTTCTATCAATGCCAGACTCAATCACGCCAACAGAAATAGCTGGATTTTCGGACAACCGAGCGGCGACAACAAGCCCAGCAGTACCTCCACCAACAATCACATAATCGTAGGACTTTGCAGCAAAATCAGCTGCGGATATATTTTTACCTGCCATTTGGTATTCTCCAATTTTAGGGGGAGATCAAGGGTGGCCTAAGAGGAGGTATTTTCAAATTGGTGAAGAAAAATGAGACGAATATAAAAATTGCCTGCTTCGGAGAGAATTCGAGTGTATAAGAAACCGTGTTGGAAATGAAGATGCCGTCAACAATTGCGCTTGACAAAACAAATGAAGTGCAAAATCGTTGAGCAGGATAACGACTTTATACGGGAGTTGCCCCGTATTCATAACTCTTCAGCTCTGTTGCGAACAGGTGTAGCTTGTCCATTGTAGCAAATGGCATGCTGGAGATTGCCTCCGGAGTGGAATTCTTCCTAGAGGACTGCATAATGCCACAGCTAACGTACCCCGCAAGTGAGATTACCCCACAAATGAGATGATAATAATGACTGGTGATTGCACAAGTTAGATGATCACCCTGTACTATGTAAGCAGCAGGTCACCTACAGGCTACAACCTAGCATGTGGTTCCTAAAGCGGGGAAGCTCGCCTTGATGGAACGCAGGCGTAATATTGCATAGGATAAAGGGCATAATCCCCTTCCTACTCCTTTCACGGAAGTCAAGGATTAGTTCTACAATTGAACGATTCATCTACTCAACCAAATGTTGCCTTAGCAAATTTCAAAACTCCGTCAATCAGGTGCAGACGGCCTCGCCAACCCTCACTAAAACTACATAGTGATAGATCACGACCAATTTAGCTAGTAAATACTAAGAAATCTAGCCAAGTCTGACTTTATTTTCATTTTCGCTCTATTCAATGCCTCCGCAACGACATACTATGTACACCACAGAGACCAAGACTTACAGGTCCCCAAATCGCAAGTATCGCGACGGGCCGACGGGTGACGGCGTACCGTTTAGGGCAGAATCTTCCCCAGATCTCTAGCCTAATCCGGGTTAGACCGGATACTGCGCAAAAGGCATTATCGCGTATCTCTCGGCGTGCCCGTGAGATACGCCTTATCGAGAGATTTGCCAGTCAATTTCGTTCCGAGTTTATCCGATGTCCTAGATGCGATCGTACAGAATCGCCCTTGGGACTATTTTGGGCTCGTCCTGGAAGACCCCATGCGATTTCCCCACTGACTTCCGATGCCCTTCGGATCCATGCGCAATGTACAGAAGAGGCCCAAGACACGCCCTGGCGACATGTAATCGACGATTTTTCACAGGTATACGGAGAGCCTGTCTCAGACAACGGGATGGAGGACCGTCCACGACGATCATCACCTCCGACGACGTCGCCCACTACGTAAATTTCACCTCAAATTCTGTCTGGCACAGACGGTTCCACATACAGCTCGCAGAATGGGCACTCCCTAAGCTAGATCGAGGAGATCTCTTTATCTTTACAGACGAGGTGTCTATCTATACGGATCGACATAATAAACCTCCTGCCGTTACCCGGGAGGTAGGAGATAACCCATTCGATTACTCACGCCCACCAGCCGATGAGATACAGCCTGCAATCATGTTTTGGGGGGCAATTGTCTACGAATACGATCTGTACGGTACAGGGCCCTGTCACACCTGGTCCCCGGAGACCATAGAGGAGACGCGAAAGTTGAAGGAAAATATCGACCAAGAGAACGTTGAAAAGGAGCGCTTAATGGAGCAGGACAGAGCCGCTGCACGGCAGCCTGGCACTCATCAATTCCGAGAAATGCAAGAAATGAACGAGGATATACAGAGGTAAGTAGCAAGACGGTGCCAAACGGTACGGTACACGCAGGCGAAATCGCCGGCCCGAATGGGAGTTCAAACGGGAGCTCGCAACACGTTCAGGTAAGACCAAGGGCGGTAAAGATTGGGCACGGTACAGATAGACAGTCCTGCACGAAAAGCTCTTTCCTTTCGCACAGGACGTGGATCGGGATACAGGTAGGACGGTTTGGATTATCGAGGACAACGCATCTCCCCATACAAAGACAAGGAAGTTTACCTTTGAGGAGCGTCAAGAGCTCGGAATCAACGTGGTGAAGTGGCCTCCGCGATCCCCTGATCTGAACAAGGATGAACGGGTTTGGCATTATAACGTGGATCACTTACCATTTGAGGATTTACGGACATCAAGGGGAAAGTTGTCCTACGAAAAGGCTATCGTTGCATTGGAACATGCATGGCACATTGTCCCCAGGGAGAAAGTTGATATGGAGACCGATCGCTTTAGGCATCGCTCGTTAAATGCCTAGAAAACGGAGGTAACAATAATTTCTTCGCTTAGCTCCTTGTATCTCAAATATAACGCCAAAATATCTCTGGCCTTAAAACTAAATTGGTGGTAGAGGTGGTGAAAGGCATAGTAGTTGGGAATGGGCGGTCTTCACGTGATTGACACAGATTTGGAATGCTTGAGATTTACGAACGAATCCGATTATTGTGAGCAACGGGTTACACGTACCGAGTTCGATGAGGGCTAGATGGAACAAAACGGTCCTTTGCACAAGGTAAATGTGGTGACTTCTCGGTCCAGCTCTGCCGAGACGCTTTCGTTCCATTGTGACTGTTCGCAAACCAACCTTGAGATGCAGAGTCACCGGAAAAGCAAAAGCAATTGCAGAACTCCGGTCCGGCAGGTTTAAGCCGCAATGCCACCAATTTGGCCAGATGTCAGGTCACGGCCTCGCCGCGTGATGCCGTGGAGATACACCGCTGAAGACCCACGAGTCTCGTGAGCCATGCCCGCGTGGTTTCCTTCAAGCCACGCAAGTACCGCAGTTTTCTCCTTTCAGGAGCCGCAGCGGCATCGTTTCGGTTCTCGCTAGCATTGCATTCCTGTTCCGAATCAATTCCCGCATTCCGAACTCCCGATGCAAAAACAATCGCCAATCCAAATGTCGTAATTTACCTACCATTTGAGGCCATTTGCTCAAGAATTCCCTTTGATGGAGGAGATGATCTGGCCGGTTGACGATGGGTCCTGGTTGTCGATCACGCTATGTGGGTACATCGCCAGTGACCGAATTGGGCGTTGGGACAAGGTTGCGTCATGGCGGGTCCTCACTTTGTTACATGGACAAGACGCGCGATGGTTGGTCGGGAACTCGGATGGAACGCTTAGACCGACGCCATTTCAGGTACCGATACGAAACCCCATTGCCAACTCAATTGCTTGCCTACTCTGTGAATGGCAATAATTGATGATGGGGATGGCAGGGCTGCAAGGTACCAGGGAAGGGCCGTCTCGAAAGCTCCCATCCATCACGAAACCCGCTCAAGTGTTCTCAAGTGAGCTCCAAGCAAAAGGTGGAACGGTCAGGTTCTGGGTCAGGTTACAGTAGCGTGGTGCGGGGGAATCGAAGTGTGGCGCTGGAACGGGCGATGTTTGGGGCGACCGTTCCTTTCATTGGGTCCTTTCCCAGCTCCTCATTGGGCAGCGGTCACGCGACGTTTGACTGCCTGACTGGGGGGGTCGGAGGCGGAGAGGAAGGCAGGAGTGTTGGATGGATGCTCATGGAAACGGAAGGGGCAATTGGGAACACATCATTAAGAAGGGAAAGACTTAAGCTCTTGGTGGCTGCTTGCTCCTGCCATTTCCAATTGAAGCTCCTTGTATGTACTACGACTCCTCTTCTTACAACGATCATCATCATCTTGATCCTTTAACTCTCTCTCACGAAGCATCCTATCTTTCCATCCATCCATCATCCAACCCGTCTTGATCTCCAAGTCTCTCTCGGCTCGATCAATTCCTTCGACTACTTCTACTCACAGCAGCTTCTGATATCATCGTCATCCAGCCAAAAGTAAGTCCCGATTCTCTTTGTCCGTTGCATGTTCCACCAACCGTCAACCCCTCCTTCGAGCTTCCCCGTCTCACCTCTTCGGAGTGGAGGAGGGTGGAGCATTACCATCACCTCATTCATTGGTTTCATCGATGAAGATAGCTCGAAGTGTTTTCTTCATCGAAACGAACGAGTTTCATCGAGCTAACATGCCATCGAACAGTGACTCGCTCCCACAAGTTCGGAGAACGTGACCATACCGGCGTGCAGCATGCCGAACACCACGAGGGCGTCCCTCGCTTCTTCGCCAAGGCTGGCCATGCGGGTGAAGATCCCAACAAGACCAAGAAGAACGGTGGAGGGAAGGGCAATTGGTAAGTATCCCGCTTTATCCATGACTCGTTCCCTACCTCGTCACATATCTCACTCCACCAACATGGCTTTCCATGCATCCGTCCAGCAATCAAAGCTGCACATCCTCACCTCCAGATCATACTCATCTTATCACCCTCATACTCTCCCACAACTCCACTAACACTCACTTTAGGGGCCACCCCGGCGACGAAGCCTCCGACTCCAACTACAACATGACCAACCCCCGCCGCCGCTCCAACTCCTCCACCCACTCCCACCACCTCGACCACTTCAAGACCAAGTTCGAGACGGTCGAACCCGAGCCCGTTTTCGAAGAGGAGATCCACGGTCCCCTTGCTGAGGACGGTGCCGACTTGCAGAAGGCGGACACCGAGAGCTCGGGGGACAGCGCCACCTTGAATGGGAGCGTGGAGGAAGAGGACGCGGTGAGCGCGGACAAGAAGATGTGATGTGGGGGAGGGAGAAGTGACGGCATTGCTAAGGAGACGGCGGTGCTAAGGAGGCCTGTGCGAACGGCAGGAAGTGACTGGATCTGATTGACATGACTGCTCATCACTGATTTTTCGGTGTTGGGCGAAGTCCATCGAACTTTATGTTCAACTCGGAATTGAGCGCGGAATGGCGCTTTTTCATGACACGGTATGAATTATTCTACGTCTATCACTAGCTCTGGTTCTGGCGAGATTTTTCAATGCTCGGCTGGGACAGAGGCCATTGACCAACTCTGTACTCTACTAATCCCCTGGGATCAATGAATAAGAATTAAGAAAAAAACTGCCCATCCCTTTGCTATGTGGTGAACTGCAAGTTGGACGACTGTGTTCTTCGTTGCTGCGCGAAGGCCTGGGCCTACAGGGCCTAGAATTGCACTCTGCAGAATCCGAGAATAACCATGATGAATCCTATTTTCCGGCTACCTACGATACCTAACCTAAGGCACAGGTGAACGATGAACTCCATACAAACGACTTTTTCACATCAACAGAACAACTTCTCCATGCCTTCAGCACAGCGTTGTCATCCCGCGATTGTCCGGCTCAATCCCGGACAACCAGTCCATTCAGTCCCGACCGCTGAATCCAGTCCGTCGTCCAGAGTACAGTCCCTCCCAGCCCCCAGCCACGCTCAGAAAAACACCATCCCCTCACTCGCCTCCCTCACCGTCTCCCAATCTCCACTCATCGTCTTCTCTCGCCTGCCCCTTTCCCGATCCTCCATCATCATTACCCCCAACCCTTCATCCATTTCCCACCCGCAACCCTCCCCGCCTGCATCCAACGGTGCCCACTTCTCCCCGCTCTCCAACCGCTCCACCCGCTCCCGCACCATTCCCTCCTCCTTCCACAACCGATAGCTCTCCCGCCCCCGACTCATGATCGCCCCCTCCCCCAACCCCATCGCCCGCATCCACCTCTCGCTCACCCCGCTCGAGCCCACCTGCGCCGTGGCCCCTTCTTCGTCTTCCTCGTCCAATACCCGTACCCGCCCGGCCATTCGCCTCCGCGGCACCGCCAGGAAACTCCGATCTTGCACCGCACTGGACGGCTCCCCCTGATCCTCGCCCAGCTCTGCCATCCGTGCGATGCTGCTCGGTCGCCGAGAAGAAGGCCCGCCCGCGCGCACGCACGTGTTTGTGCTGCGTTCTGCGAGCGCGCGGGAGTGGCGTCGGTGAGAGTGAAGATCGCTGGCGGCGTGCTTCATGTGGAGGTGGGAGCGGAGGGGGGAAGGGAGGTCGATGTCGTTGATGGAGATGGGGTTTTCTTGGCCGGGGGCGACGCGGGGGTCGATGGGAATGGGGGGGGAAGGGGAGGCGTCGCAAGCGTTGGGGTTTTGGTCGTTGCAATTCCGTGCTGGGGAGCGGATGGTGAGGGGCGGGACGGTGAGGTCGGCGGGTGTGGTGCTCCGCTCTTCTTCTGCGATGATGTCTGCGTCCGCGTCCGCGTCTATCACGGTATCGGCATTGTCTTCGCCGGTGGTGTCGGAATGCGAGGTGTCGGATAAGAGCGATATCGAGGAGTCATCCGACCACTCGCTCTCGCTTCCCTCACGCGCATCCCCGAAAAGCACACTACTCCGCAAGCTACTGCGCTCGCGTGGGAGATAGCATCGTGGCAGCGGCTCAAGGCTCAAACTCTCTAGATCGCCGTCCTCGGTTTTCCCAACGTATGCCGTCCAGCGTCGGGATAGGGAGCCTCGCCCGCTGCCCACGCGTGTCTCGGAGGGCGTGCAGGAGCGGGTGTGGAAGAAGGTGGAGCCATGGACAGAGCGCCGGGTTGGGATGTAGGAGCGGTGTTTGGTGAAGAAGGTGGTGCTGGTCGATTGCCGGGTTAGGCCGGGGCCCTTTTTTAGAGAGCCTGTTCGCGCTGTTGATGGTTGCTGGTGCGGCTCGGAAGTGGTGCACACGTCGGTGATAATGTTTGGCGCGGGAATTTCGTAGCAGGGGGAAATGAAGGGGTTCACTGGAGGCCGCTGGAATGTCGGGGGAGATGGGAATTGCGAAGGCGAGACGGATGGCACCAGGCCAGTGGAATGCGTGCTGTATGAACCGGTGCTGCAATCTCTTCCTCTGCTACCCCTGCGTGGCGTGGGTCGGTTTGGATCGATTTCGTTGACGTTCAGATTGCTGACACCAGACGACGGACCGTAAATATTGGCCCCACGGCCGTGTCCCAACCCAACGACGCATCGGTTGACCGGGACAGGTTTGGAGAAGTGTTTGGACGTGCGGTTCGAGTGAACACCAGATATCCGTTGCGAACGACGTGCCATTGCCGTGGGGATGCTCATGCTGTCGTCAAGGTCGTCTCCAGCGGACCTGGAAGCAGGATCCCAAGCCTGGCAGGCCATCATGTCCGCTTCGGCTTCGGTGAGGGAGCAATGGTCAGTTGACAACCGACGGATCGCCTTCTGTCCCGCTACGGTATTTTTCGTGGGTGAGTCGCCGGCTATCATTGCTCTCAGGCTGGACCGGGAGAAGCGATTAGTCGAGCGCACAGGTGAGAGGTTCAGCTGGACACGCGGTGGGCGCTCGAGTTTAGGAGTCCTGCCGGTCGTGCCTTTCTCAGCATCCTGGAATTCTGCGGGACCATCTTGCTCCCATTCCTCTTGGACGAGGCTCGGCTTCGAGATATCTGCCTTCAAAACGCTTCGACCGGATTTGCGCCAGAATCTGAATCGTTTGTAGCGGTAGAGGAAGCAAGCACCGGTGACCAGAATGAGGAACAACAAAACACAGACGACAACAACGATGACCGTGATTTTCCGAGTAGCTTTCTCTTTGGAAGCAGAAGCGAGCACGGGTCCTGAACCAGCAGTCGAGGTCGAGGAAGGGATGGCCGATAAGGGAGCCATATCTGTTTTTGAGGTCGATGATGGTGTTGGTAATACCTTCGAAGTGACTGGTTTTAGTGATATATGAAACTTTTCTTCATCTTCAAAGTTAGAACTTGAACTAGCGATGAGTTTAACAGGGATTTTTGATGGTTCAAGGCCAGTTGGAACTTTGCCGTGAAGGGTGAGCGTGCGTGGATCGAATTGAAGCCAGGAAGACGCAGACCCTAAAACGATTTCCACCGACACATCTGGACGTGTAAACAGAGATTGTGCGAACGTGTAACGGAATTCTTCACCGATCGTCGCGTCGATCGGCCCGATGTCGTTGCGGAAAAGACCTAATTTGTCCTTGTCCACCTTAACACGCACAACACATGACGCTCGATTGCCAAAGCGATCCTCCGCAAGCACATTGATTGTCGTCTCCTGGATGCTCGAAGGGATGCCACCAGCCGCTCTGAATACTCCGTCGTCGAATTTGATCCAGTCTGGTGTCTCGACTGAGAGCCTGGAGATATCCGAATTTACTGCAACCTTGCCGTCCAGAAACAGCGTATTCTTGATATTTCTCGTGCTCCCCGACTCTCCTCTTAGTCTCAAATTGTTCTCCCACGGATCGAAGACGAGCTCATGTGGGCTCACTGCGATGGTGAAATTCACAGACGCAGCCTCGAACCCATCTATTTCGGACGCAATCAGAATGATCATGAACTCCTGAGGAGGCCCCGTGGTGTCTGGTGTTCTTCCAGTGAACCCCAGCGTCTCTGGCGTAAACTTCAACCACGTTGGCAATGGTGTCCTGTCTTTTGAAGTGGCGTAGTATCTTTTACGTGAGCCATCATCTGCGAATGTGTTTCTTGAAAACTTTATGTCAAACTGCGCCCCCGAGCGGATTGGAACCGTCCTTGGCCCCGACAACTTCTCCGTCTTCGCTAACTGAGAACTGACATCTTCTCCTAGTCCAGGAGGCGGATCCATCACCGTGAACAACATGGCATCCATAGACGCGGTTCCGCTCGAATCGGTCGCTGAGATTCGGAACATAGATACACCAACATCGTTGACCTTTGGCGTCCCCTGGAGTCGTCGAGTCGTCGAGTCGATCGACAGCCATACCGGCGCGCCAGAGAGCGCATACTTCACACCATCACCGACCGGAGCGAAAGATGATGGCGCAAGCTGGAAGTCATATGGATTATCCACTCGAGCAACCGTTGGGAATTGCGAATTGAAGGGATACGACACTTCAGGAAGAGCTAGGGACGGTCCGAGGATGGAACAGGCGACGACGATTAGGGACCACATTGGAAGGATTGGACGGCCGCTTCTATCCAGCTTTGGCTCTATGTGCCAGAAACATCAACACATAAGGTATCAAAAAGCATGAAGGATGGGGTCAAACCAGAAGAGCAGGATGCATACCGACGAAGTCGAATATAGCACAAGCCGGTCAATCTCCGGTCATCAGAAGCCACCGAGCATTCTGACGCGACAATGAAGGGGTTGAACGCGCACCTTGTTTGGTGAGATCTGGAATGGAGTTTATGGCGCAGAAAAGCTCAGAATGCAAGGGGTCATACAACCACTAAGAGGAAAGGGGACCAAAGAATAATCTAGAAATAGTTGGTGATGAAATGGACAATGCTCAATGTTCGGAAAAGAGGAAAAGATCGCTATCAACCTGCCATACGGTCCGGTTACCTTGCCGTTCTACTGTCTGGACTTCTTAAGGACATCGCGACTCTCGTGGCGGATGCCACTCGTATCGTGATCTCCGGTCTCAACTGTACCGATAGTCTTGTCTATTGAACTAGCTTCAACACTATATCCCCATCACCTACATCACAGATGATTGTTTGGGAATTCCGTAAACGGGTTACACAAGCTCTATCCGTAACATGCATGGAGAATGAGAGTTTGTGTCTCGCGAAAGTCGATAGGAAGAGTTCTGGAAGCAGAGGACCGGGAGATAGGATAAGGGAAGGGACTACTGAAATATTGCCGAAGTAATCACGAGGTCGTCCGGGGTGAGTATCTGGCCAATCACGGCATCAGGGCCCCTGCTCCAGTAGCAGAGCAGGCAGCCCGCAGCAGAGAGCTCCAACGATTCCATCCATCCAGATGTTTATCGCGTTTTTCTTTCGAACTCGTATTTGAACATATCTTGTGATGAAGTGGCTTGTTGATCATGGCAAACGGAATAGGTCCTACCAACCAAACGCCGGTCAAGGCGACCGGAGATATGGATAGCACCATCCTCGATCGACTCCTAGTGGATTATTTGGACCTTCTTGACCAGTATCAGGTCCAGCGAAAAGCCCTTTCAGGTTTATTTTCTTCAGTATGCGATAGCGAGTCTTGTTGAATGTTTCGGTGCCTAAATTGACCTTGTAGGGTCATTTCTCTCTTGCCGAAGCCAACTTCAAGTCTCCGAGCAAAATCCGTCATGGACGGGACTACTACGATGAGCGTATGCAGGCGCTGAGAAAAATGTATTGATGGATTCTATGCTCCCCGTTGAATTTGTGAATCTAATCGGCTATTAGACGGATAGAAGAGGCCAAATCTTCTGGTCACGCCAATCGACCATGCATCCAGTTCTCGACTACGGGGCAGGCAGTACGAGGTGGTGAGGGAGAACACTCGGCGGCTAAAGTAGCTGAGAAAAAGATTAAGAATGGCCTGAAGAATGGCCATGAAACACGAGATACGCCCGAGGATAAGCCTGCAGAACCACCTGAGCAGAGTAAAGACGAGTCCGAGACCGAACCTCCATCACTCTCCTCTCTATCCCTCCAAGACAAATCCAACGACACGGATCCCGCGAAGCTGATTATCGACCCTCTTCACTGGTACGGTATCTTGGTTCCACCAGCATTACGCAGCGCACAAGTGGATTTTGTCAAGGCCGTGGAAGAACCCATTCCCGCAATCGTGAACATTGCTACCCAGATGCGCGAACTAGAGATCGAGATCGGTAGAGCGAGGAAGCGGTTGAGGAAGGCCGAGGCGGCAGGTCCTCAACAGAAGCCAGGCAATGGGGAGGCGACTAATGTAACGGAAAGTGTTGGCATCGCAGAAAAGGCAGATCAAGAGCTTGTGGGCGAAGAGGGGAAATCTCTCTGGCAAAAGTCTTCAAAAGAGCAAGTCGGCTCCGGTTAAGCTAGCTAGTCAGAGCAACATTTCCAAGATGCCGTTGTGAAGATTACCAGCGTTAAAGACAGATTGCTCCAACATCTCTCCGATTACTATCGCCATGATTACTTGGGCATAATATCAACCAGCCCTGAGAGGTCTTTGCAAAGATTCTCCTCCTCTCACAGCACACCCTGTCTCAAATGAACTTCCCATTTGCCACGTACTGGCTCTCCACCTCAACATCATCTAAATCAGGAACAGCTCGCACAACGGGCCGATCGAACGCATCGAACTTCCTGTTGCCAAATCTGCTCCACAGCCACAGCGTCCCGATCCGCAGCGCAAATGCCGCCAGAGCAAAAAGCATGCCTCCAACAGGGGCGGCGACGAAGGCACCAAACGCGCCCCAATCGCTCCCGTACAGACCGCCCTGAAGGATGATGAGCTCGCCACCCTTCCTCGCGTCCCCATAATAGATGGTTCCGAAAATAAAGACGGACAAGATCCCACCAAGCCCGCCAACCACGACCTCGAAGCCTCGCCACATATAAAACCGGTCGACTAGCCCAACCAGAAGTGGCGGAACGAGGGATGCCGACACGAGATCCGAGATCAGGTAGATGGTCAGGATATCGGGTGATTTCAGCGCGAGAACCACGACGGGGATGATGACGAGGACGACGCAGACCCTCACCGTCCAGAGCGGAAGCTTATTTTTGAATAGGTCATTCGAGCCGTTCGCCACCATTCCGGATTGGAAAGAGTCGAACGCCGCGGTGGAGAGGGTGATGACCATGACGAGGACAATACCTACAACCCAGGCTGGAAGCCGACCCAGGAGGAGGAAGAGCGCCATGCTTCCTGGAGCGTCGTCATTATCTGGCTCCCAAACTCCGGACCAAGCGGCAAGTAGGCCAGAGCTGCCAACCAACGTCAAAATCATGGCCACAACGACCGTCGCGATGGTAACGCCGATGCGAAGGTCCTTGTCTGTTTTCGCGGCGAATGTACGGAGCCAGAATCCCTGGATGGCGCGAGTCAGCGAGGGTGCCTATAGAATGGCTGGGTTCGCTTACCGAAATGAAGAAGTCATTGGTGAGAATGGCGACTGGAAGGATGTATACGAGCTGCCATCCAAGCAGGCTCGACTTTAGCAGCCCCGATGAATCAATCTTGCTCCGATCGATGTCGGTCTCGACGCCGACTGAGATCACGGACACCACGATAATAAGCAAGACCAGTCCGCCTTGAATGTTGTCCGTGATGAATGAGACCTTGAAACCCCCGATAGCTTTAGGACGAGTTAGCTGCGGTTCACCACGAGCGTCGTGGGAGACTCACTGGTATAAATTGTGGTAACGACGCATTGCACAATCACTGCCGGCAGTCCGTTCAGGCCGGTCAATGCAGTGACAATCTGCTGGATTGCTGATAGTTCGGCAACCATGTACAGGAATAACGTCACCAGTCTGCATCAAGTTAATTTCTTGACTCATTGGCAATCAAGTACCCAGCTTACGTGAAGAAGCTCAAGAACAGCGCCGTTACGATTCCGTATCTCTGTCTCGTCCATTCGGTCAGGACGAAACCCTCCGGGCATCGCTTTCTGATAATGGGACCAAGGTACCCAAATATCAAGAGCGGCAGGGAACTCGACAGAGCATAGACGATAAGTCCTTGGACGCCACAGAGCGTTGCAATCTCTGGGTACGTAAACAAGATACCAGATCCAAGAGCTATATCCGACGACAAATATGGCCCTACGTTAGTGATGACAGTCAAAAGGAAAGGGGGAAAGGGGAGGATTGCGGCAGCACGTTCCCCACGCAAGCATTATCTTGATCGAGTATTTACGGTACTTCTCAGCTTCGTCCTATTACAATCATCCACGATCTCCATGATACTTAAAATCATGGTTGGATCGCGGACTGTTGCAAAGGATTCGGCGCCCGTCGCGAAGCCGCGCGAGGGCCGGAAGCCTGATGCGATGCAAACAGCGACTGTCTGCATTGCAACGGCTTCCGACACCTCGCGAGAGATCTAATGAGATACGAACCTGGATTTCACTGTAGATGCTTGCTTCCATATTGTCCCGAACGCCTCAAGTGGCCTGTAGTAAGGCCAGGCCGTGCCGGTGGTTTCGTCGCTGCCGCTGGTCGCTCAACTCACCCGAAGCTATAAAGTTCAGGGCAAGCGGTATGCCTAGACACGGTTAGTATGGCAGATCCTTTGCTTACCCTTCCTCAGCAGATGAAACCCCAAAGAAAAGTCGCGAGGTTGTAGTAGATCTGACCCTTCTGTGTCCCATTGCTGGAGAGATACTCCTTCGTATTGTGAGTGCGGACTCGCCATGCGATCGCGACTCCACCAACTCTGCACTCCCGTTAGCCCCAAATCCATGATTGGCAGTTATCCCAAGGGCCTACAGGAAAAGTCCATATGTGAGGTAAATGATGGCGTTCGACGCCGCAAACGATGGCATGCCCATCTTGATCAACGCTCCTTCAGGATGTCTTTCAGATATTACACAGATCAAACACGCTTGAAAGGATACGCGATTGACGCGTGAGATAAAAATTGGTTGAATTTGTTCAGCCAAAGCGGGGGACGGGTGTGATTTTATTCCCAACCGAAATCTGCAAAGTCTTGGTCCAAATGACGATCTGAGTCAGATCAATACGCTAAACCATTTCAGGTCAAGCTGAAAGATGAACAAAAGTCTTAAGTCACATCACGAACTCACGATGGAGCTGTGGTATTCATTTTCTAGTCCAATACGAGAGAGCGAATATCATTCCTGGCGTTCGGAAGGTTCGCCGATCGTATCGATTGGACGATTCGGCTGAAAAGGAGCCCTGTTAGGGCGATGTATGGCACGAAATGACAAAGCCATTCTTTCAATAAGCACCTCCCTACCCGTACTTATCTTGGCCAGAGAATGCCGACCCGGGTTTCTGGAGGCAGAGCGGGACATCCCAACGCCGGTTAATTCGTCTTGCCTCGCTTCAAATTCTTCCTAGAGTCCCGATCCGGGCCAAAAGCCCCGAGGAGATACAACGTCCTAGCCACGCAAAGGGACGTAGTCACACCGATATTCCCCCAAGCTAGAGCATCCCACTCCCCCACATCCAGCGTCCTCTCCAAGCCAAATCCCCACGCGCAAATGGCGATGTGTCCGATATCGGCAATCCACAGCGCCACCAGATACCCATGAACGACCCTCGCCTCTGTCGTCGTGTGCAAGACCGCCAATCCCACCAGCGCCAGGAGCCCGTACAGGTTACATAGCTGCAGCGCGAGCAATTCCTCAGTGGGAAGAGGGGTGTGGGGGTTGAGGAATGGGAGCTGGGAGTTCACGAAGTAGGACATGTTGATGAACGGCGCGATCCATCCCGCAACGCTTAGGAAGCGTTAGTCATTTGGGAGAGGTGAGGGGTTGGGCGGACGGATTACAGAGATATTGGCTCGAAGATCGTAAAGATCGCTCGTGGGATCGGAGGAAGGATGGACGCCATATTGCTGACTTCAGAGAGCCTGTGTATAGGTGTTGTGGTGTTGGTGATGAATGGACATCGATTCGATTGTTTGAAACAAGATGGAATGGAAGGGTACGTCGATGGCACGTGACAGATGACTGTCTCAACTCCATCAGTGTTTTCAGTCGTCCGGATTATATCTCCGTATGATACAGACTGGGTGATTTTGATTCTGAGAGCGTTATGTTCGTGAGGATTGGTCAAAGTAGTGAGGTGGTACATACGGACTGGCCGGTATCAATTGGAAATCCAACCCACCGCTGGAAGAGTGAGGGGTTACCCGAACTGCTTCAAAGACTTGTCCCGGCCAAAATTTCCTATGTGTCCAGTTTAGCGGTTCAATGTTTTGTTTATGTATCTATCTATGTCTGCGATGACAGATTCGAGTGTCTTCAATGGTCTTATATATGCTGGTTCATAACGACTGGGTGGTTCCTGATGAAAGTGCGGATTGTATGTCTCTCTCGAACTATATCTGTCTCTATTTTTCACTTTCAAGTCGATTTTTGAAAAGCATAATGCCAGTTTCAACGCCTTGTAACAGGCCGACCAAGTGTCCAAGATCATTATTCTCTGCTGAACAAACAATTCTCTCTATAATTTCGCGGTGTCTCTTTGTCCTCCACTGCAGTGACCTCGGTTTGGCGATATAATCACTAGCGAAATTGGCTTCAGCCCAAGCGCAGTCCCAAACATATTATTCCAACATGTTGCCAAGGTCTTCTATATCATATACGGCTAAACCAGATTCAAGCTGCCAAGGTCATGGTTGATCTGCTTTACTGGGCGTGTTAGTTACTGAGTTTCTTAGACACCTTTGATAGCAACGCCAAACACAGATCTGATTCCATATTCGATATCGCCTTGCGGCACGATCTGATTTCAAAGTATCTGCATTAATAATCAAGTATTACTCATTAGCTGTTGCCACTTGTGCTATCCACTAGTATATAAAGACACTATCTGCAAAGGCGGTGGGTGGGGAGGAGGCTAGGAAAGGCTCAGAAAGCGAATATCATAATTGTACTTCTAACTCTTCCAGATCTGCAGCCGAGAGTAACAACGCTTCCATGGACCCCAACTTTGGCTAATAGATATTCAGGAGGAAGCCAAAAAATACGCTCGATACTGTGACAAACCCATTTGTCGTTGACAAAGATAAGAGGTAGGCCTTGTGGTTGGAGAACAGGCGTATCATCAGAGAGAGATAATGAAATAGGATGCGATCCTTGGTTTGTTCAGCGAGAAGTGTTATCGTCGGAGAAAGAGAGAGTCTCGACAATACCGCCAATATCCAGAGTCTGCCGCACCGCCCCCGACGCCGCGTCCCACAGCATGACCGCCCCGTCGACCGAGCCCGCCAACGCCAGTGTCTTGCCGTCCGGCGAGAAGGCCACGGCCGTGATCCCGTGCGAGTGTCCCTCGAGCGTCTGCTGCAGCGAACCCGACGTCGCGTCCCACAGCTTGACCGTCCCGTCGACCGAGCCCGCCGACGCCAGTGTCTTGCCGTCCGGTGAGAAGGCCACGGCCGTGACCCCGTACGAGTGGCCCTCGAGCGTCTGCTGCAGCGACCCCGACGTCGCGTCCCACAGCTTGACCGTCCCGTCGACCGAGCCCGCCGACGCCAGCGTCTTGCCGTCCGGCGAGAAGGCCACGGCCGTGACCCCGCCCAAGTGGCCCTCGAGCATCTGTAGCAGCGCATTCCATTTCTCTTCGACCTGTGGTAACCTTCGTATCCATCCAGGTATGCAGTTTGTGAATTGATTTCTTACTATGCTCATTGTCGTGCGAATGTGAGGGCACTGCAGTATGTCTGAAGGGGAGCCTGCTCGATCGCTGGTCGGTTGTAGAGGACGAACCGCTTCGCGTCATGGATAAAGCTTCAGCGTCAATCGTAGCTCCTCTACCTCTTTATCTGAATACTCTGAAGAAATGCAGTTGCGAAGAACAGTGATATAGATCTCGTTGAGGTGCTGCTGGGGGGCGCTGCTAGCACTGCTGCTGTGCCCCAGGATTGTATTCGAAGTAAACATAGATGTCGTGATATACGATCGATTGAGATACGTTATGGAGGATAAAGTCCTTGTGTTCACTATCTGGGATTTGGACGAAGCTGTTTCGGATCGGAACCTCAGGTCGGCTTGTCAGGAAGACTCGTAGTCGAACTGTATTTAACGATCGAGCTTCAGCCAAGAGAGCCAGGATGATCCGAATGTCGTTATCATTGTCGCACTCATCGAGCGCATCGACGACAAGGACGTATACGGATTGGCCCTCGCTTTCGTCCAGCTTCGACAGCGGGCGTAGGACGAGTTGCTGCCACTGGTCACGAAGAGACTGGTATATAATGTCGCGGCGCTCTGTAAGAGTGTCGTATATATATTGGCGAAGACACGGTATACTACTCGCTAGCTGCCACGCAATGCTCGTGACGAACTTGCCTGCATGACCGACATCTCCACCGCTGCGCGAGAAGAAGAAGCTGGCTCCTAGGCGATTCTGGTCGGAGTAGGTACGGGCGACAGTGCGCGCAATCGTCGACTTCCCCGTGCCAGCCAAGCCATTCAGCCAGAAGATACAGCGCTTGTCTCGACCATCAACCCAGTTGTTGATCTCTTGAAGGAGGTCGATGCGGGTATCGGGATGGCAGGGCGGGTCATACTGTCGCTGGAATGCGTTGAACGGCGCGGCTGTAGTGGGAGAGAGCAGATCGTTCAAGTCTGAGGTGCCGGTCAGCTTCCTGCTGCTTCGAGGCCATAGCCAGCCAAGCATACTCACCTTTACTGCCCCCGAAGTTAACTGGTCCGTTGAATGTGCCTACCGCGGCCTGCGAACGGTTGTTGGTGGACACACCGCGGATGATTTGCGTGTTAGTGGACACACCGCTGACGAGTTCCGTGTTGCCCGACATGAGCTAGGGATAGCGACATTAATCTCCCTCGTTTCTAGCTGTTGCTCTCTCGTGGTGCACGTTGCAATGTATATACGCATGCGAATATTCTAGAGTGAGTTCATGCCTACACCCCCAGATGAGGTTCATTCTCAGCTGGCGAATGCATTCCGCCAGCCTCGCCAATGAACAACCTTGCCTTGCCGCTGTCGAGATGCATCACCTCCAGACTTGGGCCAAGCTGGACGCCAAGACCTTTTCATGGATGGGGAAGGAGAAGCAAGAGACGCGGTGGTACATGTCCTAGTGGACTGTATGATGTCGGGCTTTGATAATATATGCACGGTCCATTCATCTTTGGATTCGCATAATTCTTTCCAATTCCACATCTTTTCCACGGCTTTTCCACGGCATATAACAACCTTCAACATGGACTACGACATGGTCGAGGGGGTCGACTTCGAGGGGGGTGACTTCTGGGGGCTCGCCCCCAACTTGATCGCCTTCGACATGGTCGGCTTGAACATATTCAACTTCGACCTCTTCGACTTCAGCCTGATTTCGTTGGTCCGCCTCGTGCCCGCACGGCTTCAATAACAAAAGTCGTCGTTACGATTTTGCTCATATCCCTACTTTTCAGGTCGCCGGTATTTACGCCGAGTAAATACCTTCTCCGATATATCCTCATCCAAACCGGCCTATTGTTCGTACGTGCGGTCTTGGGTCTGCCCAATATGCAGTCCGAAGCCAATGCCGCGGGCAGGCGCATCCTCGAAACAACCTACACCTGAATAGATCAAATGTTCTATATTATCAAGGTGTTTCTCTGGGCCAAAGCCTCCTATGTGGTGGAAAGGTGGATATCGGCTGAGGCTCAGGTCCCGCTCACACAGTTGCTCTGGCTGGTTTGGAGTAGACTGATAAGTTGGGAAGATGCGCCAGATGAGGAGCCAGTTGAGGAGCTAGGTGTTGGGCAAATTATAAAATTGTAGTGCCAGATGCAGCGCGAGTTGATGACCCAGTGCCCAGTTGAGGAACATCCGGCATAAGTGCGGTTGAAAACATGTATAGCATATTAAATGGCTAGTTGATAGTTAAGGAGTAGTGCATTCTGGGGCAATGACAGGTTCATGCTATCAAAAGCACTTCCGTAGAAGTTTGGAATCGGGTAGAGAGAGTACACGTTCAGGCGGTTATGTGCTGACCGTGTCTCAGGAGTATCGGTCGGGATGCGACCTGCGAATGTTCAAGTACGATATTGAGCAAATACATCGGTGACTTCAAGTCGAGTCCTGTTTGCGCAATAATCTCTCCATTTTGGCAAAAGAGATCCGTTGATGTAAGAAGGAAGTTGGAGATAACCTCATCATCCATGTCGTCGCTCCTGTAACCCGAATATCATTGCCAAGATCAGTCCCCCACCTCTGCTCATCCACCAAACTTTAGTCCATTCACCAGACGGCACGCTATCTCCTCCCTCTGATGCCTATGAATCAGACTCTCCGACCTCTTGCTTACAATTCCAACCTTCTTGACTAGCGCTTGACATTCCTCCCGCTCGACCTCGCAACAACTTCCGAATCGGCTCCTGCTACCCTCCATTCTAGCTCGTGACAGTGCCCTCCGCTTGCGGCTCATCAGAGAACCCGAAGCTCTAGTAGCGATCCACCAAGATGCAGTCCCTTCCAGATACGCGACAGCAGACATTCGAGGAGATATACGGCCCTCCGGAGAATTTCCTCGAGATCGAAGTGCGTCCCCTCATCCCTTAACCTCCCCCATCTCGACCTCTCGCCGCACCGCCTCCCTCATCCACGCTTCCGCGCATCGCAACAGCTAACCCCTCCCAGGTCCGCAGCCCCCAAACCCACGGCACCGGCCGCAGTATGTACACCGACTACGAGATCCTCTGCCGGACGAACATCCCGGCATTCAAGCTCAAAGCCTCCACCGTGCGACGCCGCTACAGCGACTTCGAATGGTTCCGCGATATCCTCGAGCGAGAGTCGGCGCGGGTGACCATCCCGCCGCTGCCGGGCAAGGTGTTCACGAACCGGTTCAGCGACGACGTGATCGAGCACCGGAGGGAAGGGCTCCAGCGGTTTTTGCAGATTGTGGTGGGGCATCCGCTGTTGCAGACGGGGAGCAAGGTGATGGCGGCGTTTGTGCAGGGTAGGTTCTGTGGCTTGCCGATAAGGGGATGTGAGAAAGTTTGGATGGATACTGACAGAGAGCGTAGATCCAAATTGGGACCGCAACTCGTGGAATTAACGAGAGTTGGAATATGACGGACCAAGCGAGCGACACCATGATATCCGAGAATGTTATCTCCAGCGTCGAGCAGGACTTTGATTGCACGACCCCACCCCATCACATATTGCTTTTAGCGTCGGAGTATTTGGTATTGAAGCTGGAATGATGAATGGCATTATGATCCATTTCCATTTAAAATCTTGCTCTGCGCGCCAGATTCCAGAGAAGCAAGAACGTTTTCCATAGCGTATTGTACAGGACGAAGCACCTATAGTCGTCGGGAGAATCTCCTAGTCTATGCAAGTCTACTAAGACAACCCGTGCACCATTCCATGCCGTCTGATGACCTTACGCCGCGCTCCACCCGGAGCGCTGAGACGAGGCCCATATGTGGGAGAGGTGAGACTCCCCGCCACTCAATATGTACAGAGCCACCCATTAATCCAATATCGTACAACATATAAACATCCCCTAAACCTTTGAATCTGTACCCATCAGTCGCAACACGGCCTCATACGTGCCGAACATGATAGCGGCACTCGGAACCACTCTCATCATGTGAGGGACCAGACCACCATACAAGGCCGCCATCCCCTCTTCCCTAAATATCAGGCGGAAACACTGCGCCAAGCCGGTATATTTGAGCTTGCCGTTCTCCGCCGGGCTTTGTCGTAGTCGCGTTCGGACAACCTAGCCAGATGTTAGCGCATGGACGCCGTTCCTATCCCATGTTCCGGCTTACCTCGTGGGGGTAGGTGATAATCGCGGCGAAGAACTTGGCACCGCCCGAAGCGCAGAGCAAGAGCGAGTTCTGGATGAAAGAGTCCTGGCCCGTGAGCTCGCCTTGCGTCCTCAGCAGCCGCTGTTCACGCGTATTAAGTCGCTTCTTGGCTTGCTCATAGAGCACCCACTGTAAGGTGCTCTCCGTCACGCCCAAATAACTCGCGCTCAGGCCTCGGTATAAACCCTTGATACCTTCACCTCGGATCGTCTTAATAGTGCAATCCAGCGCATTGCGATACTGTCGCCCTCCACCTTTCTCGGCATTCGACTTGTCCAATTGTAACCTTGTCTTGATGACCCAGATTGGATTCGTCATTGTACCGGTTATTATACCGGCGCAAGCCGCGGAAGTGGCATGTACCCATGCCGTCTCCTTCCCATCATTGAAATGCTTGCTAACGACCTTCTTCCCGTTGCCGTATGTGAAGAAGTTGATCGATCGCGCGGGAACTACGCCGATCAGGTTCGGTCCTAGCCCTTTGAACAGCGCTCTCCAGCCTTCGACCCGCGGAACCGCGAAGAGGATCTGGAACGTTTCTCGGATGTGCAGCAGAGATGCTCGGAGGAGGGGCATGGATTCCGGGGGCGGGATTCCACGCGCCGCTCGGGAGGCTGTGAGTTGAGATTGGTAGAAGTCGGATTGGAGGCGGGTTTTGAGGACGTCGAGAGGGGCGGTGAAGGTTGCCGCGGTCATTCCACCGGCTCTACATTGCGATATATCAAAAATGGTTCTAATGAATTGAGGTTTGAGCACGCTTACCCTCCGGCTACGAAATGCGCCCATGATTTCGCAAAAGGGGATGATTTCTCCGCGAGATGCCAGCCGGGGTTGCCGGCTCCATCGAGTCCCTCATTCCCCCGTCCTGAAGATGTGGCGATCTGGTTTCGAGGTTCTCCGGGATTTGGTATTTGGCGAGAAGCGGGTTTCGATTCGAAGGTCATATAGCGGTTGGGCGCCTCCGAATGATCGGAGTAAAGCGCAAGCGGGAGTGGTTGGACGTGATGAAGTATTAGGGGGTTTTCTTAAATATGACAAGAATACGTTTCCCCAAGATGGACTCTGAATGAGGAATGATAATTGTCTGAGTTCTGCCAGGAAATCTATTATGTAGGAAATCAATAAAGTCCGTCCGAGGTTCCTGAAATAATTCGACTGATGAAGATGCTCGCGAAGGTCCGTGCACGATCGGTATCCTGTCTGAGTGTCTGTGAGTGAAGTGAGTGTCTGATAATGAGAGGCGCCGCAAACACTATTGAGCTCATGATGAAGCGTGAAGTCACGAATCTCCCAATTCGACTCCTCCAAACGATCCTGAATACGTTGATAAAGCCGGAGAACCATGAGATGGTTTGAAGCAAACAGTGCTTCCACCTCACCAGCAACCCACACCCATAGTATCTGAGTGATCAGCCTCCTTCTCAATCTCCTCTCAATCCACCCCCCCGCCGACATCCTATCCTCCAAAATGCAGTGTACAAGGCCGCTTCTAGCTGGAGGCTTCCTCAAACGAAGTTATAATGAAGCTAAACGACTAGGGCATATCGGTATTTGTCTACCAAATCTCCCAAACGACCTCATCGCTGACGCCGAGTTACAGCTGTAACATTCGAAGCCGCTACAGTCCCGATGCGACCACGACCGCTTGTATATTTCGACACGCCTCAAGCACTTACCGATTGCAAAACGATGTGCGACTCCGAAATCGGTGGGTACTCCAATGTCGACTTCAAATTCATTCCCGGTTCTGCCTCCGAACCAGCCCACGCTCGATTTCGCGGACACATATCGACCGAACTGCCGAAGGAGAACTTGTCGGTGATTAACAGCGGCTACGCGGGATGGCGGACGACTGATCCGAAGTGGAACATGTTCAACAGCGGGATATACGACATCGATCCGTACCGGTATATCGCACTGCGGGTCAAGTCGGATGGCGGACACTACTTCGTGAACATACAGACGGAGTCGATTGTGCCGACAGATTTACATCAACACCGGCTCTACGCGCGGAGACCCGGACAGTGGGAGACGATATTGATTAGGACCGGGGAGTTTGTCAGGACAAATCACGGGGCCATTATGGAGCCGCAGTCGGAGATGATGAAGGACAGAGTAAGAAGTATTGGGATAAGCTCCATTAAGGTTCCCGGCCCTTTTGAACTATGTATCAGCAGGGTTTGGGCGACAAACATCGCGGATAGGAATGCCACCGGAGACGAGGAAATGGATGCGATGAGAAGACGGCAAAAACAGCAAAGACAACCGCCTCAGGACCCTAGCTCGAAACCAATAAGACTACGCACATAGCGTACTGTTTAAAGCCATGGACGAATGATTACTGTAATGCTGTAACTGAAGTGCACTGATGCCTCCCTAACAACCAGCTAGCGTCTCGCCTGTTCTTCTCCGTATTTCCAATGTCACCCTACCGTATAATAGGTTAATAACCTGGTTCTTGAACTATTCCATGATACAATCTCGTAACAGCAAGATACAGGATTACTTGTCACGTCTTAGCAGTTAAGTAACGCAGCATGATTACTGGACGCGTAGGCACGTGACAGCGCGTCAATATGTTCGAATCTCGAAAGCGTCTTCTTCTCTCTATGTTTTCAGAATATCAATCTTCAATTATTCTCTGACAAAATCCATAAATAATTCGAGTATACTCCCCAGCGCCAAGGGGGTGATTTGCTGCTAATGATTGAGTTGGCTTGCACCTTCCCACAGGACCTGCGATGAACGCACGATGGAGAGACGGCTCTTCCTGTAATCACTCACACGACACTCATTTGGGAGGATTAATGAGCTACTCAAGATGACCTTTGAGATTTGCGTCTAAGTGTTGAACGAATGTGCTTAGGTTAAACTAGCCCGGCCTTCTACAGCTCCCTCAGACTCATTTCCTTCTGTTGAGTTGAAGCCATGTCTCGATACTTGACAGCGCCCAAAGTCAGCCTTCTGGCACTGATAGTGCTATACTGTGAGGGTGTCGTCCCACATGAAGGCGTTGTCAGCGTACTAGCCTTCATTGCTGACCATATTGTTCCATTGTCACCTCGCTCGTCCGAAGACATCGACGATGCCCTGAACCATAACTTCTGGCTCAACGTGTCTGATTTTGAGGAGAAATTCGGTCAGGAGGCTTCCATCAAGCCCGGAAGATCCGTGTACGATCTGTTCCTTGCCAAGATATGGCACCTCGACTCCTTGAACGCTCTACACGAGTTTTTCGAATCCTTACCCCAACTAGTCGCGAAGACACGGGAAGCACAGCTGTTGGACGCAGAAGCAGGTATAATCATGCCGACTCCTGCTGTCGTGCTATCTCGCGCATCTCCGATGGGCCAATTTGTCAGGCGGTGCCGGATCGAGTTCACCAGACTGCAGTTCAACGATACTATGAAGTTATGGACGGCATTCCTGAAATACAAGCAGCCGTCTGAAGCATCATGGCGGCGCCGAAATCCCGGAGCATTCGCGTTATCTTTCGACGCAAATCTCAAAGATCTGAATCTGAGGAAGGGCGATGCGCTGTTTGAGGTCGCTTACGGCTCCCTGATGGATGAAGGCGAATCGGAACAACTAGCTATGAGCACCGAGGATGTAGAGAGGTTGCTGGAGTTTCAGCTATATAAAGTTCAAAGTAAGTCTGCTTTAACCGTCCTGGAGTCACAACTAAGATGTCGCTAGGGATGGGGATCCGGGTCCCTCAAGCGATGAAAAAGAGATTCCGCGAGATGATCGGTCCGGCTGTTACTGTGCCCAGCGTCTCACATTTCGTAAAGTAGGTGGCACTCCCTAACACTGGCAGATATCTGAAAGAAGGGACAGTCTGACCCCCTTCTAGATTCTTTGACGCTTGGCGAGCAGGGGATTACACTGCGTCGTTCGATAATCTCCACCGGTACTTTGACTACACGATGCAATCCAGAGACAAGACGAATTATCAATACGCCTTGCTACACATGGCCATTCTGCATGCAGATTTTGGCTGTTTCAGCGAAGCTCTGGCAACCATGAACGAGGCAATTGCCACAGCGCGAGAAAACCAGGACATTACGTGCTTGAACTACAGTCTCAGTTGGCTGAACCACTTCAACAAGGCATATCCGCAAGAAATGAAAGGAGGCAGCTATAGCAAGTTGCTCAGCTCGGAGAAAGAGGCGCTAGCCTTCCTGAAATCTAAGGCTCGGGAGAATAGGCTGTGGGATATTCTGAGCTCTACGTTGTTGAGCGAAGCGAAGCTCATGCTCTCTAACGTGAGTTTGTCTCTTAGTTTAACATTATGCGCACGCTAATCGACTCTTCAGGGAGAAAGCATGTCTCGAGCGCTAGAATTCGTTTACCAAGCCTCGCATCTAAATTTGACATACAATATCCGGAGCAACGTCGGAGCTCAGTTGCTTATGCAATCTTCGACTTATGGACGTCTTGGTACTTGACACTTACCCATTATTCCCTTTGGTACTTGTGCTGATGACCGATTTAGGTGCTGGACCAGTGTCCAATGAATACTGCGAGATGATCCTCAGTTGTTACAACACCGTCGTCCCCATGGAGGAGATCCTTCGGTCCATATGCCGCAAGGCGTTTTCTGTATGTTATATTGCGGGGTTTCTTTCGGCTTCCTTACACAATGAGCTGACTGGTGATAGTTCGCCAGATGTGGGCTGTTCGATAAGGCATTCGCTACTCTACATGATGTCGATCCTGCCGTTCATCGCACGCTCAAGTTCCACCAATATCTTCTCAGCTACACGGGTCTATTGAAATTACGACGAGCATTGAAAAGGTACGAATCCCGCACTTGATAACGTCCTTCGCACAGCTAGGCCACGAATATAGCCAACTCCAATGACGCTTGCTGACACTTCGCTCAGGATGGACCTTATCGCAGCAGAACACCTGCTAAAACAACTCAAGGCTGGCGCTGCTTCAGATCCCGAAATCAGATTCCAAATCACCATCTCCGAGATTGACTATCTCGTCCGAATATCCTCGTTTTCCGACGCATTCAACCTGATTGAAGACGTAGCAGACGGTTTCAAGGACGCCTCAGCCGACATCTATCAGCGAATCCATATCCTTGTTACAAAGGCGAACCTTTTTGCGAAATGCGGAAAGCCAGAACGAGGTTTTTCTCTCGCCATGCGCGCGGCTAGCACTGCGCACCGAGCAAAGGTGCTGCCGTCGATGTGGGAGGCAGTAGCCACGTTATCGAACATTCTCAACCACCTCAGCGAGTTTGATGCTGCGCGGCAACTTCTTGAGGCTATTATTCCCCAGGTGCGTACGCAATATTCCTACCCGATGATTCTGGATACTTATGACATATAGGCAATCGAAGGAAACGACTGCACGATATCTGGTCAGCTCAACACGGTCCTAGCCGACGCTTTTATGGGACTGGCGGGGAAGGGCGATGGGGTGCAACGAAGCCAATGCATGACGAAGGCCGAGCTCTACCTTACTCGAGCGCAAGATTGTAAGTCCAGGTATACCCGCTCTTCGAGCCTCTTGCTAATCTTCCGTACTTGATAGACTTTAGCACCGTGGAGGACGTACAAGGTCAGTGTGAGACGATATATAAACAGGCGATGATTGCGAGAACACGAGGAGACCAGGGACTTGCGGATAACTGGGCGTCTCGATACGTAGCGACCACGAAACATTATGAGCAATTAGTCATGGAAGATCAGACTCCAGAAGCTACGGCAGCATCATAGACACACCTATTTGAGTGTATCCAATCAAGTTGGCATGGATGGCGGTCTGGGTAGAAAGGCTTTAGGGTAGTAGCAATCGGGCACGCAAATACAGTTTTTAAGTTTCCGCATTTCAACCGACCGATAACTTTGTATGGTGCTATGTGACAAAGGAGATGATCTATACAAGTTCGGGAAAGAACGTTACCATCCTCAACCTTTTGGCTTCGCAATCCAACAGGATCGTTCATAGCTCATTAATCTTCCTTATGGTAGTTGACGTTGTCGTTCCAGAAGAGAGTCTGCCAGGCCGTGTCAGCAACCGTATAGTCGTGCAATCAAGTCCGCAAAGAGTACCTTGTCACCGTCTCCCCAGCAGAAGTTCTTCGTCCGAATATTTTGGTAGGAGTACTCCGGCTTCTCCGACCGCGGCGGCTCATGGCTGACATGCTCCCAATGTTCATTCCACTGGTTGTAGGCATTGATTCCTGTGAGCAGGACGGCCGGGATAATGCCACTGCGCTTGTAAGTGATCCGCCTCGGATGAAATCGGTCAGGTGGCTCACTAGATGGAAAGCTTCCTCCAAAGATCTACGTGGATCATTAGCACTCAATTACCTCGCTCCACATCCTTTGACCTTTCAAATCCACTCACCCGTAGTCTCTGACGCATGCTGCTTCACGGCAGCACGCTCACGGTTGAACGCATTGTCCTGCGCTCCCTCGAACTTCTGGGCCCCGGAATACTGGCGGCGTCCGGCGCTTCGAACCGCGGGTTGTCGGGTCGAGCGGGCGACAGCTCGCGCTGAGCGAGCGACGAGTTGCTGAGAGAGCATTTCGGATGAATTGAGGGCGGTAGAGCGGAGAATGGGTCGGAGATTGAAGCTGTACGCTGTAAAGAAGCTGTCCCTGTTGTTTCGTCGAGGTTGGATGAGGTGACCTGATACACGGTCACATGATTTTCCGAGGCCGAGAGAGATGTCACGAGGCACGTGACCAGGCGTTGCGACCGCTGATTGACAACGCGTCTGTCGTCTTAAAGTGGTGATTCCTATTCATCTCGCGATGGAGGATATCGTATTAGTGAATAATCCTCTGAAGACATCCGAATGTCAATAGGCGCTGTAGGAAAGCGCGGTTGAGCCCTCCCGAGTCCCCGATTTTCAATTCCGCCTCTGGAAGATTCCTCAATTGCTGGAAAGTACATGGGTTTCCATCGTTCTATCAGTGTGAACATGTAGCCGATCGTTAAGATGGCTCTGCGGTTGACGACATGGAATGTGAATGGCATCCGAAATCCATTCGGATACCAGCCATGGCGGGAGAAGCGAACCTTCGACGCCATGTTCAACACCCTCGAGGCGGATATAGTAGTCATGCAGGAACTGAAGATCCAAAGAAAGGACCTCACAGATGATATGGTGCTTATCCCTGGCTGGGACTGCTTCTTCAGTCTCCCAAAGCATAAGAAAGGTAAGCTGATCGACGAGTTGCAAGGACATGATCTAAGCCCGTCCAGGCTACTCTGGAGTTGGCATCTATACTCGACAGTCGGCGTGCATACCTATCAAGGCTGAGGAAGGGCTACTTGGCATCCTGACCTTACCGGGTACATCGACTCGGTACCGAGATCTTCCTGCTGAGAAAGCAATCGGCGGCTATCCTACTGAAGAGCAGATCGAGGAAATGGGGGTCGATGCAGCCGCGTTAGACGCCGAAGGCCGCTGTGTCATCCTGGAGTTCCCGGCGTTTGTCATATTCGGCGTATATTGTCCTGCTAACAGCAATGGGCTGCGTGATGACTTTCGGTACGGCTTCTTTTGTGCTCTCGAGACACGGATACGGAACCTGGATGCCATGGGAAAGCGAATTATCCTTACCGGCGATCTGAATGTCTCACGAGATGTGATTGATACCGCGCGTGCCATAGAAGCCATAAAGAAGGAAGGCATCACATACGATGAGTATGTGTCCTCCCCAAATCGGCGGCTTTTCAATCAGCTTGTCGAAGACTCGCCAGTCGTGGAGCCAAGAGACCAGGGAAGAGAGCACCCGGTGCTCTGGGATGTTCCACGAGGATTTCATCCGACAAGACAGGGCATGTTCACGCACTGGGAGCAGAAGATCAATGCTCGGCCAGCAAACTTCGGTTCTCGGATTGACCACGTTCTTTCCAGTATTTCTATGAAGGAGTGGTTCATCGATTCCAACATCCAGGAAGGGTTGATGGTATGTCGAGGAAACTCTATTGCCGGTAGCTTCTAACATCCATAGGGCTCGGATCATTGCCCAGTCTATGCCATTATGGGAGAGAAAGTCCAGGCTGATGGCAAGGAAACGTTCTTTCGAGATATCATGCATCCAGGGGATATCTTCAAAGATGGAGTCCGTCTCCGCGAACCGGGACCCAAAGACTTGCTCCCGCTCTCAGGAAAGCTACTGCCGGAATTCGATAAGCGCAGGAGCATAAGAGACATGTTTGGCCGGAAGCAGTCCAGCGGCTCTGCTCCAAAGCCAGGTGCACTGTCACCATCTCAAAGCCAAAGTTCGGCCACCTCAATTGGCATATATCCTACCCAGACAGAATCCTCAACACCATCTACAGCTCCTATCACATCGACAGAACCTAAAACACCGATCTCTCCTAGAGTTTCGCGCAGCGGGGTATCGCCAAGTGCCAGGGCATCGCCAGTCGTGTCAAACCCCTCGAATCGGGTGACGAACGAACGGCCATCGAAACGCGCAAAGCTCGGCTCTTCCACATCCTCACTCCCTGCAACTTCCAAAGGCCAAAAGTCGCTAAAAAGCTTCTTCCAGGCCAAGTCGACAGTTCCGAACGGCTCCTCCAGTCGAGACAGGAGCGCATCAATATCCGAAACGCCGTCCCAGCCTGGCACGGCCAAAACAGCTACTGCCGTAGCAAATTCTGATTTACGTTCCGAATCGAACCCCACAACTCTTTCAACGGCTAGCCCGAACCCGACACCCAAAAAGGTAACTAACTTTGAAACTGAAGCGACCAAAAGTGCTGAGCCGTTTAGCGCAAAGGGTGAGTCAGATGATGTGTACGACCCGATAGTGACAAAAGAATCATGGGACAAAGTCTTCAAGAAGCGGAAAGCACCTCTATGCGAAGGGCATGAAGAACCATGCATCAGTCTATCAAGCAAGAAGAAAGGTGTCAACGTCGGGAGGTACTTCTGGATATGCCCACGGTAATGTTCGAAATTTTGCTAGGCTTTCGCATCTACTGATCATTCAGCAGACCTATCGGACCGTCAGGAAACAAGGAGAAGGGGACACACTGGCGATGTCATACATTCATATGGGCTAGTGACTGGAATGGGCAGGGATGAAGAAAGAGGCTATGACGGCTGCTATGGAGACGAGGCTGCTCAGCATGTAAGAATAATCAGCACCGTGATTATTACGGAATAGCGTATCGTGATGTGCACAATGGCCCATGGAAAATATGTCTGAGAAGAGTTATTGCTATGGGTTACGAGACTACAAGCCGAATTCCCAGATACCCGGAATACTTTTTTGTAGAAATCGACGAAAACTTGAATCGCCTACTCAAGCTCCTCGAGAGGCGTCTTGCCAACTTCTGAGGCGACGATATCCTTCAAACATTTCAACACAATCGAATCAGTAAGGTTACTCATCTTCGCCATCACTCAGATCATTTCTTTAGGGAATGAATGCCCCACTCTCGCCCCTCCTCTGCATCGGCTCCCAATAGTACGGATCCGGAAACTCAATCCTCATCCAATCCTTCTGATCGATATGCTGTCCCCAAGCCCTGTTCACCGGCAACTCGTTCAACGGCTCGGTTATCCCTCCCGTTTCCGCCGGATACTTCAGATGCAACATCGGCTCGTCGTCGTCGGGATTTCGGAAGCAGACCCATTGCCAGGTGTCGTCGCATTGACCGCCGAGGAATTTGCGGTTGTTCCAGTGGAAAACCATGATGCAGCGGTTGTTAACGAAGGAGTCCTGTGGAGTTTGGTGTAAGCAGAGAACGTGAGAGAAATGGAGTCAAGCTGAGTTGGGGAAACGAACGTCGCGCCAGGTTGCTTGAAGGCGGTCTTCGAGGGGTAGTTTGTGGAGTTCAGGTGCCCAGAGGCGGTTGATTGACATCTATCATAAGTTAGCTGGGTCTTGTGAAAAGCAGTAGAACAACACACTGAAGCCACTGTCTGAAGGACTTCGCCTTGGTTTGCTTGTTGCTATATTCGGTCAGTCTCAATGCACGATGTCTTCTAAATTGATTTAGTCCTGCCTGATTGAAGTGCTTGCGAATCGCGAGCATGATCCCAAACAGCAGGTGCCTTGCAAATCGTGCATCATAGACGACCAGAAAGGCCACACTCTCTGGCTTGATTCCCACGGGCAGCACCCTCTTCAACAAATCCTGCGTCATCATCACAGGCAGCAGCCACCGTGCGTCATGCTCCAACGCGTCCGATGCAGTCTTCCATGCGTCCTTCAACATCCAGAAATTCGTTCTGACTAACCCAGGGTGAAGGTCCGGCACATTGTATATTCCGTCCTGCGGATGTTTGTAGAACATCGTGAGGAGTGCCTCGACTTTACCTCTGAGTTGAATGAATAATGGCTCGCAGTTCGCGTAACGCCCGCTGTGCTCTGCGAAGAGGTAAGGGAAGTTGTGCCTGAGGTGATCGAGATGCTCAATAGCATAGTTAAGTTCGTTGTAACACTGCCTGAAGGCGTTGTAGTCGAGGTAGTCGCAGAATTTCCAGAGGGAGAGGCAGTGGCTGGTAGTACGGATCACCCAAGTGAGTTCTTCCGACACGCGGACTAGTAAGATGGTTACCGAGTGGTCGAGCGGTTGGAATAGAAGGATATACTAACGGTATTGTTGCATGAAAGCATAGTTTGCTAGAGACATCGCTGCTTCTGGTGAGATATCGTGGTTGTTTTAGCCAAGGAGCCAGTATCTTTGAGATGTTATGATTGCATGCCGTCGTTCGGTGGCGTGCTAATATTGAGCAGGGCGAAAAAGAGAAGATGGTGACGGTGAATGAGAGCTGGATATGACAAGAGAATGAGTGGTGAAGGCTGGTCTAGAACATTTCACAAGGCTGCTGCTACCTACGGAAAATGAACTGTTTAGTGTTATCGGATAATCGACAGAGTATTTTGGTACCAGTCTTCATTCACCAGATTAGAACATGTCACATGTTCCTCGACCAATATTTGGAATCAGAAATTGGTGAAACCAAAGCTTGCATTTTCTATCTACTACTACTAAAGACTATTTAAAGGAGTTGGGGTATGTGTCGAAAGACACTGGCAAATGGCCTATTTGCCCAAAGCATTCGCCGGGGTGTGAAAAGTGGGAGAAACGGAACATAATCCGCGGATTAGTGAGGGATATTGAGGGGAATTGAGGGAAGGAATTGAGGGGATTGAGGGGAGGAATTGAGGGGAATTGAGGGAATGTGTCGAAAGACACTGGGAAATAAATGGCCTACTTGCCCAAAACAAATCAACGCCGCGGTGTGGAAATGAGGGAAATGGAAGAAGAAGCGCCAATGGAAGAGAGCTGCAGAGGAGCAAGATCGCCTAGTTAACAGCCCAAAATGCTATGGTTTTGCGACTGCTCTCTAAAGTGCTATGCACAAGAACAGAAGCGTTGGGGAACTGAGCGGTAGAGCGGAATATAAATTGCTCCAAGAAATAATTGGACGGATCCGACAAACCCGGTGCGAATTCCATGTGAAAACCCATGGAAGTCGAACTGATTCTTCAAAGATTTTATGAAGTGATTCGAATGACTTCGTGCTTGACAGACCCCGAGGTCGGACAGTAGTCGGTAAAAGGATTCCGAAAATCTCGGTGCATTTTAACAGTTCAAGAAAGGACAGGTACGAAGAGTAGCCAGCTCGAAATGCTCTGGTGACTGGCAATAGCAGCAACGGTGGAACAAAGAATCGGTTACCATCAACTTTAGTTGCTGTTGCTATTGTTGTTGTGAGATTGCACAGTTGCAGTGCTAGAAGCGGTTGCGACTGCCGGAGGATGGGCAACAGACGCGGTGGCGAAACCGAACTGAGTTCCAGGCGGATACTGGGCGTTGAGGTAGTTGGCCGTTGCGACAAGACTAGGCCCATTGTTATGATACCCGGTGTTTGCCGCGTTGCCGAGTCCGTGGCTGCGCTCTCCAGAGAGGAGTGACATACCAGATCGGCGAGCAACCATTTGACTCCTCGTACAAAAGTCGCCCCGTCCAAGGTCAGACGGCATTGCGGCGGACTCAGTCCCATGGAAGCCAATCGAACGCATCTGAGGGGTGAATGACCAGAGGCTGGGATGAGGAGCGGAGGAAGCGTCAAACCCAGCAGCATGAGCGTGGAGCAAATTGAGAGGAGCATTGATCCCCATATTTGCATAAGCGACGTTGGGCTGGAATTCTGGTGCGGGGTCCTGCGCCTGTGCGGCAGGGGTACCGTTGATAGAAGTAGCGACAGCATGATTGACCTGAGCAGTAGCAGCGGCAGCGAAAGATTGAGCTGAGGCAGTTACCGTGGCTCCGGAGACATCCACATCCATGGAGATTTCGTCGAAGATATCGTCGTACTCATTGTCGAGTTCGCTATCCGAATCGGCCTGCTTAGGCGTATATTCCATGCTATCTTCGGTGCTGGGAGTAGTGACGGCTTTCGCTTTGGTGTTGCGACGCTTCACTTCCGACGTCTTACGAGGGGCGTAGGTGTAATTGGGGTACTTGAGCCTGTGGAGACGAGCTACCTCGACAGCTTTCGCCTTCCAAGAGGCTTTCTCCTCATCAGATGCGTCACGCCACATGGCACCGATGACTTTGGCTGTGAGATTTCCGTCAGTGGAAGGACCTAGACTGAGGGTATTATGTGGTATCTTACAAGTCGTGTAGACATCCATGCCAGGATTGTTGGCGACGACACTATGGTGATGATGCTGGCGAAAAAGGATCCATTGATTGGGAGGGCGAGGAATCTTCTTCTCCTTGGCTGGTCCAGATTTGGAGCCGGAACCCTTGGACGAGTTGGCCGCGTTGAGAGCCTCAGGCTCCGCCTTGAGAACGACAGCATCATCCTCAATTTGAAGTTTGACTCCAGACTTGGTATGCGCCCTAAGAAGTAAGCGAATGCAAGGTAGTTGGACTGGATTGAACTTACTTTACACGCTGCTTCAATTCTTCGAGGCCAGCGAGGTCGATCTCATTCACGATCGCCTTTGGGAGAGAAATTGTCGCTTTCCTGGCATTGAGGCTCTCGAGGCACAGCTTCCAGTAGAAATCTACTTTGGACCCCATGATTGCGGAATTGAGGAGCTATCGCAAGTACTAGCTGGTACGATGACTTGATATTGTTAGGATACCAGCAAGTGGTTGAGGGTGAGGGCGAGTTGGAGGATAGAAACAAAGATTGGTAGAGGTATTGGCGAGTTCTGTGTGAGAGGAAAAGAAGAAGAGTGGAAGAGTTTATGTGAAAGGAAAGGGAAGATGAGTGGAAGAGATTTGTGCGGGGGGAAAAAGAAGGAGAGCGGAAGTGATAAGAAATTTGCGAAAGAGAGGAAGGCGGACGAGAAGGAAATAGGCGAACCGTAGCCTAAGTGAATGATATTATCACTGGATCACCCAAGTAGAGTGAATGACAACTTGCTGGAAGTGAGAATAGAAATCTGTGATGAAGGAGAAAGAATCGAGAGCAGAAGGCAATAACAAGTGGATTGATGGCACCCAGAATTTGAGCATGTGATTATGCCACAGGGAAACAAATAAACATCCCACACAGACAAGGAAACTAATCAACGGCTGACACCTAACATTGGGCAAGCAAAGATGGCTCACGAAGTGTTGAAGAAGTTCATCGACCTAGGATATGGGGCCGATGCTCCTACATCTAGGTCTGCGCGTCTCCCAATGGGTCGACGCGTCTACGTGGACATGAACAAGCCACTCGACCCGAATGCCGTTGTCAAATATGAGGAACTACTCCAAGGCGAACAAGCATCAGTCAATGAGCAGTGGTCTTTCCTCAGATTCGCTCTTACTTACCTAGCCGATCCGGAGCTCGAGAAGAGTGCCAGTGAGATCAAGGATTTGTGCAAGGGAGGGCTACTGCAGATGTGGTTCGAGTAAGTGATTGGCATAATTTGGAAGGCATGGGAAATACAAAAAAGCGTACTTACTTCTATCTGCAGGCGAACAGGCTCTCTGTCGGTGATGAAAGGCCTCACTGTGGAAAACCACATCAGAGACTATAAGGCCACGCCCCGCGGTCTCGTCTTCAACCAGGACTACCTTGAATCAGTTGTTGAGGCGCAGCTGCTTGAGTGTCTCGTCGAAGGCGACCAGCAAGCGTTGGATAGGATCGGTAAGTAGTAGATCCACCCCTGCTCTTCCGTAATGTTTAGACTTCTATGTTGCTGACAGACCTTAAACAGTTGCCGACTTCAAAGAAGAAGGATTGAAGAAAAACTCCAAGGTACACAGAGCAATCTATCACGTTCTCGCTACCAATCTGCAAATGCTCGTCGTCGAAGGCCGCAATAATGAAGGGCTCGGTGGGACCGATCGATGGACTCCGTTCGACAAGGAGACCGGCACAACGCAAGGGCGGATGCTCAGGGCACTGGAGAACCGGAAGGAGGTTACTGCGGCTGAGGTTGCGAAACTACTGCTCGACAGGGACCCATTCTTGCCCATGAATGCGGTATTCGACCTGGAGGATATTAGGGATGAAGAGACTGGGGAGCAGGAGACTGCGGATGTAGCGTGAGAAAGGAGTGAGAAGCAGGAATTTGACTGCATTGTCGGGTAGGAATGTGGATACCAAGCAGGAATAAAGCGATGGGATGGGCACTGCATGATGCTGTTTGGTGAGAGACTACGCTAGCAATGGGCTTGACACAAAATTATGGATACTATTAAACGTAACCAAAACGGTCGATTGAACCCGAAATAGTTTCGTGGGATTGCAACCACGCGTAGGACTGATGTTCTGATACGCGATGATTCGAAAATGTTGAGATGAGGTTGAAATATGCTTAGACAGGTCCCTCTGCCAAGCCGCTTCGTCCATTATGGTACTCTAGCGTACCAGGATCGGCATTGCCCCCGAACAAGCAGGAGCAACTGGAATGCATCACGACTTCTGCAATCCGCTTCCAGGTCGCTTCAGCTTTGGTTGGGACTACTTCATCATTCGATGAGCTCGTGTGAGTCGGAGCTGTATGATGGCAGAGAGGGGATTGATCTACATTAGATTGCCTACAGCATATGGGATAGGGCGAGTACCTCTTCCCCTACACGATCATGATCAAAGACAGGGGTGCAACACTGTACTACTACACGAACGAACGCCGAAATTGCGGTCGAGACGATGCGATTACGCGAGGAAGCAGGGAGGAGTTGCAGCAAGCCGAGCCAGCAGCAAGGCACGAAGGCGCGAAACTTGAATGTAGGCACGATCATAATTTTTAAGTTTAACCTTTGTTAGGAATGTAGATTCCCTTCGAGCCGCTCACTACAATCCTAGAGGCGCAGAATAACAGAAGAAGATCCATCGTTGATGCTCGGCTAGTAACCATTCGTGGCTGAAACAAGAGGCAGTGAAACCGTTGAGAGCGGTGTTGTTCTGGACCAGGACTACGCAGACAGGAGCACCGCGAGCACACTGTGTAATGTTTCCCATCTTGATGCCCCTGTACATAAGGCATTTAGCAAGTCGAGAATGGGGCAAGAGAGAAGCGCCGCGGATACCACTGGTTGGCACTGGAGGATTGTACACAGTGAAAGAGATTAGATGGCTTGAGGCAAGAGGCTGAAGCTGAAAAAAAATCACGTCGCATCGACGTGGATGAAGGAATAAGCTCACGTAGCGAACAAGCTCGTGTGCGTCCCCAATGAACCTCCTCTAATATCAGCGACGATGGCCTGGATACGTGGACGTTGATACAGGAGACACCAGGCGCGATACATTTGACTGAGCTTACAAGTCGAGGTCATAGCACACGCCTACTCATCCGACTCACCAGCTGAAGCAAGTCCTCAAGACACACGATGCAAGAAATGCGTAGGAAGAAATCAACGACTTGATTCGTAGGCTACTACCTTGATGATAGACACAATTATATGCTGGGTATTTCGAATCTCTAAAACGAACGCCAAAAGAAGGCGTTTCCTTAGCCACCGTCGCGAACAACATAAGATATGGACAGGAAGATAGGTAATCGTATCCGTCACTGGCTGCATCAGCCAGCCCATGGACGTTGATAGCACGCTGGCAGAGGGGCGAACGAAGCGGTGACGGACAGGATGAACGAGTCGCGTCATCCGGTTGAGATATATCGTCGGCAAGAAGTCCCTTCTGGCGGGCTGCTCACTCTGTCGTGTCCACCAATGCCTTTCCCATATGTCCACTTAGCACTCCAACACCGATGTCCTTCTCCTTGCTCTCCTCCGCCACCGTACGATGCTCGTGTCGCTTCGGCAACGGCGGCTTGGGCACCGGACGCCGCTTGACCGGCGCGTCGGGATCATATTCGTGATGGGAAATGATGATTGGCGACGGCTCGGATGATACTGGCGCTGCTGGTGTTTCGGTGTTGGTTTCGGTTCCGGGGATCGATGGATTTGAGGGAGGGTGGGTGGCGGGGTCTCCTGAGGCGGGACTGGCAATGTCTTGGTCGGATGTCGAGAGAGGTGAAACAGCGGCCTTGGCGGCAGAGGAATCGTGGCCGAAGAAGGTAGAGTTGACGGGATCATGGAGGGTGGAGGAGTCGGAGGAGTCGGATGAGGCGTCGGCGGAAGACCGTTTGGGATGACGAGGTGGAAGCGGTGGTTTGGGGTGCCGATGAGGGCTTTGGGGGAGCGGTTCAGGTAATAAATCGTCTGGAGCTGATTCTTTCTCCTCGACTTTCTGGGAAGAACTATTCGTCGTGACACTCGTAATGTCTTCCTGGGCCTTTTCTTCGATGCTGGTTACTTTTGCCTCATCCGAGATGCTAGCCATTGGCTCTTGCTCCTTCGCGTCTTCCCCCATCAATGCCATACTCACTCTCAAGTCCCCTAACATCACACTGCTGGGCCTCGGACTTATAGTACGGTGGGTCCGCCTCGACTCGGTGCTACTCGACCTGCTGATGTTCGGAATCCGCGATCCGCCCGGGCTAGCCCGCCGCTGCGATGGAAGAGGCGGTGGAGTCTTCGCCAGCTCCTCGGCTAACCGGTCGCTGAAGATGGGGATGCTGGAGCGGCGGGAGTCGGGAGATAAGGTGCTGGTCGAGTGCCGTTTGGAGAGACTGGGTCGGATGGCGGGTGTTGCGGTTGTAGGAGTTGGCGTCTGCGTTGCGGGTTCGGAAGATGCGCTAATGGAGGTGTTGATGACGGGGACGGGGATTCGACGGATGGGTTTCGAAGGCTCAGCTATGGAGCCACGGCTGGGTTGCTTCGTAAGGCTGCGTGTCTCTCCAGGTTGAGCCGATTCCGCCCGTTCTTCGGTGGTCTCGACGCTTGGTTGTCCAGAATCCTCCGTACCATTCGCATCTTCGAGTTGTTCTTTAACAGACAGCGGTAAACTGGACACAGACCCAGGTCTGGAACGTCCATTGACCTGCCCTTCCTGCCCGTCTAGGGCGGATAGACCAGGACTCTCCTGGCCGCCAGGAACTTTCTTCCTCCCCAATCCTACCAATGAGCCCACCCAAGTCTGTCTCTCACGCTCTGGCCCGGGTAACGGGACCCCAGGTGGAGGCAGCGGCCTTCCTCTTCCAATAGGTGCTCCTGGCGAGCCTGGAGCGCCGCGCATCGGCATTGTCTTCGAGAGATGCGTCGGAAATAACTCGACATTGCCGGAAGAGACATTTCGCTTCCTGGCCGGTCGGTCTGCGGTGCTCGAGCTGCTCGCTGGGCGAGATATCGACTCTGCCATACTAGGCCTTGGAGTTGTCTCTCCATGGCCACTGTTATCTTCTAACACTAGCGGCTCTCCTTTCACATCCGTGCCATCTGTTGTCTCTTCCTCTTGTGTAGCAGCTGCTAATCCGCCTTCTGCTACATATTGTCCGCCATCCTGCGAACCTACCGAAAGTCGATTCCTCGCCGCCCTTGCCGACGCTTGCCGTTGCAAAACTCCGAGTCCCCACTTTCTCGCTCCCAAAACCGCTGCATTGACGCTCGCTTGCACAGTCTGTCGCGTTTCGGGGTCCGTAAGTGCCGCCCGAGCAGCAGCCAGAGGCTTGCGATGGTGCTTCTCGCTCAGGCTAGTTCCTGACCTGCTCACTCCACCCAGAGAACCACTCGATCGCGCGGTCTCGTTGCTGGCGTGGGAGGTCTCGGAAGTGATGGAGCGAATGTCATCGCCGAACGATCTCGTGCTGTCGACTGAGTGCTTCGTGCTGTGACCACGCTTCATCGCGGTAGCTAAGCTGCTCGTACTCTCATCCTGACCATCGGTTTGAGCGCCAGCCATAGCCAACGATCCAGCCTCTTGGTCCTTGCTACTCTCCAAACCGTTCGAATCCTTCGAGCTCGTTGAACTCAGGCTATCCCCCTTCGCCCGTCCCATGAAGCCACTTTGCTCGGGTGGCGTTCCCACGGGACTCTGCAGCGCGCTCTCATTCGCCATACCCAAACTACTCATACTCCTCGCCGATATATCCTTCATTGCTGATGCCGCGTCCTTCGGCTCAGACTTGTCTTTCTTCCCGCCCAGGAACTTCCTCCTTACATTCTGTTGAGGCGGCGGAGACGCGGTGAGTGACTCAGTCGTGGCTTGATCGGCAGACACGACTGGAGTGGCAGCAGAAGCAAAGGATCGTGAACGCATGGCCTTTGGTGCGGCGGCTTCTGGGCGGGGGGAAGAGGCGTCGACGGAGGAGGAGAACCCTTGCGGCGGCTTGGTGATATCGGTGGTGTTGTCCAGAGAGACACTCGTAGGTGATTTTCGGGGTGGCCTCTGGTTGATTTGGATGGAGTCAAGTAGGCTGGGCATGCTTATTGCTTTCTCATTTGCGTCCGGAGGGGTGCTTGATAATGGCGGGGTTGTCTCCTCGTCTTCGGAGCCAGCATCACCTTTGTCGACAAGGTCAACGAGGCCGTGATGCGCAGCAGCGGTCTGCTTATCTGTGGGTGTGGCAGCGGAGGCTTGGTCGTTCTCCCAAATTCCGGCACGGAACTGCTGCTCGGTGGTGTCGAAGAACGGCGTATCGTCCCAGTTCGGGAGGACAAGCGTCTCGCCGAAAACTTCCCGGATGCGATTCTCGATGGTACGGAGGATGAAACCATAGGTAATCTGCCGTGAAGAAACGATGGGCTCCACGGTCATTTCGAGCTTCGGCATGGTCTCGAATGAGAACCAGATACGATTGGTGGGAGGAGGTTTGATACGTAGGAGGATGTGGCCTTCGATCGATTTGAAGATGCTGGCGAGCACGACCTCTACCTCACGGGCCTTGAACCGCTGGCCGAGATCGATGCGGAGGATGGCTCCGATTTCAATCCGGAAGTTGCCTTTGTAGCTGAGATCAGCTTCACAAGTGAGCTGCCCATCGAGCGTGAGCTCCTTCAGTTTGGGGTTTGTGATCATCGGTGCGCTATCGCCCATATGGATGTGCCGCACCGTCAAGCTTGTGATAAACGCCGGTTTCTGAACCCGCGCAATCTTCTTGGTGACCTTCAGGCGGATGAAGTTCTCGATGAACCGGGTCTTGTACATAGAGAGGAAGACCCGCCCCATGATGGCGTTGAACCATCGTGTCTGCAGATTCTCCTCAGATGCGTGAAGCTGTTGGACTAGCCTGACGATGTCGGTTGGCTCAAATTTGAGCGGAAGCGGGGGCGAGTCGTCATGCTCTTGGCTTTGAACCAGAGCATGGTAAAAGTCCTCCTTCATCGAGCAGTTGTCGGTATATAGATAGAAGGGCTTCGATTCAGGTGTCGTATCGCCGATCAACCGTTTCCTCTTCAACCGCAGGCAGTTTCTCTTGACAAAAAGTTCCCCATCTGGAATGATCTCGCCGCCTCCATAGATATCCACATCGTGATACGCCAATGAAATGACGTGCCTCACTTCCAGTTGTTCCGCGTTATCGTATAGCATCAAATGCCCATGCCTAAACCCGGATTCAGTCAGCCATCTGTCTCTATACCCTGCCCTTATCCATCCACTCACCTCAATACCACGAAGAACACGTTGCTCCCCCTCTTCCCGTTCTTCTCCATACTCGGCGGCGCATTCTTGCTTCGGTCAAAGATACTCCGATACATGCTCTGATACACACTTGGGCTCTCGTTCGGTAGCCCGCCATACCCATTCACCGCCGCGGCTTTCTCTAACGGCTTGTTCGCCAGCCACCCCGCCATGAAGTCGCGGTACACCGCAAAGTATCCGGCCGCAACATCCGGCTCGTGAGTCCGTGGGCGAAGCTCCTCCGGCAGCCCCTCGAGCTCTTCTTTGACTTCTCGGCTGGCGGAGTGGGCGTCGCCGTTGGAGATGGTGCTGGCATAGCTGGATCTGTTCGTGGGAGGGGTGGATGTATCGCGTGTTGGGAAGGTTAAGTGGGCGTGAAGGAGGACGAGTCCAAGAAGGAGAGGGACGAAGGTCAGGCCGCCGATGGTGTAGATGGCCAGCACCTCGGTGAAGGTCACCATCTTGGTGGTGAGGGTGCGGAGCGATAGGAAGGCGGAGAGGCCATTTAACGGCTTCTTAGCAGTCCACGGGGATGATGAGGGTACGCATAATGCATTGGGATCGATGCTTAAGAATTACATTGATCTGTTCAGCTCTAAGCTCGAAGTTTAGGACACGATACGCGTTGGAGTTGACGCGGAGTGGTTGAGCATTGGCCATGGAGCCAATGTGAGATACAAGCGGTCATCCTGGAGATCCGGCCCCTTCGGCGCGACGGTGGAGCTCCGATCCGATTTTAGACCCCCGGACTGTGATTTGATAGGGGATATCGAACTCCAGGATTCAATATTAAATTGCAACAGAATGATGCACCGAAATTTTCTCTATTGGAATAGATTTGTACATGTATTATACATATATATGTTAGGCATCAAATACTCGACATACAATGCGATCACCATTATGACTCTGTCGGATCCTGCACCACTCCCTCCTTCAACCCCAACCCATCCACCATCCCCAGCAACCCCTCCAGCCCATCACCCTCCATGCCACCACCGCAAAGGCCTCCGACCCCTTCTTCCACGCTCCATCTTCCCCCCGGGGCCCGTAATACCTCGCATGCATTCCCCATGACTATCAACCCCGGCGGCCTACTCCCCAACTCCTCCATCGCCGCCACGACATGCTGAAGACTGGACCGAACAATGCGCTGATCCGGGCAGCTCGCCCTCTCGACGATGCAGATCGGTGTCTCTCTCGGCCAGGCCGTCCAACCTGGTGGTAACCCTCTCTTGTCAGACTCCAGTTGTGTTTCCCCTTCGTTCTCCCCCACCTTTCTTCCAGCTGGCGCAATAAGGGATGCAACGAGACTTTCAAGCCGATGCAGCCCCATTAAAAATACCACCGTGGTCGTCGGCATGTATGTCGGCGGAGCTGGTGCCTTCCCCTTCCTTCCCGTTCCCGTCACTAACAACACCCCATCCGCCACTCCTCGCTGTGTGACCGGTACGCCTGCACACAGTGGCGCACTCAGTGCACTCGTAATTCCAGGTAACACCCTAACCTCCCAACCCCGCTCCTCAAACCACTTGGCTTCCTCTCCTCCCCGTCCAAACAAATACGGATCGCCCTGCTTGAGTCGCAGCACATGTTTGCCGGACTTCAGGCCTTCTTCTGCAAGGGATAGGAGTTCGTCCTGAGCCGCCTCGGCGGACCCGGGGAATTTTCGGGCGATGTGGACGGTTGTGCGGCGGGGGATGAGGGATAGGACGGCGGCGGGGACGAGCTTATCGGTGAGGATTACGGGGTGCGTGCGGAGGGCGGAGAGGGTCGCGAGAGTGAGGAGGTGAGGGCTTCCTGGGCCGGATCCTGCGAGAGTGATGTAGGGTTTGCGAGGTGGAAGGGCGGGAATGAGAGAGGCTGGTAGTGTCGATGTCGTTCGGGAGGTCGACAAATTCGAAGATGAGAGGATGGAGGAAGTGTAGTTGTTCAACAGGACATCAACGTCTGCATCGGATATGCTCGCCAGTCGATTTAATGGCCAATATTCGCATATCTGCGAAAGCCAGCGCATCCGCCTGGTCTTGATCGCTTCCAGATCCTCTAGTGTAACCAGCTTGTTGAATGTGGCGGACTGTCCCGAATCGTCGTCTTCTGCTTCCAGCTCCTGTGCTTCTTCTTTGTAGTCTTCTTCCCATATTCTCCTCCGGAGCGTTCCAAGCTTGGAGACTGCGGTTCCTAGGTTCGGTGGGAGGGATGATGTGATCTCGCGACGGATGCGCGAAGAGAGTTTGCATCCTTTCCCAGATGTGGTCACGCCGATTTGTAGCGGCCCATCGTTGTGAGTGGAGAGGAGCGTGAATGTGCACAGATGAGCCGCCTCTGCTACGTTGACTGGTATGCGCAGTCTTCGACATAGATTCGAGATATGTGTGCCTATCCAACATTTGCGTCAGCAACTTGTCCAATGTGGTCTCACCATCCAATGATCAACTTACTGGCCGGGTTTCTCGGCCCCAACGTGACGAACACAGCATCCACCACCCTATCTACTTGCTCTCTTCCCAACGTTTTCAGATCCTCATCTTGAAACTCCCGCTTCACCCACTCCACCTCCCCGTCCTCAATTCGCTTGGACAGCCCATAGTGCATGGGTGCAATTGGCGGCGCAATCAGGATCGGGCGAGCGCCGACTTCGATCGAACGCCCGCATCGTGCGCCAGCAAGAGGGTTGCTGCCGATTATGAGGTGGACGTGGGAGGTCGAGTCAATGGCGGTGAGGAGGGCGGGGTTGAAGGCCATCGTTCTTGCGGGACTTTGACTCGACTCGGTCCGGTAGTCGTGAGGGACGAGGCTAGAGATATCGGTCCGGAGAGCTATCAATTGCTTGTAAATCGAGGTTTTATCCCAACTGCTCGCTGTTGTCAACCGTTTTCGCAGAAGTTGATATCTATACGAAAAACCTTCACCACAGGAACTATTCGCAGCAGCATTGGGGAAAGAGCATGGACATCTTGTCCTTCAAATATGGTCATAGATAAAGTCCCTTAGTCTAATCCTCGATGGTTCCACACGGGGGCAATAATACATCTCCAATTCTCCATGGAGAAGCATGCACAAATTTTTTAGTTTGCAGCTGGCGTCACTTGCACCAATATCGCCTTATCATGGCTAGCTCCGAGGAAATACCCAGTTCATCTCGCTCATTGGCTGAATGGTCCATCGATCAACAAGGATTACAATCGATGCGATTAACTAATGAGATAGCCGAAGGTGGAAGCATCCAATATCAAACGGTTGAAGTGATGGAATTGATTGTACGAAATACCATTCTTGGTTTGGTAACGTCGGTGGAGAGGAAATTGATAAGGAAAGAGAAGTGCATATAGTTTCCTATCACTCACTAGGTATTGGTGATCGATGAACAAACACTGATATTGAGTGGTAAGAAATGTAAGGCGGACGGAACATAAAGGCAACAATTAATATCCACCCTCCGCGGAACTGCGACAAGACTTGGGGGAACTTGGGGGAGTGTGAGTTTGTGGTGAGTGACCATGTCGAAAGCACAAAGCACATGCAAGCAAATATTGTAGCCTGACGTAATCATGTGACTGGATAGCGGGCAAGGTGAGGAGATGTGGAGGATTACTTGAGGATAGGGATATGTATTAGAAAAAGCTTAGTGTCAACTTTTTAACTATTTCAGCCAATTGCAATTGTGACTGCTGGTAAATTCAGTATCGAAATTAACTAGCGTACTTCATTATCCAATAATTACAGCGCAACCAATAAATTACACTTTTGCTCACTGAGAGCAACTGAGAAAAAGTTATCTGTGCTTGAGACTGGGAATTTTGCTGGTCTACCATCCATTAAGCCAGCCTGTTCGCTCCGTAACCATCTACAAATTCTATCATGCGTCCGAACTGACAGTACATTACGGAATAGGTATTGCAGTCTGCGGAATTATCTATTGCTCGATAGAAGCTGATTCCTTTGCAACTATCATCTAGCAGAAATCCAGTTTTTCATACGCAGCTGTGTTTGTGTTCTTCCTTTCTTCTATTTCCATTTCTGCCCAGTCGTTGACGGATGATGTTTACGGATGATGGTGGAAACAGCAGAGGTGAATAATTTTATCGAAATCATACATCCATTGAAGTCTTTTGTTTAGCCTGGGGTTTACTGCGTTACAAGTCCATGTGCTATGAGTCGCTCCGGGTTGCACCTTTACAAGTCAAATGCCCCTGACGTCACTGTCAAGTCAAATACAACAACATCGAGTCTTCCTCTATATCCTTTTGTACAATTCTTGTCTTGTTTTTTGAAGACCACAGTGGATCCAATGGGGAGGTGCAGATAAGTACGAAACCGTGGGCCTCGTTGCATCTGTGCCTCCATGCAGATGAAACTTGCCCTCTGGGCGTGAAGATATAATGAGACAGGGGAAGGCCGAGTTGAGTCGCGGACGATTGCCTGGGAAGTCGACCTTCGGGTGCGTTGCTCGTATATACCGCGTCGGAATATCGATGTGGCTAAGCATGTTCTCCTCGACGCAAAGCGCACACCGGATTTTCTATTTTGGATCATAGGTCGTGTCATATCGGCCGTACGGTATGCTCAACCGAACATCATGCTGAAGGTTCACGGTTCGGGTGGTCTGAAATGATTCATTTGGGCTCCTCCGTCCTGATAACTTATCGGCGGCGGCGAACTCATTTCGAGTGGTTGACCCATGACTTCGAATGGTACGTCGAGTCTTTCTCTATGGTGGGATGGAAGTTGACCGAACCAGACTCGCTGCGCTTCGAGATCGCTCTCTGTCTTGTACATTAGCCGCTATTAACGCCTATAGGAGATCTTGGGGTGTATATACGATGGGCCTGTCGATGAAAAAATGTTTGTAGCACCCCAACCATCGCAATCAGCGCTGCCACGATACCAAATATCACGGAGCAAATCACTTCTGGACTCATCGTTGCGGAGGTTATCTAGGACTCTACTCAGACGAGCATCAAGGGTTGATTCATGGGTTCTCACCTCATCAATGAGTGTCAATGCTGTCCAGTTGAAGCTTGGAGGTCATGCCTTGTTGAACCGCCAGACATGTATGCGAAAGACTGTGCATCTTTTTCAGTAGTGCCGGGGGAAAGGGGAAGGATCATATTTTATATCTATACCCAGAGTAGCATTTCCCTTCCGCCAATCATGGTAATTTGTATACCTTGGGCAGGAAGGCGACAGCGTGGAGGTAGTTCGTGCATGCATATGCGGCGCTGGACATGCAGCATGCAACGCTGGTCATGCATGTTGCAGTGCTGATTCTTGGGACATGTATGGAGCAGGGCTGATTCTTGGGGCATGTATGGAGCAGTGCTGATTCTTGGGGCATGTATGGAGTTATTATACACTAAACTACAGCCTGCTTTTGCTGTGCCACTCCCTTCCATTTCCTCACCCTGTCACCTGTGTGGTACTTGAAGTACAGCCCCCTGCACTGGATTTGGAACGAAGAAACAACAATGGGCAACAACCCTCAGCGAAATACCTGCATTTTATCGGACATGGTTCGCAAAGGAACCACGCGTGATGCTGCTCAACTGGCATATGACTGAGCACAGAGTAGTTAAGCTTAAACATCGAAACAGATCCAAGGCAATTTCACTAGGGGGTTAAAACGATCTTCACTACCGACAAGTTCATCAGTTATAACGGTAGTCTATTCAACGTTGCTTGAATGCGAGATTGCTTAGGAGTCCCACAACATAGTCATGAAATAGTTATTACAGTGGTACAACAGTTCCAGCGTCTAGATAGCGACTACGAGTAACGAAGTAGAGACAGCTAAATCTCTACGGCCTACTCTTTCCTAGATGGGGCAGAAATACACAACTACTTCGCGGGAGATCACAAATTCAACCAGCACGAAGCCAAATATAAGCGTCCATGTGTGCGTCTCGACCTGTATCCTTGAACTCTCCGGCTCTCCCGCTGCGCCTGTTCGATGTCCGCGTCACGGTTCGCGCGTCATTGCCGGCTGCTTCATGTTTGAGGATCGCATATGTATTACTACCCCTAAAAACTAGCGACCGAATACATTGTCTAATTGGCTGTCAATGTTTGCACGCGTAGACCTACAAGAGGGCTATGCAGTACCGTTCGCCTTAATTCCCAATCGTGACTCTCTCCTCGGCTTGGATAGAGATTCTGGAATCAGTTCTTACTTTCACGATCCGGATTGGACGCCATTTCCGGGCTCTGCAGGAGCGGCACGATGAGCTGATCGACCAAGGCTGATGTTTTGGACCAATGCGGTGCACCATGCAATGCAGCGTGCAGTGTCGCCTAAACGCCAAAATCAAACGGAATTGGTCGAGGGTTCAGAGGCACGTTTGAAACGGGAAAGTTTGAAGCCCCCCGGAAGGCTTCCAGAGAACGAAGCATGATCACGTTAAAAAGACAGAAAACCCCATTAGACAGCATCTCCTCACATTTCGACAAAATTCCTGCAAAGTCATCCATGCACGTTTTCTCTATTCAGTCAACCCAGTCCTAGTGTCACCATGTACAGATCCCCATGTATCAAAACCACATGAAGCAGAAAAGATCGTTACGTCCAAACCCCAAAATTGCCACGCTATGCAGAAGCATGAGCCCCAAAAAGACGCCAGAACCCGGCAGAGCGGGTGCAGAGAAGGAACCGTGAAGGTGCACATGAATAGAACCGGAGGCGGAGAATGCGAATTACGGAGGGAAAGCTGAAGGGGGCCCTCCAAATGCAAGGTGGACGGTCGATGGAGTGGGGGAGGTTAATTCATGAAATTCATGAGTGCATTGGAGGCGTATTGCTGGACAATGGTTAGTTAAGATCCCGAATGGCTGGCTGAACAGGAGTCAGATACGTACCATTGCTTTCACCGGAGGATGGGGGACAGCGTCGAATTTGGTGTATTCGAGCTTATACTCCGGGCCGATGTTGATGAACGCGCCCTTATTCTCCGTGGTATCGCAGTATTTCGGAGCGGAGAAGACTGCAGGTAGTTAGCACCGAACTTAAATCCTCGGGTCATGGAATCGAAGCACGACGTACCTGTGATGCATCGTCCATCATGTTCCACCTCATAGCCCTCCATCCGAACCTCGTGACTTCGAATGATGGCATCCAACCCATTCCGCTCACAGAATCTCTTCGTCACATCCGGCCCGAACTGCAGCCCCACACCACGCTTGCTCGGCCCTCTCCCGGGCGCGGGTTGCGGATCCGTCCACAGCATCTCCATCATCAACCCACTCTGCCCTGGCTGCCGCTGCTTGAACCGATCCAACTTCCGCACATCATCCAGGGTGATATCGTCATCCGAGAACAGCCCGCCATGGAGCACGAAGAACTTCTGGCCGATCAGCGTCGCTAGGGGGAGTGCGGAGAAGGACTCGGAGAAGAGCTTGAATACGCGTTCGGACTTGTATTTGGCTTTGCACTCCCCTTCGAAGCCGTACATCCGGTTCATGTCGTCGGTTTCGTGGTTGCCGCGGTTGAGGAAGAAGGTGTTGGGGGAGAGCCATTTGTAGGCGTACAGGAGGAGGGCGATTTCGCAGGACCAGGAGCCGCGGTCGACGAAGTCGCCGTTGAAAAGGAAGTAATGTGTTGAGGAGGGTGCCCCTGCGAGGCGGAAGATTTCGAGAAGGTCGAAGAATTGGCCTAAGGTATATTAGAATGGGTTTCCGGAAAGGAGATAAAAACGTCTTACCGTGCGTATCGCCACAGACTGTGATGTTATGCTCCTTGGGAACATCCACCTCCACCATCGTCGGCTCTTTCGTGAGGATATCCTTAACCGCCAAGATAATCTGGTAGAGATATTTCTTATGTATCGTCTTCCCATTCTTAAACCGCTGGATCATATCGTCGATGAACTCTTGCGTCATCTCGTCCCCTAGCCTCGCACCATCATAGTCCTTATCCACCACCATCTCCTCGACATGCAGTCCCTCCGCTGCCGACGCCTCGTCGCCCACATCGATCGCTTTCAGGAACGCATCCCGCTTTAGCTGTTTCTGGCATTCTTCGTAGTACCCTTTCGCCTTCTTGTCGGCGGGGACTTTCTTGGTGACGATCTTCCAGTCCCGGAGTGCCTCCTTGTGATTCAATATCGCGGTATTGGCGATGGCTCTTCTATAATATGCCTACAGAAACCTGTCAGCCAGATCGAAGCGGTGCGGGGTGCCGACCTCCCGTCCCTCCTGAGCGCACATACCTTAACATTATTCTCATCCAGTTCGATCGCCCTACTCGCATCCGAAGTAGCAAGTCCATAGGCTTCGGTTTTGATGTGCATCTACACGCCCCTTGCATTAGCATTTCGGCACGCGACAGCTCCGTTCAGCTTGGCCGACTTACGAGGGCGCGGTTGGAATATATAGCCGACTCCTTGTCGTATTTCTCGATCGCTGCGGTATAATACTTGATCGCATTCATCCAATCGTGCTCCTTGAATGCAGCATTTCCCTGGTCTTTGAGCGCGATGGCGGCCGCCTTCGCTTCGGCTGCAGGCTGGCCATTCGTCTCGCCTGAAGCCATATTTGCAGGGAGTGTGCGGTCGCGGTAGGTGGGAGGGGGAGAAGGATGGGATCGGAAGTGCGAGGCAAGTTTGGCTGTTCAGGAGAAGAATATTTTCAAGGTTCAAGAGGTACTCAAAAGCAGTCGATGGACCAAACGCTCTCTCAAGTCTTCGGAAGATGGAAGAATCATGGGGAATGGAAGTTTAAGTTGTTAAGGCCGACAGGCGACAAGGTTCAGCGGCGATCGTTGCAAGGCGGGACCCTGACGACCGGCTGATCCTCGGGTAAACCCGGACCGTACCGTCTTGGTTCATCGAGTGCCACTTGAAGAGTAAAGAGGTTCAGTTGATGGGATAAATAACGCTACTTGCTAATCGACGAGCACTATATAACCGTGCAATACACTTCTCGCCTCCTCTTCAAACTCTACATCAATCCAATAAACTAACATGGCATCCAACATCCCGCCCCCCAACTCCCGCAACCACCGCGCCTGCATCATCTGCTCCATCATCCTCCCTCAAACTGTACGCCCCCTCGCCTCCTCCCCTCTTCCTAATATCCCCAACTAACCCGGCCAGCACTTCATCAATTCCGGTTGCCCCAACTGCGAATCCTTCCTCAACCTCGCCGGCTCCCCCGAAAACGTGCAAGTCTGCACCTCCCAAGTCTACTCCGGTGGCATCTCGCTCGCGGACCCGTCCGCCTCGTGGGTCGCGCGGTGGCAGCGCTTGGATGGGTATGTGCCCGGGGTGTATGCGGTGAAGGTGGAGGGACAGCTGCCGGACGATGTGTTGCAGACGATGGAGGATTCGGGGGTGCGGTATATGCCGAGGGACGGGAGCGCGATTAATGAGGATCTTTGATTGATGGTGGCGGGGTTTCGTGGGCGGAACTGGCTTGCGTGAGGTTGGGATGGAGGGCGAAGACATGGACTGAGGCCGTATGCGACGTTGAGGCGCGGCAAGGGACCACTGGCTTCCTCCCCTCTGAAATATGGAGTGAGTCCTCGGGCATCACATATTGACAGCTATGGCTGTCGAGTGGCAATTCCATTCTTCTATGCTTTGGACGCGGCGTTTTGGGTTTACGTACAGAGTATGAGCTCAAAGTTGGCTTGAATCGAGGAGAGCCGCAAGGGAGTCAGAGAGATGCATTACAAGCGTGGCGCAAATACTGGCACGCATGGCATGGGCGTTGAAGTAACTGTACGACTAGATTTTTGACGGGAGGTTTATGAATTTTCCGCTGATGAACAGACCCTCATCTACACATGTACACCGCGTGACTCCTCGCTATATCCCGATCAACCGACGCAACCCTCCTGAACACCACCCAATGCATTCCAATCTTCTCAAAGCCATAGCCAGATGAACAAATACATCCCCACCACCGTCCACGTCCACCGAATATCCACACCCAACCGCCCCGCCGCACCCCTGGATCCATCGATGTCATACACCCCCACCCGATTACACACCGGCTCCTCTCCATACCCCCACTCCACCCCAATCCCATCCTCAGGACACTTGAACCCCAAACTCGCCGGACAACTTCTCACCACATCCCAACAGCTCTCGCTGCACGGGAGCACCTCTTTATACGGCCCCGGTCGAATCGTCTCGTCAATCCACGCATTCCGACTCGAGTTCGCGAACCGCCGCTCCCGCCAGCTCAGATCCCACCCCAACCGCTCCACATCCGGCGGCTCCGACCCATTATAGTACGGCGCCGCGATGTTCCTTGGCCGCACGCTGAGCGCGTCGCTGGGCGGCACCGCGAGGGAGAAGTCCGTGCAGCGCGGGATGCTGACGGCGCAGAGCCAGTCTTTGTAGTCGCGCGCGCAGTCGTCGCAGGTGCGCGCGAGGGAGTACTTGGCGGTGTCGGTGGTGTTGCAGGGGATCTGCTGGAGGGAGCGGTTGAAGTTCTTGTAGAGCGCCTGGGCGCGGTTGTCATAGAGGGCAGCGAGCTGGGAGTGGTCGGCGAAGAGGGTGGGGTTGGAGGGGGCGGCGTAGGCGATGGAGGAGCAGAAGGGGAGGGAGAAGATGAGGGCACAGTTGCTGTCTAGAAACAGGATGGTTGGGTTAGCTTGCGTATCAACTGAGTGAATATATGGGAGGAATCGAAGAGGCAAATACGAACCGGACTTAGTAGAGAACTTCACTGGTCGCCAAACTCGTCCTCCACCACCGACGACACCGGGTCCAAACGCCGTACTGTTGCCCTCGATGGCTAGAAGACCGTGATACGTGGTTCCTCCCTGCAGTCCCTTCACATGAAACTGCTGCCGCGGAATATCGTCCTCCCCCCGATCCGTCATTCCCATTGTGACCTCCAGTGCGTCCTTCTTCGCCAAGTCCAGCCCGCAGAACGAGTTCCGCACCCCGTCCACCTGCGTGGTATTCGCCGCGTACGTGAAGATCGTGAACGGCGTGTCCGCGCTTAGCCACTTGTCCTTCAATTTTTGATCCGCGCCAGTGCTAGTGAGGTTCCCCGTCACGAGCAGCGCCGAGGTCGTGTCCGTGTCCACGATGCCTAGGAAGCTGTTGTCCTGGGATTCGAAAAACGGCGCGTCGATCGACGCGGCGATTTGGTAGTTCCACGGCCCCGTGAAGGTGTCGGGAAGCGAAGGGGCGGAGACGCCGACGTAGACATTCTTGTCGGCTTGGATTGCTACACTGGCAAATCCTTCGACGAGCGCGATGACTTCCTGCTCTTCGCTGGTGACATCCGGGCCGGGTTTCTGGTTGCCGTCGGACGTCGAGACGTACATGGTAAGCTGAGGTGGCGCGGCGCTCAGCGTCTGGTTTGTCGTTGGTTGTTGGCAGGTGTTCATCGACAACCAGACTGTCTTCGTCGATGTTTGCCTTCGTCTTAACTCCGTGTGTGCTTCATCTGGACTATCACCCACATCTCGCCGTCTGTCGATCGGCGACGGGAGCCCGACTCCAGCAGTCCCAGGCGGCCCCCATACCGTTTCGTTTTGCACCACGTAATACACCGTTTCGCCTGGCGAGATGTTTAATTTCTCGGGGATGTTGTTCGGGAGGTTCAAGAATCCCAGTTGTCGCTCCCCAAGAGCGCTCTTATCCAGCGCGAGATTCGGGAATGCGGTGTCGTATTGCAGATGTGCCGCCGGTTCAACCTCCGGTTGCTTCCCTCCTCCCAAACCGAGTATTGAAACGGCCTCTATCAAAATCGCACTGCCGCCGCCTCCACCCCAGTCCACCTCATGGATCATGTCTCGTATTCTCTCTCCATTTTTAGACCCGGTTATCGAATCGGACTCGCTGGCATGGGCGCTTTGGACGTGCGCAAGGAAGGACAAGGAGAGGGCGAGGTACGAGAGGGGTGAGCGACCTGTGAGAGGCCTATGCCCGCTGCTTTTGGGAACAAGTATCATCTTTGCGATAGGGACATGGTAATGAATGGACGCAAGGTTCTCTCGGTTCTAAAGAAGGTGTTCGCAGCCAGGAGTGAAGGTCAGGTCCGCTGAGCAGCTGTTCTCATCGCGCAAATGAGTGACGGGGTCGATGCCGTTAGAGAACAAGGACAGTTATCCGACCGTCGCGTCCATGGACAGTACGTCACAACGTCCTAGAAGAAGTATCGAACTGACGATTCGTTGAATGGACGTGTATTGAGGGATGTTGACTATCAAACTAAGTATAGCTGAGATGGTGTTGAGCAGTCATGGGAGCCGGGTTAAGAGCAGCTCCGCCACATGCTGACATCCGATGCCATAATGGCAATCATAAGCTCCCCGTTCCATATCAATCTTTAAACGCTTCAATTGTAGTACAATACATGTTTGGTGTCAAATTGGTGTCAAAATGGAAATACCCAGTCTTCAGTAACTAATCAAAGTCCCGGTTTCCATGCTAATACGAGCTGTTATCAAATCACTCATCATACTACACGTGCGCTGTATATCGGGATATCGGTCTGGTTCATAGCGACCCTCGGCTATTCTGTCCACTGATAAGTGATCTCCTGAATCGCCAACTACCTAACTTTGTCCTCAACTGTTCACTAAATTCTACAAACATGGCCGTACACAGGAAATGGGGAAGGATTCCATGACAAATATCAGCGAGTGGTACCCGCAGTTGGTGCAACTCCTAAGACGGTTCACAAAACTGCAACTTCCACTTCCCCTCCATCGCCTCAAACACGCCCTTTAAAGCAGACATTTTTACAACTTTGCCAACAGCTTTTGCGGCTTCTTCGCATCTTCGGCCGCGATCTCCGCATACATGTCATCGATATCGGTTCGGAATGTCTTCGCTGTCTGCGGTCGCTTGAGTTTGAGCCTATTCAGCCATGTTAGTCAGCGCTCAAGTGCAAATAGGCAGTTTCTCCAGGCAGAGGGACAACATACGTTGGTGTCAATAACCCATTGTCCACCGTAAACGGCTCCAAATGGAGTCGCACCCCCTTGCACTCTTCAAACCTATTCAACTTCGACTTCCGCGCCACCTTCCTCAACTCCGCAACCACCTTCTCCCGGACATCCGGCCTCTTCAAAGTTCCTCTCAAAGCGTTGATATCCTCGCCACTGATGTTCTCCTTCAGCGCCGCGCTGGCCCACGCCGCGAACGGCGCCGGATCGACGCCGAAAATCCCCACCAGGCTGCTCTCGGTTGAATCGCCGTGGACAAACGCCGTCATCAACCAGCCCAGGTTCGCCAAGAACACGTTCTCGATGCGCTCGGGGGAGACGTACTCGCCCTGCGCGAGCTTCAGCACGTTCTTCGCGCGGTCGATCACCTTGAATCGGCCGCGAGAATCGATCTCGCAGATATCTCCGGTGCGGAACCAGCCATCTTCGTCGATCGCCTTCGCCGTCTCGGCGTCGTTCTTGTAGTACGCCACGAGTCGGCTGTTCCCTCGTAGCCAGAGTTCACCGCGCGGGTGAGGCTTGTCGGCCGTCGTATATCCCATGTCCTCCACGTCGCGGAGGACCGCCTCGATACAGGGTGAGACGGCACCGCAGTTGCCGGCGGAGAGGTCGCCAGGCACCTGAATGAGACTGCAGGCGTACGTCTCGGTGAGACCGTAGCCTTGCAGGAAGTTGTTCGCGAAGACGACCCGGAGGAATTGGTGCAATGTCGGGTCGATCGGCGCGCTACCCGAGATCATGGTCCTGCAGCGGTCAAGTCCCAAAGCGGCAGCCACCTTGCGACCCCAGACGCGATCCCAGACCGCGTGCTTGTTCGTCGGCTCGCCATCCTTGCCGCCTTCCGGCCGTGCGAGGTTCGCCGTCTTTGTGTTGATGACGTAGTTCGAGAGGGTGCCGCGGAAACCCGGCGCCTGGACCGAAGCCGCCTTGATCGCGGACCCGAACCGATTGTATAGTCGCGGGACACCGGAGAAGGCCGTCGGCCGGATCAACTTCAAATCGTCGACGAGCTCTGCGACATTGCCGTGGAAGTACCCAATGGCGGCGCCGGCCCACAGCGCACAGTGCTCGCCAATACGTTGGTAGATATGCGCCAGCGGCAAGAAGGAGCAGATGATGTCCTGTGGCGACTGCTCGACGGAGGTCATCGATGCAGCTGTGGCAGAGACAGCGGCTGAGTGAGTGAGCATAACGCCTTTGGGATCGCCGGTGGTGCCGGAGGTGTAGTTGATGGTGATGAGGTCGGTCGGCGCAGGCGGGTTAGGAGCCAGCGGCTTCAATGCGCCAAGAGCCTCGACTTCCGCCATGGTAATGATCTTGATGCCGACTTTGGAGGCGAAGGCGGCGAGGATGTCGCGTTTGGAGTGGCCGGGGATATCGCCCGTATCGAGGGGCTCGAGCGAGATGATTAACCGGAATTGCGGGAGGTCGGCGGAGGCCTTGATCTGGAGAAGCGCGGGAATGTGGTTGAGAGAGGTAACGACGCAGTTGAGGCTGGCATGGTTGATGATGTATTCGGTCGCGCTGGGTCCGAGGGTGTCGTAGATGGAGACGGTATAGAGCCCTTGGCTCATGCATCCGAGATCTGTGCATGGTGAGCCTCCTTCCATGTTCAACTAATACGGCTACAAGAAATCCATCTCCTACCAGTGATCTGCCACTCGGGGCGATTGTTGCAGAACAAGCCAACACCGTACTTCGCATCCGTCACGCCAAGCTCCTTGTGCAGCTGCACGATACCCGACCCGAAGTTATTTCTCCTCTCGGCAATCTGCTTATAGCTTTCCCAGAGGTAGTCGCCGAACGTCCTCGACTTTGGATCCCATGGACGATAGCCCAGGCATCGGTTGGTCGGGTATAGCTTCGCTACGCCATGTTAGTTTCCGATGCTTCATCACTCGCGAAATAGAATGCCTACATGAAACCTCGAAAGAGTCGTGGATCGTCCGGACCTGGATGCGAACGGTCAGTTTCCTCGGAGTTTCCTACCAATGTCCCTCATTCTCCCTTACCTCTGGATCGAAAGTTTCCAACAATTTGTCCTGGAACCGGAAGTGTCGATAGATGGGTGTTCGTCCAGGGCGCGCTGTGCCCGCAATTGGCACGCTGTACGGCGCGCCAGGTTTCGGCGGTGCCTGGAAGGCCTTCGCGTTTTCGATCGCGGGGTTATGAACACCTATCAGCGGCATCTTGTCTTTTGAGCTCTGTGTTTTCCGTTCTGTCTAATTCTTATTGCACCGGTGGAGAGCGGCTGAGTATGCAACTTCGATATCGTCCGGATGTTGGGGCGAGATGACGCCTTGCCTCGACAGAACACGACGGAGTACTGGTAGACCAAAAATGATGGAACGACCGACGAAGAAGGACCCAAAAGAAAGAAACCTCGCAAGAATCACGAGAAGAGAGAGGACTTCTAGAAGGTCATTAGGGCAGGTTAGCTAAAAGTGTTCCATAAACTTGGCCAATCTCGACCAAACATGATGCCTCGGCGGTACCGAGGCGAGGAATGTCATGAATGCGGGTCACTTATTGAGGATTTGGGGCCAAACGAACCTTGTCGCCGTTGCAGACGTGCGGGATTGCAGCCGCCTCTCGGAACAAGATGCGAAAGACGCAATCTATTCCGGTGCCACGCCGGGGCTAGGTTAGTTCGGGGCCGAATCCAAGGTATATGAAATGGGGGGGATCCGATGGGGCCGGCCAATGAGACCGCCGGCTTTCCCAAGTGCTACGTATGGCTTTATTGGAGAGCTGATTGGGATAGATACTGGATTGATGCATTGGAATGAACTCAGGAAAGGTATGATTGCACCAGCACTGGATATCGTGGCGATCCAAAAACCGTATTACAACTTCACAATAGGTGTTCGATTGATGTGCTGTCGTCTGAAATCTGAAATGAAGTCTATCATCTATGGCTTGCTCGCGATCTAGCCTCGCAGCCTCGGTAGAGTACGTCACCCTAAAGTACAGCGGTCCTTGCTTTGGACTTGTGGACCAGTACCGGAATGAATGGCACGTCCTCTCTGAATATAATTTCGAAAATGGACCGGATTTTGGGAGATGTGGCTTTTTGACTTTTGAGAGGAAAACCTACCGTTTCCGTAGTATCGGACTACCGTCTCGGAGCGTTCCTTAAACTCGAAATCCGAGCAACGTCGGACAGGACAACCGACAAGCGCTTTGTTCCAGATGTCGGGAGTCGCGGTGCGGCTCCTATCAAATGCAGTTGTCTCATCGATCGGACACCAGGAACCAACAAGTGGGATGGCGGATGTGGTACAGGCACGTTGAAATCGCGACTCGAGTACAATTGTAGCATGACAAAGAGCACTTCAAATCGACGTCCCGAATTTCTAGCAACATTGTGAGCAGATTTGAAAACCACCACATGCTCTTATCCTACCACACCAGAGCAGCCAAGCTCAGCTTGAGCTTGCCAGACCTTTAGAATATCATGAGCCTTTGTTTTCACATGCGAGCTTCCCAAACTAGAACATTTGGGTCTTGGGGGCCAGAGGCTCTCGTCGACTCGTCCGAATTCCGATCAGCAGACTGGGGCATGCGGTAAACTTGGGGGAAGCGGTCAGCCCGATTGGGCGCCACCATCGCTAAATGTTGGATCGTCTCGGCGGGTCGGCGGATTGCCTGCATGCGGGCGCCCCGCGTTCTCGCCAACTAAACTAGGCTGGAAGGGCCTAAATGTTATGCAGGATCGGGTGCTAACTTGCTGATGGCATGTGGAATTGCGGGTGGGATACGGACTTCACATGTTTGATGTTTGGGGTAAAAGTTGGCGCACTCATTTTATGTGCTTCCTTTCGGATTCGTGGAACCCAGAAATGTTGTGGTTAGATGACTTTCACACGTATATGAGAGTATGTATATTTGACGTGAGAGCGTGAACCCCTTTAGACTCCGGCGCTATGCATACGGACAGAAGCAAAATACCTGGAATGAACGAAAACCGTCGTCGCTATCATGTGGCTCGTTTGACTGCGAAGAGACTTGGCTTCATGTTGATTCGGCATAACTTGGAGATGCATCCCGCCAGTTGCAGGTAGGTTTGGACTCCTTCGAGGATCCTCATGTGGGTGAAGCCGATTTCCTAAGGACGAGTTAGTGTTCCGAGGGGTGTTTTACTGGTTCGGACTCAAATACCTTGATGAACTCCAGCTTCGTATGCTCGGAGAGATTTGGTATGGACTTCGTCACTTTGAACATCGTGCTGATGATATCGTGACAAGAGTATCCGAGATCCCTACAAGCATTAGGGTCAGACCTCGAGGATATGTAGAGGCAAACGTACCACAACTCCTTCAGCTTCTCTAGTGCCTCCTCCACCTTCCCCTCATAACAGGCCTTAACCATCGCCTGCACCTTCACCGGATGTGGGCTATCTACGACCTTGAACACATTATCTCCGCTGACGAACCCGAACCCGGCATGTGTGCTCTGCAGGTTGTTGATCGCTTGTCTCATATCCCCTTCCGCAGAGAATATCAGCGCCGCTAGCCCGTCGTCCGAGACTTCGACCTTCTCCGCCTCCGCGATCGCTTTGATGCGTTTCGCGACCTGCATGTCGGTAAGCCGGGCATATCGCAGGATCGCGCAACGGGACTGTAAGGGCTCGATGATCTTGTTCGATTGGTTGCAGGCGAAGGCGAAACGGGTAGTGGAGGAGTAGATTTCCATGGTGCGGCGGAGGGCTTGTTGGGCTCCAGAGGTCATGCTGAAGACGTGTCAGTGGCCATTGCAGAGGATGAATGAGATGCTAAAGGAATACCTATCCCCCTCGTCCAAAATGATGAGCTTATGCCTTCCAGGAGGCAAAGTCACCTTCTTCTGTGCAAAGCCCTTGATCTTGCCTCGAACAACATCAATACCACGCTCGTCACTTGCGTTCAGTTCCAGGACGGCTTCTTTGTATGCATCCCCAAGCATCTGTCTCGCGAGACAGAGAATAGAGGTGGTTTTTCCAATCCCTGGCATGCCTGATATAATGAGATGCGGCATGTTGCCATCTTTGGCAATGATCTTTAACCTCTCGATCGTCTCTGTATTGCCAACGATATCGTCGAGGTAGATTGGCCGGTATTTCTCAACCCTTTTGCTCTTGGTTAGCGTGCGCGGCTTTCGATAACAGAGACAGTGCTGTGACGGACCACGGGAGCTCGTAATCGGGGCTAGAATTAGTGGTAGTCGCCCGCGCCTTGTTTCCGGCCGCTGCAGCGGATGATTCTGCCTTTGCCATGTTGTTTGGTGCTATTTTAGGAGCTGATGATGTCGTTGAAAGTGAGTTTCAATCTGAATTTCAATATGAGTGCAAACTGCAGACGCGTCGCGTCGGAGCCCAGTGACGCGCTTGGGTCAGGTCACGTGGAACTGCACTTTGACGCGAGCCGTCAATATCACCTTTGGAACAATTCAGTAGAGTTGTCCTAACTATGATCCAAGTCTCGAATCCCTGGCTACTTCTAACTCTCGACGACTCTGAAGAGACTTGTATGAAACAATTCAGTGTCTTTGATGTGGCGGACCACCTAAGAATGTTGCCTACAGCAGTTAAGAGCACATGCCACTGGATTCTGGGCCATCCAAAATTTGTCTCTTGGGTTGAGAAGACGGAAATTGCGCTGCTCTGGCTTGCAGGACATCCTGGCTGTGGTAAAATGATGCTGTCGTTCTTCTTGGCCAAGCACCTAGAAGAAGTTCGGTCACCTCGAGTTCCGAGCAACGTTTGCGTATTCTTCGACGTAGAGGCTCTCATGTCGAGTGGGTCGGTTCATCTAGAACAACGGTATCACGGTGGAAGAAAAACACTCTCTAAGGCTGTTGAATACACCATATTGAGGTTGTCAGGACACTTCTGCGTGAAGATGCCAACCCAGAATCTAAAAGCGACGAGAGCGTGACACGGTAACACTAACACTAGTCTCTACGGTAGTAAAGCTTGGATGGGGTGACATCGTAGAGGAACTTCAGTATCATATGACGGTCAGAACGGAGCGTGACGCACCTCAAGCAACTGAAAGGGGTACAAGAGCCGGGGCATAGGCGGCTTTGTGAGACGGTTTGACCGCGAAGATGGCGAGAACCACTTTCATTTATCATAAAGCTAAAGAAGAAGAACTATGTAACTTATACGTGTATGATGTTGAACAGTTCAAGACGTTGACAGCTAGCCTAGTTGCGTAACTAGCACTTCAGGGCACCAGGCCGTAGGCCTAGAACCATACTATCGATAGACCGCGCCCCGGTACGGCAGTGGTCGGCTTCAGCGTCCATATCACCGACACGGAAACGTTAGGATGGATGGGATGCGTATTGATCAACGAGGACTCCAGCATTTTGTTAGGCGGATGTTCCCAATCCCCAACTACTAGAATCTCCAAGCACAGCATTCAAATAGTTAATGACATGGACTTGGACTCCTTGCTGAATGAAGGTTCACAGACGGATATTGACCAGCCACTGTATACGTTACGTTTCTTCCATGACATCGTCTTCTCCCCCTCCATTCGCTTCCTCTCCACCTTCTCCTTCCGCTTCCCCTTCCTGTGTCTTCTTCAGCTTGTCCCTCATCTTTTTCTTCACCTTCTTCTCCCGATTCCTCCTCGTCTTCTTCTCCCGCTCCTCCTCGTCTTTCTTCGCCTTCTCCTCTTTCCCCACTTCCGCAGCACGAATCCGCATGCGGATCTTGATCCGCTTCTTCTTCCCCGGTCGCTTGTGATAGGGTGTAAAGTCGCTCGCAGGAGGCACTTCGGTTGATTCGCCCTTCCCGCCCTTGATCGCGTCGGGTGCAACTTGACTAATATCCCAAGCACCATGCGCCTCAGACCGAGCCATTCGCTTCAATGTTCCCTTCCCCACGACGAGTTTCTCAACCCGCCACGAGAGCTCCGACCCCGGCCACCGCTCCTGCGCCCACTCCCGGACGACATCCCCTGTCACCGCAGCGCTTCGCAATTCAGCTTTGCGCTGTGGTGTCGGCGGGGAGGTGAAGTAGTGCGATTGGTCTCGTGCTGTTAGAATGGCCCCGTCGCCTGCTAGGGGTTCCGGGGACGCGATCCGGATTTTCGAAGCAGACGGGCCCGAGGACTGGAGTCCCGAAGACGTTTCTTTGGGCTTCTGTGGTGCAAAGAGACGGAATTCGAACTCGTCGGCGTCGGGTTCTGGGAGTTGGGCATCCTCGCCAAGGTTGGATGAGGTGGGTGGTCGAAATTCTTCGAAGTCGATGCGACGGGTTAATACAGCATCTTCGAGCTCGATGTCGGAGACATCGGGGTTTGGTTTGGGGATTTCATCGCCGGAGAAGAGCTCCGCGCGGGTGACACTGTGCTCGTGGTCAGAATCTACTATTCATTTCGGGGTCGACCGAGATGTGCGCGAACCTTCGTGTCTGTTGAATGTTCATGCCGAAATGAACTGTTTGGTTCATGCATATTGAGCACCTGATGATGGTCTCAACCAGTGTAGCAAGGCCACGGGATAAGTGAAATGATCATCGCGGACGTATCTTCTGCTAAGAATCGAAGCAATTGAATCTTTTGAACACTTTCGATGCAACAGATGTGGTTGAAGATGTCGGTGGCACGGCGGGCGAGTTGGACCGTGACGCAAGTATATCGTTCGAGATTCGAATTCATGATAGATACCTCCATACACACTGAGCACGCCAATTGCGGAATAAAGATTTCGGGATTTAAATTATTATTAAAATTTACGTCTCCACATAAGCGCCATATAGTACACAACCAACACCTGCCTAGAGATCTGTTCTTCCAACGCCGTTAGGCGCATAACCTTTGTGGGATCTCGACAGATCTCCCGCATCTTATGCCCCTCATCCCATGTCAGATCACCACCGGTCCAAATCAAAGTTCTTTTACACCCTATTGACCCAAACGCAGAGTATCTTCTGGCCTCACTTTTCTCCAACCAGGATGACTCCCGCATCGACTGTTACACTACTCTATGAGTAGCTATCCCTGACCCGCCTCTGGCTTTCCGTCTCATAGAAGCTACCTCGATTCTTCTCGCTTCGTTTCCGGAAGACGCCTCGTCCTGCCGATGCATGTTTCTTTTCACGCTTTCCGGTTGCTCCGGCGATGCAGAACAGCAGCGTGGTGAGGAACAGAAGCGCGACGGAAGTCCAGGTAAGAGCGGCCGATTTGACGCCCAGCCTTGCATGGCGGCCAGTTTTGTTCCAGGCATTTCGGGCTTGAACAGTCCACGCACTGAATCGAGTCAGTATTTCTCTCCAGCTTACTTTAACCAACCATAGTAGATACATACGTCATTAGACACGCCGTGATGGTCTGGAAGAACAGCGCGATCATCGCATTCAGGGCCGACAAATACGCGCCGATCCGCGTGCACAGGGCCAGCAACCCCGTGAACAGGCTCACGACCGCGAAGAACAGCGCGATGAGATAAAACACGAACATAAACCGACTCATCAGGAAATAGTGGTTCGTGCCGATAAAGTCATGCGGGATTCCAGTGTTGGTCCCGAAGTTCCTGGCATTCGGCGGGTCAAATGGGAAGGCCGGGCGGGTCTTCTCGCAGTTCGCATTGTGCCCCTTGTCGTTGACGCCGCAGAGGGCGAAGAAGGTCCAGCGAGCGGGATTCATCGACGTCGGGATGCCATCGGTGGTGGATTGAAGGAAGAAGAATTTGTTCTCCGGAGAGTGTTCGACGGCGCCGGAGAGGATGACAAGGAACTGGAAGAGGACGGTACCGGCAAGGAAGAAGAGCGCGAGGAAGCTTAGAAGGGGGCCTGGTAATCTGGTTAGTTTCGGGTATGTGATTTGAAGGCTTGCGATCACCCCGCTGGATGGACGTACGGGCTATCGCCATGAGGGCTGCTGTAGAGGGTTTGCCTGTTGAACTGATTACTTGAGACTATGCTAACAGCAGATCTGGCTCACTTCGTGATGTTGAAAGTTATATCAGCCTTTCAAACAACTTTCACGAGGATAAGTTACACCAAAAGGTTGATCGTAGCCAGCAAGTCACAGAAAATAGGAGGAAGTGGGAATCAGAAGAAGCTCAGCAAGCTGGGAGTAGGGGCAAGGTGAAGCTGAAATATGACCATGTAACAGGATACCTCCTGTTGGTTCGAACGAAGCAGTGAACCAAGTTCTCTCCCTAAATCTTCATGTTATTACTACAAAGCTGGATGAAGCTGGCTGAGTTTGGTACGACTTGGAGCGATGGTGACGTAGTGTCTAGCTCTACTACTGAGAGATGACTTCTTCTTCGTTCACCATCCAGCAGTCAACTGCACATCATGACAGCAGCAGGAGTCCAGCAGCCCAATCGGCTCTTCTCCTTGCTAAACTCGCTCACAGAACTTCTCTGGTTTTAGAGTCTAACAAACAGGGCGACAAACTTAACTAGAGTTAAGGTACCCAGCAAAGATTCCTTGTCATCACTTATAAGTTTCATCATGACGTGCAGGACATATCGAGTCTCGAGATGAGCTACGCGCTAGTTCCTTTAACTATACACTTAGATATTGTCAAAAAATCATCTGTATTCTGTGTTATCGCCAAATGTATATGACTACCGGTAGCAATATGCGAGATGAAGATTAACCCCGCATCATCTGCAATCGTTCCTGCGCTCCGTACTGTATCAATGAAAGAGATGTGGGCAAGGAGCGTCGTCATCCACATGCCATGTCGCCGGCGATCATGGAGTATCTGGACAGCCACGCGGGGGATGGTAATGGTTTGGTGGAGCACATGAGCCACTGAACATGGGTCCCTAGCATCATGCCGTCGTCGATCATCTTGTCCTTTCTTCTTCCATCTAGCATCGACGTGAAGTTTGTGAACGTCGGCGGTACGCGTTATAAATTCATCCAACTAAGAGCATGATAGGGCGATACTAGCCGGCCCAGGAACCATGTCTGCAGCCGTCTGGCCACCGCTTTCATCAGTCGAGGAGCTGAGGAAGGAAGAGGAAACTTCATTGGTATGTGATGCCTGGTTTAATTGTGCCGTCCATCCATGACGTTACGATGCCAATTCCTCGATTGGTCCAATCTCCCTGAATCCCACTATCGCGGTCTGATACCTGCTGCTACGTAATGTTATTAACTACGAGGGACTTCACGATAGGCTCGCGAACTCAACTGGCTTCTCGACTCCCTCCAAACGACCCTCCAGTCGCTCAAAGAAGGTCTCACAGAATGTGCTGAACTGCTCGCCCCCGCCGAACCGGGCAGTACCCTCGCACTTTCCTCGCACCGATCTGAGAGCCTAAAAGGGTTCATCACGCGCGTTGGGACGCGCATCGTCAAGGGCGTAAGTCCATCTCCTTCTTTCTTCTCCTTCCACCTACCCCCCCACCGAATATACCGTCCTTATACAACCTAAGATCTAACATCTCCCAAGGACATAAAACTCCGCCTCCCCACCCTCCCCACCCCCCGCTCCACCCCCTACTTCCCCCTCCTCCTCACCCACCCACACACCATCCCTCAACTCTCCACCTGCCGCTCCTCCATCCTCTCCGCCCTCGATGCCATCGACGTCTCCCGCTGGGCTGGCTCCCCGCACGACGCGAACTTCATTGCCGGCCAGCTGCGCCTCCTGTCAACCGAGATCGCGAACGCACGGAAGGAGCTGAAAGGCGAAGAAGGAACTAAACACGATGGAGGACTGTGGACGGAGACCGGCGTTGCGCGGGGGTGTTTCGAAGGAACGGTCGGCGCGGCAGGGGGCGGGGGTTACGCCGCGCCTGGAGATGCGGTGATCAGGGAGGGATTTCACCACCTGAACGTCTGGGTTGGCGTCCGCGGGTGTGTCCTCGAAGTCGTCGTGCGGACGCTGCAGCCCGTGCAGCCCGAGAGCTCGGGGATCGGCGGCGGGATGCTGCGGGGGTTGGCGAACGCGCTGGGGGGACAGAAGTTGGCGGCGCACGATGAGGAGGGGAAGGTATTTGTGGTGGGCGGGGTGGAGGAGGATGCGGGAAGTGGGGAGGGGCGGGAGGTTAGGGTGAGGGAGAAGGTGAGGGTCGAGGCGCAGGATCCGGCGTTGATAGCGGTGGGAGTCAAGTTGGGGCATTTGAACCATGTGGTGGGGTTGGCGAGGGGGGCGTTGGCAGTGGTGATGGGCGAGGAGGTGGATGAGGAGGAGGAGGAGGAGGAGGAGGAGGAGGAGTAGGGATTGCGCATGTCTACCTTGGAGAGCTCTAGCGTTGCTGCAATCATTAAGGGTGATGGGTTTTCAGGGAATCGGTCAGACTTCATGTCAATGCACGGCACATCGAGGTGACTAGGGCTCCCATTCAGAGTGCTAAGTACTACATAATCCGAAAAGGCCTGAAAGCCCAGGATGCTACCGGTTCCCTAGTCACCACGTCACCCTATCTCCCGTTTTAATTCCAGCTTCCATCGATCGTCTCATTCCTCGATCATAGTTCTGTTCGGTCATCCAGTCATGACTGTGGCGTGCTTCTTAATGATGCTTGCGTCCATCGATACCAGGAAAACGTAGCGAAAAGAAAGACAAAAATCCAGTGATTAACAGAAACCAAGCTAATGATGCTGTGCCATAAGTATATTCCAGAACGCATAGCAGCGTGATGGGGGTAAAAGACAATGGGAAATGGTAAAAGAGGAAAATAAATAAGGAAATTCGTCAATGCGTAACAACGTGGGGATCGCGGTGGTTTTGCCTCCCATCCGGACATTGATCTCCTATCTCTTCGTGTGGGCTTCTCGTCCCTCTAGGGTATCACGCTTCGTGCCAAGTTGCAGAATCCCCCCGATTATCCGAACGTATGCCCCCTTAAGCGATCTAGAAATCGCTGTGCCCATCGTTTGACCGTCATGAAAGAGATAGTAGTGCGATTAAAAGCCGAACAGGTGTAGTAACCGATGACGCTATCCGCATAGGAATAATGGAGAGGTCAAAGTAGAAAAAGAAAGGGAAGTAGAGGTGCGAAAGGGAATTCGTTCGGACGTTCCTCGCCCCAAAGCCGTTAGGTATTGCCTCGTGTTGGCGGTGTCGCCTCGAAACAATCTTTGGAATTGGAAGAACAAGAGAAAATAGGAGAGATACGAAAGGATGTGCAAATCGAACCAGTGGAGGGAAAGGACCAGGCGTCGTCCACATGTTCAGTTCCACGTCGACATGCGCTCTCGTCGATCGCAACCGTTCGCTCGGTGTCGCCCAATTACATGCGTGCTGCACCGTCCCTCGAGCCGTCCCGTGGTTTTCCGCCATGACCCTCTCCAATGGATCAGATCTTGGTCCCGTCTCGTGAATTATTGCCTTATGTTATCAGATCGCCGACCGCTGACGAATTAACCACCTGTAACCGTTGGCCGATTATGTGGGACTGTGATATGTCCAATGGTCACATCATAACGGAGAAGTGTTCCGTGTCTTGCTGTCGTTGAGCACGCTATGTAGTCTGTCGGTGGTCGTGGTCATCCCGGATTGGCTGCGACGAGACCAAACAACGTCGCGACCCAACCACTCGGGTCACCGACATTGAACATTGCAGAAACAAAACAACGGCCAAAACCACGGCCAAAACCACGGCCAAAACCAGATCCCATATTAAACCGGAAAAATGAAATTGCTTGATCTCCGACACGCGGCGCTGCGGAGGTGGTGTGTGCGTCCGGCGGCAGAGGCGGTTGCGGGAACGCGGGACGTACCGAGCAGGCGGGTGCGGGACTTCGGGGCTAACCAGAAAAGGAGACTAGGAGTGCCGGAGACATTAAAAACGTAATTATCCGGCCGATCGAATTGAGATAAGTAATTCGCTACCTTTGTTGGATCGTCGAGAATGCATGCGATGCAAAGACAAGGATGGTGCGAAGGGATGGTCGATTCAATTGATGCCAACAGTGAAATTTTTCCATGCGTCCCCCACATCGGACGCAACAGCAACGTCGGTGTATCGAGCGACGCTGCAGCGCACAGCACGACGTGCTAATGCGCTGATTTTTTGCGAGGCCGTTCGTGGACAGGGAGTTCCGTCTCGGGGCTCCATTCTTCCGGTTGGAAGTCTGGGTTGTTGAAGTGGGCGGTGTTGTAATGTGAACTACAGAAATTGACACGCATTAGCAAACCTCCCTGCGTCATGCGTCTCCAGGAAAATTACAAATTGGGGATAGCGATTCTCGGTTGCCTATTTGAGTATGAAATAACGAAGATGACAGACGACTCACTTTCTGAAAATTGCCGTTTGGAGTGGCACACCGCCCAACCCTGCCGCAGAAAAGTTTGGCTTTAGCTCCCAGGCCGAGGGTCTGAACGGTCCTCCGCGGTCAATCGCTAGACCTGATGGGGTACCCAACGATAGGCCGACAGGCGGGGTTTGCGGGATCTCGGGTTGCATGCCGGACACTAAGAAATCGGGCGGTAGCGCCATCGTTGCGGGCGTGTGCGCGTAAGTAGTGGTGTGGGGGTGGGAAGAGTGCGATTGCGAGTGGGCCAGTGCGTGAGTGTGTGTTGAGCCATGGGCGTTGAGGTCGGCATGGATCTCCGAGTGTCCGTGAGTATGCACGTGGCTGCCGACCTCGGCGGAGCTCCCGCTGCTGTTTGCATGATGTTGTGGCATTGACACCAGGTTGGAAGACGGTGCAGGCGCCGGGATGGCAGCGATTGGGGTTGCGGTGGGTGCGAAGTCGTAGCAAGGAGATTGAGCCGATGGGTAGAGAGGTGTGGATGTGGTCATCGAAGACCAACCGAGCGAGGGTGGAGAGACGAAGGAAAGGCCGGGAATGGCGTAGTCTGAGAACCCGATCGTTTGGGGAATGTGGGAGTCGATGGCGTTGGCAAGGGCGACGAAGACAGGGGGTTGCTGTTGGGGTTGGGCGATGGCGCTTTGAGGTAGAGGCTCCATCTTGTACAGGATGTCGTAGTGTCCGCTATATTTCGGTGAGCCGACGGCAAGAAGCAACTTTGTTCGTAAAATGAACTTACGGCCTGTAGAGTAAACGCAATGTCGACGGATCAGACACTGTGATACCTGTGCCATCCACGGGGTCCCATCGGTACGTGTTGACTTCCTCTCCTTGGCTGCGATCCAGATAGAGGATCTCCATTGCCATGCCGGCTGGTTTGACAAGCACCTCGACAAGTGCGCTCATGCCAACGTGTTCAATTTCAGACATGACCGGCTCAATTGAGGATTGGCAGTAATTCTGAACACTCTGCCCATGGTTCATGTAGGGGGAATACTCGTCCGGATGGGTTTGGATATACGCGCTAGTAAGAAGCTATAGAGTGGTCAGTTGATATCACGAGATAAACCGGGGATGCCGAGATAGACTGGTGCATGCGAAATTGCCAGCAGCTATACCTTCAGATAGGTGATGATACTCATGGATAGAGACTCATCGTTAAAGGCGGCCAATAATTTCGCACCACCATCGTTGTTCTCCATGGCCACCGCCGTCTCTTGCAGCAGTTGGAATGCTTCAATCGCAAAGTCTTCGTAGAGGTGTTCCGGAAAGCCAACTTGGTTCAAAAGATTCCCCAGGGAACGTAGTCGCGCTTCTTCGGAGTAGAACTTGCTCTTGTTGCCGGTGTTATAGAGTGCTTCATAGTAGCTAAATGCAACAGCTAGAGGATATCGTCAACATGCTATACTTACAACACACCTGCCGAAAGCGCATTCTTACCTCTCCATCCGCAATGTCCGTCCCCTCTGCATGTCCGATAGTGCGAATATTTGTGCGGTAGGGCCTGCAAAAAGTAGTCCGTCAGTTTCGGTTCCGTCGCGGGTTCCCATGGCCATTATTGAAGCTTGGCCGAGTGTGATCCACATACCGCCGTCTTCCTCTGATACACCGGGTCGGCATTTGCGTATTCGGTGGTTATCGCACTGCTCGGTAGCAGCTCACTGACGAGTGGACCCTAACAATTCACCAACCGTTAGCACCTATCCGCTGCAACTTCCATCATGCCGACATTGGCCCTTGATAAATATGCATGGGTAAAAGTGCATGCAGAGACCAATGGTGCTCACTCCAACGGTACGGGTACGGCGGGGATAACCATCCCAAGGCGATCAGATTGTGGAACATGCAAACCGTAGTGACGGGGAAAAGAAATCCGGACCAAGGAATGGAAAAGAACATACCGTGACTTCGGGTTCATAGTCGTTCGAGAGCTTCTGCATTTCAGCCATCTCCTCTTGGGAGGGCTCGAATGCCATGGTGATGAGGGGAGCTTGGTGAGGATGGGGTTGTTGCGGGATCGGCGCGGGATGAAATGCGGAGCGAAGATCCTCGGAAGTGGTGGACGCGGCGAGCGGATGGTGCTGCTGAGGGATTGAGTGGGAATGGGAATGTGAGAGAGAGGGTTGAGGAGGTTGCTGTGCAACAGTTAAAGGGTGGTGATTATGGTGTTGACGAAGTGGGAGTGCGAGACCATGAGAGGCGGAGGTGGAGGTGGAGGTTGGTGTGTTGGTGGTGGAGTGTGAGGAGGGAGCTACTACTGCTGCTGGTGCAGGAGCAGTGTGAGAGTGACGGTCGTATGAGAGTTGTCGCTGTCGATATTGTTGCTGCGATGGAGGAGCGTGAGGGAATCCGACATCATGGAAATGATATGAAGGAACTGGAACATGAAATCCTGTTGGAAGCACCATCGGTCGACTCATTGTTTGTCCTTTGGCTTCGTGGAGCTCGATTTGCTTGTCCCCTTCCAAGTCTTCCAGTATAGCGGCGTCCTGCAATGCTGATCTTCGATTTCCAATCAATCCGTCTTTGCGACCGATAAATTCCTCCAATTGATCCAAAATAATCCTCCCTCCACTCCAAAGAGCCCGCACAAAGGTTGGTTTATGCAAGCAATGCAACAGACGGTCGGAGAGAAAGGGAGGAGCACTCGAGGTCCGCCCAGCACCACACGATTGTGGTCGTGAACGAGGACAACAGAATACGGAACGAAAAGCCCTATCCTGCACTGGACACTGGACAATTCAACAAACCCCGGTGGCGATGACCCAGCTAGGCCGGCACGATGATATCCTCTGTCAGAACTGCAACGGCTGAGCAGTTGTTGTCCCTGTCCAAGCAAGCAGCCTTCCAGTCCCCATCAAACGTGGAGATACTGAGAGGCCGGTGGCAGGCTCACGTTTCCTTGCGTCGGGGTGGGAATAAGAGCCAATAGACCGCGGAATAGCGGGGATGGGGTCCCTTGCAATTCTCGCGCAAACTGCCTGCCCAGCGTGGGATATACTGGGGCGCCGTGTGGTCTTGATGGCGTGGGCGTCTCCAGGTGGTCCTAATCCCCGAACAACGCACGAGGACCGGAGCGGATGTTCACCACGAAGATGAGGTCGAGTTTTGGTTCGTCAATATCCACAGGCCTTGGCCTGGTTGCTCGAATGCTTGAGGGGGTCGCGTGTTTGTCGAATCTGATTCGCTTATCCAGCATACGTTCCTGTTCCTTCGCGGTTTGTCAACGGGTACTTGCTTGAGCATTTATCTTCGAATAGAATCCTGCCAGCCAGGGCATTCGTTATGCAAGGTAGCTTCGCGAGATGAACGGTGCTCTAGTGCGAGGTCTAGTGATGGCCGCAGCGGCGATCAATGGACAGCAAGCGATGGTGATGCAGTCCCTTCGAGCACGAAATTCGGGAACACTTGTTCGACACTTGGCCAACGGTTCGATCGTTTGTTCGATAGTCAATTGAGAAATCTTTTCCGCTATCAGCATTTACACAATTCACGGATATCCGCTCGTATTGAATTGCTGATTGGTATTCGAATGGTTCCCACGGTAGATTCGGCGGCAGTCGTAGCGGCGGGTGGTACCGAATAGCGCGAGGATAGACTGCCCAAGCTAGCGGGATAGTGCTATCGAGCCTCGAGGATAAGGCCTCCCTCTTATACAACAAAGTTTGAGGGTTCGAATTATTCGCAATTGTGAAGGATCAGAATCAAACAAACTAATCGGTTCAATGGAGGTAATAAGGAACCAGGTCTTGCAATAAGTCGGCTGCACAACCAGCAAATCACCGCAGGATAAGAGCAGACCCAAAGGGATGGAAGAAGAACGACAAGATCGGCCGGACCTCTAGCCCTTTTGTTCGATCCCACCAGGTACTTAGGCACGAGGAGCTGCAATGAACGGTATATGCGGACAGGTATTGTAATGCGTCTCGTCAATTCCTGTGACCAATGCTGGCTTCAAATGCTATTCCACAGCAGCGAGTAAAGCGCCTCGCTCAACTCTCGCTGAAAAGGTTTATGTCACCATTCTTTCCCTCCATTGCTTGCGCCGGCGTCCGCTGCTTTAGTATATGCGCGGGCGGCGAATCTAGAGACTCTGTGCGACCCAGCCGGAGCGTACAATACCTTGGTCCTTGGGCCACCTGGGGCGCTCAAGGGGCGCTCTCAAGGGGCGCTGGTATAGGGTGGAATTCCTTAGCGAAATAGAGGGTGGCTAGGTTCTCCACCCTAGGGACTTACTTACTTTTTCGATGAAGGGATTCCATCGAAGGAGTCAAGGAGGGGGATGGACGGCGCAGGGAAGCTGGGACGACACCGAAGATACACAGCGCCTTGGAAATGCGACAACGACAGTATGGGTTATTAGAAATGGTGTGTAATTGCAGATGATCCGGGGAGGCAGTACAGAGCCAGAAAACGAGACCGATTGTGACGACTCCATGAGAGGAAAGCCAGTCGGCATCGGTGCAGCTGGCGAGGCACAGAAACAAGGTCCTTGCTGCACAAAGTGGCGTACCAATTCCATATTCCCAACTGCCTATCACATTGGATGTATTATCTGACATCCGCGATCGGGCGACGTCCTCTCCAGCGCTCCGATTCGCCTTCTCTGGTTTGGTCAGGTACGGTCTATAGGACTATCGATCCTGGGAGTAACCGAGACGTCCAATACATCTCGCTTGCAGCCCAGACATCTGGGCTGATGACGGCGTGGAGAATTCAGATATGTACTGCAGAAATCAGGATCTCTGCTTCCAGCCATGATCCACTTCGACTCTCGATCTGTCGCAGCCGAACGCCTGGGCTCCATCGGAACGGGATCTCCGGCTCAGGATCCATTGCGATCGCTCCTTACCGGCGACGACATTCACCCCACATCCTCTCCTGACTCGGTTCGAAACAGCCGGGGTCTTGTCGTCGCACGGGACAGGATGACAGGAGACCATCCATAAGAAAAGGATTGGTTACGAGGATACATCTGAGCATCCGTCAAATGATATGAACCCTGCGACGGATGACTAGATCATGAGGCGTTTCGCTTTATCTCTTCATCCACTGATTGTACCAGTACCTGAAATGGCCCGTTTCACCGTGCGGGAGCCATAGGAGGCTCAAATACCATCACTCGAAGAAATCAAATCCCATGAGACGCCATTGCTGGTACAATGGCTTCCAAAACAAGAACACGAAGCAAGGTACGCGCCTCCATGGCAAGCCATCGGTATCAAAGAGAGTGGTATTGCTCAGATCCCGGCATGTCAAATCAATTCTCCGAATATCTGTAATTTTCTCCGTCGCAGGCTCCAGCTGGTGTCAAGCTTCTTTGATAGGAAGTGGAAACAAAGACTAGAAAGAGTGGCTAGGAGCTCGCTCCGGCAGTCTAACTAGCAGCCTAGCAGTCTAGCCTCACTGTTGCCAGTACTTCATCAGAGCTGAAACAATAAAAAACGTCACAAACTCCTCAGAGGATGGAACGGGATACATCTGCCCTTGGAGGCATTCCTAATCTTGTGGCAATCCTCGGCGGATATCATGCAGCTCGTCTGTAGCCACCCGCCTCGCCTCGCTGGGATCAAACCAGTCCCAACTTTGCTCTTGCCTTGACTTTGAGTCCCTCAACCCACAACCCAGTATCAGAGGCAACAAGACGCGGTTCGGGCAGGAGAGATGGACTTCAAGAATCTAGGATCTTTCGCAACCCATGAACCGTTTTATCGCGATCTCACTGGTCGAACGGCCTGGCATTGTTGGTGGCGCACAAGTAGGGATTCGTGCAGATGGATTAATGTGAGGCGTCCGATGGAAGTGATGATCGGGATCCAACCATCCCATCACTTGCATGATGGGTGCCACACTGCTGGAGAGGTGCAGAAGCGAGGAAGAAGAAGCAAAGCTGCGGGAAGAACATGACCTTGGGAGAACATGACTACGGATCTTTTCGAATACCCAAGGAACGACAGGAGCGGTTGGGTTCAGTACCATTTTACCAATTCCGAATTGTTATTTCGTCAGCTTCATGCTGCTTTCAAGCCTGATCCTGTTACCCAAGATAGCCACTGGTGGCACGCGAGGTTGTTCTACAGTCATCTGACTGATTGGATTACAACCTTAAATCGCATCTCACATGGAACGACTGCCGCTATGCGTGGACACCTCCTCACGAGTAACCATGACAACGATCACGAGAATTGGTCTCCCGATCTCCCGATCTCGCATTCTACTGAGTCTAGTCACGCATTCCTCATACTGTAGGCATCCGTGACGACCATGCTCACCCACATGTCGCGTATCCGCTCTCGTCCAGTGATTCTGCGCGGCCTCCGTCGGCGTGCTTCTCGTTGAGAGAGCCATGCGATTCGTACGTGCCAAACGCGCAACTCGTTCCAGAGGTGCTCAATGGTGCACCTCGACCGTCAAAAGGAATGTTGCCCTGTCGATCTGCCCGCCTGGGCGGAGACGAACTCATTGCCAAGCTTTGCAATGGCGCTCGGGGAAGCGGGGAAGAGCAGCCAAAGAAAAAAGAAAGGGGACGGTCATTGGACTTAGTCGCTGAAGGGGAGATTGGGGGGAGCGAGGTCACGTCAGCCGAAGAGGAGAAGCGACTTGTTCTTGACATGAGACGTGGGCATGTTTTTCTAGAGATGTTGTCTTGGGCGCTATTGAGATGGAGGGGAGTTAAGCTGCGTTTGACAACGGTTCATACTGAACTCTCATATAATACCGAGGTGATTTATGACTTGCACCGAGGACTCCGCTTAGAGAAATGATTCGAAGCTTGCGACGCTCCGAACACATCTGATGGAGTTCAAGGAGCATTCCTCCATTCTAATAACAACTTTCCGAGCTGTCTGGACAGAAATGTCCGGAGAGGGGTGTGTCTCGGCTGCGACACGAACAGGGAACTCCAAATGTGAGCAGTCACTTTCGGAGCAGGATGCATCAGAATCCATGTCGAACATCATGCGGATCCCGGTTCGATATCGAGCTCTGGTCCAGGGCCGCAGCATGCCGTGCTGCAGTTGCCGGAACTGACTTGCGCAGCGTCGCCGCTTCTCTACAAGGTCTGCTTGGGAGGTTCCGTGACATGCAATAGATCGGCTCATCGGCTGGCCAATCCATTATTCAGCTGACTTGGGCCAACAATAACAGGGGCAGAGCTTTAGTCAAGTCAAGATCAAGTTGTGTGGCGGTTGGGTGATCGGCATGTGTCGATACGTACCGGTGTAGTACGTATCTGGCGCATATTCACTGGATAATGAGAACAGATAAGTGCAACAAAAACGACCGTGCAGCGGACCAGGTGGTGGGCCTCTCATGAAATGTACTGTACTTGCCCAAAGCAGAGCCGCTTGGCGATATTGTACACGGGAGGCGCCGGTGACGCGAGATGCCGACCAAAACTATTTCCGGTACATCAGGTACATCAGACACGCAGATGAGCACATCTGGCAAGCTTGGGCCCGGACGTTCCAAGATCAGGGGATCAAGAACGGCTGGTGGGCTGAGGATAGGGGATTCGGACGTTTGGGCCATGACTGTGACAACGGAGACATGGGCGAGTGCGATACCGAACAGCAGTTAAGCATACCGCACCATCGAGATCGGAATACCACATGGTCGAGTCCGAACTCCTGACTGCAGGTGATGCTGCTCCGCAGAAAAGGCGTGGGTTGGGGAAGACAGCATGAGGTGGCGAACTAGGTTCTGCTGAAGGTGTTCGAAAGACAGGAGATGAGGACTCATGGGCACCGGAGAACATTCCTTGAAACGGCGTGGCAAATCCAGACTATTCTCTTTCAGCGTCGAGACCATATGCCCTTCTTGATAGACTCATCAGTGGTTTGGTCATAGACGTCATCATTGGTTTCGTTCCTCGTTACAATCCCATTCCTTAGATGTACAAAGGCGGGGATTCCATGTCATTAACACATATTTATAGGGCATTTCTCGTGGAAGCCAAGTTTTGACGGGCCTGACTCTGGTGAAATCGTTGGGCGGGGGATCGCCAATCCCTCTTCCTCGTGCGTGAGCCCCGATCCCGGCGCCATGGTCCACTCAACCCTCCCTATTAACTCAAATCGCGCTGAACAACTGTGGCGTCCAAGCTCGTATGCGGACCTGGTGTCTGGTGAGACATTTGCGGACGGAGAAGGAGAGAGTGGCGAACGAGACGAGCACAAAAGGTGCTTACTTGCGGTGTGAGCAAGTCCGAAACTCGATCGAAGAGAACAGGGTGTGAGGACGGAATGCTCGATGGAAGGGATCCTGGAGGGCAATCAAATCCTCTTCGATCTTGTGCGACGGGTCGTGGATGGGGATGTTAGGGGGGAGTTCAAGTTGATGGTGTCAGACTGAATGAAAACACGGGAGCTGGGCGAAGGGAATCGAATGAATTTGGGGAAGGTGAGTGAGGCGTGGGGCGTGGTCGATGAGGACGGTTGAGTGGGAAACGGTCCGAATCAGTGTGACACGAGCAAGGTGATATTGCCCGTTTCCGTTGCGGCCGGCAGGATCATCCTGTCAAACCATTAAAGCCGATCACGCCCACATATTCTTGTAACCGGGGGATAGGGCAAGACGAGTCCGAGTGGTCCGTTTAACGCGCCTCAAGAGCCACATCCATCCAGATGCGTATTGACGGGGAAGGCCGTATCGGATCCGCGAGACACCGCAATTCCTGACCTCTTGCTGTGTCAGTCTCATCATGATCCTTGGCCCATGATTCCTAGCTTTCCGAAGCCGCCTCCCCTCGATAAAGCTCCCCTTTGTTGGCCATGCCGGCCACCACGACCTCCACCAAACATTCTCTTGAGAGCTGCTTGGTTCGAAGGGGAGCCTTGGCTGTCTCGCGTTCCCGTACCACCATACGAAGATTCTTCGCTCTTGAAACCGTCGCTTTCATTTAGCACGGTGTTCCAGAGCCCTTCAACAGCGCTCGTCCAATTCTGCATTGCTTGAACCCGATCCGCATCTGCAGTGCTCTGGATCTCCACAGTTCCCTCCGGCTGGTTGATCTTCCCGCGTAGCTTGTTCTCGACTATCAACACTGCAACGATATCTTGGACTTCGGAAAGTGAAATATTGAGAGTCTTAGAAATGAACGAGAGGGTGAATCGCGTGTATGGCGCCACTAGCTTGGAGACTGCCTTTGTCCGCATGTCCCGTGTCACCGAATCGATATTCTCGGCGATGAAGGGATCACCAAGCAGATCATCTTTGTTGGTTTGAAGGATCTTCTCGTAGCCGTGCATGTCGTCTCGCTGATATGCGTCCACCAGATCGGTCATTGATTGGATGCGTGGATCGTTCCTGTATGGCTTGGTTTCCTGAGAATCGAAAGGGTTGATATTGCTGCCCATTAGCATTGTGCTCAGCAACAAATACTTGAGGACCTGGATCCGCTGCAAGGAGCCAGCCTCATCGTAATTCCGGAAGCTTTCAAAGAAATCGCTTTGGGCCTCGTTCCAGTTTTCTGGTCCGGTTAGTCATCGAACCTATTTTGGCGCTTTCAGCCATGCGACGCTTACCTTCACTCATGTGCATCTTGCCTCCGCATTCCCGAATAATGCCCATAATTTTCGGATGGGGCACGGCAGACTTGACGCGTAATGCACGCTGGTACAGTGCCTGAACGAGAGATCAGTATGATAAATCAGGCGTTGTCGAGCCGCAACCACCCACCTTCAACCGCTTGTTGTTCCTTGTTTCGGCATACATCAGAATTTCCAAGGCATAGACTTCGAGGGAATAAGTCCCCTTACTTGGGTCGTCTGAGCCATCCTCTCTTTGACAAGCTTTGTGAAGTTCACGCAGCTTGCTGGTAAGTGGTAGGTAATCCTTGCGATCTAGCCAGAGCCTAGCAAGCTTAATGTTGGTCTTCAGCCATAGTCTCTCGTTGTTGGTACTCTGGAATGATTCGAGGGTGAGTGAGTAGAACTTCTCCATGCATTCGTAGGCCGTTTTGTCTTCCGCCGCCTTCTCGATGAAATCAAGCATGTTGTTGATCGACTTTTCGGAGTAATTTCTTGTCACGGCCGATTTTACGTAGGTAAGGAGTTCTTGGTAGTGCTCGATCGCCTGGTACTTGTCAGAATATGTCCTCGTTTGTGGTCCGTCCCGTGTCCGTACCGCGGCATATCGCTTCAACTTGAATTCGAGCTTGATAGCCTGCTTTAAACCTTTGAATCCCCTAGTCAAAATAAATGTCAGCAGAGTCCCATGGGGCTATCATATGTCAACATTACCAGTCTCCCTTCTCCTCCTCCAGGGCCGGGACTCCAAGAAACTCATCGATGGCTTCCTCTGGATTATCGACCTTCATCTGCTTGGCGTTGTAGTACTTGTTCTCGATCCCGACATCGCCACCTTGCTCGTCATCGTCATCTTCGTATTCGAAGTCATATCTGTAAGGTATTAGCTTGGTCAAGAGAATCTGATCGGAGAGCCTACTCCTCCTCCCCCGAATCTTGCATGAAGTCCTCATCCGACATGGTGATTTGTGAATGCTCTAAGGAAGTTTAGACCAGATTCCTGAGGGGCGTGCCTTGCTAGCAACTGGAACTCCAAATTCGAGCAGTTCAGTGGATCAATAATCGACAGTGTTGATGAGAGAGGTCAATATATCCCGGAGGTGGTAATGAGGTCAGGCAGTTGGAGCTGTTACTGAGGAAGCAAAGCAACCAATCAAACACTCAGAAAATATCTTGGCACGTGATCAATGATACAGGGTCCACGCCACCAAAACCAATAGTGAGTCACGTGAATCGCTGTGTGAATGTGATTATGTGAACTCCCAGCCATACGGAATGATCTCGTCCACAACACGACGCGATCAAACCTTCCTTCTTTACATCTACTATCTTCAAGTAGCCCAGAGCGCGACAACCCGAACGATATAAGTCTGCGTCTATCCCCCACCAGATTTATTCCACACTCAGCGAACGAAACCCAAACCCCGACCATCAAACATGGGTGGCGACCTTAATCTCAAGAAGTCCTGGCACCCCGTCCTCAAATCCAACCAAGAGCGTGTTTGGAAAGAGCAGCAAAAAGCTCTTGAAGAACGTAAGCGCATAGAACAACTGCAAAAGGAGCGCGAAGAAGAACGTCAGATCGAAGAACTTCAAGCGCTTCAAGAGCAAGCCGGTGGCTCGAATCGAGCCAAGCGCGTAGAATGGATGTACAATGGCCCCGCAGCTGGCTCAACAGGGGTCACAGAAGAGAAAGAGGCTTTCTTACTAGGAAAGAGAAGGTTGGATGTCTTATTGAAAGATGAGGCAGCGGAACACATGAAGAAGAATGGCGCTCAGGAGGGATTCATGGCGGTTCAGCAGAGTGCCAATACGCTGCGGGATACTGCGGCGAAGGTTAGGGACGATCCATTGCTGGCTATTAAGAAACAAGAGCAGCAAACGTATGAGTCAATCATGAATGACCCTATAAAGCGGCGTGCGCTGTTGAAAGCCATGGGGAAAGGGGACCAGGAAAAAGTGAGGGACCGTGATCGGGATAGAGACCGAAGGCACAATCGGAAGAGGGAGGACAGAGAAGAGCGATATCATGATGATGCGCGCGAAAAGCGACACCGTGATGACGACCGAGAGCGGAAACACAAGTATCGCGACCGATCAGAAGACCGTGCAAGACATCACAGAAATGGGCGAGATCGCTCAAATTCAGAAGAACGTTACCGGGACCACCGCCGCCACAAGCGCGAAAGAGAAGAGGATAGAGATGACTATTCTCGCGCTGAGAGGCCTGGGAAGCGTCGCAGTCGGAGCCCACAACGATATCATGATGACTCAACGACTCGGAAACGATACGAATCTCCAGTCAAGTCTCGTGATGACAGGGCATATGGTCGAAGGCGCTCACACTCCCGCGAGCGACGACCAAGCGTCTCTCCTAAACGATCACATCGCCACGATCAATCCTCCAAATCACGTTCCCGTCCCCAGGTTCACAACCACCGAACCGGACCTGAGAGGCCCGCATCGAACGCCAAGGCTGAATCCGATGATGCTGCTGCACGAGCGGCGAGGCTTGCTGCTATGCAATCTTCAGCCGATGATCTAGAACAGCAGCGGAAAGCTCGCCTCATCGCTATTGAGGACCAGGATCGGAGGACGAGGGAGGCTGAAGACCGGATGAGATCAGAAAGCGGGCGATTTGTGAGTGGTATGAGAAGGAAAGCGGGCGATCTAAGCCTGGGAGAGGCAATGGGGAGGAGAGGGAGAGTTGGCGCTGTTGGTTCGGAGGATTAGCTGGCACATTGCGGCCTGAAGCTGCCATCATAGGTCCGGTTAGCTGTTAGATGGTGCACATGGTATATCACGACTTGAAATGAAATCCTTCAATCCATGCGTGCTATATATTTAACAATCATAAACCCTCCATCGATGCAGGTGCTTTTGTCATTTGTCATTTGCCCCTGATCGTTACTGAAGATTCTGGAGGTCACGTGATATCGACTACACCTCAAAATCTCATGAAAATCTCGACCATTCTGAAGATCAAGAAATCCAAACACAGCCATGCCGAAACCGACTCGTGAACGCAAGCACAAAAGACTGGCAAAACTAAAAGACACTAATAATCTTTCCGAGTCCAACGACAGCAATGCCGTTGAGATCATTCCGAAGAGCAAAGCAGAGCGGGAGGCGGACAAAGCACGAATCCGAGCCGGCCTGAATGTTCAGCAGCAGGGGAAAATCAGCGGCAAAAAGAAGAAGCGGTTGGAGAAGTATGTGGAAACGAAATTGAAGAGGGATGAAGTGCGAGATCTCATCGGGAAATTGGAGACTCTGCACCGGGAGAGGGATGAGGTTCTTGACGGCAAGGAGCTCTGGAAGACAGGAGATCTTGGCAGATCGACTGCTGCAAACGCTGCTGAATGGAAATCCAGAGAGTGGAATCCAGAAAGTGGATCGGATGAAGAGGAGGATTCGGAATTTGATGAAGAGGATGGTGCCAGAAAACCTGCTAAGCAAGCTCCTGCTCCCCTTAAGGCCGTGTCTGGTTTCGGTGGTGGACTGAAACGGGCACTAGAGGTTGATGACGGAGGGCAGCCGGTTATCAAGAAGAGAAAGCGGAGGAAGAGGTCGCCCGTTCGTCGAGAACTCGAAGAAGAGGAAGGGTCAGAGTGGGAGGGTTTTGGCTCTGGTGATGATGCACCATCCGCTGATGTGACGACCGGCCACGATGAAATCTCTGTCCTTAAAGAGGGCATGAATGCTGCGGACCAATCTCAAGACGACTCGGAATCCGCATTTTCCGTTTCAGAAGACAGCGATTCCTCAGATGGGCCTGCTGTATATGCCGGGTCAAAGAAAGAGAAGAGCGCAAGATCATCAGCATTTCTATCTTGGGCAACGCAACAACGGAACCAAGCACTTGGATTTACGCCAACTGCCGTTGATCCTAACGATGCCTGTTTACCAGTTGAGCACGTCCCGAAACCGGCAAACTTCCAGCCACGGCCACTGGAACAGGAGCCACTTCCCGCAGATATGAATACGGCGACTATAGCCGGAGGCTCAAGGAAAGCGTACGCGGTGCCAGTATCTCGAACTCCGGAGATACAAGCTACTCGGATTGAGCTTCCCGTCGTTGCTGAGGAGCAGAAGATCATGGAAGCAGTACATAATCACGATGTCACTATTGTCTGGGGCTCGACGGGTAGCGGGAAGACCACCCAGGTTCCACAATTCTTGTTTGAAGCTGGATATGGAGATCCAAAGGGACCATCCCCGGGAATTATTGGCGTCACTCAACCGAGGCGTGTCGCTACCGTGAGCATGGCGAAGCGAGTTGGCGAAGAGATGGGTGATATGAAGCATCGAGTTGGATATAAGATTCGATTCGACGGGACTGTGACTGCGAACACGGCGATCAAGTTCATGACCGATGGTGTGCTACTTCGAGAAGTCTCTCAGGACTTTTCGCTGGCCAAGTATTCCGCGATCATCATTGACGAAGCACACGAGAGAGGAGTCAATACGGATATCCTCATTGGGATGCTTAGCCGAATTGTGAACCTGCGGAAAGATATGGCAAAGACGGATGAGTCTGTTAAACCCCTAAAGCTCATTATCATGTCCGCTACGCTTCGAACTGCGGACTTCGCTGCGAATAGCAGACTATTCAGAGAGACATTGCCTCCTGTCGTCAAGGCTGAGGGCCGCCAGCATCCAGTATCGGTACATTTCTCAAGGAAGACTAAGGTTGGTTATGTGGAAGAAGTATTCAAGAAGGTCAAACGAGGGCATGAGAAGCTTCCCCCGGGAGGAATGCTGGTCTTCTTGACGGGACAGGATGAGATTTGGTCGGTTGCAAAACAGCTGAAACAAGCCTTTCCTTCCACTAGTGCACAAGGAAGCGGAGCTAAGGTTGCCGTCTCTGCTGAAGAGACGCCGCCTGAGGATGAAGACATCGCGTTGAACACCGAGCAGTCTAATCAGTGGGATGCTGAATCGGACTCGGATGAAGAGATCACTGGTCTAGACGAAGACGAGGTGGAGGATGAATTCGACATCGGAGAAGAGAAGGAGTTTGAGAAGCTATCCAAGGTTCATGTCCTCCCGCTGTATTCTCAGCTCCCCACGAAGCAACAACTTCGAGTCTTCGACTCTCCTCCTCCCGGCTCTCGACTCATCATTCTGGCAACGAATGTCGCCGAAACTTCCATCACCATTCCCGGCATCCGCTATGTTTTCGATACTGGTCGCGCTAAATCCAAAAAGTACGACCGCGAGACGGGCATCCAAACCTTTGAGGTTGGGTGGATATCCAAGGCAAGTGCAGCCCAACGAGCTGGACGAGCTGGACGGACGGGGCCTGGCCACTGCTATCGACTCTTCTCGTCTGCGATATACGAAGCCGACTTCAAGGAGTTCCAGGATCCCGAAATCATCGATGCGCCATTGGAAGGAGTGGTGCTACAACTTCGAAGCTTAGGGCTGAAGAGCATCGTGGACTTCCCATTCCCATCTCCCCCAGACGTGAAAAGTTTGTTGAAGGCAGAAAGGCTGCTTTCATATCTGGGGGCTCTTTCCACCGACGGAGCTGTGACCGTTACTGGAAGGGCGTTGTCCGCTTTTCCGTTAAGTCCACGACTAGGCCGAATGTTGTATCTTGGCAAGAACCACAAAATTGTGGCACTGTCCATTGCACTTGTGGCAGCACTAGCCGTGCCCGAGCTCTTTATACCACAGAGCCAGCTCAATCTAGGGGACGAGGAACATGAGTTTGATGAGGAAGACGATGATAGGATTGATGAGCTACGTAAATCCTACAACGCTTCTCACGCGACACTTTCTCGTTGGGATCGCACCAGCGACGCCATCAAACTTCTGACAGCCTTGTGTGCCTCCGCTCACGCCACCGACACCGAAGCATGGGCAACATCCATGTTCCTTCGACCTAAAGCGCTTAAAGAAGCCAGTATGCTACGAGAGCAACTGACTTCCATCATGCGCACTCAATCACCTGGCGCAATCGGCAGCTATGCCCCCCGTATCCCGCAACCTACCGACAAGGAGATTAAAATGCTCCGCCAGATTGTTGCAGCCGGGTACATTGATCAGGTCGCTCAGCGTGGTGATCTGAGTCCTCATCCACCCGAGCTGCATCGCCGACCGAAACGCGCAATCGACGTGCCGTACGTGACCCTCCTCCACTCTACTGACTCCTCCGCTGGTTCCTCCAACGGCGCCGATGCAAATGACAGTTCCAAGTACGTGTATCTACACCCGTCGTCCGTTCTCGCACGAACGGCAGCGAAGAACCTCCCGCAGTACATTATCTACTCCCGGCTCCAGCGGTCCGCATCCTCAGTGCCTGGAAAGATACCAAAAGTACGGATGCACCCGCTCACACCGGTGAGTGGAGTGCAGTTGACTGCATTGGCTGATGGCACACCGCTGCTGGAGTATGGGAAGCCGATCGGGAATATTGTGGGATTGCCTGCGGAGGGAGGCAAGGAAAGGAGAGAGTGCTGGGTTGTGCCGAGTTTGAAAGGAGAGACTGGGGGAAATGAGTGGCCGTTGCCGGCAAGAAGAGTAGTACAGAGGAGAGAGGCCGGGGTAGGCTGGGTGATTGAGAAGGTGGTGATAGGTTAAGCAGTACTCACTCTACAGATTATACTCTTGTTGGGTATATCTCCGCAAAGATGAATTATTATCTTTCTGACTCATACCTCTTACAGGTGATGAATAATTAATTGGTTTGCTGAAGACTGAATAAGAATGGCGCTACTCTGACTCGAAATACTGGCCGCAGAATAACAGACGGGATAGAGGACTTCCTGGCCACATAGAAGACCTCCAAGACCCCTTATTGTCCTCCCCTGGTACTTCACGTCCCCTCTATCCTTGGATACGAAAAAAGCGATCACGAAGCAAGTTACTATGATTTAATAATAGGAATACCACGTAGAAGAGCAAAAACTATCGGGGCTCAGAGCCCCCTTAGAAACATGACGCATCCTCATCGAACAATCCTCTAGGGGGGAACAAATTTCCAAGGGCCGTCGAAGGATTTTCGATCAAGGGTTGAATTATGGTCACAACTATACTCTCTATACAACTTTGTATACAAGCCTTCATTAGGGCCTGCCACTTGGTGTCCTCAGTAGCGAGGTTTTTTCAGTTAGTACTTCCAATGCAATTGATACACGGGATGGCGAAACGAGGGATAACCACTACGCCACACCTCCGAACTTTCCTGCTTGATTGAAATTGGATTGATTAGGTATATATTTCACATTCCTTCTTACATTCACTTCCTGAACTGGCACGTGGAAACCAGAATGGAGTTGGCTGCCTAGACCCCCTGAAGGTTACAGTTTCTACTTGCTAGTCATTCGTACATGACGCGCTTCTATCAATAAGGAAAGGCCAGGATTTAAAGGCACTGATGCCAGGGACTTCGCTACTAGATAGAGCAGAAAACACAGTATTACAGAATATCACAACGTCACTCAAGCCTAGGGTTTCATCATCTCTATACGCTTGGTTTTATCTATATTAAGTATCAACAGAGCGGAATTGCACCTTTTAATTGGAATATTCCAAGATTCTGGGAAAACCAGGGCATGTCTAATCATTTCTATTCTCGTGTATTCAAATCCACATGCTTTTCCCACATTCAGTGGGACCCAAATGCCAACCCAAACGCCGCACAATGCTCCTTGGTACAAATCCAAACTCCCGGTCAAAATGGTTCTTCACATACCCTCCAACCCTTCCCTCGCCCTCTGGGTTCGCTGCTTCCTCGCTTCTATGTTCGCATCGACCTGGTCATGCCAACGCCGGCCCCAAATCGTGACCGCGTGCGTCAAAACAGTGACCAGGACCAAGAAAGCGGCGCAGATCGTCGATACCCAGCCGACACCGATCTTCTGGATGCTAGGGAGGCAGGTCGCCGTGCCTAGCGCCGCAAAGAAATAGCGGAGCATAAAGTTTGCAGCTGGTGAGGGCAAATGTCAGCCTCGTTTTGAATGACTAGAGGAGGTAGGATGGGGGCGAATTGGAAAGGCAAAAGGGAGAGGAGAGTGGACATACCGACGACCTCCGCACTTCGCTCCTGGACCACATCCAAACAGTATGTATTCAAGCTCGGGAAACAAAATAGCTGCGCCACACCCTGTATAAACATGCAGATCACCGGCAATGGGATGCCCCCCTTCCTCTTCTCAATCGACCAGCCATAGACCAGCATACATCCTGGGATGACCAGACCCATTGCAACGATGCAGCTCCGCAGACGGTCCTCAGGGACCCGTTTGCCACGGATCCGAACCCACTTCTTGACCTGGTAGTCAGCCCACCGGCCGCCGAAAAAGCTCCCTACGAAATAACCGGCGCCCGGGGGGATGTAGAAGAGGCCGGATTGGAGAGGGGTGGTGAGGTCGAAGCGGGGGTTTATGACGTAGGCGATCGGTGTCAATAACCCGTACATACTAAAGAGGAGTGCGGAGGAGGCGAGACCCTGGAATGGTTAGCACATATATATCAAAAACTGGTAGGGATAGTGCAACTGTACCGTGATGAGGAGGTTGGGATATCGGTATAACAGGACAACACGGAATGGGTTGATCCGATGCCACATTCCACGCGCATATTGGACTTTGGATAAGCCTTCAAACTCGTGCGATCGAGTTTTAATGATAGTTTCTGGGAGAAAGAATATTACTAAAAGCGTTGCAGCCCCGCCTAGAGCAGTCTGAAGCCAAAAGATGACTCTCCATGATCGAAAGGTGACGATGGCACCGCCGATGAATGGGCCAAGTGCAGGTCCAATAAGTGTGCCAGAAAGGAACCAACCAATTGCCGTAGCTCGCTCAGTCTGGAGAGCGGTTCAGAATACTTTCGCAGAAGGAATGGAGGGGTCGAGATTACAGGTTTGTAAATATCTCCTATTACACTTGATCCCACAACTAGGAAGCAGGTCCCTTGGTAAGCGGTCAGACTTCGAAAGACAAAGAATGATGCGAGATTAGGTGCCAGAGCTGTGCCAATGGAGAATGCCGTGAATAATATAACAGCTACTATGGACACCTATATAATTCCATACGTTAGCCTTTGGCCGCAGATACAAGAATTTCGTAGTTATCCTCAGTAGAAACTACTCTCAGTCCCAAAGCAGATAGTTGCGGAAGGGGATCTGAAGCCAGTCCAGAATTACCTACCCGTCTCCTTCCATACACCGTCCCAATCGGCCCCCAAAAAATGGGGCTCAATCCCATGAATATCAAATATAGGGCATTAGATAAATTAATCATCGTCCCATCCGTATTATACGTCGCTGCCACTTCTGGCACAGCAGACAGCACGGTGGTTGAGGAGATCGGCGCCAAAAAGCTACAAACGGCCACGACCGCTACGATCAGGCGCTTTCTCCCCGGCGTGAATCGTCGGTAGATATCTTCGTCTTCTTGGGTGAGCGTTGGCACCGCGATCGGCATGTCATGGCCGCTGACGGCGCTGGGGATATGCTCGAGGACATATCGGTCTAGGGGAATCGATGTCGGCCCGATTCCCAGCTCTTTCTCTTCCTTGCTGAAGTCACGGACCGCTGGTGCTTGGGACACCACGCAACGATCTTGCTTTTCGTGATGTGGTGAAGACATAATCCAGGCAATTTATGGGGACCCATGTAAGAATATATATCTGATGGGATGGATCATCAAGGCACCTCATGTAGAGACAGGACCAAGCCAGGACTAGATATGCCGATATCTTAAAAGAAAGAAATAGAAGAAGAAATAGAAGAGGACCTAAAGAAATAAGCATTGGGAAGCGGAGAAACGATGAAAACCCATTGACGGTTCTAACCGAAATCGAGCGAGGCGTTGAATACAGATCTAGAAAATCTCCAGGTTCAACCGGTTTCAGAGTCAGTGTCGGTTCAATGATAGTGATGACTAGGCACTGGTGGATCAGAGATACGGTAGTTAGCCCCAAAAATTCCATCCCCAATGGATGGGGGTTGGAGAAGAACTAAATTCTTCAGGTTTGACTAAATGGGCCCGTTTCCGCGACGGTTGCTGGAAGCTAGACCCCGCAGAACCGTAGAAGTGCGACTTGGAATCAAAAGGTTGATACTGATACGCTTGTATGATACTCGAGTACTCCAACCATCGCTTTCCTGCTCTATCCTTTCAGTTCTATGAGCATCATTGCCATCCGTCCAAAGACATCACGATGCGGTTCTTGAGCAAGCGTTGGGAGAGCACGTCGTCATCCATTCCTTGGCCCTGGTCCAGACACTAACGCAGAATTTATTTGTAGAAATGGTCGAATCAGACAACACGAGCACAAAAGCGAACTCGGCTTGAACGGCATTGAGTTGTTGCACGAAGCCGTCTTTTCCGCAAAACACCGTAAATCGCCGCCAGGGCCGAGGGAGGTCGATGGGGGTCACGTGTGGCGGAGTCCCCATTCTGGCAGGACTTTAGGATGAGTGGATCATGCAGTGTGCTCGATACTGGGGTACTAGTGGTTGATAGAGAAAGAGGACAACACAAATACGTTGGTGTTATGTAGATGGCAAAGAATGGAATTGCTTTTGTTCTATACAGTTCATACCGCGAGAAAACTGCTCCGGCGACTTTGACGTGTCCTTCATCCAACGCGTAACATCATCGTCTCAAATGACCGTCCTAGGTGTGCGTTTCCTACCGTACACTCCAAATGATAGTCCCAAGCATGCATTCCCATCGTGAAAACCCCGTCCCGTCCCTTTTGCAAGTAATCCAATCAAACGCCCAATCAATGCTCATATAAATTCCTGTTCACGTTCCAAATTCATTCCACGTTCCCAGAACCACCGCATCGTCCTCATCCCCTACAAACTCATCCGATCCAAGCTCATCCGATCCAAACTCCTCGGCCTCTTCACCATGCTCAGCTTATAAAACCGCTCATCCCCCCCCGCCGTCCGTCCACCGACATACCATTTCTCCGCCCCGGCCACCTCCTTGAACCCCTCCGAGCTCGAATCGCTCCCCCGCCGCTGCCGACTGCTGTTGAGCGGGTAGGAGAACGGCGGCGGCGGTGATCGCGCGGATGGGGAGTGGCGCGACGGTGGGAAGGCGGGGCCCGAGGCGGCGGCTTGGACGGCGACGGTGGTGGCGCCGTGGGGGGACGAGGGGGAGGTGGGGAGGTTGGTGGGGGATTTGCGGTGGTGGGGGTTGGTTGGGGGGGTGGGTTCGGAGTGGGAGTTCGTGGTGCTGGCGGTGTGCGTTGCGTATGTCGATTGTGCAGTGGCGGATGTAGACGTCGAGGTATTGGTGCCGGTGGTGGGTTTGGCGGTTTGGTAGGCGGATTGAGCGCGGAAGGCGGCGAAGAAGTGGGAGAAGAAGGGGCGGTTGGTTGGCATTTGGGTCGGCATGGCGAAGTCGATGGTGTCGAAGGATACGGTCGAGGGGTGGTGAGGACGATATAATCTAGATGTAGGACGGCGTGAAGAGGTCCGGTAACACGAACCGGTTAACACTGAAAGGACGAACTTGTATCAATGATCAAGTTATTGAATATAGATGGTCATGTTTCGCTGGAACGACCGAAGGTTATGCTTCGTCAAGTCCTTGCTCTTATAGACCCCGAGGAATAGTAACGATGTTCCGGCCCGTCACGATCGTATGCGGCTTTAAAAGTTGAAGCACAACCCCAAGAACCCGGATATCAGATGTCACAGGAATAGTTACGGCGTTCACTCAGCCAAGCTCATTGAGGTTGGCGTTGCAGCCTGAGGCGCCGATGTTCGGGTGACGACAATTGACGTCTCTCTGATTGGCTGCCGCGCCGAAGAAAGCGGGTTTTCTCGGACGATGACCTATTGTGTTGATGCTGCGGTCGAAAGGAGTTCTTCTGCCTTCAATCTCGAGTATTCAGACCAGCAATGGTTGGCATTAAAACGATCCCCAACAGTCGTTCCAAAGTCTCGACTGATAATCTGCCAACTTTTGGGGGAGGAGGAGAACAGGCGGAATATCAAGCCTACAAATACCTCCTGATTCAGTGGGTGGTTCGATGGGCGTCTACCTCCGCATCATCGCCAGCCATGATCAACAATTGGTAGCTACATTCATAAACGAGGCGTCCTTAGCAAGGATTAGAGACCACGAAGAGATACCTCGTTCAATCTCCCCTCTTTGCGGCCCGTGACGGATATACATAATGCTATGTCAGGATTTGCAGCCCCTCTTCTGTCCCGTGTCTCGGCGGGTTTGGGTGCACAAGGGGACGAGTCGCATCGCGCAACTGTAGAGAACATCCGGCAAACTGGATCAATAGGAAAGCAAGGGCTAGGCATCGATATCCGGCCAAAAGACTCTCTGAAACCCGCCAATCTGATCCTCCAGAGCAAGCCGAGACGGTTCTCTCGCCGAACTGCTCGCAACTTGATCTCCAGTCTCCATCTAATCCCTATGGGTCCTCACAAAGCCTCCCCTTGAATTTATTGTCAATTCTCTCAACCAATCGCCTCTACGGAATATATGTTGCCAATTCAGTTCCCTATCCTTCAGCCTCCTCACTGGCTCTGTTTCCCTTGTCTTCACCCGTCGAACACTGATGTCATTCGCAAGCAGCTACCCCTCACCCTCTCCCACATCTGGTATCGTCATTCACGACTCCCTTCTGTCATTCAGGGGTTGACTTGTAGTGGTTGACTCTCAGACCGTTCCATATTCGCCACGGTCCATCATCATCTATTCCACTCACTAGGTCTGTCCAATCCACTCCGCGTCCTTGCTGTGTATTGCATGACATTTCGCGCCGCCACACAGGCGCAATGTCATCCTCATGGTTTGATAAGGTGGGGGATAACTACGATTGCAGCGCAGATTTTCATCTGCCAGAGGGAGATGATTGGAGCACTGTAGAGCCTTCGTGGGATGCTGCATCCGCCTGGTGGAGGCGTGACTCGGATGCAGCACTGCTTTAGATGTTGGAGATCGTTCAATCTCTTGGCCGATGGTTCCTCTTTCCTCAGAGGATGAGATGCTTGGGGGTATTGACCTAGGGGTAAGGCTGCTGCTGGTGGCTTTGAAGAAAGGTTCCGTTCTCCATCACAGTTCCCAACAGCATAGTAACAAGACAATGGAACGGGCAACTTGAATTTCAACATGCAATCAAGATGAAGACATAGCAAAACAAAGCTCACGACAATCTGTGCTTGGCCAAAAACAGCAACGGATTTTCGGCTTTATATTATCCAACTGTTTTACTGAAAAGTGTCAATCTTCAAGGCATATCATATCATGTTATTCCTCTAGATACTAAAATTCACCAGCTAGTGTCGTCTAGCCATGTTCATATCTATTCGATATATATACATCCATTCACGACCAGATGACCATATTGCAGCTCATCCGCCAACTCTACCGGACAATTTCCGATTGTACCTGACCGCAGCGGCTATCGGATCCATTCACATTCCCAGAGCATTCTATTTCTCCGTCCATGCCGGCAATCCCATCCTCCTACCTAGGTACTCTCGTGAATATTCCCAGCCATCAGCCTTGTCCCCGAGCACCAGGTTGCCCTGGTTCCGGTATCGCCCGCCACCAAACATGGATGACTTCATAGCCCTGGCATGGAATACTTCGCATCCGGACCATGGAACTGCGTAGATCCTCGGATGTTTTGGAGGCATTCTAGGGTCATCGTATGGATTCCTGTAACAATGCTTCCGAATTGAGGAATTTGTTTTTATTCCGAAGGTCATGGAACCCAAGCGTAAGTGAGATGAGTGAGACGAGTGTAAGGAAAAGCAACGAGCCCCACCTTAGGTTGGTGTATCAATCTCATCAGACCATCGGGGTCCAGTCTCGTTCTGTTGAACCCCTCGCTGCCGTGACGACGTGGGGCACACAAGGTCACTACCACCACCACCAAGCATTATTATCGCTCGTCTCTCATAGCCTGACCATTTGTTCTTTTTCTCTGCTTTTACTTTCAGTTCATTAACCTTCACATCGTCAATCCTGTTCCAACCGATCATCCAATCCATTGACATCCTTCATTGGCAGTATTCCCTCGCTGAAAGCACCTTGAATCTCAACAAAGCTTCCCTATACCTTCATCCACTATGGCTACCAGCGTTCTCTCCCGCAAGTCCGGCGTCATCGTTGGCGAGGATGTCCGTAAGCTCTTCAAATATGCCCAGGAGCATAACTTCGCCATCCCAGCTATCAATGTGACCTCGTCGTCGACTGTGATCGCGACACTGGAAGCTGCTCGTGATGCGAAGTCGCCGATCATCATTCAGGTATCGCAAGGTGGTGCGGCGTATTTCTGCGGAAAGGTAAGATTGAAATATCGACACTCCCTTTCGAAATCGCCTCTCCTGTGGCCCTTAGTTTGGTCGACATTGCGGTCAATTGGAGAATCAAGCCAGAGGAGCATCAAGATGGCGAACCCCACGCATTGACAGTGCCACTGACACATCACCTAGGGCGTCCCCAACGGCGACCAATCTGCCTCCATCGCGGGCGGCATCGCAGCAGCGCACTTCGTTCGCAGCGTTGCCCCGACGTACGGTGTTCCCGTCGTCCTGCACACCGATCACTGCGCCAAGAAGCTTCTCCCGTGGCTCGATGGCCTGTTGGATGCCGACGAGGAGTACTTCAAGCAGCATGGCGAGCCTCTCTACAGCTCGCACATGATCGACTTGTCTGAGGAGGAGGTTGAGTGGAACATTGAGGTATGAACCTAGATATGCGCTTGACATGGTCATGCATTCGACTGGATGGACTGCTTGACTGACTTATCGGTAGACCACTGCGAAGTACCTCAAGCGCGTCGCGCCAATGAAGCAATGGCTCGAGATGGTAAGTGAAACGATAACATATTTCCTCGTTGAATATGCTCATACGATCCATAGGAAATCGGCATCACCGGCGGCGAAGAAGACGGCGTCAACAACGAATCCGTCGACAACGGCCTCCTGTACACGCAACCCGACGTCGTGTACAAAATCTTCAAGACCCTCAATGCCATCTCCCCCTACTTCTCCATTGCTGCCGGCTTCGGCAACGTCCACGGTGTCTACAAGCCGGGCAACGTCAAGCTGCGACCCGAGCTCCTCAAGGCTCACCAGGAGGAGACCGTCAAGCAGGAAGGGGGTTCGGATCCCAAGCCGCTGTTCCTTGTGTTCCACGGTGGCAGTGGTAGTTCGAAGGAAGAGTTCAAGCAAGCGATCAGCTATGGTATCGTCAAGGTGAACTTGGAGTACGTTGCCCCCCCATCATTGATATATCCCCACCGAACCTTCAAAATTAGAATCGAAATTGAAAAGAAAACGGACGAGTATATGAGGCTAACAGTAATCACAACAGTACTGATCTCCAATGGGCCTACCTTATCGGCGTCCGGGACTACGTCCTCAAGAAGAAGGACTACCTCATGACCCAGGTCGGCAACCCCGACGGCGAGGACAAGCCCAACAAGAAGTACTACGACCCGCGTGTCTGGGTCCGCGAGGGCGAGAAGACCATGGCCTCTCGCATCACGGAGGCGCTGGCGGACTTCAATACCGCCGGACAGCTGTAGATGCGTTCGTTGGGACACCCAGCACGCATGAGGGAGGAATTGACGCATGGTGGAGCGACATGAATATTGCGTGTGGTGATGCTCGTGGGAGAATTCAGGGACATCCAGTCGGTCCCGCGGCTTGTGGATATTGTCTCGTAATTGGCAAAACGACGCTGACGAGTGACCGATGAGTGGTAAACGACCACCGAGCCCGTGTACGTAGGCCGTAGGTACTACATATGAAAAGGAACTATCATCGGAAATCTGAAATTCATTTCAAGCGCAAGATGGATGTCATAACACACGATCCCAAGTGATGACGGTCAGTGAGCATAACTATACATTCATGGTAATACCTAGTTCGTAGCCTCTTGCGACGCTTTACACATTTTCTCCATCTAAGGATTGTCATGTCCGTTATCAAGCGCTGGTCAATGCCTGCAGAACGTGCCACCCGAATTTTTATGCCATCACTATGCGGTGTCCTCTCCAGTACCGGTACTTCCACAGCTCCACGGGCTTCGAGACGACCACTCGGCATTGCCGCCACGGGGTATTGTACAAAGGAGATGACTCATCACGGTTCTTTTCTCGAGCCCTGCGAAGCCCCACCCCCGTTCCAGCCAAAGAGATTCATGTCATGAGTAGAAAATTAAACGTTCGACAGAAGAGCACCAACAGATTTTCGTACGACATTTGGGGAAGCGAGGGCGGAAGCAGCGCCGCTGCATGCGAAACTCGGAGGGGAGCCAATATTGACCAAACATGAAAGCAGAGTCCGATAAGACAAGGGGTAATAATGCTGGAAGAGAATAACGAGATCATTGCCAACCGCCCATTTTCCCAGCCGTTTGCTATGCGTTTCAGAGGAGCCATCATTACGACACTAGATGGCCGATATGACCAAGCAACATGTACTTCAAGAACAGTCCTTCTCTTCATAGCTCCCCTTCCTCCTCTTCTAACTCTTCCTCCTCATCCTCCATCTTCATCCGCTCATCGCCCCCACCACCATCTCCCTCAACCCCAGTGCCCCTCCCTACCCTCGCCCTTGTCCGCCGTCCTTCTCCCCGACCGTTATGTCTCACCTCATCTGCACTACTCGGCCTCGCAATCGACATTGAACCCAGCACCGGGGTCTCGATCTCGTCAGGCGGTTGCGTATGGCTTCTTGGCTGCCGCAGCCGCGCTTCCGCTCTAACGAACGTGGCAGATGGTTGTTCCGCCGCGTGCAACGGGCTCAAGTGCGTGGCGTGGGACGATAATTGCGAGGGGCGCGGGTAGTGTGCCGGGTATGGTGAGTGCGGATTCGAAGGGTAAAGCGGCGGTGGGGTAGGATGAGTCCCTGGGTAAACGCCGCCATACGGCGAGCTATGCTGCGGTTGGCGGGAGGATGTGTAGCGCGCGGATGATTGACGATGTCGCCCATCACCCAACGACGGCATCCCCGCACCTGCGCTTGCCACGCTCCCCGCCGACCCGATGCTGAGATCGCTCCCGACTCGCTGACGCCGCTCCCGCCCCGCCGCCCCGATGTCGTGGGCACCGCCTCCGCCGCTTCCACTCCCGCTCCCGCTTCCGCTGTTGCGGCGGCGTTGGTGGTGCGAAGAGCCATGGTCGGACGCGGGGCGGCCGCGCGGTGGGCTTTTGTTGCTGCTGCGGGCGGAGTTGCCGGGGACGGTGGCGAGCATAAGATTGGGGGCATTGGCACGCTGGGCGATTTCTTCGTGGCCCATGTGCCATAGCATCGATTCGACCGCTCTCCAGGGGAGGCCCATTTCTTTGGCAGGGATGTCGAACATGTCTTTGCGGAATCTGGGAGAGGGAGGGGTTAGTCTGGAGCCTGTTTCCTTTTTCATAGATTGCACTGCACTAAACTGACTGAGAGAGGCGTTGAGTGTAGCGAAGCGGTGAAAAGCCATGAAAACAGAACCTACCTTGCGTACAACCGCGCCAACTTGTTCTTCCGCTCCTCATCCCACTCCGGCCTCTTCTCGCTATAGTTCTGATACCGCAGCCGGCAACTAATCGCGCTCCGTCCCGGCAATCGCTCCGCAATGTCATCCCACTTCATTCCCGACCTTCGCAGCTCGATATTCAGAGCGTCTTCTTCCGGTGCCCACTTCGTCTGCTTCTTAGCCGGTGGCGAGGAGGCGCCGGCAGACAGTGGACCCCCAGCCGGACGTTTTCCGGAAATATTCGTGTTGATGGGCGGGATGCCTGGAGCGAGGTGGTGATGGAGTCCGTGATGGCCACGTACCATGCCACCACTCGTCCCCAGTGGTCCGGTGGAGTTAGGTTGAAGATGTGGGAGGTGAGGAGCAATGCCGTAGGAGTGATTCTGAGCATGGTGTGTCCGTGGTGGCTGAGAATAAGCGAAGCTTGGGAGTGTTGCCTGTGTTGGTGGTGCGGAGTAGATCGGTCGCAACTCCACCCCTCCGTACTGAGAATGGTATGTAGAGGGCGATGATGCCGAGGGGCGCTGTAGCGATGAAGGAGCGTATTGATGCAATTGTGGAGGTATTGATGTTGGGGGAAGCCCTGCTCCTAAGCCAGATGGCAATCCAGCTGTGGACAATCGTCTCTCCAGCGTCCCCCCAGCGGACGGCGTCGTGTACCCCGTCGTCGGATCTGACGACTGGTATCTGTTCGTGGACGCATATACCCCGCCACTGGTTCCAGCTCCATTGCCGCCATCTGACGAAGAGAAATGTCCCGCCGACGATGTCTTGGAGGTCGAGCTCCTGGTTCCTGGACCGGGAGACTCAGAGTCCCGCGACTCGAGGAGCCGGGAGATATCCACGGCGTCGGTATTCCTTCTGCTGGCTGGAAGCGGGAGAATCCAGCCCGCAGGTAATTGAACTAGTGTCGATGTTATTTTGGCGGTGTAGACACTGATGAATTTATGTTCGTCGACCGTTCCGTTTCGAGGATCTTGCAACCGAACTTCTTGAGTTTGCTGACCAGCTTCTGAGTATCGAGTAAAACTCAGAGACCAGACAAACGAATGTATCTTCAGCTCAAACAATTGCTTCGTAGCATGCTCAAATATTCGACTGAGAAACGGATTACCACGGTTGGGGATGGACCGCTCTTTGTGCGACTGGCGAAGTAATTCGAAGTGTTGCAAACAAACAGAACTGATTACCACTCTCGGCCCAAACTCCAGAATGCTCGTAATAGTGGTCAATGATATTGGTTCTAGTTCAATATGCGGCGTTCGATCGTCAATAGATGGACCAGGACTGGGTTCGGTTGAGCGCTCTCCAGGACCCGTTTGTTTCGCTTCTAGAAAAACAATATCTCGGCTGCCCGAGTCTGCTATGCCCTCTGAGAGGCTCGACTCCTTCAGGATTCCGTCCGTTCGCCGTTTCTAAAGAATTCCGCAATCGATGGATTTTCCTGATGTGGTAAGGCTGCACTGTGTTTGAGAGGTGTACCCCGGAGGGTTGCGGTCGAGAGTTAATTTAGTTGAAACCCGGAGTAGCTTGCCAACACTCGAACGTTCATAAGAAACCTGACAGAAAGCACAGGACAGCTACAGTATTAAATAGTTTCCAGTGTTTCAGCTTTGGTGATCCAAAGGATTTCACAGATTCGAGCCAATCTGCGGGCGCCTTCTAGAGTTCCAGTTGATTGGTCTAAAGTAGGTCTTTTCGAAGTAGAAGAGGTTCGTGGGGCTTCATCAACTCAAAGATGAGCTCAATATTCGTAAAGAATCAAGTTGATGGGACTCGTCGCGTTCGTGGGCAGGTCGTGGAAGTCGTAGGCAGTCGTCAATAAGTATGACCCTAAGGGCCCCCAACACAACACGGGCCCGAATCCGCTCAGACAGGGAAGAAAGGGGGACAATGCTGTGGCGTCTATTTGTCTTGAGAATAGACAACTGACTGGACACAGGTATCGTCGTGCGCGATGAGCGGAGCGGAGGTCAGGCAAAGGAGGAGACGGATGAAGGCGCAAGAGTCGCAGGGGATGCTCGAGTCGATATATTCGTCCAGGCTCCCAGCGAATCCGCTTAGAACTGCTTCTGGATGAGGTGGCTGCAGAACAGGGTGCGTAATGAGACGCAAAGGGATCGCGTTTGGGCTGAAGTCACTGGGCGGCAAGAGACGACAGGATCAAGTGAAGAGCAGTTGAGCCAGACAAACGTCTCCAATGAGGTCGTCACGTCGTTCTCCGATGCTGTTGGACGCCTTCACATCCACTATGGTTCGTAGAACAAGGAACTGGTCCAGGGTAGCAAATCATCATATCAGCCAATGATGACTAGGCAAGACGACATAGCTATTTAAAAGAATAGCGTTGGAGCATAGCCACAGGTGACTCAGCCCGCGAAATAAGACAAAGTGAAGAAAGGAAATAGTAATGCTAGGTGGACTTGCATCACAAATAGGATGGAGGTGCTGGAGAAAGATGGAAACAGTGGTCTGTTTGGGGCACAAAAGCTGGTGCGGTATGAATTCTGCCGAATAAGTACCAATCTCTCGCATATCCAGCCTTGCGCCACATACACTTGTGCAGCCCGAGGTTGCGATGAGATGCTAGGATGATACCGTATCCAAGTAGGAGATGTCGATGGGGCTCTGTCAGTGAGCCGTTGATCCGATGTCACCTTCTCCCAAACGGTTTCTTTATATCAAATATATCAATACGGCAATGATTTACTCTTGATGCACTTACTTTCTTTCTCGGGGATTTGACTAGCAACGCCATATCTGGACATAGGAGAAATGGTTCTCCTCCCGTCCACAGACAAGACATAGAATCCAACGTCGCATCAGTGAACCACGTCAAATTGGGCGGTGAAAAGGATCCGGGATCTTCTTGGTTAGACCTTGCTTCTTTTGCGCTGGCTCGGGTGGATGCCAACGGATATGTTGTAATCGACGGGTCCCCTTCTTTGGAAACCGATCTGCTGGACGGGGTGGGTGGCGGAAAGGACGTCAAGACAAGGTGAGTTAGCGAACGATGAGAAAGTTGATGCGTTGGCCGAACCTGATCTGCAGCCGCAGTCGCCTTACTTACTCTGGCCGAACAGCGAACCCCGTCTTAGGCCGCCTAGTTACCTCAGTCCATGCAGGAGTGACGCGCACCAGCCCCCATCCCAGAGACGAGAGACGAGAGGAGAGCCCTAGTTGTTCAAATCCCGTAAAGGAGCCCAAAATAAATATGGTAAGCCGTCGCTAAGGCCATCCATTTCGCACTGTTCATCATATAATTTCCTTGCAAAATGCAACTGTCGTCTGATTTTGCCCAGAATCAAGAATAGCTGGAGGCCTGAAGCAGTGCGAACGATAAATCCTTGCTCCAACCACGTTAGATCTCTGGTTACCCCAAGCGAGGATTTGCCGACCAATCATCGGTTCCGTTCGGTTGCCCTGGTCTCTGACGATGCCTTGCAAGCACACATATTTCCAGAAACCATGTGTCACTGCGAAGATTTGTGCTCCATAGAACGGCAACACACCACATTGCGCATTTCAAAAGATGACAATTGAGTTCGCGTATACACATTGGGATGGACACGAGCGGTGCATCTGAAACACCTCCACAAGGCTCAATGACCGGCCCGCTGCGGCTTTGGATTCGTGTGAATAGTTGGTGGGTTTGTACCACGTCATCACGATTCCATATCTCCCAGCCAACACTACTTCTGCCAGACGAATTATATTAGGGAAGCAGCGCGGGTCGAACGGAAAATGTAGGGACCAGACAGTGCCAGCACTTTTGTACGACACTCGGCAATGCAGCGGTGAGAACATTCTGATTTAGAGGCTGGCTGCGTGCATAATTTCTGCTCAGTACCAAAGTCAGTGGTATTTAGGCTATGGCATCAGCTGTAGATCTTGGTCGACATTCCGAGAGGATATTGCGGGGTCTATCCCTTCGATCACTGAAACCTGAATGGGGATTGAAATGTGTCAATTTCCATGAGAACAGTCCGGGGCTCCAGTGCCAACGATCTTCGCCTGGCATGTGCACAGATCTTGGGTTCTCTGTTGGCTGTTGCATGATATAAGGCGTATGATCAGTTCGAAACTGATTCTCGATCGTGGCGGTCCACTAAACCAAATCACCGGGACTGGAAGGCTCGGACAGTTCCCCCTTTTTCAGGGGTGGGTTGGGGGGATGTTGAAAACGAGCCGTGTGCATGTGCAGGATGACAATTGACATTTGACAGGTAGCATGTATTGTTAATCCGTGTCCTTTATGGGCCCCGAATCCCCCCATGCAGCGGATAATCTTCTTGGGCTCCAGCGCCCTCGTCAACTGGTGGTGGGAGTCAACGAAAAAGAAACGGCGGCACCGCAGCAGCAGTAAGTAATGAACGATTTGCTGCTCGCGTGTCCATCGGCTCCATTATCCCTTGGGGGATTCAAGCATTTCATGACGCTGCTCTTAGCCGCATAGGAGCGGTGAAGGTCACACGCGATTGGACATTTGGACGGGAGATATGGTTTGCTGGATTCTGAATGGAGTGCCTCGGATGAGGGGGGAATGATGTACGAGGATAAGGCCGGTAATGAACTACTATGCAAACCAGGCGCTATTGTTAGCATTAACAGGCAGACACAATGAACGGTTGAAAGGATCGGGTAATATTAGTGATGATCAGCAACAACATTAGATCGGGAAGTGTTGGAATGATGGCTGTGTCAAGATGTGCGGAGTAAATAGGATTGGAGTCTTAGGAGGAACAGTTTAAGTCACGTGCAAAGGCTAGATCCTCGCTTCCCATTGGAAAAGCACGTGATTGAGGCTTGATCCGAAATTTACCCGAATTGCATCCCCACCGTCGTGTCACGTGCCTGCCGGCTTTTTGAGTTCGCGATGTTAAGGTTCCTTGAATATTCTAATGTACAGTATCCAAACCTGCATCAGACAGATTGAAACTGTAGTCCTAACAACGTCCGAGGCGCGAACTGCTGGATCTCGGAACCATTGGAATCCCGATCGCATGTGGGTCTGATCGAGCCACACGCAGACCAACTGTGGATCAAGACCCAACCCCGTCGAACCTCCTGTGATCAGAATCCGCTGGATTCGACTGAAACCTCGGTGCTCTGTCCAAGGAACCTCATTTCTCTGGCAAACGAGCAGAACGCTTCATCTGATCCCATCCAACTTCCAAGTTCACGCCAAACTCACGGGAAAATCCTCCACTACACAAGTCCCTACCCCTGCCTCCGAGCCTCACTCTCCAAGGATCAGAAGTATCCAACCTTTTCTCCATACTCTGTTCTCCGTAGTCGATCCTAGTCTCATCTATTCCCTCCCTCATGATCTAAAGAATTTGACCATCGACATCATGGCGCACTCTTTTCAGTCTTCAGCCGACGTCTCCATCAATGTCGTCTCATCCGCATCCGAATCGGAACGCAGAATCTCACCCGCATGGACTTTAGCCCAGTTCAAGACCCGCCTGGAACCTATCACGGGGATCCCGAGCGGCTCGCAGAAGCTCGAGCTGCGTTCTGACGTCGCTTCGGTCGAGCTCAGTGCACCCGACGACGATGCAGTTATGTTGGCTGCTTTCCCACTCCGGGAATACAACGAGATATATGTGAGTACAACTATAGCTACAACCCCTGCCTCCAGTCATTCTTCGTCCGCTGCTTAATTGCACTCCACCTGTAACCTGCGTCGCCGTCATAAATGTTCCGTCAGCCTAAAAACAAGCGTGGTCAGCGATATCGATATGCAAGAAAGATCGTCACGCATTTCAACACGATGCCCTGCGTGCTGCAGCTTGTTGCCGCGGCGTATAGCAGTGTGCCACATGTGTCGATTAGATCCATTGCCAAACCTTTCCAAATGGTGATTCCATGTTCTCCGGCTAGCCCCGACAATTCATGATTGACCCGACCCAGTTCTCCAGTCTAACATGTCTTCCTTTGTCAATGCAACGCATGCTTCGGATGTGTCTCTGCAGCATACCCCACGTTCATCCACTTTCTCTATTTACCCTAAGTTATTGAAATGTTTCCGTGTGGGTTTCGGCCCATCTGAATGTTGATACCCAAATTGCACCGCGCTGAGACCGCGTCCGGTTCGTGTCGATCACCGCACCTCTGAGTTCTGCTTGACGGACATCTGGTGAGCTGACGGACAATTTCCGCATTCTTCGCCGGCTAAACTCTCGGAGCCCCGGTGCCTGAACCTGGCGAAACCTGTCATTTTCAGACCCCCACCGGAGCAACCGATCTAATCACACCACTTGGTGCTCGAGGGCCGAATTGAGCTTTGAGATGGAATCCAGAATTGGGCGAAGTAATAGCTGTACGCGTCCCTATGATCCAGAGTGCTTCTTCGGCTTTGGTGGCCTCGATATTCTTCGGAACCATTGGTTGACAGCACGATCTTGGTCTGGACTGTCTCAAACTTGCGATTGCCCCTTGCCAATCAGTACTTGGGGAAGAAGATGTCTCAAGTTATCGGATTCTTTGTGCTCAGAACATTGAATTCCGAGTGTCAAGAGCCAATCATCTTATGTAACCGGGGGGAAAGAGAGCATGGCGCTTCCTGTTGGCCACGGCATGTTGGCGATGCATCTCAAATCAAGTCGAAGACCTGCTTCGCTTCTTCGCGGCCAGACAAGGGATTTCGGACTCTCCGTTTACCCCTTAAGCAGATCGCTTGTCGCCGAAAAACGCAAAACGGGATGGACGGCAGGTCTCGCATGAGTCGAACGTTTCCGGTGCTGAGGCGACATCTGACCTGCAGAATTTCTACACTCTATCTTCTGGTTCGCATCTGTTTTGCAGGTTGATTCCATTTCCCTTGGTCCATCCTTCCTCAGGGTGCTACCAAAAATGCATGCTAAATTCGTCTGTTCGTGCACACCGTATGAGGACGACTGTATTTTAGGCCAGAGAACATGGAACACTCAAGAACACGCTCCCAATGAGCATTGTAGGCAAACCAAGGATCTCGTCAAGGCACGATGGCGACCATGGACTGGCTGGTGCAACATGACGCGCATTTTGACACGCATTTCTACACACGACAGCAGCAACTCCCACCCCTTCAATAATCCGCCTCTCATCACAGAACGATACGCGGCTCCCCCAATATCTCATTAACGCTCTCACAGGTCCACGATCTCCGGCCTCCGTCTGCTCGTCCCAACTACACCGACCTCTCCGCCGTCGAAAAATACATTATGCCCGAGGACACCTACGCCTCCCTCTCCGACTCCGTACTCCGGTACAAGCAAACCAACAAACTCGGCCGCTTCGCCCCCACCGACCCATCCACCGCCGGTCCCTCTCCCGCCGGTCCCTCTCCCGCCGATCTCCACGCCGCGTCCATCCAGGACCGCAACATCACCGTCGGTGCGCGGTGTTTCGTCGGCGGCGATGAGGCGCGCCGGGGCACGGTGAAGTTCGTTGGGGCGGTGCCGCAGTTGCCTGGACCGGAGGGCGCGCCGTGGGTGGGGGTGGAGCTGGATGAGCCGACGGGGAAGAATGATGGGAGGGTGGCGGGGAAGCGGTATTTCGATTGTGGGGAGAAGAGAGGGGCGTTTGCAAGGGGGGATAGGATTACGGTGGGGGATTACCCGGAGTTGGGGTTGGATTTCGGGGAGGAGATGGAGGAGATTTAGATAGTTCAAGTGGTCGGTACTACCACCGCAGGACATGAGATGTTGGATTGCGAGAACTGTCGCGTTGAGATACGTTGTTAATATGTGCCTTTCCTTGATGTACCCCCAACCACAACCGAAATTCCGTTCCACCCATGGGTCGGTCTAGCGAAGTAGAAATTCTTTCATGAAACTCATCATCATCCTCCGGGACATAGCCTTTCCAATCAACGCCTTCCGTCATGGTATCGAGACAAGAATCCAAAACACCTAATCAAAACGCCTTTACTCATCCATGACCATCTCACACCCCTGTGCAAAGAATATTCTCGCCGGCGTCGCACTATCGTTATTGATCGAATAGGTATTCCCTAAAAACACCACAACATCTGTCAGCCTACCGATTCAAACTGGAGCTTCATGCAGGATTTCGTGCACCGTATCGAAGCATTCTAGAAGCGAAATGAAAGATCGATAGCTGTGGAACAGAACTCGGACAGAAAGTGAAGATGTGGCCAGGGGGCATAAGTTGGGCGCATAACGCCGATCCATGCCATCTGGAAAGGATTGGAACGAAAACCAGGGTAGCAACGGCCATCGCAATCGGGGAAACGGCAGACGGGGAGGCGGGTAGACGATACGGCCCTCAATAGTGCCACCAAACTTCTGCTCAAGCCCGAGGAAGCAGCCCGATGCTGTTGTGTAACGTCGCACAGGCATGCTCCGCAAAGGAAGTTTGACCAGACGAATTGATCTCCCAGTCACAACACCGCGAGCCAGAGCATGCTCCCGCATCTGCGCGCACAGACTGTAGCTCAAGCGCGGGTTGACGCATTCCCGCAGCAACGGTGAGGTGGTCGTAGAGGTTGTCCTGCGGCTCTATGTCGTGGTGTGCCGCTCCTTCGGGTGTGCGGACAGATTTAGGAACGTTGATCATGCTAGGGCAGGTGGATCCAGTAAGGTGGCCGAAAAGCAAACACACAGATGGCGCAGGTAGCCGCAAAATGCAATAGTGGGGGTGATGTTGGAGGAGGGCAGGTAGGAGATGGTAGCACAAGGAGAAATTGGAATCGATGAAGAGTTCACCGCTTTTTGAGAGACAGGTGGGTTGGAACAGGCAAGGAGATGAGATGAATCAGGTAAGAGAAGAGAACAGTGAGATGGAAAGATGTATGCGATCTCTGGCGGAAATAGCTGGGCTTGCAGGGCAGCAGATTGCACGGCCGAGGGACCACCATCAACTATTCAGGAACGTCTCGGCTTGGGTTCGAATGCTTCAAGATTCGGTGGATGCGTGGTCTCATTCCGTCGGGAGTATCTCAAGCCAGGCAGAAGACAAGCAAATAAGAGGAAAAGGGAAAGAAGGAAATGGTCACTTACCCCGTGGAACCGACCAAAGGCCGCCTTTGCTGATAGCAAAGACGCAGCCTTCATCCCCAACACTCACGGTGACCTTCCCCTCGTGTACGAAGAATGTCATCTGCATTCGTCGGGAATTCTTCGCTCTCTTGTAGCCACCGGGCGGGATATCGACGAGTCCGGCACCGAAGAAGGGTAGCGCAATGCATTTGCCGTATTGGAAGTCAGCGCCCGCGACGTCTTTGAGTTCGATGGAGTTTCGTCCGTAGGCGATCTCTACAAGCACGTAAGCATGAGGAAGTAAAGGAGCGGCAGCAGAGGAGTGGACGGAGTGAGGAATCGACTTACCCATCTCCACGTCCTCGCCTTCTAGATCTGGGTTCATAGCCAAATCCCATGACTTCACCCGCCCTGTCAACACCCTTCCCTCCGCCTCCCATTCTTCCATCCCTTCCTCTTCCTCGACCTCCTCGACCTCCTCCTCCTCTTCCCTAATTTCTTCTAAACTCCCAAGTCTATTCGCCGGCGGCCTTGACTTCGCGCCTAGCTTCTTCCCCTTTGCCGCCTTCTTTTTCTTCTTCAACTCCATCTCCGCCTCCTCCACTCTTGTCACCCCCTTGATCGACCCATCGTGCGCGCGATCCACCCGCTCGCCACACCACCAGTGGACCGGCTGGATGCTCGTCCGCCCACTCCGCGTCCTCAATGCACCGTCGTCCTCGGACGGCGTGGCTTGTCGGAGAATCTGCAATGTGCGTGGCGCATGACTGCGACTTCGTCCATTGGATGGCGCAGCAGATGCTCCTCGAGAGGCACCGCGCGCCACGCTTCCCGTTCGTGCACGGGTCGGTGGAGAGTAGGTATCGCGGGCATAGGCTGGTGGTGGGAAGGACGGTTTTGCGGAAGCACCACGTGAGACAGTGCGGTTCATTCGAGCATTCGGGTCGCGCGCTGCGGGCTTCTTTGATGTTTTGGCCCGTTTTGCGGCAGGTGGCGGCATGCTATCGGACGCCTCAGCGCCCGCCTCTGCGTAGTCATCTTCGTAGATCTGGAGTTTTTTATTTGCATTGGTAGCTGTACTGCGGCGAGTCTTAGCCTTGCTCTTTGCGTTGGCAAGCGTTGGATCATAATCATCTTCGTCCGAGAAATCCGTAGTAAAGCGCTCGGGTGTCTCTGCATCTGGCAGATCCTGGGGCGGTGGCAGATCCTGAGGCGCTGCGATAGGTACCTTAGGGGAGATATCGTAGTGGCTAGCTTCGATGGGCCCTGCAGAAGGTTCCATCTGAAGTAGTGAGGGGTCAATGGCCTCATCGGAAATGCGCTTTCGTTTGTTTCGTGTTCCAGAGGACGGAGCATCTTGAAACGGATCCGAGGGCATGTTCGAGATATTACTGCTTCTTACGGCGCCCTTTCTTTGACTTTCGGGAGTCGAACTCACGGTCTGTTCGGCCCGGACAAAGGATTGGTTCGCCCCATGCAGCATCTGGATAGAATCATCGTCGCCGTAATGTGGTAGAGTGTACTCGTCATCTTCATTGAGTCCATTCATATGGACAGGGCTGCTTCGAGGTAGAACTTCGTCCTCTGCCACACTAGCCTGACTTTTCCGCCTGATCAGCGGACTCTGCTCCGGCTCGTATCTACCAATTTTGATGGTCCTTGTCGGGCTTCGTTCGATGCTCGCAATCGGCTCGTCCATATCAAAGTCCAGTTTCCGTATCGGTGGCTTCCGGAGCGATCCTGTTGGGGTCATGGCTGCCTTCCTTGCCGAGTTCGCTGCGATTGAAAGTCGTTGTGGTGAAGACCCGAGAGACGTCTTGATCGGCGATCGACCCATTGGTGGAGGGAGCAATTTCTTTCCGCTTTGCATCAACCTCCTCGCTGATAGGACTTCGGTGACTTCGGGCGCAGAGCCTATCGGGAAACGTAAACAAGATGCACCAATGTGTTTTATAGTCCGGTTGGTGGTGTCATACTCATCTGCATACTCTCACCTGATGCGCTCACAAGTTTCCCATTCTGGGTTTCGAATATCTGCTTCGGCGGGCTCTTCTGCGGACTCGAGAAGATGCCATCGAGGGGCATCATCCCATTCTCGTCTCGGATCCCAGTGTCTTTGAGCGTGATTCCGGTTTTCCTGTGGTCCCAATGGTCGATTAGAATTCATCTCATCTTCCATGTTGTCTCGTCCGATGTTGGGACGCGACTGCGCGATCATCACTCACCGTCCCTGAATGCCGACATCGAAGAACTGGTTTTCCCGCCGCTTAATGCGACCGGGAGTTAGCACAGCAGACGCCATGGCTTATAAACGTCCAAAGATGCACGCTTAATTCCAATGCACCTTTAAATATACGACAATGTGCACCGTGTCCGGCGTTCGAAATGAGCGAGCGACAAGTAATCATGGGGTGGAGATGGTTGTTTTGGTGGAGGCTTCGAGTTGTTGATGTTCCAGGTCGTTGTTGTCCCTATCCGACAGTACTGCACTATACCAAATATGGCTTAGCGTCACTTCGATTTTCGAGGCTGTAAGGCGGTAAGGCATCTGATCCCCTTCTCACATTCATGGACTGCCCCTGAACACTGGTCCTTAAATGTTATCCAAGACCTACAAAAGAATAGGAGAAATATCAGGTATTTTCAACTGCCTCGAACATAACACTTGAATGCACATCTACTCATGGTATATGAGTTATTCATAAATACATTACATTGATTAACATCTTGCCGATAGGTTAGATGGGTTTCTGTGTCAACTACTTGACATCCCTCCAAATGACACCCTTCCCTTGCCAGCTTCAGATCTTCTCCCAGGTCTATATTAATGCATCCTCGCCGCTCTGATATATTAGATCAAAGAAGATCCTAAATTCTGATGGAGGAGTGAGGCGAGTGTTGAACAAAAAAAAACTGCCGAGAAAGCGTGCTAGCTACCGCGGGGGTGGGAAGAAACTTATTCTAGCTTCCGATGGAGGGAGGGTCGAGAACCGAAGATGTTGCTTGGTGGGGTGTTACGCGGACCACCAAAACCGCTGTCCGATGACGCAGAACCGAAGATTCCGATGCCTGCCTAAGGAGTAGGGCCTGGAATACCACCGAAAGGTCTGTCTGATGACATGGATGGTGCCAAAATGGAACCTGTTCCTCCCCCTCCATTACTAAAGGCTCCAGTACCAACTGCTCCAGCACCAACGGGAGTACCAATGGGGCCAAAGCCACTTCCTCCGGTGACAATGGTTCCAGTGCCAGCGCCTCCTGTACTAACGCTAGTACCACCGAATCCGGCACCAAGACCACCAGCATCAGTGCCACCAGTCTCAACCCTTCCAGTTCCAGTACCAAAACTACACAGAAGGTAAACACTATTCCACGACCAATTGCACGTCTCAATGCCGCTAGAACCAGCGTCCATTTACCGGCCGTTATTATTAGGTCGATGAGTGGGGCATATATGACCATATCCCCTTGGTTCTCGGTTGGCCCTCCAGTCCGCCAAGCAGATCCAGCAAAATTCATACGAACACATCCTGCACGTCATATGATCGCAGCCATCGCGCTTCTGAATGTTCCAGCCGCACCGCTGATTCGGGCACCGTTTGCTCACCCGTGCAATCTCCAATGCGGATTGCGCCTCCTCTTCCCTCCGCCTCTCCTCCACGGGGTCGTAGTTGATGCGCTCTTCGTAATCTTCGCATGTCTCGCCGGTGTGCCATGGAATGAGCCGGATATTTCCTCCCTTCGAACCAATCGCCCGGCCACTTCGCAACTCCATTCCCGCCTGCTCTGGCGGCGCATCAGGATGGTGTACATCTGAAGTGCAGGCTCGATATTCGCACGCAGCACAGGTGAAAATCGTGGCAAATTCCGAGCCATCGTAGATTTGTCCGCTGTCGCAGTGCGGCCCAATGCACCAGACGAAATTCGGGAGGTCGTTGAGGGCGGCCCTCGTTTGCAGCTGGTCGTATCGCTCGAAATCTTCCGGGTCCGCGAATTTCTTGACGTCGGTGAAGGCGAGGACTCGGTTGCAGTCTGCGTCCGGGCAGCGTACGTTGACTTGGCCAGCAGAATCCTCCAGGGATTTATGGATCCATTGGGAGAGACATGGGCGGCAGGTCATCCGTGGGTGTGAGCATTTCTGGCTGGCATTGGGGCATTCGAAAAATTCGTCTCCGCACACTTGGCATTCGCAAGGCTCCGATTGGCGCTTCAGGGTGCGTTTGGGGGTGCGTCTCGACTTGGATTGGGCAGCAGCGTCGAGTTGAGCTGTGAGTTTATTGACCCGGAGTGTCAGGATTTCAAACTCCCTTTGGAGGTTGTTTGTGTATTCAGAGGAAGGAGGGAGAGTTGAGATATTTGTCAAGTCGGATGAAGGTCCATTCCCCGTTTCAGATTCTTTTGGACTGGTTCGTTTCTTCTTCTTCTTTGGAGGTGCTATTTCGCCGGGGATTCGTGCCATGGCTTCTGCTTTACTCGTTGTAGCGGCCTTGTCGAGGTCTGGGGGAGGGAAATGGATAAGAGAATCGAGGGCGCCATAAAGTACTTTTTCCGTGCCCATCCTCTGTGATACACGCGTGTATTGTGATGTGCCATGTGTTAGCGGGCTCGGTGATGATGACTCGGCATGAGAAACCGTTGAGTTGCGGAACCGACCAATATCACTCGTAGACCAAGGTGTCCGCTCGAAGACATATGCATGCCGACGTTCGAAATCATACAGTGAGCCACTTGGGGTGTTTTGGATGCTGTCGTTTGGGGGAAACGTAAGAACCGAATGTGTTGACCCTTCATTGTCCCTAACATCCACGGTTGGTATTGTGACTCTCAGCCTGGCTGCCCCTTTTGACGTAGTTCTCCTGGAATGGCTAGAAGATTGGGACGAGTTGTCGTCTGAATTATGGCTGCCTCGAGTGGCTCTTCTCCGATCTTGAAGGTGAGCAGACAGTGGTCGAGAATAGTTTACTCTTTTCGATCGCGATAGCGGTGATGAAGGCGGGATGTGCAGTAGATTGAAATCATCGTAATCGGATATCGTTGCGGAGAGCCGGGGGGTGGTCATACCCGTCGAAGCGGACGAGACTGGAGATGTGTTTGCCGATGATGAACGCTGGCCACCTCCACGGACAGAAGATGCTGATGACGAGGCACTGTGGCCGTTTGCAGGGTGGGTTGGCTTGGAGTCCCCAGAGATCCTAAGTCGGAGCCCCTTGAAGAGGTTACCAACTCGCTGCGATCTTTCGGTTCTGTCAACCCTCGACTTCGAGTTCTCCCGACTCGCCGGTGGAGTCGGTTGGGAGTAAAGAACAACACCTGACATATTGGGAGGCACAACTTAGAACACAGGTTCTTTAAGTAACACAGAGACTAGAAGTAGATTTAGGAAAGGAAGACTCGGAGCATCAGCGTAGACGGACAGGCGTCCGAAGACTAATATTCTAGAAATCTCTAGGAAGGGAAATATAGGAATACCGTACCGTATGGCCTTACAATTGTAGCAACCGGTTAGTTGATGATCTATGGTCATGTCTTCCTACACAGCCATCAAATAATTCTCACCATCGTGCCGCAATGGACACACGCCTTAGGCGTGAGCTACGGGTGAGTGCCATGGTTGCCTGGCACCAACGAGACACCAACGAGGCACGATCCATGGTATCACGACCAATAGCGCCCGATATAGACCCGTCCGAATTTCCAGTGTCAAAATCCTAACGGCCTGTACACTTGTCCCACGTGTTCTGCCAGACCGAGCGATCCATGGCACGTTTGGGGAGGTTGGCGGACATCTGGTTGGTGCAAAGGCGTGTTCGTTACACCTCCGTCCAACACTGCCTGCCTTCAGGCTTCCACCAATATCGCCGGAAGGCGTTTCGCAGCATGAAGTCGGAATCCGTAAAAGTGATGGCGAAGTAGGTCGGTGAGTTCTCTCAGCCTCATGGGGTTGAAGTTCGCCCTATCAACCGGTCAAGGGTCCGGCCTCGTAATCTGCCGCACTCACGCTGTCCATCACAGCCGGGGGGCCAACGACCAACTTCATTATATTTTCGTCAGGGGCGATAACAAAATCGTGATCGCCTAAAAATATGACTACATCCTTCAATCGTTAATAATAGGCACTATGACTGTAGTTGCATGGGATTGAGAGGAAACCGAGATGTGGAGAAGGAGTCCAGCGTTTCTCGAGTCGAAACGACAGGGCAGAGTGCAAGTCAAACAAGCTCTGAATATTGGTTTAACAGTCCCGGTGCTTTGTAATAGCTATCTCCATTTGAAGGAACAGTGGCAGAGTGGAACAGTCCTTGACATCCATCGCAAAGGCTGCTCTGTCGCCCCCAAATCAATCTCAACGCCCTGCTCAAATGCTCGAAGAAAGGCCCCCAACAGCCGTCCTCCTACTGCATACCGCAGCGATATCTCCCCTATAGTACACGGCGGAAGAAAAAAAGGATGATGTAAAGCAAAATATAAGACATTAGAAACTGGTATCGCTAATGACCACGGAAACCGTCCGGGGGCCACGGTCAAGTTGGACTCAGCATCACCCAGCAAACATTACCCCCTCCCGAAGACCTCACGGCCTCCCTTGCTCTCCTGCAGGACTCGGCGGACTCACAACCGTCACCGGCGCCGCACTTAGCTGCGGACCATCCATAGCATCCGGGTTACCCGATATGCTTAATTCGGCGCTCGTTCTCGGCACCTCACCCTCGCCCTCCCCACTCGCACTTCCACTAATCGCGCTCAATCGATTCCGCTCCACATCCTCCCCATCCCTCGGCTCCTCCAACTCCGTAATCCGCGAGTTCCTCGACCCACGACTCCACGCCGCCTCCTCACTCGCCGCATTCGCCGCCGACTCCGCCGCTGCGCGTCGTCTCCGCCTCCTCTCCCGCTCATCGTTCGCGCTCTCCCGCCGCTTCCGCACCCGCACCTCATCCCCGCCCTTCCCGCTTTCCGCCCGCAATCCCGCCAGCAGCGCCTCCGCCCGGTCGCCCACGTCCTGTTCCGCCGCGTCGCCGCCCGCCGGCTCCGTCGACGGTCCTTCGCCGGCGTCGGATATCGGGGAGAGCAACCCAGTCGGGTCGACGGACACGGACACGGAACCGGCGTCGTCGGCGTCATCGGAGCCGCTCCGGATATCCGGGATATTTTGCCCGGATGCGACGCGCACCTGATGTCGGTCCTTGAGGCGGGCGCGGCGCCGGCGGTCGCGCTGGTCGCGGGTGTCGGTCTTGGCTTCGCGGAGTTTCTGAAGGAGGGAGTCCATCGCGCCGGTGGACGCGGGAGAGGGCGGCGCGTCGCCGTCGACAGCCGCGGTGACGTTGATGGTTTGGGCGCTGATTTGCTTGCGGCGCATGCTGACTTCGTTGCGGCGGCGGGTGTCTTCGATCTCGACGTTCTTGGCCTTGCTCTTTTTCCATTCGCTGACGAAGATCGCGAGTTTCGAGAAGAAGTCGCGGCGGGCGTTCTCGTCCGTAGGATCTTCGCCGTAGAAGACCATGATGTTGTCGTACGTTTCCACCATGTTTTCGAGGAAGACTTTCATCTGTTCGGCTTTGCGGCGCGCTTCTTTCATGTGTTGCTGCACGACGATGCTGACACGGTCTTCGGGGTGGAACTTCTTGGGGTCGGACAAATTGCCGGCGTCGAGGGACGCTTGCACGTTGTTGATATTGTCTGTGTATTTCTTGGCCTCCAGTTGGAGCAGCTCGACGTTGAGTTTCTGTGACGTGATGACGCCTTCGATTTCATCGACGAAGCCCTCCCACTCGGGGTATTGCGTTCGCACAATCCGCTCGACGAGATCGGCGAAGGTGGACTCGTTCTTGTCGTCCTTCACCATTCCCAGGCGCGCAAGCGAGCTCAGCTTGAATCCGATCGCTTGCTTGTTGGAATCGTTCATGAAATTTCCGATGTCCAAAATGAGACCCAGGACGTTCATCAACTTGACCGAGTCTCGCAGCGAATCTGATACCCGGACGACATCTTGCAATTTCTGCGAGATCTCGTCGTAATCCGCTTCGTACGTCCTCGTGAGCGACAGCGCCCGGATACGGCTCTTCCAGTAATGGCGGAGCTCGAAGGCAGTAAACAGGTAAATCTGGTCCTCTCGGGTCAGCTCAGACGGGTCCAATTCTCGAGTGGTGCTCGCAGCATCGGGACCGGCCCAGTCTTTGCCGTACGGAGCCATCAACTTGGCGGTGTTGTCGGGAATCACGCAAAGGTCGTCTTTCTGCAAAAAGTCCATAACAACCGCGTTATCCAAGACGTCGGAATCGCAGTGGATGACCTTGCGGACCAGCACTTCAACGGAGACTTGCGAGAACTTGGCAAGGGATATATCTATCCAATCATCAGCATAAACCTCCCCATAGGAGTAATCGAGACACGAGGTACTTACGGAACTTCTTCATCAGATCACTATTAATGATCTGCTTCTTATTATCTTTGGCCATCTGCTTCTTGCCGATCGCCTTGATCTCCTTCGCCAAAAACAACTTTTCCACCTCGTCCAACACGCCCTTCCGGCTCAGCTCCTTGTACTTCTCCTCCCGATCTTCGTACGTCGGCGTGTGCGTCGCCCAGATCGTGGTTTGTGGCGCGTCGACCTTCTCCCAATGCAGCGCCTTGAGCTTCTTCTTCGGCCGCGCGACGGGAAGTGCCATGGTTGGCGCGGTGTTGAGATCACGCTTGGGCAAGAAGCCGCCGGTTTTGGCTCCGGGAAGGGGAGGCGCGCCAGGGATCGGGGGAGGGGGTGGAGGAGCGAAGTTGGAGCCGGTGCCGGGAAGAGGAGGCGGAGGTGGAGGAGGCGCACCGTTGGTGCCCGGTAGTGGGGGAGGGGGAGGTGCACCATTGGATTGGTAGCCTGGCATCGGTGGAGGGGGTGGAGGAGGAGCGCCAGAATAGCCCGGCATGGGTGGTGGAGGTGGGGGTGGCACGTTATTAGCATATCCAGGCATCGGTGAGACACCTTTCCTTCCTCCAGCCCCATCGAATTGCTCATCATCAGGGGTCTTCGGCGACGCGGACTCAATGCTTGGATGTGTCGGCCCCGTCGTGACACCATCGCCCTCCTCATCATCGCTGCCGTCGATCCGTTTCACTTTGTTCGCGATCTCGCCAAGCAGACCCGTCGCTTGCTCCGCGTTCATCTTCGGCCGACGCATCTCGACCAACCGCGGCCGTTCATACACCGTTGCATCCTCGTCCGCCTTCTCGGTCTCGTCATCCGAGTCGAAATGGCGAGCCTTCTTCCCTCGCGACACCGACCCGATGATGCTGTTTTTGTAGTCGCCGATCTCCAACCGCTGGCCCATCGGGTTATCCATCCGCTCACGAAGCTCGCGCAGCTTGTCGCTCGGACCGGGGCCCTGGAATGCCTTGCCTTCTAGCTTCGCCTGCGTCTTCGCGCGCTCAAGCTGCCTTTCCAGCCGGTCCATGAGCCGCTCGCGGTCGAGGATGCCTTGCATCTGAGTCGGGTCTGCGAGCGGAGCTTTGCCGTCCTTCGCTACCGAGGCCGCTGCATCTTGAGCATCCCTGAGCATCAGGTATAGCTCGCGAGTCTCCAGTTCATTTCTTTGGAGCTCCTGGGCCCGCATCCTTTGGACTTCCGCGACCTCGGCCTTCAACGTCTCGGTCTGCCGCCCGCGCAGGTCGATGATCGCTTGCTGCTCTTGCACTTGCTTCTGCAGTTTAGCGACTAATCCATCAGCGCCCAGCTGCACTTGCGCGGTCAACTGATCTCGCTCCGCGAGCGCCGAATCCGCGACCTGCCGCGCTTCGGTAGCCTCGTCCTGCGCTTGGCGTGCCTCGGAGTCGGTGTATAATTTATCCAGCAGATTCTGGACGGTGAAGTTCAAACTCTGCTTGAGGTCCATATCGGGCAGCCTCCGGTCCATCGCCACGTAGCTCAGCATCGCATCGACCAGCTGGAACATCCGCAGCCGGTCTTCTCCCTGGTTATCCCGGATGAGGAGCAAATGCTGCATGGTCGAAATAAAGTAATCGTTCGCTCTCGTTCCGTTGATCTTCGTCTGAATCGCATCCGCGATCTGAATCGGGTCGCTCAAATCCTTCGAATCGCCTTCGACACTATCCACCATGCTCTGGTTCTCCCGTTCCAAGAAATCCTCGTAGTCAATCGCCTCGTTCGTGCGGTATCGGTCGATCTGCTTATCGATCACCTCGTATTGGAACCCCTCCATCTTCGTCAAGATGCGCTTGATGCCGCATGCTGTGAACCCGGCTCGAACATGCACTCGCAGCTGCAAGTCATCCGACGGAGCGTCGACAATCATGTTGATGAGCAGCAAGCTCGCGACAGCGTATTCCATTAGCAGGTTCTCGACCCCGATGCCTCCGCTGCGGACCTCTTCGCTGGCACCCACCAGACTGCCCATCTTGCCGCGCCCGTCGGTGGTGACTTCCACGATGCGCATCCATGCGTCGAAGCGACCATTCTCGCCCTGCGCATGTTTGAGGTTGTCCAGGGCTCCGAGGACCTTCGCGTGTCCCTCACCAGTGCCCCAATGGCACAGAAATGTGAGGATCTCGCTGACTAGCTTCCTCGTATTGAGGCGCGGGGAGATGAGCGAGGCCGCCAACGCCGCGGTGATCTGCGGATGCTGCAGAGCATTGTCGGCACCGTATCGATTGTTCATCAGAGCCTTCAGGCACTTGACGAGGTCATATTCGCGGTCCAGATCCATATCCCGTTTTTTGGTCGGAGGAGCAGGCCCTTGCCCTTGCCTCCGGTTGATCTTCGAGAGCACATTCGTGAGCGCGATCTGCCCTTGTGCTTCGACGAACGCCTTCACCCATCCGATGGGCTGCGTTCGAAGAGAGACGCTTAAGCTCTGCAACTGCTTCGCGGTGATCGAGTTATCCAGCACCTTGCGAACGTACCACTCGGGGCTTCCCTCCTCGTGTGCGCGGTCGAAGACGGTGTCGGCAGCGGTGTGTCGAGCGACAGTTTTTCTCTTCTGATCTCCCTGCCACTCGGCCAGACGATCTTGATATACCAGCATCCATTTCTTGTCAACGGAGTAGTTCTGCATCTGTCGCCGCGCTTGCTCGGGCAAATTAAGCCAGCCGCGCTTGTTCATCAAGCTCAGCCATTCCTTCTCGATGAGGCGGTCATCCGATGGTCGTTTCAAATTGAAGCCATCAGGCGAAAAGGAGGTTGTCGAACTGTAGCGCGAATTCTGGGTTTGTGCGGAGGAATTATACATCGGCGACTGGTGTGATTTCGAGGGTGATATATCCTGCCCATATGTGGAAAATGAATGCTGTGAGGTATTCGTGTGTGACTGGACACTCGGTGTTCGGGCTCCCGAATGGTTCGAGTGAATGCTCGCTTGATCGTCCATACGGTTATTTCCTGGGGCGATTGCCATATCTTGAAAGCCGTTCGATGCGCCTCCTTTCCTATTGTAATTCTGCATGTGTCCGCTTCGATCCCCGGAGGCGCTCGAAGCTGGCGTCGACATGGAGGCATGCGGTGGCGGCCGTGGCGGCGCGTCAGACGCGCCGGGCTTCGGGGGAGGTGCCATTCGATTGATCACCGGGTACTGATGAAAGTCGCTGGTCGCCTTATTTAAATGATGTGGTAATGGCTCCCTCGGGCCTCTCCTCGGCGGATTCTCTTCGTTGGGCAAATAGTTCACGGCAATCGGGGATCCTCGATCCGCGACGGTCTCGTACGGTATCGACGTGATGACGCCCGCCTGCATGTTCAAGCCCGCTGCATCGTGACCCGATGAGCCTGGGCGATCGGTACTAGGCCGTCGATTCGAATGTCGCGAGGACTGCGACCCCGACGGTGCGGGCATCACCGTGGCGGGATCGGCGTTTAAGTAGCCGTAGTCGTTGGATTTCTCTCTATGTCGCCGCGAGAAGAAAGATTTCCCGCCCGACGACTGCCTCGATTTCGCATCCGCGGAGGAGCTGGAGGGCATCTTGTGGAAGATTGTGCCGTCGGTTCAAGCCCAGCTGGACTCCGAGGCACGGGTGCGTAAGGTTGTTGGCGCGGATATTGATGCCCATCAGCGGGCTCGATGCGATGTTGTCGCCAGCTTGCCCTCCTATTCCGACGCCTTCTGTTTATTCGACTTGAGTATGTATTAATCCATGCTGCGTGCAATGTCGTAGGGTAGAATCGGGGATTGCGGTGCAGGATTCCCGCCACCAGCGCGTTCAAGGGGTGTGTATTGCGGTAAACAGGGGTGTGGTCATGTATATCGCTCGATGACACAGCACCGACTCTACGGCAAGGAGTGGAATTGTAAGAGGAGGGAGGAATACGATGTAGTACGGGGACGCAAAAGTGTAGAAACACTTGGGATGGATTGAATTGAGACGTCTTTGCAGTAAACGAGACCAAAGGAGACAAGTGACAGCCATCCGTCAGCACGGACAATGTTCAGGGCGCGAGCGATGAGGCCGTGAAGCTGCATTAGCGGGGGATGAATCACGTCAGCTGTATGGAATCAGTAATGTATATAAGATACATGCCAAAAGGCGGCTGGGACAAAAGAAGACATGATAACTGGTCACTGAACCAGCGCTAATCCGTATATGGAACGAGGTTATATTAGCGGTTATCTTCGGGCTGGGGGTCGATGAAACCTCCGATCACCCGCATAAAGCATGTTGCGTTGCGTGGACAGGAGAAAGAGAGGAGACGTATCGCACCTTACTTCACCACGGCAGGGAGTATTGAACTTCACAGAATGCCGCAATTGGAAGAAGGTACTGTGCAAAGACATAGCGAATGTTCACAGTGCAATTCGATACTCTGAGCGTCGTTACCCTTCTCTCACATCGAATCCAGTACAGAGGCATGAACCTATTCCCCTCCAGATCAGTATCATTATACGCATAACGTCCTCAAACCAAGCCTCAGGAGCAAGGAAAAAGCAGCAAACGGTCAATTCGCCTTCGACACTGATCCAAATGCTCCTAATCTACCTCTTCATTGCTGCATGACACTCATCTCCCGTGTCCTCCCAGCTTCTTTACCAACCTCATCCCAATCTACACATATTCCCCCAACCCAACCATGCCCATAGCCGAATTCCTCAAGGTGCGTCCCCCTCCCTCTATCCAACCCACCCGACAACCAACTAACCCCCGCATAGACCCTACTCCCTCCCCTCCTCATCTCCCTCGCCCTCTTCCTCCTCATCACCTACCTCCTCCTCCCCCTCTACCGCCACCACCGCAACCGCTACCGCTCCTACGCGCCCCTCTCCTCCTCCTTTGAATCCCCTGTCTCCCTCGCCTCCCTGCGCGACCTCAGCGCTCCGTTCCGCGCCGTCGCCGCCCTATTGCCCGCTGCGTGGCGCTGGGAGTATTTATCTCGGTTTCGGAGAGGCCGTGGTAGGGGGGACGGGGCGGGGGATGGGGCGGATGGACGGGGGGAGGCGGAGGCGGAGGGCATGTTGGATATGCCGCCGGGGTATGATCAGGTGGAGAGGGAGGAGGGGTGGGGGAGAAGGGATCGGTTGGGAGATACGGAAAGAAGGTTGAGTCGGGAGTTGGAAGAGGGGTTTAGGGACGATAGTGATGAAGAGTAATCGCGTGTGGGGATCACGAGCGTGGTTTCGGTTATGCATTTAATAGCGGTATGGCGTTACAGGTAACGGAGTTGAGGAACGGATTGGTCAATTGATTTGACATTTGGATATTCGTTAAGAAACGCCGGAAAACATTGGTGCGGAAAGAGCATGGCATGTACGTTCTGTGGGTTAACTCAAACGCCGAAAACATCCATCATTCGGAATGCTGAACACATCTGGGACTGTCCAGACCCTGTCTGCTTTTGCATCTCGTACCCCTTGGTTTCTACATCGCCCATCCACTGCAGTCGACGCGCTCATTTCTTGGCCCTCTCGCCATACGCCTTCGTGGCGTAATCGCCATCCTTGACGATCAGATCCTCCAGTCGGTAATCGTGCCGGCCGGAGAAGTACGAGTCAAGGATCGCCTTGGTACCGGCAGCATATCTGCAGAAACATTAGCCAGGTTCATGGCACATCGGCACTCGATTTCCATACCTCGCCTGAGCGTCGATCGACGTTCCAGACATATGCGGTACCATCGCGTTGCCACCTCCCCACGGGTTCTTCGCGTAGCGCAGTGGGTGGTCGTTCGGTGCGGGTTGCGGGAACCAGACGTCACCGCCATAGCCACGGAGATGTCCGGACTTCAGCGCCTCAGCGACGTCTTCCTTGACGACGATGGCGCCACGAGCGGTGTTTATGAGCCATGAGCCTATACAAGTCAGCCTGGGCCATCCCCGAAAGCGAATCCTGACTCACCCGGCTTCATCTTGGCGATCAACTCCTTGTTGAACAGACCCTTCGTCTTCTCATGCAGCGGGCAGTTGATGGTAACGACATCGCACTGCGCCAGCATGTCCTCCAACTTCTCCACGCGCCGGCACCCGATCTCCTTCTCCTCAGCAGCGCTCAATGGCTGATAATCGAAGTACAGCAGCTCCTTGCAGTCAAACGCCTTCAACCGCTGCAGCACGCGCTTCCCGATCCGCCCTACCGCCACTGTCCCAACCACCTTGCTCTCCAGGTCATACTCGTTCTTCGCCACCTGCGCGACATTCCAGTCACCCGCCTGGATCTGCTCGTGCGCCGGCACGAAGTTCCTCACGAGAACCAGGATGGTCATGATGACGTGCTCAGCGACCGACACGACGTTGGAGCCCGTCACCTCGGCGACGGTGATACCGCCGTTGGTCTGGTTGGCCACATCAAGGTCGACGTGGTCGGAGCCGATCCCCGCGGTGACGGCGAGCTTGAGCTTCTTCGCCTTGGCGAGGCGGTCGGCAGTGAGGTAGCCGGGGTGGAACGGCGTGGTGATGATCACTTCGGCGTCGACGAGCTCCCGGTCGAAGGCGGAGTCCGGGCCTTCCTTGTCGGAGGTGGTGATGAGCGTGTGGCCTCGCTCCTCGATCCACGGGCGGATGCCGAGCTCGATCTCGGTGGTCCCGAGCATTTTCGGCTCATGCTCGGCGTGGATGCCGCCGTCGTAGAGGCATAGAAGCACTTTGCCCTGGAGTTTTGAGGATGCGGTTAGCGTCCGGACGGATGGTCGGATTAGAAAGATTCGTGGAGCAGCGGAGAGACGGGTGGAAGAGAGTAGAGAAGAGGTGGCTGGACGAGCCAGCCGTGCCACTGAGCGGGCGATTGGAAATACCATTTTGAGAATTGAAGCGTGATTGAGGTGGAATGTTGTGACTAGAGGAGTCAGTAGTGGAAATCCATGTCAAGTCGACGATGTTAAGCTACCTCGTGCTGAGAACGTTGGCTGCACCTGCTATCGTGATGAACCGTTGATGACGTGTGCTGTGGGGGAGACCGCGGAATGAACGATTCGATGATACAGATATAAGTATAGAACCTTGCAAGGAGTACAAATTCACGATCACTCTGACAACAAGAGCGAAGTTTCACTGTGACAACTTTCGATTGACGATGTAACTATCAGTCAAGCTTCCCAAAATCCCCGAGCATCCAGCGCCATTTATACCATCTGATCTCTCGGATTCATTCCGTTACGCCAAAGCGGAGTCGCGAATTCGCCTCCACGATTTCCATGATGACAGCAAGCAACTGTAGTGTATCGCGACGGACAGATGGACCTAGGGAATAGGGATGGAAGAGTCGGCGAATGATCTCGCGCGACCTCCCTCCCTTACATGCGAACTCCTTCTCACGAGTTGCTGGATGGAGTAAAAGTCATCGCATATCGCGTCCAAGAGCAGATGGATTCGCGGACAAGTGCGGGGCAGCCCCTCCCTCACAGCGTGAATCAGCACAGCATGAGGGAATGATGTCGCTGTCTCGTCTTGCAGTCGCACGAAGACCCCTCTTGTGGTATCACCACGTGCGGATGATTTGATAAGACCCATTTCCTCTGCTAGCCATTATGTCGTCCTTGATAAGTAATGATAACACCTCACCAGTAGGGGTGGATTTTGTTATGGAGTTCTGCAGGGGAGGGGCGGCGAATTGCTGCCACAATTGGCTCTAGAGGGGGAACAAGCACTCGGATGAGAGAGCCGAGAATGACGAGTTGATGATTGGAGTCTTCGAAAAATACCTTAAGTTGGTTGCCAGGCAATCCCATTGAGGAAATCAGTTCCCATAAAATCGCGTTGTTTGTCCTGGAACAGTTTGGTTTTGTCAGTTCGGAACGGAACAGGCACAAGCGCATCTGAGCTCGCAGCTCGCTCGAGAACCTACATCACTAGCTCCGTCTCGCACGAGATGTGAGAACATCCGCAAGGATACCAACATATGCTCTACCAACAACCATAGCAAACTGATTGCAAAACTTATTGAAACACTAGTTAGCACGGCCTCGGAGAACTTTACCGTATGAGCTATCGAGAATCGCAGACTGGCAATGGAGCTCCGGTGGCGATGGTGATGGGTCCTGAAAGGATTGACGCAAGAGCAGAAGTGACACATCTGAAACACATTGGTTTCGGCCTAACAACCATCGCGAGCATCCAACAACCGAAGCAAATGGAAAGGGAGCAGCCAGTTCCGAGTATTAGCCAAACGATGGCAGGGAGCTTTGGGGAAGCCCTTCTCCACGAAATCAGCTGGGGCAAACGATGAAACCTCCACCCATCGAGGGGTGACTCGCTGCTACGATAGTGCAGAGTTACCAAGCTAAGGGCTAGATCTCTACGGGATGTCGAATTGTTGAGCACTGACAGACCCGGGAAATCAAGCTTCGGCTAGAGCGTCTTATCGTCCTATGAGGTCGTTAACCCACTCGAGTCGAGCTCCGTGCAATCGGCTACGTCGATCGTTAATATATCTTAGATTCGTCGGACTGTCGTGATGGTCAACCCTAGAGTTTCGATGCTAGGGAGGATATATTGGGTGCCGTTGGGCCCTGAGCTGCCAAACATAGTGGTAAGCAGGCACACAGGATGAGGTTCAGGAAGAAACACGGAAAAATGTTTCTGCTGGAAGAGGACCTGGATCGCTATCGGTACGAGACATCTGTACGAGACAAGGACTACCCTAGAGCAGGAGAAGGGTTCGTCGATCCTACAAAAGTACCTCAAGCCATCGCATGCTGAGTATCACGGAGTCATGGCCGCGCCTATTTTGGTCCGCTGGAACTCTTGACTGCGAAGTTCAACCCCTCTTCTTCCTCCTTTTGATGCGGAACAAGTAGATACATTGAACTTGTCAACGTTTCATGGGAAAGTTTCCACGCTGGAACCGGAAGGCTAACCAAAACCGAGATTTCTAGGGCATATCAAGTTATTCTCGTCGAGACATCCATGGCGTCGGACGATGGACACTCCCTCCAAAATGAAGCCTTCTCCAATGGTTTGGAAGGCCTCCGTTCGGGGCACATTTGTCAAAGAAGGGATGTGATGCCCTGGAACTAGACACGAGAATCAAATGGATGTGGTCAAAGAATAGGTACTCGGCTGAAGGATTCCATGTTGTCGTCGCAAGTCAAGGGCTTGCCGTTCTCTTTCCCGAACCTTGAACGCCCCAGGACGCTCAGAGTCGCATCTAGTCAGGGCACTCGTGGTCATCCACCTGGGAAGAAAGCATGAATGTCCCGAGATTCTAACGGCTCCCTTTTTTGAGATCAGCAGACTGCAGCGGATGGGCGATATCCCGCTTGATGCTTCCAGCAGAAGAGATGAAGGCATGAGACTAGGTAGGTCAATGCTCTCATTCTGACGGTGAATAGTTGATCAGAAGACTCGACTTTTCATGTCGGAGCGTAGAATATGTGCATTGATGTCGTCTACCTGCAATAATAATGCTCACCCTGACTCTGTGGAATGAGTGAGGGAGCCTCCGAGTAGAGGATCAGGCCGCAAGGCAGTAATGCCCCTGAGCCAACAGAAGTGTGGCAGGGGCCATTCAGCCACAGCATGGCCCCCGGCCTGACATCTTCCAGTCATCACATCTGCACTTCATCAATCTCAACCACCAACTTCCATCAGCATTCAATCTGGAACATATACGAAGTTGGCGGCTGCGACTCATAATACGACCATATATACCACTTGACACTTCCTCGGCTTCGCCCATACTTACCGTCGTCCTACTCAACCGCCCGCCACTGACCCCGGAAAACCTCCGATGTCCGTGTTTGATCTTTGAACCACCACCCTGCATAGATCTCGCGAAATTGCCCAAATTTCTTTTATGGTTTTCCACTATCTGACGATCGAGAGCTTATTAGCATCCTTTCATCATCGTTAAGCTCCCATTCGCTCGCGATGGAGGTTTCTTGCATCATGTCGCGTGGTGGCGGACGTCTCCAACGCTGCACGTCTCGAACCTTTCGGTGGTGAAGCTAGACCAAGGCATTGGCGACCGCCGTACTTTGGTCACAAATTGACCTATCCCACTGCTAAAAGGCTTGTCCTATGGCCGGGGCTAGTCATGGAAAATGGTCAATAAGCAGTAGTATCGTGCAGCAAGATAAAGTTGACGTCCCTGGGAGATCTGCAGCCTTTCCTGTTTCAGAAATCCCTGCGATATCTTCATCATAGTTCCAACCTGCGCCCCTACTCCGTCTTCTTCCGTCTTGTCCCTGGTTTTGTGCTACCAGTGTCGGTTATGCTGAGATACATCATATTTGTATACAGTTGTCCTTGGATTTTCTGAGATTGTCAGGTCAATCGTCGTGTGCCGTCGTCATTAACAGTCGTTGTTCTCCCCCTACTGCATAGTACAGCGATACTAAGAGATAGCTGCCTCTACCTATCCAACACACTTAGCATAATAATAGCGGCAGTCGCATTCGTCCCTGATGATACACTGATCCTACTATCAGACGCTAAGAACCGGCAGTCTACCGGTAACTGCTGATCCGAGAGCTTACGGGTTGCGAACCAGGATGGGCTCGGTGTGCTAGAGGGTACAGTGAGATCATGAAACTGTAGCAGCACCTCCCAGAAATTCGGGCGAGTTCCATCCTACCTATCCAAGGGTCTCCCTGCTTGCCCTGATCTGGACCTGAATGATGAAGGTAGGTGGCGCTACAAGGATAGCCTGCGTCGCGAAACTGCCTCGCAGCTTGGACATGGCGATATGGTCCTTGCTTCATATACTCTTTTCCATTCTTCTGCTGTTCGGCCGGTTCATCGCAGGGCTCGACAATTGTATTCATCCCACGCTCGTTTACGTTGTTTGTGATTTAATCCCGTTCCCTTCGTTACCGCTGGCTGGATCCTCCATCTTGGTTTTGTGATCGACGATCGAGCTGGAGTAACTCTCGTCTCCAATACCGGTTCGTTCTTTATGACGTTTATAATCCAAGTCGCACGCCTTTGAACAGGAACACGAGTCAATCGATTTCGCCAACCACCATACCAACCCTTCACACAACAATATGGCAATATGGAGTCGAGAAATATCATTTAGAGACCCGTCCGCAATATCCTTCAACAACGATGCGAATTTCGATGGGATGGTCGATTTTGAAGGACAAGCGGTGGGGGTCAATCAAACGGACCAACTTATCAAAGGTCTAGTCCTTGAGAGAGTAAAGTCAGTACGGACAACGCGCGTTGGGGTGGGCATCTTTGCCTTGGTGATGACAATCATTCTGATCGGGAAAATACTGGTCGAGGGGTATGGAGTGTCGAAGTTGGAGGTGAAGCTGCGACCAAAGTAAGGACAACGTCTAGGACCCAAAGCCGATGAGATTCTAATTGAACACAGCAAACTCTGCATTTGGAGAATCCTTCGCAATGTCAACCCCGCAGTGAACGTCTTCCTTATTCTTGGGGTTTCTCTGGCAATGCAGAACATCGTGTTCATTGCTATCCAATCCGCTTCATTAGACAGTATTGAAGTAAATGGATGCTCGAAGACAGTGCAAATCATCTTCCCGAGTACGTGCGGTATATATCGTGCTTTGCTTGGTTACTAACAAAGACTCAGTCGCCTTTCTATCCGGTTACGTTCATCTCGTATTCGGCGTCGAGACCACCATCCGCTCGCTCAAGTATATGAAGTTTATGCCGCGCAGCCGACGAAATACGCCGTTCTGCCTTGTCGCGATATCAAGTCTCCTACTCGCAACCTGGCTCCCCACCGCTCTATGGAAAATTCCGGATGTCTGCCTTGGAGATATCCTCTTCAGAACTGTCCCTTTCAACTTGATTGGGCTGGTCGTTCTGTCATTTGAGGTGGTTGCATTTGCCTTGATGATTGCAGTCATCGCCATCCAACTCAAACGGGTGTCGGATATCGAACCTAGCCAAAGGGTTGCCGCATCAAGGATGGTTTTCCGATTATTCTGGTCGATTTGCCTCAATGTGAGTAAACTGTTGTCCCCATCCAGAAACAATCGTTAATAATAATAAAAATAGGTTCTGGTACTCCCCTTTTTCATCCAGGCAAAGTTGATGACATTCGACAACTTTATGACTACATCTGGTCTTGGTGACTTCGCACTGCTGGGAAACGGTGTTTTCATTACGTTCGAATATTTCGTCTACCGAATGCACCCGAACTGGGGAGTGATCCAGGCAAAAGACTCCGCATATTTTGCTCGTAAAGGCTTCAGGGGAGCTGGTGGTGCTGGGAGCCTGGACTTGCGCAAGATCAGCCCACCGTTGAATCAGCCTTATTTGAGAGCTACGCAGTCTCTCTTCTACTTCAGGGACTCTGAGAAGGCCTTGGAGAAACGTGCAGTGCAGTCATCCCCGAGTACAGCTACCCCTTCTGCGCCAATCTCGCAAAGAACTGCGACCGCAATACCTCTTACCTCCCCTTCACGCCCTAATTCCGCTACAGTCCCTCTTCTGCCACCCACTCCCGTGTTCATCCCAGCATCAGCAACCCAATCCTCATTTCCTCGAACTCCAACCCACAAACGCAAACCGAGCTATTCACTCTTCCCTCAAAATGATAGCCCGCGTCTCCCTGCCACTGTCTACTCTCCCGCAGCAAAGGGGCTGGCCAGTCTAATGCAGTCCGTCTCATCCCTGAAAAAGAATCAGTCTGCGTCCCTGACTTCCGCTTCCCCATTTTCGCCAACGACAGCTACTTCCATGGCTCGAAACGCACCTTCTGTCACTGATGTGAGCGAAGTTGCGACGCTGATGGCTTTGGACGGACCGTCCGCCCCTTTCACTCGAGAGCATAGGCGGTTTAGCAGTTCTGGGAGTAGCGCGACCGTACAAATCGGTCTGCGTTTCTCTGTTGCGCCGGAAGCGATCGCAGCAGGCAACTCAAGCGCTTCCAAACGTGTTCTAGATCCTTCGGAGATGCCTTCGCCACTTCGAAGAGAATTGAGTGGCTCTAAAAGGACTCAATCGACTGGTTTACAGTCCCAGACTGACGGGGCCACGTCCTCAAATCTTATCTCTACACCTCAACTATCATCCTCCAGCTCTCTCTTGCTACCGATTACCGCACCAGCAAATACTCCTGAACCAGCTGACAGCTGCCTTCCCTCAACTGCGACCAAACCCAAGCTCACAGTGACTATTCCACAACCATTTGTCAACAAGAACCTCCCTCCAACTCCTCGAGCCAAAGTATTGCGCATGAACCCTGTTTCGTCGCTTACACCACAGCTGGCGAGGACTCGCACGCCATCCCCAAAGCCAGGAGTACGTGGTGAGATCGGATTGGCTTTTCCGCTGGGTGGCGGAGGGGGAAACGTGCCTCCAGCCCCGGGCTGGATCTAGAGCAAACTACTACAGCGTAGACCACGATCTTTGATGCGTGTATTCCTTTCTTTACACAGGCATGTGTCATAGCAGCCCATTGTTCTCTTTTTCATTGGCCTCTTGAGTCAATTAGATGCTACGATATCATATCTTCTTACGACTTCCTTTCTCGTGAAAGCCAACTTATCTCTGGGTGGCTTTCACAGGGGTACATTATACTCTTAAGAGAAACAAAAGCTTTCTCTTCCTGTCTCTCGTTCATCCCGTGTCTTGCCTGGCGGACTTGGCGCTTGGGTCCCTATATCTGAAAGCAGAGCAGTTTCGACTGTACGATCATGTCCACTGTCGGACAATTCTCTCGTGGGTAGCTTCAGATACATGTGTATAAATAGCACAGCAGAAACAACAAGACGATTTGACGATCAAAATTTGGACTGAAAATAGACCGCCCCACGCCGGACTCGAACCCTCCCTACCTCTCCCCCTGATGTGGCCCCCATTCTCCCCCTCCTCTCTCCTTAGCTAAAAAAAGGTATCCAGAGAAAGAGCAAAACTCTACCCACCTTCTAGGGTGGTTTTTAGTAGATAGGGGTAGAGAAGCCAACCATCTCACAGGTCCCAGGTGTCTATTCCATGGGACTAGTATCTTTTTTCGGCTATACTTGGCCCATGTCAGCAGTGAAACCAACGTGACCATTTCCACTGAAGTTACAGATTGACAGTTATAAATATATACTGCACTTTCTGAAATGGGGGGGTGAATTCAGCCCTCCTCAGTTCCCCTTAACAGGTTATATCCCCCTCCTTAGAATTTGCTATCACTGCTACCATATGGAATAACCATAGCTTCGAAATGACAACAAGATACTTTGAACCTGTGTTCATTCAATCTAGCTGATGTTAGCGATTTACCTCTGAATCTGCTACCATAGATACCTATTAGTATCGTCATTTATGTAACACCGATGGTCTTGAGGAATAAAGGTGAAGCTGGAGTACTGGTAATAAATTGCTTTGATATTCAAGGTTAAATGCCATGTCTCCCATCATCTAATTGCACTTACACCCGCCTTGGTTTGGTCGAAGGGCATTAAACAAAGACCAAGAAACTTTGATGTCACATCAATCTGTAGCAGTTTGTTTGGCTCACCATTTATGGTATCCGGCCTGGGGAGATTTACCCTTCTCCGCTAAGTATGTAACCCCACCCCCACCATTACATACGCAATCAAACGTCCCTCGTTGAACGCGACAATATCCCACCATCATTTCTCAGGAACACAAGAGAAAAGGCTTAAGAAAGCCATCCAAGGACCAACTGGTTTGCATTGACGTCGTACAAATATCGATAAATTTAGGTTTGTGGCTCAATATGACTGATTCTAAACCATACACGATCCGGTGGGGAATCCTAGGTATATCCCTAACAATCCCCAAAATGCAGCGGAACTGACACTGTCGTAGCAACCGGAGGCATAGCCCAGAGTACGAGGGTAAATAACCATATTCTCCATGATCGTAATTAACACCCCGTCCTAGAATTCACCAAAGACCTTGTCCTCGACCCCTCCACCCGCTCCGTCTCGGACGTATCCCACACCGTCGTCGCCGCCGCCTCCCGCTCTCAAGAGCGCGCCCAGGAGTTCCTTACCTCCTGCGGATGTCCCTCCACGGCCAAAGCTTACGGCGACTACGCCTCCCTCGCTGCCGACCCGGACGTCGACATCGTCTACGTTGCCACGCCGCACTCTCACCACTACCAGAACGCGCGGCTCTGCCTGGAGGCCGGAAAGCACGTGCTGTGCGAGAAGGCGCTGACGGTGAACGCGGCGCAAGCGCGGAAACTGGTGGAGATTGCGCGGGAGAGGAAGGTGTTTTTGATGGAGGCGCAGTGGACGCGGTATTTCCCGCTGGCGGTGGAGCTGCGGAAGATGGTGAGCGAGGGGAAGATCGGGACTGTACATAGGGTGTTTGCGGACTTGAGCATTGGGGATAGTGGGACGCCGGAGGCGAAATGGGGGGTGGAGAATCGGATGGTTAATGTTGATTTGGCTGGGGGCGCGATGCTTGATTGTAAGTGCCTTTTCGTCGACGGGTCTGATGGTTGTACAGGAAAGGCTAACATTTATCAAGTGGGCATCTATAGCATTCTATGGGTCTTCCAGTTCCTCTATCACATCCAGCCACCGCAGCATCGCCTGCCGCCGAATGTGGTCAGCCAATTGACCAAGTACCCTAACACGGGAGCTGATGAGCTGACGTCCCTCATCATGTCTTTCCCTCCCCTGAACAGCCATGGGATTGCAACGACAGGTCTTCGGGTAAGCGGCTTCTAACTCCTTTGGCTTCCGTCGCTAATCCTACAGGTATCCTTTGACCCGGACAATAAGGGGACCGCCGGACCTGCCGTCCGCATCCAAGGCACCAAAGGAGAAATCCAGGTTTTTGGTCCGATCTTTCGTCCGACTCGATTCCGCGTCATTCCTCTTGAAGGATTTACTAGCGTCGAGTTCGCCGATGAAACCCGCGAGATCCCGGGGCAAGGCATGTTTTGGGAAGCGGACGAGTGCGCTCGGTGTCTCCGGGACGGCAAGTTGGAGAGCGAGACACTCCCACTCGAAGAGAGTCTTGTGATGATGGATGTTATGGACCAGGTCCGCCAACAGAATGGTCTGGTATATCCTGAAAAGATTGAGACGCTGGAGTATCCACTGCCTGGATTTTGATTGCCTTGCTGGAACGAGGGAGTTTATAGTAGCTGCATCAGAACAATCCTAGAGGCATTTTTCATTCAAAGAGGCTAAATCTTGTTTTTCGATAATCGGCTTTTCTGTGTCAATTGGAGTTGTCACTTCAATATCCTCTTGATTGCCTGGTGTCGCGACATTGTCCCGTTTGAACTCGTCGTTAACCGTGGAAGCGTCCAATGATTTTTCTGCATTGCCTTGGGTGCCGATCCGGAGGAACGGAACGAAAATGAGACTCAGCGCCGCACATGCTGTGCAGTACCAAAACGCAGCTGCATATGGTTCAAAGGGATTGTTGGCGTAGTATCCTGACTCTGACGGATGTTGCTGCTGTGCATTGTAGGCTGCGGTGGAGACTCCCATACCGACTGCAACAGCAAGCTTTGTGACGGTTTGGAAAATGCCACCAGCGACCGACTGTTGAGAGGGTGCGAGGGAGGACATGACGTACATCTGGAAATAGATAAGTGATACATATCGAAGGTGAAGGTATAGCGGAACTCACATTTGCCACATTGAACTCGAGATCTGCGCCAATGACCGCAAGCACCTGTCCTGGAAACATGAACGCCCAGTACGACTGGCCCTGTTTGTAAAACGAGTATAGGAGGAACGCTGCAACGTATGACAATGCCCCGTATCCCATCAAGACCTTATTCGAAATCTTGTGCAAGACCATCCCCGCGAAAACCTTTGCATACGTCAGTGGTGACTTGAAAAGTGAGACATACACTCAATACTCACGTTGACTAGGATACCAGCAATAGCCATGGGCAGCAAATGCACAGCTACGTCAAGGGGCGAGGATTCCCAGACACGCTGCATGAACAACGACAGCCAGAATTGGGTGGTGGGGAAGGCGAGGAAACCGAGAAGTAGGATCGTGATAACCTACACAGTCAGCCATTATGATCTTTCTTTGAAAAGGGGTACTTACGAGACTAAAATCGCGGTCCTTCCAGATGTCCATGGGAACCAGCGGATATGGGTAGTAGAGCTCCCATATAACAAACACACCCATCAGTACAGCACCGACTATCAGAAGAGCGAGCACATATGGTGTGGTCCACCCCTGAGGAGCGTCACCTGCTATACTGTTCGCGTTGTCAGCCAATGGTCATCTCGGCAGCTCCCGGTAACAAACCTCAAGGCGCTTGTGAACAAGGCAATTCCAGAGACAGTCAGAAGCGATCCAACAATATCCATGCGTTTAAATGTCTCCCACGACAGGGGAGCCTTCGGAGTGTCGTCATTTGGCGTGACGAAGAAGCAGGCCACGGTCAGGAGCGCATAGATGATCGCAAGGAGAAAGAACGAAGCCCTCCAGTTGAATATTTGCGCCGCGATCCCGGAAAAGATCATGGACAATACAAATCCAAGAGGGTTTCCGGCGCTGAAGCAGGCGAATGCGAGGTTCTTTCGTTTGGATGGCTTTCCGTAGGCCAGGGCGAGCATCCCCTGTGCCGGTGGGATCGACACAGCTCCCACAAAGCCCATTACTCCACATAGGGTATCTAATGCTAATGGAGTACGAGCAAAACCAGCCGCTATAGCGAAGACCGTGAACAGTGCAAAGCTCCCGATAATCATCGACTTACGACCGAACAAGTCTGCCACTCGACCGAAGAAGAGTAGAAATGACCCAGACGTTAAGCTGCAATATCCATTCAGTTCTGGCTCTCTCGCAAAGCTCCTAGTTGATGTACGCACTTTGGTCCAGCTGCAAGCCAGGTGATCTCCGCATCCTTCATGGCCAACGACTTCCCAACCTCCGCGGAGACGACGGTGACCGATCCAGTCAACTACAGACGGTTATTAGGAGTTGGAAGTATTCGGACAGGAAGGGGTCCATACCATTGAACTCATGGCGATGGCCATGGTCGCAATCACTACGAACATGACTTCATGAAACGTAGTCTTGAAACATACGGGTCTCCCACCATGGTTTGTCTTTGGGGAGCCATCGGCAGCTGTCTCGACCCTGTCTTCTGCCATCTAACCTCCAGATATCTATGCCACGGTAGGGGTATGCGACTCTGATCCCTGAATGAAGAAAATGATGAAGACTGACGAAAATTTCAGACGACAGGTAAAAACCAACGCTGGCCCCTTAAATGAAGTAATTCGGAAGTAGAATTAACCGTATTATTGCGACATATTGCGAATTCCGATGGTATAAAAGTAACAAGACCTAGATCGAAGTGAAAAAATCCCTATTACTAATTGGAGCGGAATCCGCATCGGAATCAGGAGATAGTAATTATTAACGATCTACATAATTCCCTTCGGGCTCCTTAGCTTATGAAATAAGAGCGGCGCTGGACTTATCGTCGGTAGTTAGTCCGGGATCCACCAAGCGGAATTAAGCTGTTTTTGTCCTCTGGAATGGATGCGATTCCGATGAATCAGGAGGTTCTCCAGATGCCCTCGAAATGGAGTAGAAGCATCCGTATCATAGATAGTCATTTCCTATACTAGAAATGGTTAGGGAGTTGAAGTTGGAGAGAATAAACTGTCCATCATAGCAGCAGGGCTGTATTGAGAAAGATGGTGCGAGTGTTGTCGGCATGGTGGCCCCAGACGTGGGGAGGTTATGAGTCGATCACCCGAATCATACCGCGTTAATTAAGTCGACGCGTTTCGCACGCGAAACCGGAGTTTGTAATTACACCAATGTATTCCTGGCGTATGCCATTAGAATGGAGTGGCACTGATATTGTTTTTTGATCTGATAACGCTCGGCGCTATATGGATAGGGCTGCATGCTGCTGTGCGCGACTAGGAATGCCTTAGCAGTAAGCCTACGAGCCCATGATTTCCAGTATTGAAACATGAACGCCTGAAGACATTTAATACCATGTCCATGCCGTCATATTGATCGAAAATGCGCTTCAAAGCGCAAATCCAGAATATCACGACTTTCAATAGTAAGCAGTTTGACCATCACCACGCAAATCGTATCTAAAACATGGCGTGAACAGAGTTCGTCGCATCGTTGGCCTCGATAGGACCCATCGCCTGGGTCCGCCTCGATGAGGAGCATGCTCGATTCACGGTGATGCCAGAGCAGGGCACGCAGGTTTGGGCGTAAGTTCCACCATGACCGATACCGTATTATGGCCTGTTACTTACCATCAAGCCAGGGTTCTCGCAATTGTACGTCATTCCGATATCCCACCCCTTCTATATGCCGTCTGATCTCCGACAACAGGACACCATCTTCGGCCATGAGTACTCCATCCAGTCCAATGCGGATAACACCATCAACCTCGAAGTTCCCCTTGGATCGTTACAGCGCGCCCTGAAGTCCGCTCTCCAGGCCCATTCGGCCTCCATTCGTCTCACGAAGAAAGACGGCCGTCCGATCCTCTCCATTACCATCCATCGCACCACTGTCACCGCAGCCAACTTCACCCCCGGGCCCCTCCACTCCTTCACCGATACTGCGGACCACCTACAAACCCAGCCCGGACAACCAAACCCCGTACCCCCGCCCATCCCACACAACAATCAGGGTCCTTCAGCATCCCTCGCGGGCAATGCCCCTGTCGGCGATACCGACGACTTCGGTGGCGTCCCCGTCCCCCTACAATGGGGCACCTCCGACCGCGAAACCGTCATTACCCAAGACGTCCCCATCCGCATCCTCAGCCAAGCCACCGTCGAAGGCCTTCACGAGCCGCGCTGCCGCGATCCCGACGTGCACATCCTGCTCCCTCCCCTGGCGCAGCTCAAAGCCGCCAGCGACCGCTTCACCAAGCTCGCGCTGAGCACGCGTGCCACCACGACCAGCGGCGCCGGCGGGACGCTGCTCCCTTCGACGGCGGGGACGGGACCAGCGTTCACGGGTCCCGGGCCGCGGCTGGAGCTCGCGGCGAACATGCATGGGTGCCTGCGGCTGCGGGTGGCGGCGGACGCGATCGATATCAAGAGCGTGTGGACAGGGTTGGTGAATCCGGAGCTGGATCCGGGGGAGGTGGAGGGCGGGGAGGGCGGGGTGGAGGGCCATCCGAGTACGCGGATGAGGGGATTAGGGGATCCGTTGGGGAGGAGGGAGGAGGGGTGGGCGACGGTGAGGATTGATGGGCGGGATTGGGGGAAGGTGATGAGTGTGGGGAGGCTTGGGGGGAGGGTGATTGCTTGTAGGTGGCGTGGATGATAGGGTGGACATGCGTGCTAATGCGGGTAGGCTTCTGTCACGAGTCGGCGCTGATTCTTTACGTCTATATGCCGGATGATGAGGGTCGGGAGGATTCGGTGTTGACGGTGAGTGCTATCCTTGATCGACTGCGGCGACTCGAACATGGCTCAACTCCCGATCAGTATTATATCAGTTCGTACAGCATCTGAGCATGTCGATCGGCGTATATCGGTGCCTGAAAGTCGGGATGGTCATGGGTTGCTGGAGTGCCCAAAGAGACCTGCAGACCCAATCATTAAGCGCCCGAATCGAACGGTCTATTCACGAATCAAAAATGGTCTTCTGAGCAGGCAATGTTCAGAGAGTTCAGGCCTGGAATGTCACTGCCACAGACAGTTGAAGTCACGGAGTCCGGTGCGCGACACGGTTACGAAATGTCATGGGCATGAACCATTTGTCAGACGAGTCCGTATCACCGTCGGCACGGCGACGAAGGATTGCATTGCACAGCCATATTGGATGTCGCATGCGCAGGATTGGAAGGAAAATTCTCCTTGATGAAATCACAATAGACAACGGTTGTGAATATAGATGTCTATTGCTGCAAGATTACTGTGCTGACGGGCTTGAATGGGCGTGATCTTCGCGAAGGGCCCTGCCTGGTTTACTTCCCTATGACGTCTTTTCTGCTCTTCTCCAAGCCACAGTTGCAGTGGGATGTGAATGTGTGCCGAACAGTAAGCATCCCTTCACAGCATGGACAGTGATTTCTAAGTAGCACATTGTCATCGACTTCTTCCTCGTTACTAAGCCGACGATGAGGCTTACTGTAGCACTCTCCCAGCCGCCTGGTTCCCCCCCGGCCCCGCTCTTCCAGGCTGGGAGACTCGGCAGGCGTGCGGAATTCTGACGTTACCATCAAAGTTCTGAGTGGCTGGAAATAGAACTAGATAGGCGACGGATGGGCTGCTGGATGGCCCGGATGGGCAGGGTAATTAGTGATGTCGCTGACTCGCTATATCGAAATTCGAACCCGATGGCTGCTATTCGCCGAGACAGACGGCGCTAATAGGCGGCTCAAAAAGTCTAAACAGGGGCTCCCGGTGCTGCTATTTTTGGGGAATGCCCCGATGGTCTAGACTTTGGGCTCCGGGAAATGTCCCGGCATTCCAACCAGAACAACGTGACATCAATTTCAGGACCATGTTATCGTCGCGCAAGATCCTTCGTGAAATATTCGGGGAACGACCAGAGGTCAAGAGTCTGACGTATATCATGTTCTCTTGATTATGTCAGGACTAGAGATGTCGAAGCGGTCTTGGGGACTGGCAAGCCACATCGAACGATGGAGTAATACGTGGTTGCTGAATGCTGACACTGCATGTCTCAATTGGGCTATCATACCCGGATCGGAGACATTGCTGTACCCTGGAAGTATCAATTGGGTCACCATATCCAGATCGGAGACATTGCCCACTACTTTGGGCTTATACAATATATTCTTGCATGAATTAGCGACACGCAATGTACCGTATCTAGACACCAGACATGGGCTCGCATTTCTGTGTCGACCAGTTCGTCTGCCACTATCGAGTTGACTTCTCGAATGAAGCAACCGTTGCTGCATATGCCATCGAAAGGATCGTAATCGTGTTCAATTTTTATTTATTAATGGTCATATATTCCGCTTTGATATCGCTTTCGTTCTATTTCTGGTCGATCTGGTCGACCTGGTCGTGCTCGGCTTTGCGCCACAGCACGGAAGAGTTGGGGCTCATATCAATGACTGCCGGCGATTCTAATCATCGAAAGGCGGCTTACGATGTGGCCATTTCTTTGTATTTAACCAATTAAGTCGTACAAATGTCGCATAAAGATATGAGTGGTGCATCCAAATCCGGGCCTGGGATGAACAACTTTAGACTCCAGGGCTGAAACCGAGCCTAGTTGATCCTTTAGAACCAATCAGGGAACGGGACTGAACTTCCTCAATAGGAGAGCCTTAATTCGGTGGGGGCTTTGTGGGATCGATACGTTGGAGTATCACGAATATGCTGCGGCCAGAGGGTTTCTACCTTTTTGAATCTACACCAACATCCGTGTCCCATTGGATCGGAAGGATGTTGGCGAGAATAGAACGATTCAAATTTCTATTCTACCTTGCCCGGCCCGTCCTAGGGTCTTTCTCATTCGGATCTGTTGTGAAAAATGCGACAGCAGTACGCCACCATCGTCGATCGCACGACCGATCGTCCATGAGCCGCAACGCAATCCTCACGGAGGAATTTTTCAATACAACTCTTCAGAATCGGAATTGCAACATCGGCTGTAGGCGTGGATGACACCAAAATCATCCTATGATGGTGGCTCCGTTGGATCCTTCTCGCAGCGGGTGCGCCGGCGGTGTGGTTCGTTGTTGATTGTGTGGCTCCAGGGTCAATTTAATTTTGCTGATTTGCTCTTGCGGCTTGATACAGTATCAAACCCGCCTTGAGATCGGAGATCACTGCACCATTTTGCAGGTGCTCTGTCGCAGCCTACTGGGGGTGTCTACTGGGGTAGCGGTAGGGCTGACAGCGGACAACGTGGTGTTCCGGTTCAGGGCTGAACGTTGTGGCTTGACCAACAAGATCGATAGGAGGGAGGTCCAGCCCGGGGCGTCGATCTTGACACCAAGTCAGAAGTCACAAGCATTATTCCTGTTTTTCCAACGGCGCAACGCCATGGTTCATGCTATGGTAATTGGTACCTTCTTGAGGTGCAGAATCCTTGATACCAAGAACGAAGAATTTGCGCGCTCTATGCAAGCCTCAGTCCTCAAAGGAGATGCCGAATGACTATGTCTGCTTCACCGCGCACGCCAAGTCGGATACATTCATACCTCACGCAAGTGAGCATGGCGCATTTTCTGTCTGGCAGGTCACTGGATATCACGAACAGAGGTGTCTTGGCGAACAATATGTACGTGCCGTGACTCCAGGCAGTCATCAACAGGAAGGTTCATCACCAGTCCACTAGAGATGTGAAGGCTCTTTACGAACGCTATTGGACGTTATTCCCCTCATAGCCACACTATGTCCCTAGCACATCCACACCCGTTCTCTTGTTTCATCAAGGGGTTCATCAGACGGCTCGAGCCATCAAGCCAATTGTACCACGATCCGGACAGACGGCTCGTGGCACCATGTCTATGAGCTCCTGAAACTGTACCTCCAACGGCGAATCGGAAGCCGAATCCCCACGAAGAAATTGCGTAGAACTTCGTGCTGAAGTCAGACGTTTCTCATTTCTGTCCTTAGCGAAGCTCGGACGTGGTCCGGGCCTGGGCGGGCGTGGACAGTGGAAACCGATCGCAGTGCAGCAATGATGACTTGCCATAGCCTCCCTCCCAAAAAAGGTATTTGGTCGGGCGCCACAAAACGGCCGATGCTGTGATTCGACCTTTCCAACATCCCTTCGCCCTCGGACAGTTCATGTTGATGCGGAAACTAAATCGGGTTGCCCAATGGTTCGGCCATCGGTGAATGTACAGAATCAGATGCAGGACGTGCGGACCAAGATACCTCATCGCATTGGGTCGTTGGCACGAGCTGCATGGCCATCGTTCATGGTCATGAGGAGTCATCCGGACGCTCAGCGATCATCTCAGAATTCTGATCTCCATCAGTGCCTGCGAGGTTGCATCGAGCTGGTTTGGGCTGGCTGGGAGGCTGATGCTAAGCATCTCACAATCCCTGCGTGAGTGCCTCCACTTGAGTCCACCCGAACAATGCTTCCTTGACCCTCAGACCTTCACCTTGCGGCTTGCAGATCCATGTCGTCCGTTGGAGGCATCGATCATCGGTGGCATTATAAGACCTCATGATTTGCGCTTGAAAGGCCCTCTCGGCTCATCCCCTCTGCAGACATCAATCCAATCTATACAATCCGTCTTCTTCCTTAATCCACTTCCATCAACCAATCGTTTACTTCGCCCTTCAACGGTTCATCCAAGCGTTACAACCACCCGACCTGACTGCATCGACCTCTATCAGAATCCAACATCCGACCCTTGACTACCAGGGTGCGCCATTGAATCGACAGCCAGTCATCCGCGAATTATCTGTTCACATATATCGATCAGTGAAGTCCAAGCTCTCCTTGTTCTTAAGGTCATTTCTTTCCATTTTCAAGAGTTGAAGTCCTTTCCTACTTTCCTACTACAAGTCAAGAGTCTCAATATTTCCATCTCATACCAAGTCTATCCATATCGGGCCAACTTAACCATGGGAAGAGGCGGATACAACTAAATATCTTTGCGGACACCGACCAGCGAGCTCACCATTTGGTTCCTGATTCCCTCCATATCAATCGCGAAATAGACCACATTCACCATGGGACGTGGAGGCTACAACTAGATAGCTTCTCGCTCGACATCGGTCTCGACGCTGTTCTTGGCAGAATCTCTTTTCTACCTTCGAAGACCGACGAAATCTCCACGATGGGTCGCGGTGGCTACAACTGAGCCTGGCCATGGGCGGCACCCTTCACCTCCCTCACCATCGAATGGATTCGACACCCTTCCCTTCCTCTTTTTTGATGTGTCCTCCCTGGTGGAGGCCCCAATTATGCCTCCGCTAGTTCGGAGAACACAGCGGGCTGTTTCGACGTCGACATCGCCACTCTTGATGATCGATACGCTCCGGCAACTGGCGCGGCTCCAGGGACGGCGGCATTGCAGATTTCATGGCGATTGGACATTAGCATGAGCACGACGCAACTCTTCCGACCAGTTCTCCGAGTTCTGGACTGCATTTTTTTGAGATTTGGCGGCATGTAGGGCATGTTCGAGCTCTGTATTCCTGAGTTTAGCGGTTTGAGCGTTCATTTGCATAGCGACGGTTTGGGTCAGCATTGGGAAAAGGTACGGGCATGGGAAAAAAAGAGCATTTGCATCGGATGGCGTTTCGGGCATGGGATTTTGCTGCATTTACATGGTTGGGATGAGAGGGGAGTAGACATACCCAGTATATTTCTAGCGTTTGCATCGTTTATTTCTTACATGTCGGTATTATTCATTGAAACGCATCTTTTTCTCCGATTTCCACAGTCTATGTTTCTGCGAGAACGTTATTTGCCTACGCAGAACCTTTGCTCACAGTCAATTTGAATCAAATCCAGTTGAGTAAGGACATGGAGATAAAGAAATGGCCACTTACTTTTCGAACACCACACCCAAAATCTCCTCAACATCACCGGAACTGCCACGTCCAGTGATTCGTGCAAAACACTCCGCCGCGGAACGAAGATGTTCCGCTGCCATGACGATATCCGCTTCACCGGTCGTCTCACCATCGGCACTATCTAGAAAATCTTGAAGATGAAGGTCGCATTCATCGAGGAGTAGCTTCTGCCTCGTCGTGGCACCCAATGATTCTTGCCAAATGGATTTATCCACCGGCCTAGCGTCGTTCCACGCGCCTGTGGCATTGGAGTCGAGGGGTGTGGTCATTTCGGTGAAGACAGTCGACAAGGTCCTGAGTAGGACTTGGATGGTGTCCTGAGTGGTAGAAGTAGCGGATGGCAGTTCGCCTTTGCAGGAGATGAAAAGAATCCGCTCGGAGCTGACGGTGGGGAGGACAGAACGTATTCCAGTCCGGAAACCCTCGAGGTACTGCTCCAGGTTATCTCCCGGGAAGGATTTGCAGAGTTTGTCAACTTTGTTGACAGCAACAACCACCTCGATCCCCTTGTTAAGGGCCTCCCGAGTAGTTTCGACCACTTCAGGATCCAACACCAGCTTGGGTATATCTGTAATATCGCCCACATCCTCGATGCTTGCCATGACAATGACGAGATCCGAAGCCAATGCCCGTTCCTTTGCTCTTCTGATACCTTCCCTTTCAACGACCCCAACCCCCGAGCCTCCACTATTGGAAGCCTCCCCTTTCCTCAACCCGGCCATATCTCCGACCCTAACCAACCACCCCTCCAAATCCACACTCACCTCCACCACATCCCTCGTCGTCCCCTCCTCACTACTCACAATCGCCGCCTCCCGCCCCACAATCCGATTGAGCAAACTACTCTTCCCCGCATTCGGCTTCCCCAACAACGCCACACTAATCCCCTCCCTCATCAGCTCGCCCCGCGTCGCATTCTCCTTCACCGCCGTCACCTTCCCCCTCAAATCCTCCACCAACTCCACACACCGCGCCACCAGATCCGACGGCCCTTCCTCAAACGCCTGGTCCTCACTGAAGTCGATCAGCGCCTCGCACATCCCCATCGCGCCGATCAGATCCTTCCGCCACGCCTCGTACTGCGCGGTGAGCGACGCACCGGAGCCCCGGATCGCCGCGCGCCGGGCGCGCTCGGTGGACGCGGAGAGGGTGGCGGAGAGGGACTCGATTTGAGGGAGGGAGAGGCGGTCGGCGTGGAAAGCGAGGCGGGTGAATTCGCCGGGGTCGGCGGGACGGATTTTGCGGCGTGGGTAGTTGGTGGGATGGGTAGGGGAGAGGGGGCCGGAGCACGTTGGGATGGCGCTGAGGACGGCGCGCACGGTGGCAGGACCGCCGTGGATGTGGAGTTCTAGGAGGTCTTGGCCGGTGAAGGTGTTGGGGGAGGGGAAGTAGAGGAGGAGGGCGGAGGTGTCGAGGATGGTGTCGGGGGAGGGAGGGATGTGAGGAGAATAGAGGGTTCGAACCGTGGCATGGCGGGGCTTCAGGAGTGGTTTGTCTGGACAGAGATGGTTGTAGATCTAGTTATAGGTCAGGACAATGGATTGATACTATTGAGAGAGGGTCGACACATACGTGCTCGCAGAGTGGTCCGGATATACGAACGATTGCGATGGCGGCGGGACCGGGAGCTGTTGATAAAGCAAATATAGTCTCTTCACCTATCTCTGCGCCTTCTGGCAGGCGAACAGTCTCCTGATGGGCAGCGGCAGCGCCGCGGATAGAGGTGTACCGTCGCCATTGCGAACCAGTTGGACGGGATGGTCGATGTTTGGCCCGAGCAAGTTCGCTCCGGTGTATGATGCAATTCAAAGACGAAGGGAAGCATCGAAGTAGAGTGTTTGCAAAGACTTGCCGTCTCAGCAAGCTTATTTTCATACCCGTAACCGTTGCATGGAGGTCGTGATGAGGATCGGCGTCAATAGAGCGTTCATTGTCTGGTCTGCAAATCTCCTTTAAGGAGCTCCCAGCAAGCTAATATCCGCCTGTGCACTGCACATGTAATCCTCGAAACATCCAACCGACGCTCGACAGCAGGTCAACTTCAAATCAGGACACTATTTCACAGCAGATCGAACCCCCTGGAGGCCCGTCGCTCGGAATTGGGAGAGCTATCCGTCAACCCTCATCATGCCAGCACGTATCCTCAGCATCCGATAGCCACGCAACGCCCGCTCTCCCACCCAGCCATGCCCTCCTATTCCCACCAACCACTTCCATCCCAACCAGCCCGCGACTCCCTCGAACTCGCCTCCCTCGCCTCCTCCACCCTCTCCCACCGCGAATCCATTGAGTCCTCCCTCTCCGGCGCCCCCTCCTCCCGGCGCCTTTCCTTCTCCTCCGACGACCCTCTCGCCCATGGACCCTCCTCCCCCCGCCCGTCCGGCCGCCCGGACCGCTCCTACAGCGCTTCCTCCACCTTCGACTTCGCACAGAACCTCTTCCCTCTGTCGTCGACGGCTGCCGGATACACGGCGCTCGGCGCCCCGGCGGGGACGGGGTTCGACGTCACCGGGGCGCTCAACGGCGGGAGTCTGGAGAAACATAAGACCTTGACGTACCTGAACGGGTTGAGCCTCGTGGTCGGGTTGATTATTGGGTCTGGCATCTTCTCGAGCCCGAGCCAGGTCAATTCGAATGCCGGGAGCCCGGGCGCATCGCTGATCGTGTGGATGGTTGCGGGCGTCCTTGCGTGGACGGGCGCGGCGTCGTACGCGGAGCTGGGAGGCGCGATTCCGCTGAATGGAGGCGCGCAGGTGTATTTGTCGAAGATATTCGGGGAGTGGGCGGGGTTTCTCTTTACCTGGTGCGCGGTCTGCGTCCTCAAGCCCGGCTCCGCTGCGATCATCGCCATCATTTTCGGGGAGTATGTGGTTCGCGCGATTGTGGGCGCGGATGCCTTGGAGGTGAGCACATGGGTGAACAAGGGGGTAGCGTTGGGGGGATTGATCGTTGTGACGTTATTGAATTGCATATCGACCAAGCTGGGCACGCGGTCGGCGGATCTGTTCATGTTTCTGAAGTTCATTGCATTGCTTGGAGTTACGGTGACGGGCATTGTGGTGGCGATTACTGGGTTTTCCTACAAAGGGCATGCGAGCGAGGACTGGAAAGCTCGTGGGTGGTTTGAGGGCACGAGTTCCGATATCTCGAATTGGGCGGTGGCGCTATATGCGGGACTTTGGGCTTTTGACGGTTGGGATAATGTGTGTTTCACCATATTTCGTCCTTATGGAAACGCTGACAGCAAACAGGTCAACTACGTGACAGGAGAGTTCATCAACCCCACACGCGATCTCCCTCGAGTCATCCACACCTCTCTCCCCATCGTCATCTGTTCCTACCTCCTCGCCAACGTCGCATACTACCTCGTCCTCCCCATCCACATCATCGAATCCTCCAACACCGTCGCCGTAGCCTTCGGCTCCGAAGTATTCGGCCCCGTCGGCGCCCTGGTTCTGGCGCTCTTCGTCGCCGGCAGCTGTTTCGGGGCCCTCAACGCCACCACCTTCACCTCCGGCCGTCTGGTGTATGCGGCCGGCAAGGAGGGCTACATGCCCTCGATCTTCGGGAAGATCGGAGTCGGCAGTCGAGATCAGCTACGGCTGCAAGCGGCGCGCACGGCGCCGACGTCGAGAGCAAGGAGGGTGGCGAAGAAGCTCTTCGGACTGATCGCGGATGATGCGGGGGTGTTCTACACACCGATCAATGCTATGGTGCTCAACGCGACGCTGACTGCCATATATGTGATCGCGGGCGAGTTCAAGACGCTACTCACCTTCTACGGCGTGGCGGGGTACACGTTCTATTTCTCGACCGTTCTCGGTTTGATTATCCTTCGGTTTAAGGATCCGAACCTGGAGCGTCCATACAAGACCTGGATCACCACGCCCATCATCTTCTGCTGCGTCAGCCTCTTCCTCCTGAGTCGAGCCGCGTTGGCCGACCCGCTGCAGACAATCTTGGTCGTGTCGTTTGTCGTGGCCGGTGTCCCGATTTATTTCTTTTTGGTGAAGCCACGGAATTCATCCCGCACGCATAGAGAGAAAGGAGACGGCTGGAAGTTCTGGAAACGATGGGGAAGGTGGTAATGTCCCCATTGATTTGTAGTTAATCTAGCGAATATGTATACTGTGACCGTTGATATTGTGCGACGGTCATATTTTCGGATTCCCACGCCGATCGCCCGAAGGCTCCATCTCAAACCTGATGCGCAGAAATCCTGTTCTGAATGCTTGTACGACTGCCGAGCTTACAAACGGTCGACTATCAACCGTAGATAGATCAGAGCTGGCCCGACCCGTTGCTCTCCCCTTCTTCAGGAGTTCCTGTCCCAACCACTCCTTCAGCTGGTTCTCCGCATTCTTGTCCGTCAACAGAATGTCAGGCAGCGGGACCTCGTCCTCGAAAAAATCTTTCCGGTCCGGTGTCTTCGTGGCCTTCATTTTCCGCGCGGCTAGCTGCTCCAACGCCTTCTCGTCGGCCTGCGGGAACGGATGCGCCATGATCGATAGCGGAGGGCCTCCATACCGCTTGTCAAACCGCACCAATCCAAGCGCCCGGGTCATTGGATCGCTGTACGACTGCAGCGGGTCCGGGAGTCGAGTCAACCTGTGCATGGTATGCCAGCACTCTTCGGCAAAGGCCGGCGCAACGGGTGCCAGTAAACGGAGGAGAATGCTGGTAGAGTGGAAGTAGACGGATGGGAGGATGACGGGCGACGCTTGCGGGAGATAGGTGCGCGTCGCTGGTGCGGCGATGGTGAGGGCTCGGCTCAGGTCGCATACAGACTGTGTGAGGACGCGAAGGTCGACATGACCGTCCCCAAGAGTATAAAACACACCTTCAGCAGCTCGATTGGCCTTGAGCCACAGCATGACATCGATGTCCGCTAAGAGCTCGAGCTCGGGAATCTGGGGGATGGAGGAAGTCATGGTCTTGTAGCTGCCAATTATTAACCCCGCCTGGTTTGTGGACTTCCAGATCGCGTGGACAAGTTGCGTGGCGTGTTCGGAGGGAGAGCTGCCCCTAGACCTGTCTACTAATCCACTGTGCTCCAGCAAGAGCGCGAGGCTCTGGATTTCATCTCGATCTTGTTCGTTTCCTTCGCTCGGTGCGCCAGAGGATGAGCCTTGACGGGAGCCCGGATGAAGTTGTAGCCCCCCTTGGACCCTCTGTAGCACATCCGCAACCCTGACACCCCCCACATCGTCTCTATGCTCTGGTGAGAGATACGGGTCCTCTAGGGTTGTCCATTTCCAAGGGAGAGACGTCAGGTTTGGGGCGGGTCGAATGCGTCTTGCGTGTTGGGGAAATCGTTGGCGGGACACCAAGAGGGGAGAGCTACGATGATAACATCGTTTGAGGAAAAGGAACTTGGGGAGAGGATTCCTCATCAGCTATAGATCATAGTGTTGTTCTTGTTGCTGTGAGCTTCAGCGACGCGTGAGGCCGAATTGATGTCCTTCGACGCACGGGCCAATCAGTGATATATGCCAAGACTTTGGAGGCAGGGGTGCTCAACTTTGGTCGGAATTGTGGGGCCCGAAATTTATCAAAAACTGAAAATCCTCTGAACGGGAAACTGGAATACACCCTGCCCATTATCAACCCATCCCGTGTGCACTTCCACTCCCGAAATTTACTCCAGTTTGTCTCCGGGGTACATTGCCTCGATCACGAGCAGATATGGCGTCCGACGAGATTGTCTGGCAGGTTATCAACCAGCAATTCTGTGCCTTTAAGCTCAAGTACGTCGCAACAATCCTTCGCCTCGCAGCATGTCGCTAACTGAACCAGGACAACCAAAGAGCAAACCTTCTGCCGTAACGAGTACAATGTCACCGGTCTATGTAACCGGCAGTCATGTCCTCTCGCCAACAGCCGCTACGCCACCATCCGAGCAAACCCTGAAACCGGGGTCCTCTATCTCTACATGAGGACAGCCGAGCGGTCACATATGCCTTCGAAATGGTGGGAGCGCATTCGACTTTCCAACAACTACGCCAAAGCGCTCGAGCAGGTCGATGAGCGATTGATCTACTGGCCGAAGTTTCTCATTCACAAATGCAAGCAGCGCTTGACCCGTCTGACGCAAGTGGCCATCCGAGCACGACGATTGGCGAAGGAGGAGGAGAGACTGGGTGAGAAACTGGTCCCTAAGTTGGCGCCGAAGGTGCGCAGACGCGAGGCGACGAGGGAGAGGAAGGCGGAGTCTGCCGCGCGGGTGGAGAGGGCGATTGAGAGGGAGTTGGTCGAGCGGTTGCGCAGCGGGGCTTATGGAGATCGGCCGCTCAATGTCGAGGAGGGCATTTGGAAGAAGGTGCTGCGGGGTTTGGAAAATCAAGGCGAAGGTATCCGCGATGAGGACTTGGACGAGGGAATAGAGGAAGAGGAAGGATCCGAGATGGAACGAGAGTACGAGTACGAAGGTGCTGAGGGCGAGGTCGAGTATGTCTCTGGATCCGACATCGAGACAGACGATGATGATCTGGGTGACATGGAAGACTGGTTTGACGGCAACAGCTCCGACGGAGAAGAGGATGACGACGAGGAAGGTTCAGAGGAGAGCGACGATGGCTCGGCCAGTGACGATGGGGATGATGTCGCTCGCTTGAAGAAGACCCTTGGCGACTTGAAGCGGAAGAGGCCGCCAACCAAAGCCACGAAGCCGAGCAAACGCCCGAGCAAAGGACCAAGGACGGAGATTGAGTATGAGATTGAGAAGGAACCTACACGCAAAGAATTGGCTATTTAATCACGGGCTTTCAAGGCGTTCGGATGTCATGGCAGCGAGTAGAGAAGCATTGTTCGGAAGCATTCATATCAGCAGAGTGCTATCTAGCAGGTTACGGGATATTGTCCTTTGTAATCCGTCCAAAATGAACACATTCGTTCCCAAAATGCGCTCAATTGACCGAAGCCTTCTAAACGTTCGCGACCGTTTTAGTGGTGAGAGATCCTGTCCACTGTAGCACTGATGCCAATTTATTTTATAGACGAAATAAAAAGGCGTGCGGGACGAGATTCGTGGTCTGCAGACATCCTTCTAGCTACGCTATTATCAAATGCTTCATCCAAAATACTAGGGGTGCCTGATCTCGAACGCGAAGTCACGTGCACCGATCAGCTCCCAGTCTTTCACCACAAATCCCGTGTACTTCCACTTGTTCGCCATCATCTCCATCACCACCCACCCGCGTCAACCCAACAGCGCACAAGATTCGAGATAATACCCATCATCTGTAACCTCAGTTGATGGCGTCGCGAAGCGTGAGATAACCGTCTGGATTCCCTACTGATCCGTCTTACGTTTCAACAGAAGAGGGATCGCCGCCGAGGAATCGCGCCGCTCTCTTGCGATGGCGGCACCTAAAGAATCGAAGAATGCCCGAAGAAGGGCTCTGAAGAAGCAGAGGAAGGCAGAGGTATGCGCGAACCGGTCGACTCGAGTTTTTTTGGATGAATATACTAACGTCTTTCAGACTGCGGCGACTCCAGCCACTGAAACTACACTTCAAGGTGAAGAAGCACCCACCGACAAGCAAAACGGCATCAACGGCGCCGCAAAAACAAATTCTGATGATGGCAAACCGGTACAGCCCGTCGACTTCGAGATCAACGTTGATGAAGACAATCCCCTTTTCGCCACCTTCAAAGATGTCCTGGGAAAGTTCGTCGATACCGACGCGCAGGCCGCTCAACAAGAGGAAGCCGAGAAAGGTCAAATGATCTGGGAACAAGACGACGTGTTCGATGAAGAGGAGGAACAGGAACAGCAGCAGAAACTATCCAAGAAGAAGCGAAAGGATGCGAGCAGGCTGTCCATCGCTGAATTGAAAGCGTTGGTCAAAAAACCGGAATTGGTAGAGTGGTCGGATGTGACTTCTTCAGATCCACAGCTACTGTTAGCTATCAAGTCGCACAGAAATGTCGTCCCGGTCCCACCGCACTGGTCGCTCAAACGAGAGTACCTATCTTCGAAGCGTGGAATCGAGAAACCGGCTTTCACCCTTCCCAAGTTCATTCAAGAAACTGGCATTGCAGAAATGCGAGATGCCGTCCTCGACAAGCAAAACGAGCAGACTCTCAAGCAGAAGCAAAGAGAGCGCGTCAATCCAAAAATGGGCAAATTGGATATCGATTACCAGAAGCTATACGAAGCGTTCTTCAGATTTCAAACGAAACCGGAATTGACGCGATATGGCGAGGTGTACTACGAAGGCAAAGAGTATGAGACGAATCTTCGACACCTTCGTCCCGGTGAGCTAAGTGACGAGCTGAAAGAGGCTCTGAACATCCCGCCAGGTGCTCCCCCGCCATGGCTGATCAACCAACAGCGCTATGGTCCTCCACCATCATATCCGGCTCTCAAAATCCCGGGTTTGAACGCCCCTCCTCCGCCCGGCGGGCAGTGGGGTTTCCATCCTGGCGGCTACGGCAAGCCACCCGTTGATGAGTTCAACCGACCTCTATATGGCGGTGATATTTTCGGCGTGATGCAGCCCCAGCAAAATCAACAACAAGGAGAGCCAGTTGAGAAGACCCTATGGGGCGAGCTACAACCTCCAGAAGAGGAATCCGAGGAGGAGGAAGAAAGCGAAGAGGAGGAGGAAGAGGAGGAAGAAGAAGGTTATGAAGGCCCGCCTGGACCGAGTGGCACCGCGACTCCAAGTGGTATTGCAACTGCGGTGACATCTGAATTCGGTGGAGCGGAGAGCATGGCTCCTGACTTTACCCTCAGACGACAGACCCGTGGCACAGATACTGAAGAGCCTCAAGAACGTCGGGCAGCTTACCAGGTCATTCCCGAGCAACAAGTTCGCGGCAATCAAGGTTTCTTCGGAAGCGAGCGGCAGTACGACTTGAAGACGGCCAATCAAAACCTGCCTGTGCTGGGTCAGGAGGATAAGTCGCGAAAGAGGAAAGCTGGCGACGTGGACGTGTCCGTGGATGTAGATGCGCTGCAACGAGACGAGAAGCTCAGTAAGGATGAGGTTAAGAGGCAGTACGAGGCGCAAAAGAAAGAGCAGAATCCTTGGGCAAAAGGTGGCTTCGAGGATGATCTAAGCCAGATGATTGCTGAGGAGAGCAGGAAGCGGCTTAAGAAGGATGAAGAGCGGAAAAGTAAACGGTAATCCGTGTATAACAGGAACTGGGCGGGCGACGCATCGATCTCGGCATGGAAAGGCGTTGAGGCGAAATGGCGAAACTGGATCCGGTGGTATACATATTATTGGGACGGGAACGAAGAGGATTCCAAGAGTTTACAAGTTCGACAATCGATATCTACACATCCGTGAACTGGGAACGACTGCTGCATACTCATCCGCAACTCAAGACGACACTGATCGAATGAATAGCGCTCGACGACGAGAAGTAAAGATGCGTCTGACAGTACGGTCGACGCGCTCGCTAGGACAAAAGAAGTAAGACCATGCAACTTGCACGCTCGAACGATGCGATCTTCCATGAAACCGTTCCCAAGAAGGACGAGGCTTCGAGATGCCTTTGCCACACCGTGCGGCCTCCCTGCTTCGTGGTCACGACAGTTGAAGCCGCCAAACCACCACGCAAGACGCCTATACCGCTGCTAGACATTCGAAGTAAGACGAAAGGCCGAAATGGACAATCAGAAGACATGAAAATAACTTATTGCTGCATCGAACCGGTTTCTGGATGCCTCCCAAAAGACGCACGGCTGCATGCAACAGAACGGTGTGTGAAGTTCAGTCGGCGCACGTGACGTGGGCGAACGCCGAAATTCGATAAAAATGCCGCCTCGAGCCTCGCGACTGTCGCCTCGCGAAGGAATGAAACCGCTCTTCATCACTTTCGTTCATACCCCCAGTTCCTTCCACCCGAACGAGTGCACCAGTGTCGTTGGCTACACTTGGCTTTTGGAGTTTTCAACCAACGACGATCATTTCTGATTCGGAGCCTTCACTATGGATCGTGAACGCGATACTAGAGACCGGAGGTACGGCGCCTTTCTATCTTGCACTATTGCACTTGGCTATCCAAGTATTTCTCGGTCATGATCAGGGCGTCTTGATGCAGCTTTATCGACTCTACCGTCTCTGCCTTTGCTAATCCATCATATTAGGTTTAATCGAGACCAAGATCGAGACCGAGATTATGACCGTAACACCTTCAGGCTCGGCGCCGGCGAGTCCTACCGCCCGGGCGGTGATCCACCGCCGCGACCTGGCCCTCCCCGATACCGTTCCCCTCCTCGACGCGATGCACCGCAGATCGATACATATATTCCAGGAGGACCCCGAGGGCGCCCCAGGAGTCGCTCTCCGGGATTCCGACGCCGGTCCAGGAGCCCGCGTGGTGCGTTCAAGGACGTCAGAGCTCGGTCGCCTCCTCGTCGTGCCATGTCGCCGCGAGACGATGATCGAAGAGGTCCGCGACGGCCATCTCCGCGGGATTTTGGACGGGAGATAGGGTATGTTTACGCCACTCATCGAAACAAGGCTGAGTCATTGACTGGACACAGCCGTGACCGTGATATTCGAATGCGCGATAGATCGCCTCCGCCTCGACGGGAGCGAGAGCCTTCTGCACGTGGTCGATATGAACCCCCCCGAAGGTATGTCCTTTTCATCGCTTGTTGCATTTCGGCGGCGAACGGGTCTAATTGATCTTAGCGCCGAGCCTAGGGATTACTCCCCTCCACCCAGAGACCGCATCTCTCAGAACCGAGACGACCGCCGAGACTACCCGGAGCGACGCCGCTCACCCTCTCCCCGTCGACCTATCCGTGACGACTATTTTTCTGGCCCACCCTCCGGTCGCGACTCCCATGCAACGTCGCGTATGTCCTCTCCACATGGCTACCCGGTCCGTGACCGCGACGACCGCGACTACCGAGACAACAAGTTCGATTCCAGCGACCGCGATGACGGATACCGCAACGGGGACGACGGCATTCCCATCCGCGCCCCTCCCACGGGTCCCGCTGCAAATCGTAACTTTACCTCCCCTATCACCGCCCCCACCGGCCCTTCCCTCCTCTCTGCCCCATCCCGCCCACGCGGCGGCCCCATGGGCCGCGGAGGGCACCCTCGCGACGATTACCGCGACTACCCCTCCGGTCCACCTCGCCGCGGTTCGAGCTACAACTACCAGCCTCCGCGCGGCGGGTACGCACCGTCCGGTCCCCGAGGCGGTGGGCCTGGTTCGGCACCATTCCGCGGCGCTGGGAACAGCACCTCCACCACCTACCCACGCACGCAACGGTTTAATAACAACAATGGACCCCCCTCATCCTCGTCGTCGCACCTCTCCGACCTTCCGCCCATCGTCTCCGGCGGGCAGAAGCTGCCGGACGTGGCGAACATGTCGAAGATCGAGAAGCTCGAGGAGGAGGCGAGGCGGTTAAGGGAAAGCATTGAGGCGCGGGAGTTGAAGAAGAGGGATGGCGTGCATGATTGGGATCGGTTGGAGAGAGAGAACCACAATTCGGCAGTGCGGAGTGAGCTCGCGGAGGAGCATCTGAGAAAATTGAATGGGGAGAGCGAGTTGGGCGATCGGGCTTTCTAGAAGAGCAACTTTCTTGCCGACGTGTGGGGTTGGTTCCTACTCAGAATGAATAGATGGGATGCAAGGCATCGTCAGTGGTGATGAAATTGGGTCGCAGGGCTGCATATCTCGGTTAGTGAGGTCTCTCAAGATGGAAGGTTGGTTAGAAGTTATTTCTACCCAGTGGCGGCGCGAGTACGTTCAGATTGTGTGATGGTACGGAAGAAAGAACAGATCGGACCGGAGAAAGAGGATCATCTCTCAGATTGTGTGATGGTGCACAAGAAAAGAACGATTCGGACTGGGGAGAGAGGACCATCAGAATGCCGATTTGTTACTGGAGGACCTGGTGATCAAGATCAAGCCAAGCCGCGACGAAATGGATCAGAATCGTTCATCAGAGCCGCCTTCTGACACAGAACGGAGTGCAGTACCTGCGTCTTCGCATCGCAGTGCATTTGTAGCCGCATCCACTCGCCGCCCCGAGGCCCTCGCGCATCTGCATCTAAATCTAACCTGAAGATATAAGGTTAAAGGCCTGGATCGTATCCACCTTACTCGTCATAGCTATAAAATATTACCCGCCGCGCTCGCCGAGTCGATGGTTGTCGTGCGGCAGGGCGACAGTGCGGCAGCGAGCGAGGATCGGCTCCTGGCGATATTGCCTAGGTTTTCGAGATATTGCGGCACGAAGGTGCGGCAGGCCAGATCTTCGCTAATCCGTTCAACTTCCATGCAATATCTTTTCATCTATTGCCGCCCCGAAGAATATTAGGAATGTTACTTTACCATTTGCTTCATGGTTTATTGCGAACGCGGCATTCCAAGCGCGCTGAATTTGCTGGATTGGTGTGATGCCAACCCTGAAACGGTTGTCAGCGGCCTTCAATGGGAATATCAGGTCATTGTTTTCGTCGTTTCCAAGCGTAGGATGGTAGGGAATTAATTACTTCGATATGATACATCCACGTGTAGATCTTACTATGGAGGTCTATACAAATGGAGAATCTATGATTTGCACTTCTCTGCATTACGCAATGTTGCGCGTCGCCTTTCAGTTATAAAGTCTCCTTATCCCTTCTTCTTACTTGCTACCCAGTGTTCAGTGCGGTCTACATTCGTTTCTTCAAGTCATCTTGCTTCTCATCATGAAGTGGTCCAGCCGCAGCGCATTCGCTGCGTTCATTCTTTCCTTCGGATCTTCCGTCTACTCTCAAGAGCATGGTGGTCATGACGCCGGGATGCAGATGGATCCCGGCCACGGCGGTGCAGCCGACGGTGGCATGGCAGGCGGCCATGATGCTCCCGCATTGCCCGTGAAAATCGAGCAACTCACACCGACTCACCCATCCAACAAACGAGTCCGCCTTCGCTACGGCCCCATCATCGCTCCGCTATGGAACGACACCTCCGGGATGGGCGGACACCACGGGATGGCAGATGAAGGCGGCATCAAGCACTTCAATATCCTGAACACGCTGAAGCCATGCGATGCCTGCATCCTGAAGTACGGTTCCGCGAACTTGGAGTACGTCAACCGAACGTCCTGCGACGGAAGCCCTGAAATCGCGAACTATAATACCGGGGTCTGGTTGCATCATTACTCGCTTTCGGTCCAGGGTCCAGGGCGGAGTGATCTGTTCTGCGGAAGCAAGAAGGATGGCGAGCGGATCATGGCGGTGCACAATGATCGAAATGCGACGTACTATGGGTCCGGGTTTGACGACAAGGCGGGATATTTCATCCGGCCGGAGGACACAATCGACGTGGAGCTAGAAATCAAGAACGATATTGACACGCTCACTCCGGTGTACTTCACCACGGAGTTTGAGTTCGTCCCACTCAGCACCGAGGACGCGAATAAGACGCCGAAGGAGCTCGGATATAAAGAAGTTAAGGCGCTGTGGCTCGATGCGGCGAGTTGTGACGATATGGGGTCGGAGATCCTAGCGCCGCTAAACACGACGAAGTTCACGTTGGAGGGTGCGCCGTGGACCGCATCGTTTGCTGGATCGCTGATTACCACTGTTGGCCATATGCATGACGGCGGGGTCCATCTCGAGGTGTTCAGAGATGGGGAGCAGGTGTGCAATTCGCTCACCACGTATGGTGGGAGTGAGGAGTACATCCCCCGCAAGGAGACCATTGCGGCGGGAGCGCCAGACACGGTGCATGTCAGCTCATTTGGAGCGTGTCATGACTTTGGCAAGTTCGAGAAAGGAGACAACATCACGTTGAAGGCGCATTATGATTTCGACAAATATCCTGGAGGGAGGAATCTGAAGAACAATCTCAGTGGGCTGATGGGGATTGCGGTCATCATTCTCGGCGTCGACGAGTCGTCGTCCTGTGTTGTCTAGTAGTGTAACCAACCGACTGTAGTAAACAGCCGTAGATCAGGGGATCTAGAGCATATATAGTCACCAATCTAAAGCACACAACTCAGCGGACTGAATGCCCTGGCCAACATGTCTGCATTGTGCAAATATGAAGTTGAAAAGAACGCTGTGCGACAATTGCGTCAACTGGTCAAGCCTCTCATCTGAGGGCTGATCCGCATACCCACTTGCCATCAGGGGTTAGCGTGCCTCCTTCCCCTCCCTCTATCTGATATTCAATTAATTTCGTCCTGACATTGCTCTTCACATGTCTCTGTCTTCTATTGTTCTTCTTGCTTTAGCTAGTTCGCATTGCGTGTTACAATCTATCAATTCGCGAGAGTTAGTTATAACATTCATATTCAATTAGAAGCTTCATCGTTGATATAGTGCCTTATCTAAGGAAGGACGCCGGAGCACCTCCTTTCCGGCTATACCCAGTCTCTCGAAGTATTCCGCAAGTTTCTGGTCTTTGACCGTAATCACAGTTCACGGAATGTATCCGTGCTGTTTCTGGGTCGACGAGGACTGCCCTCGCGATGTCGAGCAGCTCGGCGACGCCTGTGATGAACACATGATGCTGGTGCGACTCATCCCCTCAGCAGCCTCCAACCCCCACAGCTGATGAACGAGGACTCAGGGCGGCTACATGTCCATGCCAGATGATATAGACCTCATGCCACACCGACAACGACAAGATCTCCAACACTGCTCCCAGTGCGAAGAGCTCGAATGGTTGGGGCTGTCCGAACTGCTCCCCCTGATCGACACCAAATCTCTCGACCGCCCCCTCTCTTCCGACCCAAAGTCCTCCCCGCTCGATCATCGCCGACCATTCTTCGGCGGTGGACGCCTCCATGCACCGGATGATGTGTCGCCAGCGGGGATCCCGCGTCAAGTCGAGCCGCGGCTGAGAGTATTGGGGGAGCTGCTCGAAGGAAAGAGGAGGCGAGAAATTGAGGGGAGAGGGAGATATTCATTGTTGGAAATAGCGAGGAGGGAGAGCAAGAGGGCGGGACCATTGGACAAGTCGGAGAGGAGAAGGATGAGCGTCGTGATATTGACAACGTTGGCAGGAGAGTGGGATGTGGACTAATCTTGTACTGCTGCGAGTCGAGGATTGGGAATTCCGCTACATGCAAGTGTTACGGAAGTGTGGTTTCGAGAGGCATTGCTATGGATATTGTATGGTATGATTGACGATGATGCACGAGGGAATGAATATTTATACAGTTGGAACCCAATCCATTAGTTCCAGTGACGTATAAGCGTCGTGCGATATCATTTACAATGAGACTAGCCCGTCTCTGTCCCCATCCAGTGATAATGCCCGAAAATATGCACAGTCGTTGCCCTGCCAGGACGTAACGCCTTCAGTGTCCCAATGAGTCTAGTAACTGTCGTCAACACCAAGGAAATCGTTTTTGTCATGCCCGTTTCTGACCCAGGGATAGGTCCCACGACGATAACGCCATCCATATATGCTTGATGAGCACAATAACATCTATTCGAGGGAGTCGCTCCCACTTCCAGTGCCCTTAGTCCCGTATTGTGTGCAAGGTATGCAACTCATATAAACCGAAAAAAGAAAAAACCGAAGCCGAGTACCATTCTAGTACCCATCTGGCTTCGTTTGGAAATTCAAATTCATGGCGTCCTCCGGTGACTCGGCGCCGTCGCCTGGTCTCCGATGCCCTCGCTCATTTCTCAAGTAGTCCTCGAAGCCGCCATACTCGACTAGCTCGAGCGGCAGCGGATCGCTCGTCACTTCGACTGTCGTCTGTGTCTGGACACCCGTGCTTAGGTCGAGGGTACAGAGCGAGGGTTTTGACGAGCCCCATAGCTCATCGGTGCTCTCGTGGGATGAATTTTGTCGGCTATTGTTCCCTTTTCGGTCGACGCCTCCAAGGCCAAGGACATTGGCTACACTGGGTCGTCGGCCATGTCGGCCATTGCTGGAATGGCCCCTACTGGAGCCAGGGGTGTAGCCTTTACCGCGTTGATGGTAGCCCGTTCGACTGGTACTGCCAGAATGCAAAGCAGCGGCTCCGGGGCCGGTGGCTTCGATGACAGTAGTTGTGCCGAAGCGCGTTTCGGCGCCGCCATTGCTCCAAAAGGGGACCTGGAAAGTGTCGATGCCAAGAGTATCTGGGGGAGGTTCGTCGCTGAAGATCATGATTCGACGAGTCATGGTGTAGAGGAGAACGTCAAGCCATCCGTTGGAGGTGATCATGGCGCCTGCGACGCAGAGATGGACGATCGAGAGGCGGTGTCCGGCCATGGCGGCGACACGGGCGGAGGCAAGGGGAAGGGTACAGACAACATAGACGATAGGATAGACGACCATCAGTTTCGCGGCGGAACTGGCATGCTTGAGAGATGCAGAGGTTGCGAAGTCGGGATGGGATTGAGACCGAATCCGGGCGCGGAGGATGATGAACATGGCGGCGTAGACGATGATGGTGCCGAATTCGAAGATAAAGATCCAGAAATAGTGAAGCCAGAGACGAATACTCTCGTATCTGGAATCCACCCAGCACTGTCACCAATAATCAATTAGCGTCTGTGACCTCGTCCTACTCAGGAGAACTTACCCATGCACCAGCTCGAACAAATATGTTCGGGTGCATCGACACTACAATAATATTGCACCCATACACAAATGCCCACCCAGCTAAAACGGACGCATGGAACTTCACCGGGCTGAGGCGATAGTTAAACAATATAGATGCAAACGTGTGCACTCCGATTGCAAAACACCACACTCCGCTCGCGAGATCTCCTACGCTGACGAACCAGGCTTGAGCCCAGCATGTCCGCGTGCCTACCTCGAGGCCATTCCTTGCTAGCCACACCACCGCGAGCATGAAGGAGACGCTCTGTTGGATGTCGGCAATGACGAGATTGTAGATGAGAAGGACGAATTGTGATGTTGGTCGATTCGATTGTCGCCGCCATGATACGATTCGATATGTGAGGATTACGAATAGCGTAAGCGACGCAATGAGGGACAGGAATCCAAAGAAAGCTATGGCAATGAGGCCTCGCCGTAGATCGTCTGGTAATGGGGACAAGCTCGAGGTTTCCAGCTTGTGAGCAGCGATCTTCTCAGCTTCTATTATCACTGCTAAGTCCATGATGTGCAGTAACCTCGCCGTCCAACATCGGGAACTTGCAACTCGAGGACGTTAGACCGTTGGGTATATACTCAGCGAGTGTAGGTCGGTATGCATGGCAGAGCTTAAGAATCGAAAGGACAAGATACCGAGCCACCCGAAGTAGGGTAAGGAAGCTTAGAAGTATCTCCGTGTGCTATCGCTCAAGTTTCGTAAGCCTGGACCCCCATACCAGAAACCACTTCGCCAGCGAGAGTATTGGTGTCGAAACTATATTTTAGAGAGGCGTGGGCTTGGGAGAGAATGAAAATAGGAGCGACCCCCACTGGATGAAGCAATCTACCCAGCGTCTGGAGGAGTCCTCGTGCATGTAAGAGATATACAGCGGAGGCTCTTGGCAGCGAGAGATATTCCGTATAGATTGACAATAGGATAACGATGGCGTTGATGACGAGTAGGTATGATGGTACGCGAGCGGCGCATGCAGGGAAGGCACCATTAATTAGAAAGCTAAAACCCAACCAGAGCCATAGAAATCCACGAGCATCTAGAGGTGATCTGACTGACGACTGGATAGAAATAAGAATAAGACCAGGCTAAGACATGCAATCATGGATTGACCTAGAGGCTAGAAGTGTTTGAGAAGGATCGACTGAACTCAGTTGGTTTAAGAGATGCCAGGAACATGGATTCAGGATTCAAGTGTGGCGGCCATATGAGCCCTAGAGACAGAAAGGTAGATGGGAAGTCTTTAAGACCACGCCATCAGACCGAAACCTGGGTCTTACACATGGAGAGCATGGTAAAGAACGATTTAGATGGTGCAGCCAAGGGCTGGTCTCGGACGGGCATCATCCATGCACACGCAGCCTTACCCAGTAGGACTGGATCTAGAAGCAGCAGGCATGGATGACGGATGGTCCGTGGAAGGATGGATATTGGAAGGATGGACAGTGAAAGCAAGCAAGGAAATCCGACATGCAGGTGTATCATCAATCTCTCATGCCCGTCAGACAGCACAAGTGGGGTAAGAAGTCAGAGCCCGTGAGGGGCGAACAAGCGTTTGGTGTCCTCAGCCCATGTCCATGTAGACATGTCCCGATGTACGGGATAGTAACGGGAGGCTGCAGTCTGCGAATTCCGGTGGCGAGAGGGGCGTCGTGGTTATACGAAGCCACGGCAACACGCCCGAGGAAATATGAGAGAAGCAGCTGGATGTGAGGGACGAGTGGACTGTCGGATTTACTCCGCTCACGGGACCGTATCAACTCATTGTTCGTACTTCGTACCCGGTACCACATTAGACTGTTTTTTAAGCCGGAATTTTATGAACTCCTATTGGAGGCTTGGAGCTTTGGGCCGGAGAACGACAGAATGTGGTCTTTCGACGATCTTCAAACCCGAAGAGGCGGCGCGTCCCCTGTACGTCGTAGTCTCTCATCAAAGGTAAAGTAGGTTATGAAACCACGTTCATGGGCTTCGAACTGTCTCGTTTGGCATCTTCTAGGTCCACCCTTGACGCTCTCGTGACTTGTCAAACATGCCAGCGATCGGCTTCTGCTCTCTTGTTCGCCTGTTCAGTCACCATAATCGCAGGTCCATTCGGATTCTATTTCCAGATTGTCAGAAGGGAACTGCGCAAGGCCGCATGCAAGGTGTGGCAACACAGACCATCTCCAATACCATTGGCCACTGGGTAGCCCAGTGGTGAGCATCAACGAGCCACTCAGGCTCTTAGCACATCACCTTTTACCTGTCTAGTTTCCAGGATGCACCACGATGATATTGTATGCGACGGGGCGTGAGAGGACCAATTGAAGGATGAAGAAGGTGGATAGTAATATGCGAGCCCTGGTCGGAAGGGCGTATCTTGGAGTACAAATATTGGGAACTCAGGTAAGGACAAGGCGCCCCTGCGGCCTGCACCCTCCCTCATCCCTTTGGCCGATCACTGGACACCAACGGGAACTCCGCTGCAGTTCTTTGGTTGGCTGCAGTTGGCCGAGAAACGCAGGACAAAGTGACAGACGGAAGGTACCTGTAGTGACCAAGAGGTCAAACAACCGCACTTTGAAAGCCCGAAGTTGGAGTGTATGCAAAGGCTGGACGAGGGACTGGAGAGTCGCCGAGTGAAGATTGATAGTAGGAATTCCCCTCTACGGAGTACGTCAACACTCAACCAACAGGCCCTTGTAGCCTTGTACGTAGTAAGCCACAGTCCACAAAATCGAACCACATGAAGATCCTGTTTCGTCTTTCGGGCTTCGGCCCCTGTAACGTCTTATGTCTTAGTACAGTCTTACACAGTATGTCAAGGTCCAAGCATTAAGGACTAAGGATTCAAGATGCGGCATGGAGATCTAGGGGAGCGACCTTCTAGAAGGGTTCTTTTCCTTCCAAGTACCTATCCAGTAGTATCATGATTCATGGCCTAGTCCGACCTAACAAACAGTCCAACACGACGCAAGGAGGACTTGCAAAGAGCTGGAAACCTGGAACTTCTCAATATCCGCGAATGCAGCAGACTGACGCCGTCTGTAAGCAGGCTCAACATTTGATGTGTTGTTCATTGGACCTTCCATCTTCGGAATGATTACTCACTCCGAGTCAACTGGCAGGCGGTGCCTTGGCGATAACAATGCAGCCGAAGCGAGCCGATAAACGGACATCAAACTTCGAGCATGGAGGTTCGGCTGATAGGGAGTAGGTATTACTGACGTTTGTTTCCGGCGGAAGAACTGGTAACAAATCCACAGTCGCCTCGAATAGATCGAGCCAGGTGATACTAATTGCATTGCATCTGAACAATCAGAATCAGCTGTGACGATCGACATTGGTGAGGTTGGAAGCGGCAATAGTACGTGTATTTCTATGTGAATAGTTCGCATCACGGATCACGTATTACCGGACAAGCCAGAACCCAGAAACGGGATAATGACACAGCGGGACAATATCCCCGCGCGAATTGCTTCTGTATCTGTCAGCAGACAGGAGGTGTTCTAAATATCGCCGTTTGTTGTCTCATTTCTGGTGCCGATTCAAATTTACTCTGCTGGTCCGTTCCCGTCGTTGGAAAAGGAGGAAACACAATAAGTAACAGCGTCCAAGCAACGCCTGTTCATTATTGCTATTCTGATGATTGATGCTAATAACTGAACTGGAATGCCAGGTGATGAAGCAAAAGCCATGGGCAGGTGACACCGCGTCGGAAATTGGGTCCAACGCGTCGACATCACTTGATTCTGCCGACGACGGAATCTCTTTATTCTCTACGATACGTCGGTGCCGTGCCTCCTAAACCAGTATAGCTGATGCTGTCCATGCAATCCGGCCATAATTTGAAGTTCTCTTTCCGAAATGGCTACGCAGTGCGGGTTAGGGGTCATCAAGTCGAAGGCCATAGGGGTGTCTTCGATGCGTTCTTTGGAGAAGTCAGTGGCCATGTAGTAGCTGCAAGAGCGGTGGTTGAGACGTGCAAGAATGGAGATGCTCCCGCTATACCGAGAAGGGGGTGACTGGCGGACTGGCCAGAGGACGCAAAAGAAAAGGATGTCTTCGGGTGGGTTTCCCAGGCAAGGGAGCGTCGGTATATCGAAATCGAACGGAAAAAACGAAAGGAGCGCCGCGTATGTGTAGGTGGCAACGTATAGAATATAAAATTCGTTATCATTCTTTAAATGCCTGAAAGGGTACTTGCTACTTACTGTAGCTCTCGAGGTAAATGAGAGTCGGATAGCATGTCATAGGTATTCCTGCATCGAACAATCTATCACGTTGGGCCCTTACTGCTCGACAAAAGTGCTCCCGTCGGTAGACTTTCAGGTAAGGGATGTAGTCTGATTTTCTCCGTAAATCTAAGTTGGGATACTACTATACAACTCTATTCCTTATATGAAGGGAGGGTGGATTCATAATCGAACAATAGATCCTCCTCTATAGTGAAGTCTATTCCGTCAAGACCACTCTGCAACTAACGCTGAAATGCCATCCCCTCGTGCCAATGCAAACAGTGCGTCCCACGCCACTCTATCCCTCAAAAACATCGTGCTGCAGCTCCACTCCAAGGTGCCTCGCCATTTTCTGCATCTGCGCCTCCATGTCATCCTCCATCCCCTTGCCTCTCCCCATCAACTGCTTGATCCTCGACCACCACCAAACCATATCGCTCCCCAACAAGACCAATCTGAACACCATGTGGCTCCCTAGATTCCGAACCCGCTCGGACAGCTTCAGGTGCGGGTCATCAGCCAGGGCGCGACTGGCCCACAGGCCGGTGATCTTGATGCGGTTGACCGGGCTGCCCAGGTACTGATTATTCCCCTGGACGATCCGAAGGTTCCGCCCGATGAAGATCAGCTCCTTCGGCCACTGATCCTCGTTGCCCAATATATCTTTGACATTATGCCGCATCTTCATCTGCATCTCGTACGCCCGCTGCTGCTCCGTCTTGCCGTCGGCCGCATCCTCGCGGAGGGACCGCATCGTCGATTGGTTGCCACCCGTGTATGGACGCATCAAGGTCGCGCTCGCAAATATATCCGGATTCCCCACCCCCCACGCAGTCACAACCTCCTTCAGCGTCTCGTTGTCGAACTGGATCAATGCTTTCCAGAACCGCGAGTACTGGTGTCGAAACTTTGGCTTCATGTGGATGTAGAGACCGTGGTCAATCAGCACTAGCTCGGGTTTCCCGGATGGGAGTCGTCGAATGAAAATGTTACCCGGATGAGGGTCGCAGTGCAGGAGGCCCCAGAGGAACATCTGCGCGCTGAAGAGGTCAATCATGATGGTCATGACCGAGTCGAGACTAACGCCAAGGCCTCCTTTGCCTGTGCGTCCTCTCCATTCGTCGCGCTCGGGTTTTATGAAGGCGCCGGATGAGATCTCTTGACTTGATCTGGATCTTCTCGAGGTCGGCTTAGGTGGATTCAAAGGAGTCGCACCGGCGCCTGGAGAACCATTGCCATGCCCACCGTACCACGGCTTGGTGATCGCGTCCTTATCCCATAATCGTACCCCTTCAATCCATTCCGCTGTCATGACTCGTCTCGAACTAAACTCGCGGTAGATCTCTGGGATGTAAACTTTCCCTCGCAGTCTCCGTTCGCCATTGACGTACTTTTTCATCTCGTCCGAATTGTTCGCCTCGTTAACGAAGTCCGTCTCCAGTTGTAATCGCTCGCTGATATATGGCACAAGGGTATACACTGGCAGATCGAACCAGTAAGAATAGGCCCTCGCCACCACCTTGAACGCCCATAAATCCCATGATGTTTGTCGTGCGATCTCCTTCTTCTGCACTTTGATGGCCACCTCGCGTCCATCCGGTAATCTAGCCCAATGCACCTGCGCAACACTTGCACTGGCTCTCGCTGTCTTTTCCATGACCCCCTTTCCCGGTTCTCCCGTGAAGCTCACCCCAAACACCTCCTCCACGCTTTTCCCGAACTCCTCCCGGATCACCTTCTCCACGTCCTTCCATTCGTTCTGCGGCGCATCGTCGAACATGCGGGCAAACATTTTCTGGAACTCCGGCGGCAAAATCGCGCTCTGCATCGCGATCGCCTGGCCGATCTTCAGGTATAGTCCGCCATTCTCCCGCAGCAGGTTGAACACGCGGTGGGCGTTCCGGTTGTGGAGATGCACAATCGACTTTGCGAGCGGTGGGTTTTCCCGAAAATTTATCTTATAGTCAAATCCGATCAGGAGCCCGGTGTAGAATGTCCGTAAGCTGCGTACGATGCAGGAGTCATTGAAGTTGGTGTCGACGAGGTAGAGGGTGACGGAGAAGACGGAGCTGTATACGCCGAAGCGTACGAAGCGTTGCACCCATTTCCGGGGTTTCTTAGCTTTGGGGAGCTTTGATGGATCGGGAGGTACGAAGGGGGAGAATCGTGCCGTCTGGAGTCGGCGGATATTCGACGGTTGATTGACACGGGTCGGTGTGGAATGAGGGCAGAGGTGGGAGAGGATCGGCCTTCGGAAGACACGATAGGCGAGGGACATCGCTATCGAGCCATGACGCATTTTTGATAGGAGTGTGAAGGTTATTAATGGCCTTCAAATGAGAGCCTAAGGCAACCGGAGACTCTATAATGGAGATGCAGTCAGACTGTCAGAGAAGCATGAAGCTTGCGGTCTATCAAATGTCCAGACTGGATACGGGCTAGCGTCACCTGGTGATTACGAACCACCCACGCGACATCATCAATTGATCATCCTTCATTCCTTTCTCAACTTTGAGATCGCCATCGTTGATAATGTCTTTATATCAGTCGACTTAACATTCAAAATCCTTGAGCTCATTATTGCCGTTAAACTGGATAAAGAGATTCGTTATCGTACCCGTGCGGCCAATCTTTTGAGTATGTCTCAATCTTTCACAATTGTCTTCGTGCTCCCAGTTGGATGCCTCAACATCTTCCCTCCATCGCCATGGCGCAGCAAGTCCTTCACCCATGAAACCCCGTCATCCCACCAACCATGCCTATCAACTCTCACCCCCTCCTTCTCGAGACTCTCCGTGTCCAATGAACCCATGCCAATGTCGACCATTGGGCCCAGCGTCCAGCCGGTGCGAGGCCCAGTATAGCAGAACGTCAAAGGCGTGCCGCAAAAGGAGCAGAATGCTCGCTGAACATCTTCCGAGGAGTTGAAATGGCCAATAAACGTCTTCGTCTTCAGCTCGTCTGACGGCAGCACAACATCGCCTGTTTCCACGTCTATCTTGCCCTTCCCGTCCTTCTGCTCCAGCTGCCACTTGACCCATGCGTGGGGAATGATGATCCATGCTTGGACAATGGAACCGCAAGCACGACGGCAATCTGAGCAGTGATCAATGTCCATGTACGGGAACCGCGCTGGTGGAGACTCCTCCGACCCGTCAACCGGTATTGGGACGGCGCCTGGGATGAGGGGCCGCTCATCTCGGGAAGGGAGAGAGATGGTATAGCGGATTTTGGAGCAGAAGCAGCCTCCATGGAGTTCCAAGGCTTCAGCAGGGAGATAAGACATTTTGAATGTGTTATAACTTTTATCAAGCCAACTAATGTGTGAGAGAGTGGCGGGAGAATGAGGGGATGGCGAGGAGAGATGGTATTGCTCCCCAAACGCGTCCGTCGCGTCCTCTTTTATGGCGCAGAATACGAGGTGACCCCTCCCAATGCGCCTGGTCAGGTGAGTACGTGTCACATCGGCATAAATGATTTCCGAATCCGGGTGACGATCATTTCTTACCACCTTCCTTTTGTGTTCTGGTTCAATAACCTCCTGGAGTCAAGGCTATTGTGCGTGAGAGCAATCAATTGCTGTCAATCCTGAGTATGGAATATATTTGCTACCAAATATGGATTGCCGCTGAGTAACTAGCGGAGGTAGGTGAGTTTCTGCCCCATGGCCTCAGGCACTTTGTTATACGCTATTCCTATTGTGGTATGGTCGAATCCTATCCCGGATCGGATTCGCGATCATGATTCGTGGAGACCTCGATGATGCAGGCTTACCAGAAAAGGATCGCAATGAATTCGCAGAGGCTGTGACCTGCGTGCGATGCATAGGTATCAGCCCCTCTGCAATGCATATCAGCGTCCTTATACTTACTTTACGTTATCGTATCGATGATATCTTTAAAGTCTGTCCCAAATTCTATGTTCATTGAAGAATTGGCTAGCCCATGAATGCATCCCCCACCATTGTCGTTTGTATTTTCATCGATATATGTCACATCTGTCCCTCACATCAGAATAACGATTTCCAAGTCCAATCACAATGCCAGACAGCACCCGCCGCCTAGCTGGGTCCAAGAAAAGAGTGCTTGTAGTTGGTGCTGGAGCTGCAAGTAAGTCTAACCAACAGGATCCGACCCAACCCCTGTTCTAAGGTATCTAAGGGATGTCATGCGCTCACCACTTGGCTGAGCATCCGGACAAGTTCGACGTGACTTTGGTCGAAGCGCAAGACTACTGCGGCGGCCAAGCCTTTTCTATCCCCATCAACAAGGAAAAATTCCACGCGAGCTGGATCAACCAAGGCGTCAAAGGCGGAAGCTACATCTTTCACCACACCATGACCATGTTTGCGCAGCAAGGTTATCAAGCTCATCCCGTGGAGCTGCAGGTATCCTTTGGTAAAGGTACCCGATTTTGGACGAACGTGTATCCGACTAAACTGCTCGAGAAGCACTAGAATGAGATTAAGCGGTTCCGGAGAATGTTGTCGACTGTGCGGACGTTCGAGGTGTTGTTTGCCCTGCTGCCGATTAAATATCTTCTGAAGATATTTCGGTTCTCGGCGGAATTTGCTAACGTGGTGGTGTTGCCGATGATTGCGTTTTTTTCTGGGGACGGGGAACTATACCCCCGAAGTGCCATCGATGATACTAGAGCGGTTGTGTACCAGTCCAACGTTTGGGATGTGGTATCCACCAGATGAAATAAGCGTCGCGAGCAACATGCCGCCTATGGTGGTATTCCCGAATTTAGGGAAATTCTATACCTCATGGAAGAACAGTCTCGAAGGCAAGGGGGTGCATGTCAGGGTTCGAATGGAGGTGACCAGCATTGTTCGGAGAAATAAGCAGGGCATAGTCGTCCGAACTGTAAGACGAGATCCAACCGATGACGCTCCTCATATCCCTAACAGCGCGTGGGTCTTGGGATAAGCCTGGAAATTAGACGACCATAAGCAGGAGGTTGAGGAAGAATACGATGAGATGGTCGTCTGTGTGCTGTAAGTTGACCTCATTCATTTCCATGGTTTTCCAGGCAAACCCGCTTAATTTGAATAGACCGGACACAGCAAAGAGACTCCTAGGTAATACGGGGTAGTTTTCGCAAGAAGAAAGTGCTCGGCTGCGCCAAATTCGCAGATGACATAACTGTGACCCACTACGATACGGAGTACATGAAGCGTCATTACGAGAACTTCTTTAACCCAGAGCAAGCGGTAGACAACCTCTCAGGCATCAACCAAATGCAACGAGTCGAGATGGCGAAGCGATCCTTCAAGCCCATGTACATGATCAAGATGTACCCGAAAGATCCCAACAAGCTGGAGATGTGCTTCGACTGCACCAACTATCAAGCGCAGTTTCCCGAAGAGGTTCCGTTTGGAGATCACATCTTCCAGACCATATTCCTCAACAAGTCCCGAGATGGGCCATTTCTGGTCGCTCGACGAAATCGACCCGTCCAAAGTTATCCGCAGGGACTAGTGGCATCAGCTTTGCCATTCGTTTACCCACTACCTGACCGTCGTCCCCTGGATGTGCTTTCTTCAGGGGCGGAATAACACCCGGTTTGCTGGATCCTGGATGCTGGTCAACGCGCATGAGGTCGCTGTGATAAGCGGAATCGCTGCCGCTGTCAACCTCGGTGCGAAGTATCCTGAGGATTTGGAGAGAGATAGGTTTGCCTTCCTGGGTTTCCGACTCTATTATCTACTACAGTATAGACGCTAGTATAAGAAGACAGCGTCTCCGGATGGCCTAGGCAAGGACTGGGCGACTAGACTGAATGGGAGTGTACCATATATAACGGTCCTAGAGTGGCAGAGGAGGAGAGGCTTCTCTGGAGCCAGGAGAAGGAGACAGGTCGTTCGACAGACTAGCTCCTCAACCTTGAAAATATTTTGCCCATCGATACTCGGTCTTACTTTAACAATCGATTCTCGAATTCTTTAACCAACAGTAATTGATATTTTAATTGGAGACGAGAATAATAACAGAATATATATTGGCAGGCACAGTCGAAGTGGTCAGACTTGCGGTGGACAGTGTCCATCGCTAGTCACCCCCTCACAGGATGCTTCAGCCACTTGGACCCGACAGGGCACCATATGTTTCCCAATTCTCAGATCTCAACTTGACAACCCCAACTGATCGACCTGCACCTCCAGCCTACTAAAATGGAGAATCGTATCAACCTCCTAAACTAAAATAAAATAAAAGGGAACCTCTATGAGAAAGGTGATAGAAGGCAGACGCAGATGACGGTTGAGAGTTCTTAATGCCCTGGGGATGTGCTTCAGATCGTTTAGGACCATCAATTTCTTCCCCTCCAAATGATGCGCCATGTCCATTCGATCGCAGGCTCCTTGATCTGCATTCTCGTGCTGGTCCTTGCCATCGCGTTTGGGATTGACATGAGTCGCTTCGCAGCGGGCTATGTGCTTCCTGCCCTGTTCTTCTCATCCGCTCGAGCACAGGATTCGAATGCTCCCCCGTCGGCAGCAGTGGATCTCAGCTGGCATGCGCCGAATCAAACATGGATAAATGATATCACGCAAGTAGTGAATGGATCAGGGACATACGGATTCCATTTTGGAGGGTCGACATTGCCGGCGGATGTCAAGTATGGAACGTACAATTGGTGTAATATGCCGCATGTGAGAGAGGATATGTATCCAGACCCGCCAAAGGGATATGAGCTGACATACGTGGAATTGGTATCATACCCCAAGTGATTGACGTTCGAGTTCCCTCTGCTAACTATGTCCAGATCCACCGTCACCATAAGCGCACCCCTTATGCGAACAACACCTTCCCGCGGGAAGGCTACTCCTGGGAATGCACCGACGAAGGCCTCTCCTACTATGGTAGCCCCCTCAACCCCCAAAACCCCAACCCGGCGCAAACTTACTGGTTCGTCCACACCTCCGAAGTCAATCCTTTCGCGCCAAAGGGGTTCAACGGAAGCTGTCAATTCCCTCAGATCACCCGTGCTGGTCTCGAGGACTCCTGGCAACATGGAAAGGATCTCTACCAGGTCTACCATTCCCGCCTCCATGGCTTCCCTGCGGAACCGGACGAGAAAGTCTCGTTTCGGGTCACGAGCAATGCCATCACGAGTCAAGTGGCCGGGATGGTGATATCTGGCATGTTTCCTGCGATATGGGATGGGAGATATCCGGTGAACATCCAACCCTCCTCGATTGACTCGCTCGAGCCAGCGTACTCCTGTCCTGCGTCCAACCAGATCTCCGGACAATATGGTGCTGGCAGCAGCAACCCAGCCTGGACTGGGCATTTATCGGCAACTGCCGATCTTTTTAGATCCCTGGACGTGGTTTCGGGGGTATCCTCCAGTGACTCGGAATGGCATCGCTCTTTTGACCACTATTACGACAACCTCTCCACACGCCAATGTCATCAAAAGCCGCTTCCGTGCAAAATTGGAAGCGAGATGGAGTGCGTGACGCAGGCGCAAGCCAACGAGGTATATCGACTCGGCCAGTACGAATACTCATACCTCTATCGGGACTCCCCAGAGTCGCTGGAGGTGGCAAAGCGGTCGTATGGCGTGTGGGTCGCGGAGTTGGCGAGAAACATGCGGGATCACGTCGCTGGAGTTAAACCGGTGGTCTATATGCATAACATCGCGCATGACGGATCAGTGTCGCTACTTTTGGCGATTCTACAAATTGATGTGATGGCCTGGCCGGGGATGGGTGCCGAGGTGGTGTTTGAGATGTATAAGAACGGAGATCAGGATAAGAGGTATGTGAGGGTGCTGTTTGGAGGACAGGTGCTCACGAGCTCGAACCCCTCATTAGGAGAAATGGATATGATCGAGTTGGATATCTTGCTCGACTATTTTGATGGTCTGGTCGGGGCTAATGCGGCGATGGTGCCAACTTTGTGTGCGAATGAATAGATATTGATTAGTCTCAGTATGTCGGTTATTTGGAGCAGTATATAATCTTTATTCTGCCCATGACGAATAGTCAGTGTCTGCTGTATATTCGATAGCTCCTTGAACACCAGGAAAGGTACATTGAAGATGTTCACGAGACAAATAAGAATAGCAATGCAACCACCGACACCATCCAGGGGGTCCTACGTCCTCTATTCTCCCTGTTTCCAGCCGAGATTGAAGTCTAGGCACCAGAACCGCCCTAGCTGCCAGAAACCGCCGGATTCCCAGAAAAGGTCCCGTTAACAGCTTCCGACCTGCCCTTCTAGCACGTATCCAGCATTTCGCCCAGCGCGCTCTTCTCGTCGGAGTTGACAGTCAAGCTGTAGATGTCCTTAACCTTGATCCACATGCGGGCGTAGGTGCACCAGTATGACTCTACGGCATAGTTAGCATTGCAGGAAGACATTTTGTACATGAACGGCAAGACATACCAAGCGGTGGCTTCCACGCCTCCGGGCCCTTGTCACCCTTTGCTTGATTGACGTTGTCCGTCACAGCAAGAAGCTGAGGATTGGTCAGATCGTTCGCGAACGTCTGTCGCTGTGCAGTCGTCCATTCATTCGCACCGGACTATATATCCCCAAGTCAGCACGCTCCACTCTCATCTAATAACCATCCAAGAGGTCAGACTCCTTACCTTCCAAGCATTTGACAACGGCACAACATGGTCAATATCCACATCCGACGCGGCCGTCCACGTCGCTCCATCATACACGCTAAACCAACTCCCGCTCGTCGATGCACACGCGTCGTCCGTCTCCACGTCCGTGCCGTCGCGCTTGAGCACCGTCTCCCGCGTGTTGCACTTGCCAGAGATGGTGATCCAGTGCGGGAAGAGGTCACGGTCGTAACCGGTGGCGTCGCCCGCCGCGGTGGTCAAACCGGAGAGCATGGTTCTCGCGCTGGATTCGGAGGGGATGTTGGGTGGTGTGGGCGACGCGAGAGGCGCCGCATGGAGGAGAGGGATGAGGGAGAGGACGGCGACGGTGGCGGTGGCGGACTTCATCTTGCGCGACAAGGCCTGAAGATGACTTCAAGTGGTCGTCCTGGAGCTCTCCTACCGTTGTTGTGGTGCACGAACGGCAAGGGGACGGAGTAGCTACAAAAATTCTATGCTCTTATATAACTATCTTGACCTCAACGCTGTCGTAAATGACGATCACCCGCACCAAATTAGCAGGACCGACAGCCGTTTCTAGAATTCATCTCTTATCAGGTTCACATGTCGCGTTGACTCGATCCTATCGCCGCTCCAGTCATTTGAGCGCGTGTCAATTCCGAAAGGAAACACGTTCTGGCGATGTTGCCACGTCCGGAAGGTCAATTCCTGGATCTTCCTTTGACCTTAAACGAGGTGCCGGTCTTTCGTCCTTGACTGGGCGATGTTTGCTGCGAAACACGGGCTCAGTGGAGGGCAGATGGTCGCGCTAACGCCTAACGCCCGCCCTCGCTGCAGCACGACCGATCCGCTATTAAGATTGGCGGCGTCACCTGCCCAATCAATCAAGAGATTGACCTTGTGCAGGAATGCGATCCGTTAAGTGGACGAGTGGATGGATTGCTATTTCACGGCCTGCCTTTCCATATTCACAGCTGGAAGGGCTCTTGGTTTGGGGAGGCAAAGTGCAGAGCCAAATTCAGACATGGTGGACATTGGGGAGTTGGGAGATTCGGGAGATTTGGGGGATTGTTGGGGTGCGAGATTGTTTCAAACAACAGTGTGGAATTGTGCCATTCAGCTCGACCTATGCGGTTGCACGGAGACTTTTAAAAACGGGATATCGGGTCCGATCATCGATGGGGGGAAAATCTTCATGTTTAAGGTTGGAGATGATGCTGCGATGCTCGCTCTTCCGAGTCCACGGACTATGGTAGATCGGTGATTGACGCACTCTTTGTGACGCTTTTGACCGTACGGAATAATCAACTAAGAGTGAAGAGACATACTTACATTCAAGTCCTCACCGTATGGACCGTCGGGCCGGTGCTGATGCCTCTAACAGTCTAACCAAGGCATGAAACTTAGCTGCAGTGGCGCGAAATATCTGAACCCCTGCTCCTCGAAGCAGGGCAACATATACATTAAATGTATGGCAGGTTTACACTTTACAGAAACAGAGTCAATACCGGTCAAATCTTGAACAAGGAGCTATTCGATCGATCACGTGGTGATATACATATCATGAGGACATACTAGGAACAAGTTTGCAATTTTGGGGCTGCGCAACTGCGTCGCCTTGATGTCAATGACGCTGGTGCATTCTGAATGCGGTTGTAATGGTCTAGCCAACACAGAGTCCACCGCAGTCAAATCCACCATTTTTCGGATCGCAATCGTCTCTAGGATCATCTACACAGACCTGTTCCGGCCCTGCACACTTGAATCCTGCAAATCCTCCACACATTTTGCTCGATCCAGAAACACAGATTCCCGGCACATCGCAACCCATACTAATAAGAGTCAGCTTCAACTTCTTATCAGAACTTCTAGAATCATTAAGCATCAACTTACCCGCACTCCGGTCCCCACGGATCGTTGATGCAGAGCTCCCCTTCATCGCACTGAATGCCCAACAGTCCGCCGCAGTACTGTCGCTTTCTCACGCATACACCGGGACAGTCTGACTCTGGGCCACACGGCGAGCCCGGTTTCTGGACGCACTCGAACTTGTCGGGGCAGGTTGGTCCTCCGCGTCCCCCGCAAGAATCTGGGATCGGTTCAGGGAGCGGAATTGGTGTGACTCCCGGGGGATCTGAGGGAGTGGGCCTGGTGGGCGAAGCCTCGCATGTCGGCGGTTGAGGGCATCTTGGGTTGCCGTTGTTCTTTTCGATGCATTCTAGAGCAGCATTTCGCTGGCATTCGCAGCGCTATCAGGTGTCAGTGGAATCCGATTGGAGGAACGAATGGACATAGCCAACATACCATCGGCTCAGCTTGAACACAGTAGACCAGCGGGCACTCGCAAGCACCAGGCTTCACAGTAAGCCCATCTCCTTGAGGAGCTGCAACAGCAAGATAGGATAGAGCAAGCAATACAAGCGTAGTCTTCATGGTGACAGATTGATTTAAATTCAGGGCTTTATCAAGATATGGTGACTCAAATGCAACGAAAGTAGACTCGACGATTGCAGTTAAAAGTTGGCCATATCAGTATCCTTTATACTACGCAACCATAACGAAATGGCAAGCCGCAAGCAGCGGGTAATAAATTGGAGTCGCACCAAACACGAGGTCATGTAAGAAACATTCACAAACCATGCTGCTACTTTAATTACATGACTGGCACTGGAGAGGTGAATTTCATCTGCCAGGCATGAAGTCGTAAACGCAAGTCGTCCCCTGGCTTCCGGAACCCAGCGAGCCGACGTCCCATTCGCATGGTCGGATATGGGCGCGAAGGGAGTCCGAGCATCAAGTTCTCGTGTTTGACGTTTGAACCCCTCTGCCCAGCCTCAAGCCATCCAATGGGGTGCGAAGAAGTCGAAATATGTTACGTCGCAAAAGTCATGGTAATCTATAAGGAACTCTGGAACTAATATCAGGAATGTTAATTCTGAGCCCTTGTTGGCGGGAAGCACAGAGTCACTCCATTGACGATCCGGGTTCCTGTCTTCGACAATGTGGCGGTCCTGGATCTCCATCCTATAAACGGCCAGCTCCATGACTTTGTGGGGTAACGCGCGTTGCTGACTTGGATTCAGCGCTGGAATTCGGAATATTGAACGACCAGTGGTATCGTGGAGTTGCGGCGAGCTGGTGTGGTAACGGTTACTCAGTAGCGTTTGTGATTCGGACGGTCCCGAGGTACCTTTGCTGATCGTCCGAAACACCACCAGCCGATATCTGGTGTCGTACAGCGTGAGGGATGAAGACGACTGGAATGCCTCGAAGTCCGGGTTGATTCCGTTTTAGGCCGACATTTGCGAACGGTTTTGACTCAGTTAATTGATAAAGTGGGCGGGATAATTAAGATGTCACAGGATTTCCCTTGATCGCCTATGCGAACTGTCCCGGAAGTTAAAGGGATGCTATTTTTGGACAGATAACTCTAACCGACCTGGAAGCGCGACCACTGGCCTTCACACTTCTAGATATTAATACCGACGGCATGCTCCGAGATGATAGAGTTGCAAACCTGTCATGCTCATTACATTTGTGCGCCAAAGTCAATATAACTCTCGTGACCGTTGCATCGAGTGTGGTACATCATGCCGATCATACCTCCGTTCAGATTTAGCCACTTGGGCCTTCAAGGTTGTAACTCACATTCATGATTCAACGCTTGAACTTCTCCTCTTGTTGATATAATTAGCAAAAAACTCATTCATCCGAAATTCCGAATCCATAGTCTACTATTATTAAGACTAGCCAAGACGGCACGCGATACCCGAGCAGGTTGAACGAGATAGGACATCGAGATGGGAGTGATGGGACTGATAGAAACCCTTGAATAGATGATACTCGGCATTTGCTTGCTTTGTATTCCTTTTACCTTCAGGAATTGGCATAACTCTTTGAACCCCAGAAGATCGCCTTCGAATACCTGTGATGCAATCATCAGACGTGTTGAAACCACCATGGTCTATCTTTCTCGTTGTTCTTCCATAAGCTCCATTATGATGCTTGAGCATAGTCTTGCAGGTACTGCACAAGCTTTTGAACGGCTTCCATCGACACAGCATTATCTGCAGAGAGTCAATACTTTCTTTCCAGAATTCAAGGCAGAAGTACTTACAATTGCTCGCTCGAATGCCACCAACGCTTCGATGTCCTTTCAGACCCGTGAGGCCGCGCTGTTCAGCCCCTTGCAAGAATTCCTTTTCCTTTTCCGCACTCTCCCCTCCGACTCGGAAGCAGATGTTCATCCTGCTTCGCACCGATTGATCGGGGACGACGCGGTAGACGGCCGGGTACTTATCCAATGCCCCATATACCAACGCCGCCTTTTGGGTAGCGATCTCGCCTTGGCCTGCGATGCCTTTTGAGCCATGGGATTGGACCAGTCCGGCCATCACCCGGCCAGCTACCCATACATCGAAGATAGGTAGGGTGTTGTACAAGCTATTGTTCTTCGCAATCGTCGGCCAATCGAGTACAATGGGGCCAACAGGAAGACCCAGCTCCCGTAGCAGCTCAGGACTCGCCATCTTGGCGACTGGCGGTAGCAGTGATTTGCGGACAATCACAATCGTGATGCCAGCGTTTCCGACGTTTTTCTGTGCCCCTCCGAAGATCACGGCGTATTTCCTCACATCGATCGGTCGGGAGATGAAGTTCGAGCTCATATCCGCAACCACTAGCGGTGCATCGTCATCGACAGCGTCTTCCGGATAGGACTCCAAGCTCTTGGGGAATCCCGGAAATTCCACCCCATCCACCGTCTCATTGTCACATAAGTAGACCATCGCCGATCCCGGCCCACCCTCCCGCTTCCTCTTCACCACATTCCACGTCTCCTCGGACGGGATCTTCCCAAACTTCCCGTCATTTGCAACCCGTGAATCCACTGCAATGTTCACATGCTCTGCACCCACTAGCCGGGCAGCCTCCTGGCTCGCCTTGAGTGACCAGGATCCTGTCACTAGATAGTCCAACTTCAACTCGTCATGAACTTCCCGCTTGAGCCTCTCAATCACCATCTTATTCACATCCACCCCCGTATCCGCCTTCCCATCGGCGACCGCCAGACGCAGCTCTTCCGTAGCGATCGCCTGCCGCTTCGCAACCCAGTAACTCACCAAGTGGTATACCACTGCGCTGAACTCCCCGCTGCCACCGCCTTGCAAAAAGAGGATCTCATATTCGTCGGTGGGGATATTGTAGAGGGTGACGAGGGCAGCCTTAGCGTTGTCGAGGATCGCGGTGGCATCGGCGCTGCGATGCGAGATTTCGCAGATTCCGACGCCGCGGTCGTTGTAATTTAGGAGAACGTTGGAGGCTTCTTCGAGAACGTTGGTGGGGAGCGGTGCGGGCCCAGCCCCGAAATAATGGACGTCGGATCGAGGAGGCATGGCGCGGTCAATTCAAGGATAGGTAATTACCCAAAGGAATTGAGAACTACGGCAGTATAAATACAAGTAGGAGAGGACACTGTGGGTGTTCTAAGAATCCATCCGAAAATCCACAACATCAATAATGACTCTTAGTGGAGTCACTCCGGAGTGTGGGGGTTGGAGTGACTGTAGTGGGGTTCCGTCGGGATTCATTTTTTGAGGATGGTTTCTTACAGTTTTGCGAACACAAGAAGCTGAGATGGGATTCAAATGGCTGAAACTCTTGACGGACGAAAGACGTCATCATAACGGAAATAGAAGCAGATATTCAAAATCACTGCCCAATCAATTCAAATATCTCTCTACTCTCAAGTATACAGATATTGCTATACAATTGGGATGAATTGAAACGAGGCATTTGGTAACACTTGTATCCAAGCTCCGATATCGGTATGAAACCCCTCAATTAAACTCAGGAGCAGACTCCTCACCACATCAAGTATTTCAGAGTAGTGTCCATATTCTACAATCAGTTTCAACAGATTATGAGTCTCAAGCTGACAGCCCATTCCAATTCACTTCAATGCCTCACCATCCATGATCTCATGTATGGTATCCTGCAGTCCGATACCTGCCTAAAATGCTCGCCATGCGGCTTTAGAATGGCCTTATTGTGCCGTATCCTTCGGGAAGTAATGATTGTAGTGTTGTCTCCTGGTTGCTATTGAATTGTGTGGTGCGTAGTTCGAATTAATGGATTCAACCTTCTCGTAATAGCATTATACTGCACTGTTTTTCCTTTGACTGACCGGTCACTGCACCATAGTTTCAATATTCTCTAGTTGCATCTTCATACTCCCGGGTTTGGTCTCTATATTGTCCAGCCTCCCATTGGTCTCATCTCCAAACTGCTGGCAACTTCGCTGGATTTCGTTGATCTCATCTTGGAGTTCGTCAAGCCTATCATGGGCAGGCGTGTTGGCCACTCCGAGGCTATTCAAGTAGGCCGTGAAGAAGTGTCGAAAGTATTAGTGTGCTGAACTGGGAATAGATGGTTGTGTATTTCTGGTGGGAATCTAGCAAGACCTAGTCAAGTTTATAGTAAGTTATTCGTTGCATACCCTAACTTAGTTAACCATCGGCACTACTACCGTATCTCATACTCTAGCAGGTTCAGCTGTAGTATGTCGAGGCAAACAAAGCTGGGTTTCTGCTGCCGGCGCCATTCCAGAGCCTCCGAATGATTCAGTCGGCAAGCACGGCACCGTGACATGTCGTGAATCTGACTGGAAGTCTGGGGTTAGAAAATGTTATGAAGCTCCAATTGCAGAACTATATGCATCCGGGGTGGAGGAAGTTGATTGCACTTCGCCTTCGACGTGCACCCCCAGTCCTAAAGCGGAGAATCGTATCGGCTTCCTAAATTAAAAGGGATAGAAAGGGGGAACTTTAGGTATGTCTTTAGGAAGGTAACAGGAGGCGAAAGCAGGCAATGATTGAGAGTTCCCGACGCCCTGGTGGTATGCTTCAGGACCATCAATTTCTTCCTCCAGATGATGGAAAACACAAAGCAGGACAAGAGCCCGCTGCATCTCAGTCCTTCCGCCAGTCTGCGTTTTAGCGGTGCTGTTAGGAGTCATGCCTCGTTACGGAAGAGTATCGAACCAAAGGTAAAGCATTGCGGTAGATAATCAGGGAGTCTCATCCTTTCCTATACATCAAATCTGTTCTCATCGCAATTTTCATTCCTTTCTTGACCTCGGCTCCCGAATGGACCAGCATCTGATGCTGGAAGATCAAAACTCTGCCAACTTTCGGCACGACATCATGGTGTCGCAGCAGATCCCAAGAATGGAACGTCGTAGCGCCGCCGACAAGAGGCTCTCGGCCAGCAGCAACCTCGGTCTCTGCATCATTCAAGTACAGCTGCAACGTGAGGAGGGAGGTTTCTGAGCGATCGGGGGTGTGGTATTGCCCGTCTTGATGGGCTGCCATTATCAGTGTCAGCTTTGAAGATGATAGTCCCAGGCCGGTGATAAGAAACATATACCTTGGAAATACTCCCCTTTCCCATATCTCAAAAACCTCATCCGTTCATTCAACCTGCTGAACGACCACTTGTATCCCTTATCCAGGTACTCCAACACCCTGTCCCCGCTCGGTTTCGCCGTCCCCTTCTTCTCGCCATCCACCACCACCACCCGCTCCAACCACTCCTTCTCCCTCTCCAGCGCAACCAAACACCTATCCCAAACCCTCGCTACCACCTCTCGATCGTCCCAGATGATCCTCCCGCAGTTCCTTATATCCGTGGCCATGATCTCATGGCTGCCAGCGTTCACCATCGCGCGCTCCCATTGCCCTGGTCCAGCGCGAGAGTGCGACTCCGCGAGGGCGACAAGCTCGGCGCATTCGTCGGGAGAGAGAACCCCGTCGAGAGTGAAGGCGAGGCAGCCGGCGTACCCGGGAAGCGGAGTGTCGGGGAAGTGGATGGGTGTGAGGGTGGTCCGCTGAGATGGGGGAGACGTAAGGAAATCTGGGGGGAGGGGGGGCGGACCAGAGGGCGAGTTCGACTGGGGATCATTGATGTCCGTCATGATCAAGAGAAGTACGATACCGCGGAAATATTTGGTGATTTGAGGACTATTACAGCAGATACGGGATAGAATCGACAATTGATTAAGAGGAGCCAAAAACTTGAATGGAAATTCATCAAAACCGTCATTCTCACAGATGACAGACTGGTCCTTTTATCGCTTTGTGCCTTGTTATTTATAGCAACTGCTCCAGACGTTGCTGCCTACCGGTCAAATGCTTCTAGTTAGGTCTTACAGTCGGATGCGGTACCTTAGCTGAACTGCCAGGCTGTATCGAGCTCGAACACTTCATCGCTGCGATGTTGCGTGTTACTTCACCTTCACATATCTTTACCATATTGAGGAAAATTAAGATGTCTTCTTGAAAATATCAGACTCAAAGTGAGGTGATGTTCTGACTTCCAAAAGCAAATATGGTATTGGACAAGCGGCAGCCCTGTACTCGGCCTGCAGTCAAATGTCAATATTGTACTTGTAATATCGCTTAAAGTTCGACATGCGACGAAGCTCAGACCGCACCAGGCAACAAGCGAATCAACCTCGCCAAATCAATGCCACCAGAGTTGCCACGCATTTCCCAACTTTTCCGGTGAGTGCCCTATTAATGGGTATCCTTGCAAATCAATACTATTGAAAAATGAAAATCTTAGTAACGAGTGGCTTGATCCTGTCGAGTTTGTCGACAATCAACAGTCGATCAGACTTCAGAGATGGTTATGATTTATGAAGTTGACTTAGGGTGAAGTGCTCCGTGCTAAAGTTATATTTAACTGCAGTACGCGAACGAAGGAAGGATCGACCCACTAACATAATTAGATACATAGGTAGTAAGAGGAAGTGGAACAAGCATTTAGAAAATCAATCCCGCAATTTGAATCCCAGTCTAACATCGCAGATCGTGGTCCATCGTTTCTCTACAATGAGCGTTTCATCACGCCTCAATGAGTCGGCGCTAGTATTTTAGTAGGTCCCAGAGATGTGGACACGAGCAGGCGAGAAGCCTAAAAGAAGTGAAAGATCAAATCGATTTGCTCTCCTTGACTTAGGTCGAACCTTGCAGGCGCGTTTCCGACCTGGATCTATTAACCATTTCAGAGAAACCCATGACTCGGGATTATGAGTGCACATCTGAATCCCAAAGGAATTGGGGACCTAGGGTAGGATCCTGATTTCAGGCCGCGAGGAGCTGTGGCCAGGGAGTAGTGAGAGGCTCGGCGGCTCGGCGCTTCCTTGAAAGTGTACGGGACATAAAGGAGGACGAAGGATTCTTTGCTCGTGAATTTCGAAGTTCGCTTCTTCCTTCTGGCTCTCCTCTACCTTGCGATCGCCTACTTTTTTGACCATAGTGTTCATCCTCGAACCTGTCCTTTGGTACGAATATACGCGACACCGAGCAACCCATTCGACATCATATATCCGGTATCGGGCTGAAAATCAGGAGAGCAACCATGCCACGAGCAGTCTGGGCTCGGCCGTTCCAGGTCCGCTTCCTTCTGCCATGTACCCTAACATTAACATCGCCTCTAATCAGTTAGTGTAGTCCATCGCTGGGGGCGTCGTTGTCGGCCTCTCGGCCTCTCTCATCACCCAACAATACGTCGGAGCCGTCCCCGCGGTCATTTCCTTCACCACGTTCTGTGGCGGCTTTGCCATCTTCGCCTCCATCGTCGGTGTAACCTCCAACTATATCGAGTCGATCGAGGGCATCATCACCTGGGCGATTGACGGCCTCGCTGCGTTGCTCTTGTTGGCCGCTGGCATCGCGCTTGCGGTTCAACTCGGATCGACGAGTTGTGGTTCAATTCTTGACGACGCGAGGAGGGGTAGGAAGGATCCCAATCCGTTGCTCACAGGGGGATGCCACCTGAAAGAAGCGGCTGAGTCGTGGGGATGCTACAACAACGCTTTCAAGGATGAGAAAAAGGGCGAGGCTTTGATTATGGGTCGGTGTCAGAGGGTACAAGCGGATAGCGCGTTCGCGTTCATTGCGTTTATCGCCTGCGTGGCTGCTGCCGCTTTGAGTTTCCTGTCTGTACGGCGTACGAAGTATTAGAGATAGGGCGTCTGAAGGAAGATACGACCTTTCCAAAGGATACCACTCTCTGCGGATCATGATGAGATATCGGATTGAATCGCCCATTGATACGTGCTATCGAGCTCAAATGAAACAAGCCAATTGCTTGCCTTTCAACTTTCAAGCTATTAACAACGGGGTCAACTGTCAAGTTTGAGTCACCGACGTTGGAGATCAGTTCCGCGTTAACTTCTAAGCTCCGTGAGAGCGGTAGTTAACCATGAGTCCCACATAGTGCCGAGTGGAGTCTGCCTCGACCAGACGTTCAGCTCGTAGCGATGGGACGTTAAAACATCGTGCGGTCTCACAGTCCGCTGTGGTGTACCAAAGTCGAGTCATTATTGATCGCGAAGATCATCGCAATGACGAATTCCAAAGTGCATCCAGTTATGGAGGCACAATTCGACAAAGTACATACGTACCAGAACGAAGCTGCAGAGATCTCGCACACGATGTCGTCGAGCCGCATTGCCCAAATCAGGCGCCCCGCAATCTGCATCGCCGCAAAAGAGGGCTAGCTTCCGTATCCCGCGGACGGCGAGATCCAACCGTCCAATAACGTTGCGGTAGTGATATGGTTGAATCCGACTGCTAAGAGAGGAAAATAAATACCTGCAAATTAATTGGACGTTCTCTCACGGAAATCTCGCCAAGAGAATAAATGTCTTGCGTAACCCGACGTATGAGTCGACAACATCCAGATACCTGATTGACTGGAGCGTTTGCGGCGGTTGTGCTGGTCTACCCCTCGAGCCGTGCATCATTGCGTGGAGTTGTAATATGCACCGTCTTACGCCCCCGTGTACGGACCAGTCAATGGTTGTACACATCTCAAATTCTCAATAAAGAGACCCCGAAAGCCAACTGCATCACACCTTCGTTAGGCAGCAGCTTTATTTCAACCCCCCTTTTCTCCCTTACTGTCCCTAGAGCGATGGGTGCATCTGCTGCTTGGGGAACCCGTCTCTCCTTCACCGTTTTCTATTTCATGTAGTTCGACAATTTGCGCGTTTTGTTTCCGTGATTGTCCTTTATTCGTCGCGATTCTCGCACCATGGCTTCCCATGTGCCAGAGGAACCAACGGCTCCAGAAAAGCCGGCAGTGGAGAAAATGTCGGTGGACAATGTTGATGATAAGGGAGACGATGCCGATGCCTCAATACATGAGGAGAAAAAGGAGGAAGAGGAAGAGAAGGGCAGCGCATCGCTGGGCAACTACTTTGTATGTTGAGCAAGTGCACAACTATTGTCTTAGAACTGACGCGCTATATCAGAGAGTCCTGAGCTATGGGACAGGGCTCGATTATTTCCTTGTCGTCTTGGCTGTGCTATCGTCCGTTGGTGTCGGCGTGGTAGGTTCAGACATGACAATATTCTCGAGATGGACGACCGCTGATCCAAGTTACAGTCGTTGCCATTGATGCAGATTGTCTTTGGTAAGAATGCGAGCATTCGCGAAGAAAGAATGCGAGTTGACTGTGTATAGGCCGGTTGGTTGGAGACTTCACCGCCTACTCTACTCCAGGAAACACCCTAACGGAAGCTGCATTTAAGAAACTCTTTACCAAGAATTCGTAAGGATATAGCTACACCCTATGGAATGATCGAGATTCTTGACTTACTAGTGTTTAGCCTATGGTTCGTCTACTTGTTCATTGGGAAGTTTGTTCTTTCCTACATCTCCATGGTACGACCTCTCACTCCCAGTATCTTACCACTTACTCACCAATCTGCAGCTCACGGTCCGTGTATCTGGGGTCCGGATCAGCGCCGCTTTGCGTCTTGCCTACCTCCAAGCCCTGTTGAAGCAGCCGGTATCCAGCATGGATGCAATTTCTCCAGGCACTGTCGCGAACCGAATCACGAACACGAGCAATACGATCCAGCTTGGTGTTTCTCAACAACTCACCATGCTTGTCCAGTCAATTGCCCTGGTCGTTGGGCTCTATGTCGTCTCATTCATCTATGAATGGCGTCTCACGCTAGTCATCAGTTCTGGCTTGCTGTTCATCATTCTCTGTTACGGCGCTTCATTGCCTATCTTCCTGAAGATCCATAAGCGTACCGAAGAGATGCAGGATCTGGCGTCCAAAGTGGCCTTCGAAGTGTTCAGCTCCATCCGTATCGTTGTAGCCTTCGGAGCAGAAAAGCGTCTTGCCGCCAAACATGAAGCCGTACTCCTCAAAGCGAGGAAGAATGAATCCAAGAACAGTCCTGTCATGGGGTTCATGATCATGCCCATGTTCTTCGCGATGTACGCCTGTTTTGCATTGGCCTTTTGGTATGGCGTCAAGCTGTATACGAACGGAACGGTCGACGATCTTACGTCAATTATCATCGTCCTGTTTTCGGTCGTCTTTGCGATTTCTGCCATCGGAAGGGTTTCAACCCCCATCATTGCCATATCAAAAGCCGCTTCGGGAGCGAGTATCCTGTTCACGACAATAGATGCGGAGGTCTCTGATCAGTCAGGATTGAAAGCGCCAGATGTCTCCTCAGAGAATGACATTACGATGACCGATATTAAGTTTGCATATCCATCTCGACCTACCGTAAAGATTCTGGATTCCCTAAATATTACATTCGAATCCGGAAAAGTGACAGCCATTGTTGGGCCGTCTGGTTCGGGGAAGAGTACCACTGTAGCTTTGCTGGAGCGGTGGTACGATCTCGGCCAGGAACTTCCTGAACCTCCCAAAAAGGGAGATAAGAAGAAAGAGGGTGATCAGGGCGAGAAGTCGGAGAAAAAGGCCTTCAAAATTTTTGGAAAGAAGAACGAAGCTGCAACTTCGACTGAGGACACGAACGACGGTTCTGAGCCGCCAGGAATGAACACAAGCGATGGCGATGAGAGACTCCAGGTGCGAGTTAACAGCGGATCCATCAAGATTGGGCCTCACGAGATCCGCGACGTCGACGTCAAATGGTGGCGAGCGCAGATCGGCTTGGTTCAGCAAGAACCATTCTTGTTCAACGACACCATCTTCAACAACGTGTCTCATGGTCTGTATGGCACGCAGTGGGAAAACGAAACGCGCGAGAAGAAGTTGGAACTGGTCGTTGAGGCTTGCAAAGAGGCGTTTGCCGATGAGTTCATCAGTCAGTTTCCCGATGGGTACGACACGATAGTCGGCGATCAGGGCATGATGATGTCGGGTGGGCAGAGACAGCGCATCGCTATTGCTCGGAGCATCATCAAACGACCTCCGATTTTGATCTTGGACGAAGCAACAAGCGCCATTGATGTTCGATCGGAGCGGATTGTTCAGCGAGCATTGGACCGGGTCAGTCAGAACCGAACGACGATTGTGATTGCACACCGGCTCAGCACGATCAAACGAGCCGACAAGATCGTCGTGGTCCGATCAGGGAAGGTCGTGGAGCAAGGCACCCACGAAGAGCTCCTTCAGTTCACCGAGGGTATCTATCACAACCTTGTTCGTGCGCAGCAGCTCGCCATCGAGGACGATGTTCCTGGTTCCGACCTCAAAGAAGTCGAAGCGTTCACGGGCGAAGATTTAGAGTTGCGTAGGTCCAAGAGCAAGGCGGAATCCGCCATACGTGGCGGCGCCGCTGAAGAAATCGACCTTGAGGGCGAGGCGAAATATACGAAACAGGGCATCACAAAGACCTTCGGGCGTCTCCTTTGGGAACAGCGGTCTCACTGGGTACTCTACCTCTTTACTATCGTTGGCGCACTGGGTGGAGGAGCAGTCTATCCTCTCCAGGCCTGGTTGTTTGCGCAGCTCATCAACGCATTCACGAAGTTCGGCCAAGAACTAATCGACGAAGGCAACTTCTGGAGCCTGATATTCTTTGTCCAATCCCTCGGTGTCGCCGTCGCGTACTGCATGCTTGGCTGGGCCAGCTACGAAGCAGCAGTGGTGGTCAGCACCCACTACCGACAGGAATACTTCGTCAACATGATCACGAAACGGATCTCCTTCTTTGACCAGGAAGGGCATTCGCCTGGTACGCTGAGCGGCAGACTGACCACTGATTCAACGCAGATCATGCAATTGTTAGGTATGGAGATGAGCATGGCCTACATCGCCGTGTTTAACCTGATCGGCAGTCTTATCATCGCATTTGTCTTCGGGTGGAAGCTCTCGCTCGTTGGGCTATTCGCTATACTTCCCGCCATTTTATTGGCAGGCTACTACCGCGTGAAGCTCGAGATGCAATTCGAGCAAATGAACGCGGCTGTATTCGCCGACAGCTCCCAATTCGCTACCGAAGCAGTCGGCGCGTTCCGTACTGTTACTAGCCTAACTATGGAAGGTGTCGTGACGGAGCGATACAACAAATTGCTGGCAGGCCACACCATCCGCGCCCTGAAGCGAGCCATCCCCAGTTCCTTTGTCTTCGGCCTCTCCGACAGCGTCGACCTCGCCTGTATGGCCCTTGCCTTCTGGTACGGCGGCCAACTCCTCGCAACCCGCGAATACGACATGATCCAATTTTTCGTCGTATACATGGCCGTCGTCCAAGGTTCCCAAGCCGCCGGCGTCTGGTTCTCCATGGCCCCCAACATCGCTCAGGCCACCGGCGCAGCAAATCGGATCATCAGCCTTCGACCAGACCAAAATGACAGCGATTGGATCGGCAAGAGGCCTCTCTCCAGCACAGATGGACCCATTGGCCTGGAGTTCCGCGATGTGCGCTACACCTACAATTCCCGCAATATACCCGTCCTGAAAGGTCTCAATATGAAGATCGAACCCGGGCAATTCGCCGCGCTGGTCGGCGCATCAGGTTGCGGCAAGAGCACCATTATCTCCCTCCTCGAACGTTTCTACGATGTCGACAATGGCGCCATCATCGCGGACGATCAGAACCTGAACGACCTCGCCGTCGCCGAGTACCGCGCCGCCGTGAGCCTCGTCAGCCAGGAACCGACTTTGTACGAAGGCACGATCAAGGAGAACGTCGGGCTGAGCGTCGAAGAAGGGCGAGCGACCGACGCCGACATCGAGCGCGCGTGTCAGGAAGCGCAAATCCACGAGTTCGTCACCAGCCTGCCGCAGGGGTACAACACGCCGCTTGGCCCCAAAGGATTGTCGCTGTCGGGCGGCCAGAAGCAGCGGCTGTCATTGGCCCGTGCGCTGCTCCGTCAGCCGCGGCTACTGTTGCTCGACGAGGCGACGAGCTCGCTGGATAGCAGCTCGGAGCGGTTGGTTCAGGAGGCGATCGAGCGGGCGGCGGGAGAGGGAGGGCAGACGATCGTGGCGGTCGCGCATCGGCTGGCGACGATCCAGAAGGCGGATGTGATTTTCGTGTTGGGGAGTGGGAATGTGTTGGAGAAGGGGAATCATGCGGAGTTGCTGGCGAAGCGGGGGTTGTACTGGCAGATGTGTCGGGCACAGGCGTTGGATCGGTGAAGGGTGGGCAGGTACGGCCCAGGATGCATTGCTTTGGCGTTGAAGGCTGATCTCCCAGCGTATCGAGCGGACAAGACTGTCTTATTTCATTGGAGGTTCATCTCAACTCGGATGTACTGATTACTGTAGATTACCCTCAGACCTTGGACATACTGTAGAATACATAGGTACACTCTAATCCTCAAAACTTCGTTGTCGACCTATGGCATCCTTAGCTATGGACGGATCGTGGTAAATAAAATGACTATATAACCTTTAAATCCCCAATTTCTGAGTACTATACTTGGGGTTTTATGGCGCCGGGCGCCGGCTCAGTACAGAGTCGATGATCGTCCAGCCCCAGGTACAAGGCCCGACCAGGCGTACCAGGTCACTTTATGGTATGTGACGAATGACCGATGAAAAACTGCATTGCACTCCGCGGTTTTCATAAGGCACTCGCAACTGATCACTGCATGTGTCTGAACTTTTACACATTTCTTTTGCTCTTTCTGTATGAATCACCTTTAGGAGTCTTAAGTAGTGTCGAGGGGTAGAGAGTGGAAAGAGGGCAATCTTTGCAGCGACGGTTAGTCGTTGCTTTAATGCGGACACTCCAGTCAGGCTTGGATTGGACTGAATCATAACCTGGATATCGTTAACAACCATTTATAATCATTGCTTTACCGTAGAGAATAGCACTTACCTACGCTTCGCAAAGCCTCTCTACACGCGAATCGGGAGAGGACACGATCGTGACTCCTACAGCATCGTGATCCCACGGCCGTGGGAATGCCTGGGATCGCCTTCATGGTTCATCAGAGCAAACAAAGGGCTGCCTACTAGTATTGATTTGTGTACATTAACGGCCTTTTGGTAAGTCTTCGACCTCTCTAGCGTATTTTCACAAAGGTCGTAAGATGTCTTACTAGACAGGTGGTCACACGGCCCATCAGCACCATAAATGTCACGACGTGATGTCGTCTCGAACCCTGCAATCGCGCAACGCCCACCCCTCATCGAGATTTATCGGGCGGCAGGTCGGGAGCACCCGTGTCAACTGCGGGTCGATTTGAGCCTGGAGGTGGTCAAAGGGACATGCCTATCGATGCCTTGATACGAAATACCAGTAATAGGGAATACACCTCGAATATCCTTCGAGGACGCATTATTGGCGAGCTGTCAGACGGAAGGTGTTCCCTGTTCCCCGAGCATCCTTGTCCTCGATAGGTCCGAATATCTGATACTACTGGGGGACATTTATCTCTCAACATGACCTGGCTGAGGAGGCTGGACGCGTCACGGGACACCGAGGATGGTTCAGGGAAGGAGACCATCCGTGATTATGGAATACAGAGGGCATACTGGTAGCCAAACTCATACACTATGGGATGGATGACTAGGAGCCTGATTGGATGGAGTCTTCAAGGAGGGTTCGGACACTGGTGGTGTGGACTGTGGTGCACATGACAGTGGAAAAAAAGTCACGAGCTTTTGGTAGCCGTCTTGTGAGGATCCGAGTTTTGAAAACGGAGAGGAGCTCGCTTTCTTTCCAAAGCAACGACTAGGCAATTCTAAAGCATTGAATTTCATATCATTCGCATTTATCGCTTCAGTTCTTGCAGAAATACTCAGGAATAGCCTTGAAGGCGTTGAGATTGAGCGGAATCCCAGACCCCTGAAGATATACACATCTGGCATAATAGGTCCACCGAAACACAATTCATGCAATTTGGCGCTAGTGAATAGTGGATTGTACACTAAACTTTTTTGGGCCGAAAACCCTCTCCCAGCCCCTGCTGATGCCGAGCAACCCTGGTCAGCGCCTGCCAGTCCTGCTACTTAAATTCCCGTGACCTCCTCCCCACGTGCCCTCCTCTTCGTCCGCTCTCATCCACACCATCACCGCCGATATTAACGCGTTTTCGGGATAGGTTCGATCAGGACATCTTTCCACGCTTTCCAACGCGATATAACCCGTTCTTCGCGATCCCATTTACTTCTTTTATCTTTCCCGAGTCTACTAACGCGAAAACCGCATTCCGAGCCGGATATCACGTGCTCCAGCCTCATCCGAAGCTTACCCGACGGCATCGCTCCACCTGAAAGGGACGTGCCCTTTAAATCATTTGACTTCTCTTCAACCTCACAAGAACGTGATCCCAACGTGACTTCGGCCATCCACCTGAACCATCCAAACTCCCGCGACACCAAAGTAAGTTCATGCCTCTCCTTTCGCCTGGTTGCTGAAGGGTCAAACAATCGTCCTTCTGGTCGCATGAGCCCTCTTCTACAACGCGTCGAATCGTTTTCCATTGTGGCATCCTCCAGTTTGCCTTGCCGCTCACTCCATTGGATTTCCATTGGATTTCCATCTCATTTGTCGTGTCACTGGTTGTCAGCTTGCTCTCCGACCTCTGTTCGGATCGTTGAGCGATGTCGCTGTTCTCTCAGATGCCTTTTATTCAGTCATGTCCTTCGTTCTGTTCCGTCGATCAACGTCATTCCTTCAACTGTTCTGATCCTGATTTTGTACCTTGCTTGCAGCGTGCATGCGACAACTCCATCTTCAAGTCCCGATATGAGTACTATTCCCTGTCTCTTGTCTCCTAAATTCCCTCCTTTCATACAATCGGATCACGCGTTACGTGGCGGCTGCAAGCTTCCTTCTACCTTCCGCCTCCAAGGAAACAATCCATTGTTCAGAGATCCCGGATCGCTAACAAGACGATGCATATAGAAGCTCAAATTCCGCTGTTCATCATCAACCCTACAACCGGTTGACGTTTACACTACGCAAATACGCTTTTTGAGAGTCTCACCATGTCTGGCGTGAACAAACGCAAGCGAGCCGCTCAGGACACTGAGACCGCTCGAGCTGCTCCGAATGCGCGTAATAACATCACGGCCGCATCCCAAATTGATCCGGCTTTCAACAACACTGGCGGCCCTGATCTGGGGGACATGTCCAGCGCCGACTTCTCCGCGCTTCAGGCACACAACACTGCCCACGACCAGTCCTCGACTCCCGGTGGTCCCAACGGGGCTGCCCCTACTGCAAGTGCGTCAGACACCGCCAGCGCAGCTCTTCACTACTCGATGAACGTGCCGCAATCAACCGACGCGCTCTTCGCGGCGAGCCACCCGCCTAGCGTTGGTAATGCGCCCGACGTCAAGTTCGACTTCAGTCTGGACGGCGGTACTCCGACGAGCGCGAACGCGAGTTCTTCGACCCCGACAGCGAACCAACCTGCTGGGGTGAATGGCGGTGCGAACGCGGCTTCCGCTAGCAATCCCCCCGTGACGCCGACTCACGACCCTAATAAGCCGAAGCCAGAAGTCGGGTCGGAGGAATGGCACAGGATTCGCCGCGATAACCACAAGGAGGGTGAGTGATCTATATGTAGTCAATGACAGTAATCCGAGGAACGATGGCTAACAATGACTGCCAGTGGAACGCCGTCGCCGAGAGACCATCAACGAAGGCATCAATGAGCTGTCCAAGATCGTCCCAGGCTGCGAGAAGAACAAGGGCTCCATCCTTCAACGCGCGGTCCAATACATCCAACAGCTCAGAGATGCCGAGCAGCAGAATATCGAGAAATGGACTCTCGAAAAGCTCCTCACCGAGCAAGCCCTCGCGGAACTCTCATCAACCGTCGACCGTCTCAAGACCGACAACGAGCGTCTCAAGACCGCGTGTCGCGAAAACAATGTCGACCCCGATGAGGCGGTTAAAGGCTGATCAAACTACACCGAATGGCGTAAACGACTCAAGCTGATGATGAGTATCGAAGTGGAGGATGGAGTCTCGGAGTGACAGGTCCAAGTGATCCAATGGAGTTTTCAACGCGGTTCGGGGGTGGTGATGGGTTTCCAATTTCCACGAGTTTCCTTCTCTTTGTATGATGTTTTCATTCAGGTCTGTCATGACATGCAGATGCGATGCACGATTTCACCTGTATCAAACATCAGCAACCAAGGCTGGCTCCCTTGTCTGACTCACGACGATCGATCACCAATCGTTCGTCTGTCTGAACATCGAGAGCATTATGCCTTTCCTTAAGGCCGGTCCTACCTTCTTTCTCATTACCCGATTTCCTTCATACGGTTCTCCATGGGCTATTCTTATAGTTTCCTCTCTTCCTTCCGTCTCGGCTCTACCGAGCATATGACCGCTGGGGTATGACTAAACGGATAGGCAGAGGACAATGATATCAGATCATTCTATCTATGTCGCATTTGATGTGATCCTGTGAAATTGCTGCGATACCGCCCTTCTGAATGTACGTAGGCTCCATCTTCAAAACTTCAGTAGTGAAGCTGTACCAGCATCTCGTCGGCCTTCGACGCTGAGAGCGGCGTCCTTGGAACCACCTAATTAGGCTTGAGTCGTGAGTAGCCATGTAAGAAGCATGTAGAAGCCATGGAGGGGCATCAAACACGTAGTTTCCAGTTGTGCAAAATTGGATAGTCGATCAGCTCGCTTAAATTAGCCAAAACATGGACTCTCAAGATTGATAGTGCCCTCATGCTGAATTTGGAAGGCGCAGGCGAGCGCGCCAAGCGCGGACAGGTGTTGTCGATAAACATGAAATCAATACCGATATATACCACATCATACACAGCAACAGTTCTACTTATTATGTTTGTGGATACGAAAAGTGATCCAATTTGCTATTACGGGTATATTGATCTGGCTCAAAACACAAGACAGCCGAGCGAAAAGCAACAACAAAGCAGCTTCAAAGTTGTGAATTGTCCCTACACGCGGTTAACCCATCCTTATATACGGCGCATACCGCTGAAGTGCATGTATCGATGTCCCCTCTCCCTTAGAGCATCGCAATGCCGAATCCCATGACAGCCAACGTAGCGGCAGCGACCTTAGCGAACCCAATAGCCTGACTCGCCGCATCGTTCTTGTCGTTGCCAGAACTGCTGGCACTGCCCGATCCGCTGCTGGAACCGCCGCTGGAGGTCGTGCTCGCTCCGCCGGAATACTTGTTGAAGATTGACATCTGCGCGTCGCCCATGCTCTGGATGTAGCTCTGGGCGGAGGAGGGCAAGGCGGTGTACCAGGCAGGGGGGGCGGTATCACCCATGAACTGTCCGACGGCGGCGCTGGGGTCGGCGAGGAGGTTGTTGAGGACCGAGGAGGGGACGCCGGTGGCAATGACTTTGCCGAAGGAGGTGAACGCGGGATCGTCGGTGAGGGATTCCATCCAGCTAGAGAGTTCAGATTGGAAGGCGGAGGTCTAGAGAGCGGTTAGTGAGCGGGTTCGCGGAGACGCATGAAGGGTTGGGGACGTACTGAGGCCGGGTCGACATTGAAACCGGTGACTTGGGGCGCGGGCTCTGCGACGGCCACGACGCTGGTCGCAAGGAGCGCGGTGGTGAGGAGAGTGGCCTTGAACTGCATGATGGCTTATGGGGTGGGAGATATAGACTTTGGGGTGGGAAGTATAGTCTTGGAAGTGAGAAAGGTAGGTAGAGCCTGGGAAGTGAAGTTTTAATGCGAAAGTATTAAAAGAAGTACTTCGTAGGAAGGGTGAACGAGTGACTCGGACAAACAGTGTGGAGTTCAAAATTCCCAATGGTCAAATGCTGCCAGACAAGCAAGCGAAGGGATAAACAAACACATTTATACTTCTATGCCGCCTTACGATCGACGCTTCAAGCCGTCACTAACTCACCCTCTCCACTTCAGCCTCCAAGCTATTGATGTGACGCTAAACATAACCACGGCCCACACGCCGTCTGGTGTCTTTGGTTTGAGCCGGTTCCCAATCCGTATCGTATTGAGACTTTAAGAGAGAAGACCATGTTTCGTGGCGGATAAGGATGTGACTGTGAGAAGCCACCCTCCCTAGCCAGGTAATGTTAATCATGAATCATGAATCCCAAGCAAATCTACGCTTTCCCTGATTCTTCCCACTAACTGTTGGATCTAACCTGAAGAGCACAAGTCGGAGTGTAATTAAGGCTTGTGGCGCAACAGTGTCTGCAAAGTGCAACTTGTGCAAGGCTACCAGCCTACCACTCTGCAAGGGGTCATGGCCCACGCTAGGTACTCTTCGGCCTTCGGGTCATCATCAATTCTTCATTCTTCGCCATGGAAATGGGAAAAAAGTAGGAAAAGGGGGTACGAAGGGATCGCCATGGCGCGTGGCGGCGCGCCTTGGCGATGCACCCTACAGACTGAGGTGTGATGGGTTGGTTGACGTAGCAGAATACGATCGTGTCCAAACGAAACTCTTCCGTTGTGCGGCATTAATCTTAAATGATTATTGATAGAACTTGCTGACACCCCTTTTGAGTTTTGAGGATAGAATTGATTATTCCGTCCGGATTTCTCGTTGCTCTGGCCTTAGATCACGAAGATATGGTGGGCCGGTGGGAAAATGAGCTGAGATACCTGATAGTATGACTGCGATGGTTTCCCACCTACGCGACAACGTCGAATGTACAAAAGGAACGCGGTGATTCTTATTATACGCTCTCTGTTCTGAGTTTCCATATTGGACGCCATCTCGTATTTGCCATGGGCAGTTAATGGCACCATTTCTTTCAACAATCTCAGGTACAGCTGGCTGATGCTCCAGGAATTGGAGTCTTGGACGCACTCCGTCCATCATCATTCCAACAAAAAAAATGCATGTTGACAGAGCCGCTGTTCCTGATACTTGCGCCTCCACACCTCCGCCCGATACGCACTGTCTGCTGCTATTCTGATTGTTTTCTTTGATTACAGTCACACTAGAGGCATGAGAGGAATGGAATCTCCTTGATGCATATATATATTTACATCTTGTAGCGTTGAAGCCGTATTTTATCATGGTTTCCACCCAATATCAACTGTTGAATGTGTGGAGACCTTCGGACCAACTCCAATATCCACGCCAGACATAACTCCTTGCTCCATGCCAGTATCGTACATAGCCCCAATCATAACATCCTCAAGTCACTTCCAGCTCACCGCTTGATCGCCTTGAACATCAACAACGCTGCTTCCCTCTTCGCGACCATTTCCGCGTACTCGTCCTCGGGACCGCTCAATGTTGTCACCGCGCCTCCGGCTCCGATGTGCCATCTTGCGGCATCACCATCCCAGCGATACGCACTCCGAATAACGACCGAGAACGCCCCTCCACCACCAACGTCCATGTATCCGAGCACCCCGGAGTAGATTCCGCGAGGCTGGTTCCCTTCGATTGACTGCAGAAGTTCACAGGAGCGCTTCTTGGGTGCGCCAGTCATGGACCCGGGGGGGAGTGAGCAGGCGAGCACATCGACGCCGGACGCAGCACGTTGGGTTCGAGGCTGGAGACTTTCTTCGCGGAGTCGCCTCGATGGAATGGCCAGTAGCGGTCGGGTGTCCGTTGGAGAGCTCGAGACAGCTTCAGCCATCATTGTACGCTGCTTGAATTTGCCTTCAATGACTGACACGAGCTGGTAGACCGTCTCGTACTCTTCAACACCCATGAGCTTAGTCACTTCCACGTTGCCAGCGCCGAGAGCGCCGTGTAGATCATGACGGATAAGATCGACGATCATTAGATTCTCCGCTCGCTCCTTAGGTGACTGGAAAAAGTCCTCGGCATCGGCGCATGTCAACCTTCGCCCGTCGCTTGTAGTCTTCTTCAATGTGCCCTTAATAGGCCGCATCTCGCATGTCCCTTCCCTGTTCCAAGACAGGAACTTCTCCGGGCTGAAACTGAGGATGTTGAACCCTCTGTCTAGGGGTCCGAGACGAATGTATGCTGAGAACGGCGCTGGGTTGTGGAAGGCCCCTTGCTTGTAAAGAGTCCACGGCAGATTGTCATTTGAACAAGAGCCATCGAACTCCAAGATCTGCCGATCTGTCAGGCACAGCTCGTATGAATTGCCGGCCCGAATCTCTTCTTGGCAGCTTTTAACCTTATCGCAATACTCTTTCGGGTCGGGGGAGTATTGCACGGAAACTGTCGGGGCTGGGGTCATAAAAGAAGGGGAAGCCGTGTCTGAATCCATACTGCTGAGCAGAGCAGAAGTCTTGCGCACCCAGTCTTCATCCTCCGCGCCAATGCTCTGCACGACAATTCTTTTCTGGGTGTGATCGAACACAACGCTCCTCGTCACAAACGCAAAAGCGATGTCCGAGGGCGGCTGACCATCAGGGGAACTCGAAGGGGTGATCCCAATCGTATCTAACCCCGCCTCATACGAGATAAACCCCATCAACCCCCCACTAAAAGGAACAGCGCCGGCATCTACAATGGACACCTGGATGTTTTTCATGAATTCGCGGAAGTACGCCCAAGCATCGTCGACCACACATTCGAAGATGGTGTGGTCCTGGCCATCTCGAATCTGGAGCATGTGGGAGGCTGCAAAGTAATGGATGCGGATCGTGTCATCCAGGATTAGCCCAATGATGGAGTATTTACCGGTCAGAACCTTTGTGTTGGAGGATTCGAGCACTATCAGCTCGCGGTCGGAAGCCTCGAGCGCCTGGCAGGCTGTTTGTACGGTCCAACCGCACTGGTCGAGACTCTTCGAGTATGCACTCGAAGAGATATGGAAGGTTGAAGGTTTGCCATTGACCGGAATAGACAGTGGTAATAGTAAACTCCCTTCTCCCAGGTCATCCGGAATGTCCGGTGCAGGCTGCTCCAGAGGTGAAAACGACATCGGAGAGTCGATCCGTCGTCTTCTATTCGACTCGTTCCAAGCTTTAGCTTCCCACCACCAGTTTGAAATGATCTTGCCACCTTCTGGGTTTGTACAGATCGACTCGGGATGATACTGAACTCCCCAAAATGGCTTCTTCATGTGTTTCAGGGCCATCAAAATCGCTCCGTTTTCGGCGTCGTCCAGGATCCAAGCTAGGGGGAGTAAGGATGGACATGTCTCCAATGGTATCCATGTGGAATTGGTACATCCAAGATCGACGTGTAGTGAATGATATTGGGTTGCCTGGACGTTCTCGACGCCCTTGAATATGTCCTCTTTGGTGTGGGCGACGTTCTGGATGATTCCATGGCGAGGGTGCGTAAGCCGGCGCACGTTGGCACCAAAATGAAACCCCAGCGATTGAAACCCAAGACAAATTCCGAGTACAGGGAGTAGCGACTGATGTGGGAGATCCCAAAGTGCGGTGATTAGACCAACATCGGCCGATTTGGTCGGATTTCCTGGTCCCGGTCCAGCGACTATTGCGTCGAACGATTGAAGGAATATGCGGAAATGGTCATGCCTGATGCTTCCGTGCTCCGTAATAAACCTCTCGTCGTCATTTTGAATGATCTCGATGTCGGCTTGTATCGAGTCAGAAAGAAGAGCAACGATGTTCTGACTGAATGAGTCGTACGAGTCAATGAACAGAAGTTTGGGGGAGTCGGCCATCTTCGCACTATCAAACGATAGACGGTAAGGAACAATATGAAAATCAGGAGGAATGAATGGATTCGTCGAACAGATATATCAAAAGCGAAGAAACCAAGGGACAAAACTATGTGGCGAATGTCGACCCTCCGTGGCGGTTGATCAAGAGTGAAGAGGTAAGTAATAGTATCTCAATCATGTTTGATGACTCTTATGGATTCCCAGCCCGCCTGTATGAATGCTTATCGTCCATTCTCGATGAAACGCCTGAGGCCATTTGCGATGTGGTTGTGCGTAGAACTGGTCCATGAAAACATTGGCCAGTTAGCAGTCCAAAAATTAGATCGTGAAGTTCCGGGTCGGTCAGCGAAAAAGGAAATAAAATTCGGATCCCTGTCAACTCACTCAGCTACACGCCATCGCCAGATGCATCCGATCTCCATCATTGCACGGAGTATCTGATATGGTCTGTCGATCTCCATCGGATCTAAGAATGTTAATAGTACCCAATATGATACTCGACTGAAGATTCTTTAAATCCTTGCCCAACGACCGTGCCTATTGTAACTTGAAGTGCCTTGGGCCTCGTCCAATCTGACATAGTGGGCCAAATACGGACACGTTTGGACGAGAGCACGAGACATCCAAAGAGAATTGGGTGACAATATATCATTCTTAGAACTCGTCGCCATTCGAAGTAATGCACCGTGGCACATCTCCATGTGAGTATCTCATTAATACGCTAAGAGGCGAATGGCTTGCGAGGGCGACTTTGTCGATTCGAAAAGCCCTGCATAGACGCAAAGAGCGCTTGAAGGCCGCGAATTACGAATATCTCAAGGGGAAACCCTCCGAGGATGGCGATAGGTCCTTCACTGCAAGAGCTGTCCGACAGGGAAAACCTACGGACCGATGCAGGCAGGAACACACCATCTCTCTCCCGATCCATCAGCAGACACACTTTGTAGGCACTTTATCCCGGGTAGTTGTAAACTACGTGAGAGCGCAGCTCCCAATGGTGTGCCAACTAGGATACATCCTTTTCCCATGGCTTCTTTCGTCTGTTTGCCGACGGTTGCGTGCCCTGGCCTTCGAGAATTGTATCCGGAATATCCTTGATACCCGGTATTGGCTTCCCCGACGTGATCAACTCCACGATGTCGGAGAATGAGGTTGGATATGGGGCATCTCCAGCAGGAGTAGAGTCGTCTTGTGCCCCAGAGTCATTGTTCTGCGTCTCCGCGGGAGGTGCAGAAGATTCCTTGGCCGATTCCGTACCATTCCCTAATTCAATCCCATTCTCTTGTGCTGTAGTTCCTTTCTGTTGCTTCTTCCAAGCTTTGTATCCATTGACGTCTATCCTGACGCCATGCTTCCTATATCCGACTCAGCAACCGTCTTGGCGTATGGACACGGTTTAAGCACCTTGAGAGATAGAAACACTTAGCCCGCGATTCAAGATCCGTGGCATGGTCTGGAGACTGGGCTGATTGAAGTATGGATTGCAAACCACCACTGAATTCCGGATCCGAACCCCAATCGTAGTTCTCGATGGTTTCATACAACTTGACTTCTGAAGGACTATTTGCACTTGAGGATTCGGTCGTCATGATTCACATAAATCAAGAAATGCCAAGGTGGATAAGCTCAAAAGAGGGATACAGGTTCACCCCCAATGCTAAGTACTCGCATCCTATTCTGTACACGTATCAAGATTCAACCACCTTTGTGGCCGTGTGTTGGAGAATTGGAAGGGATGGGAGGCAGGGAGCTGCACGTGCAGGATGGAATGCTCACGTGATCTGGAAGCTTCGTTCCAACTTCGCCGAATCATTTCTTCTTGTGCGCAGCTGCAAAGTCTCTTCATCCTCTTAATTCCTCCAAACCACATCTCCCATCTCCCATCTCCCTCCCACAAACATCCACCCTTCCTCCTCTCTCTTTACTGTTCTCTCACATCTCAATCCTTCTTCCGACACCTCATCCCTTTTTCTTCCATACTCCTCTCATCAAAACATTCACATCCTGCACCTACCCAAGGTGCCAAGATGTCAGAATTCATCGGGTATGTGGACCTCGCGACAGCTGAAAAGCTCAATACAAACGCTAACGGTTCAATTGCACAGATCGGTGATCTCGCTGATATCGAAGAGCGATATACGGTCAGTATGCTACCGGATATGAGTGTACCTAGCTCACGGTTCGACCTAGCTATCGAGGGACGCTTCATGAGATCAACTCAGACAAACATACCGTCGCCCTAGAGAATGTCAGATCATTTGGCACCGAAGGGCGGCGGAATGGAGTCGACGAGGTGCCTCCAATGGAGGCCATATACGAGTACATCGTATTCCGCGGCAGTGATGTGAAGGAGTTGTCAATTGAAGACGCGCCTAAAGAACCTCAGCCGCCGCCACCCCAGGTGCCCAACGACCCTGCTATCCTCGGAGTAAGTCAGCCCGTCTCCCAAGCACCTTCAATGCACTATGATGAAAATACGGATTTTTATTTCGACTGAATCACACATGTTGAAAGAACCGTTGCCTTCCTTCTGAAACAGCAACATACCTTGTCTTTCCTGTAATCCACTATCAAGGATGAATTGTACTGACTTGTCAAGTCCGCCCGTCCATCACAACTCCAGGGACAGCAACCTGGGCCGCCATCGAACCAACAAGCCCCGCCTAACAATTTCAACTCTCCGCCTCCATTTCCGAATCCTTATGGATATCCTCCGTTTCCCGGCAATCGCTCCCCCTTTGATGGGTTCCAGGGCGGTCCTGGTGGTCCTGGTGGCTTCCCTGGATATCCAGGCATGCCGTATGGAGCCCCCCCGCCTGGAGTTCCACCTCCTGGTTGGTATCCCCCTCCAGGACAAGGTTTTCCACCGGGACCTTTCCCGAACCAGCCCTCGCAACTACCTCCCGGGGCTCCAGCTCAACAGCAGCAGGCTCAGCAAGATTTGCAGGGCCAGAAACCAGATCAAGGACCGTCGTCTAGGCAAGCTACTGCGGGCCCGGCAACGCAGGCACAAACAAAGCCGGCCGAATTGAATGCCCCATCGAAGCCATCAGAACCAAGGCCTGCTGCAACTAGAAAACCGCAGGGACGAGGTACTCCTACCCAGCCTACTCCTTCACAAGCGCCGCCGAACAAAGCACCTGCGCCGCCTATTGAGTCAAAGCCTGATGTTACATCTGCACTGGCTCCCTCTCAGGCACCTACGGCTCAAGCTCCTGCTCAACCATCCGCCCCGACAAAGACAATCCCCACGGGGCCGAAAGGTAACCGCATAGTTCCCGCGGTCCCAATACCTAGTGCGGTCGCCAAACCTCCGGCTGCTGTCACACAGTCTACGAAACCCGCCACCCAACCTAGCCAAGCAGTTGCTACAGCGACGCAACAATACCAGAACGCAACCGCTGCAGCTACAGCGGCCGTTGCCGCCGCCATGGCCAAGCTTCCCGCTGCGCCGGGTCAAAAAATCCTTGCTCAAGCCGCTGGCGATCCAAGATCACAAGTCACAGGTTCTACTGGACCATCAACATTCCCGGCCCGTGGACGCGGTGCTCGACGCGGCAGTGGTCCGAGCGGCCATCATGTACCAGGTCCAAAGATTGAGACCACTCCCGACTTTGATTTTGAAAGCGCAAACAAGAAATTCAGCAAGCTCGACTTGGCCAAAGAGGCCATTGCTACAGGGTCACCCCTTGGTGAGAGTCCTATTAATGCGAACTCTACCATTGAGAACGGCGAGTCGAAGTCGACGAACGGAACAGAGGGCGAAACGAAGTCTGATGACGTTACGATTCCTCCCCCGGCGCCTGCTTATGACAAGGGCTCAAGCTTCTTCGACAACTTGAGTTCGGACCGGCGAGACCGCGAGGAGAGGAAAGACGTCCGAGATATGCGGACTGAAGAACGCCGACGGAATATGGAGACGTTTGGACAGGGCAGCGTTGATTCGCGCGGAGGGTTCCGAGGTCGTGGTCGCGGCCGGGGACGTGGGCGAGGATTTGGAAGAGGAAGAGGCATGAGTGCGCCGGGGGGTCGCGGCGGTGCTGATGCTGGCACTACCTCATAATCTGCATTTTCGCAACGATGGCAGGAAAGCCGACGGCGTTTTACGGGGATGGGTTGAACGAGGTGATAATGCAGCCTCATGGCTGGAGACATGACCAATGGCTGCCTCCATGGACGGAGGTACGGATGGTTAATGAATTCCAACGAGGCGTATGTTCCCTTTCGAAAACTTCCGCTTATGAGCGGCGTCTAGCAATGAGTGCTTTTAGCTTTTGCCTTCGAGCGATTGAATGATGGGTTTCACTCCATTTTTTTCTTCGAGTGGGTTCGCTGCGCTGTCTACATATGTACGGTATGGCATGATATGGAATATGAAGGCTCGGCCTTCCATTGAGGGATGGCTGGTTTATTCAACGCCCGTTTTGGCAATATGTGCACTGGTGACCGTAGAAATGAGTAGGATAATGCTGTGCTTGACTGGCAAAGGACCAACTTGATAGGTGAGCAGATCTCCATTGTTGATCTAGACTGTTTTTCATATCAAGCTATTTCATTCATGCTTCTTGAACTTAGACGCCATCTTGGGGGGAAGAACTTGATAATCCTCTACCTTTGATGTCCTCTAGACGACGGAATAAGGTAATTGTATCGACTTATTCAACTAAAGGGAATAGAAGAGTATTTCTATATCTTTAGAAAGGATATAAGCGAACCTAGGTAATAATCTAAGGTATTCGACGCCTACGGCCTACCGATCCCCTTTCCAGTCATCCAATTTATTTCACTCGGGATGCATTTTAATCAAACGAATTTATCTCTTATATCTGCCAACTGCTGATGGATGGGTTGTATCGCACCAAACTCCCAATAGGGACCGTATCGTATTCTTTTCGTATTTATAAATCATCTACAAATGTATATCATCTAGTAAAATGGTAATAGTTCGTATCATACATGTTCAAACGAGTTCAACTCTTTGATAACAAGCAACCCTATATTTAGAATACAGATAGGCGTGACATAGTTTGGCCCGACAGTTCGGCAACAAGGCTCGCATTCTTAAGCTATAGCCTCTGATCAGATATGACAACGTGGATGCCCGATTCACCTGACGCACATTTTCATTGAATCCTCAAAGACTTTTCTCTCTTGTTTAGCTCGTTGTCATCCATCGAGGCCAGCGCTTCGCCATCCATCTTCCCATGGACGTAGCCTTCGCCGACAGGCGTGAAGAATTCCCGATCTTTCGAATCCCTCACAACGACCGGTACCGAGCAGCCGAAAAGAATGCAGACTCTGTCTCCTATCTCCATCTTCTCCGATCCGAACCCGTACAGATGGTTGCGGTCGTCGTTGTCCTCGGTATTGCAAGCGAAGAACTTGCGGTTCCAAATCACCGACTCCACTCGCCTCAGATATTCCAGAACCATGTCCAGGGTTTCTGTCGCCCTCATGATACTTGTGGTATTGACATCGTCGTTAGGCCTCGCTGATGCAGAACTGCATCGCATACACGTCGGTACAATCGGCTTGGATTGTCCCCGTTGGGGTCTCGATCGGCCACTAAAGTCCTCCATAGTCGTTCGGGGACGGGAACAGGACCCTCGTAGAACGTCTCATGGCCCATGTTATCTTCGTCGCTTTCGAGCCCGGCAAGATGAAGGCATTCTCGCTGAATGGTGCCATCCGAAACGCGAGGAGAGATAAGGATGATCCGCCCGAGCTCTATTCCCCAAGCTACTAAAATGCCATTGAAAATGAGTAAAGCACTCTGAGTGGACGGTATGGTAGGGAGTGTGTCTGTTCTATCTTGGAACTTGACTTGTGGTATTGGCGGCGTTGATCGTCATCGGAATCTGCTCACATTACTGTTGACTTCTCCAGTATCCTGCGGTGACTTTGAAGTTGTTCTGTTGGTTTCAGTCCCATTCAATTGCACAGTCAATTGGTCTTCCAGCATTTGCGTCTCTTCAAAGAAGCAGTCAGCATCATGTCCTTTGCTAGCAGTGTACACGCGCTTGAATGGTCGTCCGACGAGGCTATCACCATTGCGTCTGCCGGTATATTTCCCAGGGGACCCATATGCCGAATCTTTAAGCATTCCGATCCACGATGGCATCGGCTCGTATACTGCAACTGGTTCTCTGACTCTATGTCCCTTCTTGGACACCCCTCGGGACCGAGGCTTCTTAATCGGAAGGGGCCAATGGCGGCAGATGGTGTCCAACCTCCCTGTCTTGTCGACACAGTGCTTGACAAACTCGATGTAGACATCTGAGACATCCTTCTCATAATCTGCGACTGGAGGTTTCATAGATTTCCCCGCGGCGGATACTCGACATTTGTTTTGTCCGAATGGGTCATCATCACCCCAAGCACAAGACAAAGCTTTGTATTCGTATTGGTCGAGTTCGGCACGATTAACGACCTGCAGCGAGCACTCTATCCGTGACATCTTGTCTGCTGACTTGTCCAAAGCCAACAGTCGGATTTACATCTCCTGGATGTCGGAGTATTGATATTGGTTTTTGGACATCACCAGCTCTCCTATGGCTTTTCCAAACCCTCCTTTAGGCTTAGGACCGACGGGGCATTCGACTGGTCCGACGTACGACGACATCCTGGCATGAGATCTCTCGACGGTTGCTCTAGGGCTCATTCCGTTGTGGAGGTGCATCGACCCCTCCGCGAAAGCCTCTAGTCTCGCTCGGTCAGATTCGACTGAGAATAGGAGCTGGAGATCGATTGCAGGTCGTAATAATTATCCTCAGCATAACCACCCCGCCCTTCTCCATTGTTTAGGTAGAATAGGGACTAATTCCGAGGACATAGTTACTATAGCCAACGCAATGGCTTAGAAATAGTATAGTGTTTGGCGGCTCTAGACAGGGGGACAAAAGCAAGATTCATCCTGCTACTTAACCATCCAATTGGACTCTGCTGGATCCCTCTTTAGAGGGTGGGAGCCGTCGGTTCTTCCTCTGAGCACGCAAGTAATCAAATTCCTAGGGACTTACGCGTCGGCATTAGAATACTAGGACGTCGACTGAGGCCGCATGGGACGGAACGGGCCCATTCGCGGACGTCCGCAAATGTTTTTCGGCACCATAGCGGCAACCAATGCAGCGGTGTAGTCCCATCATCTCGAGGAGCATGTTGAATATCCAATCGGGTAGCACCCCGCCGCAAATTAGGGCCAGCAAAAAGGCAACGGAAGGATAAGGCTGTGGCCTTATGAACGTGAACCGGTGGGGAGATATATATGAATAGGTGATGCGCCACAGAGGGCAAAGTAGAAGCCATCTGATCATACTAGGCTTCTGGAGTTGTCATGGAGGGTTAACATAACATCCCATTTGTAGATTCGAGACTCGGCTGAAACCAACAAGACATCCCGAAATATGGGTTTGCTAAAGAAACCGGAGGAATGCACAACTATTTTAAGGACTGAGAGTTGATAGCAAAAGCAAAGAAACTTCAGATATGATATACGCCTCTTGCATTTCATCCGATTGGGTGCCACTGATATTCAGTGTTGGCCGTTGGGTATGATGAGGATCTGCGTCCCCTTTGCCCGCAATTCTCGATCTTTTTTGTCTATCCCTCTTTGCACATCCTCATTGGAGTTTGACAATGTCATTTCCTCTCGTTCATGATCTGGTCTTCGAGCTTAATAGCGGCGGAATCTGTGGTCAGACAACTAATACCAGACGCATCTTTTATCACCCACACTTGTATCCAATGCGATGGTTTTAAGGCAGCCAAACACATGACCCAATACGAATTGGACCAGACGTTCATGCACACTTAGCGTCTTTCACTCCTACTACATTCAGAAGATGCAGAAGCTTATTATCCCGTTTATTTAACAACCGGGTCAAGGACGATACCTTGCCCGCAGTGTCGCTTCATGTCTCATAATAAGCGAGCTAGTAGGCGCATATCGAGATTGATTCCTTGTAGAACTGGTCGTTCTGGTAAAAGAAATCGCGTACCCGAAGACAAATGGCGTTGGAACTTTTGAGACACCCTGGGTGGCAAAACCCCAGGTAAGTCCACAGTCGTACGACGTTTAAAGGCAGCAACAAAATTCGACAGAACGATTGTATGCAAAGACGCGAAATGAAGGACTGATGGTGCCGTGATCGGATGACACTGAACTTTGAGATCTTTCATAATCACCGTTGAAATCTAGGAGGATTATGCTTTGCGAGGGATCAGGTACAAGATCGCGAGACTCAGAAACCGACTGCATTGGGGGGTAATTGCTAGAAGGAAACTGTAAGGCAATGCGTTGAAGAAAAGATCCGGTTCAATATCCATACACAGACATCCCGAATCGCGACCTGTCAATCCCCTCCTCCGGCATCGGCCGCTGCTCCCTACTTGACTCGCGTTGTGCGATACGCAACCGCGTTCAGATCGATGGTGCTCTTAAGTGCGACACTGAGGAGTTACACGAAGTTCCGCATACATCTACCGTGCGACGGATGTACAGCCGTCGAGGGATGGCGTGATGTTGGGGGCGACGGCGCGGATTGGGATGGTACTGTGTAGAGAAACCAAGTAGTACCTAGCTAGCGATTCAGGCCATTACTGGATGAGAAGACGTTGAATGAAGAGAGGTGACCTGATGAGGGTGATACTGAGGACGGAATGATAGACTTGAATCGTGGAATGTAATGTGCGATGAAGTGACGTGAAGGAAAGGAGCGCTATAATGGCTCGTTGCCCAGATGGCTGGGTCGCATCGTCGATAGACACCAGGTGTCTATCGTCCGGAATGAAATGACTCGATGGACGTGTGCATAGCGAGTTCAACACTGGAAGTTGTGGCCGAGGATGGGTTGATCCTCCTTTTGATTCCTAGCCGAAAAATGGCTTGTTTCATCCGAATTCCACAGGGATATACCAGTCCTTGTGACAGGAATTTGCGCCGGTGGTATCCAGTTCAATTCAAATACACGAAGCAGAAGTTGATCGCCAGGAAGAGCGATATGAGGTTATGGATGTAATCTATCCCGTGGCCCGACATGTTGGAAACGAGGGAAACCGGTATTGTAAGTGAGATGAGCCAAGAAAGTTCCCCTCTATCTAGTACTGTACTCACTACTCACAGATCAGAATCAATTTCCCAGTCCCCGATATCAATCCAGGACTGAGTTCGTGTATCGAATCCTCCTCGTACCCCTTGTACCGCCACAACCGCAGAGCCTCTTCTCCCGATCCTCACACAACATCTGCTCTCACGGTTGTATGCCTTCCCCATCCCTGTGGTCCTATTCGGCCACATCCTTTTGGGTCCTCAGCATCGCGAAAGGGGCGAGGATGGTGAGAATTAGGTAAGTGCCATTCCACCACCAGGTCACACGAACTCACAACTTCCGGATGAGGAGAGGTGAGCGGACACAGCGTGTAAAGTTGCCTTCTTGGATGAGGACGAAGAAGCTAGAGGCGTGAGGGACCGTTGGGCAGTGCCTGGGTTGCAAGGACACGTAGAGCCGTGATGTCAATGTCTCGGATACCACAGTGTATAACAATATATCCTTGCCTCCTTAGTTGATGGGTCATTCGCAGAAGTCATGACAAGTTGCACATCGTGATCCTTTGGCGGCCTCAACCGTCTTGTGCCTGCTTGACATCTGACATCTGTGCGGGAAGATTCGAGACAAAGCCAGGGTGGAAGGATATCCGTGTGGGCCAATGGCGACATGAGGGGCTTACGGGCCGGAGGATATTGAACCGATGGAGGAGTTCAGGATGGTGGTGTGGAGGAAGGGCAGCGAAATATTGTGCTCCTATGCCCTCTACTTGTTGCTGGAGCTTCGACAGTGGACGATGTCTGCACTCCGCAGTGGATAAATGTGGTGTACCTGCTAGAACCCTACATACTCAAGTGAGTCCGTAGTCTGTAAGAACCTTGAAATGAAGAAAGATTAGCTGGGTCCGCCTTGATTGCGATGCTCTGCGGAGATCATATTGATATTACGTGTCCTCAAATGCTGGGTTGCTCAACCAAGGATCCTGAGTTTCCAACACCATTATAGCTTTGATGGGCTCGGAGAAACCATATATTTGATCACCTAGGAATTAGGCCCAGGGATCCGAGGAAGAGATACTTGTTGTTCATGGTTTAAACAACTGGAACCGTACAGCTCCTCCTAAGTTAATAATTACCTGCAATCGGAATGACTTCGGTGTGGTCTCACGGATATTAAAGGCCGACCCTGAATAGCGGAGGGGAAATGGGGCATTAGAATGCAGCGCCACAAATCCCCCGTCTCGACAGCCAAAGGACCTCTCTCCATTTCTCCATTCCTTCAAGGAAGATGGCGTTGGATGCTTCCTTTTGGCTAGTACCGATATGCGGGAGTAATTGTCACTTCCACAACCTTTTATCGCTCCTCTCACATTAATATATACTGAGGACATGTGGTCCTTTCAACAATGAGCAACATGTGGCAGACTTGGAAGTTGGAGAGAGTTGTGAGCCCGAGACAAGCCAGACAGCAAGGGCAGCGAAGGTGCAGTAGCAAATGTAATAACCCAACGAAACATTCAAGCACTATGGAGAAGGGCAGGAGAATCCGAAGGCCGAAGCAGGATTTGCCGATTTGCCCGGATTTAGGGAGCACACTAAGCACAGACACCCACATTCCGCAACCCTGGCCCTCCCAAAACCTCGTCCAGCAGTCCAGCCCGTCCCGTTTTTGCGGCCATTGGTCCCGATGTGAGGGCTGTGGTCGCTGGTGACTGGCGAGTGGTGAGACTGCATTGCGGCAAGATGAGCCACCAAACCTACGCTCGGACCTGACCGTATTTTATAAAACAAAGGCCGGAGATGCAAATGCTCGGTAATCCAGTCGACCGTTTCAAGGCTGCAACCACGCCGCATGGGACCATGTCACGATAGATGCGACGAGATCAGGCCATCATCGCGCACGAAAATCCACGGTTACCGAGTACAGTCTAATATAGTGAGAGTATAGATGATGCTAGTAGCCAAACGTGCAGTTGTGCAGACTGCAAGAGCGCCACAAGGCAACTAGGTAGGATTCAGGACTTGGGAGTGTGGAGGAGACGGTGGGTTGGTCAATGGTGACAAAAACGGCCAGGTTGCAGGTGTGAAGTGGATGATTGCGTTGCCAATCCCACGTGTTGATCAAGGAAGATCACCATCCTGAAATCAAGAAATCCCGTCTCACGTTTGTTAATGCAAGCAATCGCTGCGGCGAGCCGGCGAGTCCTGGGACACCACACGTGTGAAGGGATGTATCATTCCGCGAGGATACCCGCTGCATCGGTGATGTTTGAGATCGAAGATATCATGAAGGGGTCGCTGAGGCTCACGGTTGATCAGAACCAGGAAATTCGTGTATTGTAATAGTCAGACGTCATTGAAAGAGACATATAATTAAAGCACGCAAGATCCGGGAGAAGGAGTGAACCTCGAGCCAAGACGCTATCGATAATTTGCTTCTTTTCCCACGTTGTTCTCCTCGATATCGAGATGGCTTTCATGTCCAACGAATGACAGAGTGACAGTGACGCCAGGGCGAAAAAACCAACGGTATCGTTCGTCTAACCGGAATGGACTAAGACTAATATGTACTTCATTGCCCATCTGATTCAATTATCACAATGACTTCCCACTCCCAGCTGTAGCCTATATTAGCCCCTTCTTTTAGCCCAAGTAATTGCCGTCAGAGATGGCTGCATCGTTGGAGCATGTCGATTGTCGAGAGCATTCAGGACTGAGAGGACTCCTCAACATCCTCAATCATCCCGGACCACGAACAGAATCAAGATTCAAGGCACGCCACCAAGTCCTATCCTGTAACCACCAAGTCCTGCCGTGTAACCACCTCTTCACCTCCTTTCCATTCGTCCCTCATAATTTCCCAGTCGTCCATGTGCTCCTTACCCACCTCCACCCACTCCAGAGTCCAGGCCTCCGTCAACTTCCATTTGCTATCCGCCCATCTCCCATCTGACACCTCTCTCCCGCCCTTCCCACCTTTAACTTTTGCGTAACCGTGGCATACGGGAGGCGGGATGGGCGTCGCGTGAAAGCAAGGAGAGCGGGGGAACAAGGAGCGATGCAACCGATATTGGATCTTGTGGTGTCGGTTGTGCGACCCTCCGCCCGTTTGTAACAGTGGGATTTCTCGAGGCTGCAAGCCCTCCCAAGCCATGCTCTTAATAATAATAGTCTCAACTCTCAACAGCTGGGGTCACCACACTCTTTCGAGGCTTGATTGGCCATGCTGAAAATATGGGAGGGAGACGTCCAAGCGTGGAGATGTTTGAGACTCAAATTGCCTGATGTTTGCTGACCGGGCATTATGAAGATTGAAGGCGCATTGAGCATTCCGGATTGTGTTAGGCCATGCTTTGGGTTACATATCGCAATCCGGAGACAAGCAATGGAAGCAGGAAAGAAGTAGATCGGTCTAGACCAATCGGGAACAGCCCAGCCTCGACCGTTGAAATGTCTAGGACGGCTGGTAAAAATATAAAAAAGATGTGGAAATCCTGGTTGAGAAGCGGAATGCATGATTGTTTTTTGGGCTTCATGTGCGTGCTGTGATCGGCGTGCATACTCTACCAGGCAACCACCCAGCCTTGCTTTCTGGAGTTCTAGTTGACTTCGATTTCGAAGTTCGAACCGTAGAAAAAGCAAGAATAGGTTTGAACATTACTGATCCTTGCGATGAACGATTCATAAAAATGGCGTCGCTGGAAGATTCCCAAGCCTGATCTGACTCGGCTGCGTCGTGATCGTTCAAATCATCAAATGAAAGGATAGTTGCGCTGCCAATCGACCACGGAGAACGGATGGTGGCTCTGCCGATTTGCTCAACGCTTCTGAGATTCTGTGCACCTGTTTCGGTCTTACAAGGAAGGGTTCTGGCTGGGTGTTTCTATCGGAAGATTCTCTTGAAGCGATAAGGTATCTCTGCCGAAAATCAAAATTCGCCGAGAGCCATACCGTTCCTCTGCTTTGAGCTTGCATTCCACAGTCATGATTCAACTTTGCCAGGAACATCGTCAGTTCCCACTTCTCACGACATCTTGCCTTTTTAGCAGTCGAAGTGGCTGGAGAGGAATTTGTCACGCTGCATATCAACCTGGCATCGAATGTTCCGATCCCTTGCTCCTTGATGCACGATCCATAGCTTCGAGAAGGTTGGGGGAGACATCTCTCGAGGATGTGACTGGGATATCCTGTTCTCAATAGCAGCTGGACTTTCTGAGTAGATAAGGTGCAGGGAGCCAGGGACTTATGCCTGTCATAATCCCGATGTCGCCATTCCGAGGTGGCGGTAATATGATACGATATGATATGGAGCACTGATCATTCGTCTAGGTGCCTGTGCCTGGCTTCTGAATTCTGGAGAGTGGCGAGCAGGATCGGGATTCAAGATATCCTTTCATCGATCATATCATACGGCATCGTTATCTCCAGTGGAGTTTCGTGTTTCTGCTGAGCCGCGGCAAACCTGCAGTCTGCACATTTGATCTAGATGAGGGATCAATGCAAGATTGCAAGCTTATTGCCAGGGACCATGACCTCAGCAAGGACATTAATCACTCCGATCGTCCTCCGTGCTCTGCTGGTCATGATGGACAAGGTAGTCATGGAACAAGGCTTTGTTACTTTTCCATACCGTTGAAACCAGCAAAAGCGTCAGGGCTACCTTCGGAAGGAATATCCGGTGCAGCGTGGGAAACACCGTGAGACAGTAGCCTGTTCCCGTATCAATAATTGGGAAGTGGTAGGATTCGGTCATTCGGATAAGGAACGCTTACAAGGTTGGGTACATGTCGGTACATGTATTTGTTGCACGCCGGCTGTGTAGATGCATGTGTCCAGTCGGGCTATGGAGCATCGGCAAATGTCACAGAAAGTACCTCAGCGACGGAGGAATAGGACTCGTTTGCCTAGAAAGAACATTATTACCAGACATTTGACCCGGAGCTGGGGAGCTGCGCGATCATTTCGCTTGGCCGAATCAAGTATTGGACAGATTGATTGATACTATAGCGACCCGAGTACGGAGGCTCGAAGGATATGAATGAAGTTTTTTCTCCTCCTCAAACCGCTGTTTCAACAGAAATACATACCTCATTATTAACTCTCAAGGGGGTAGTATTTCCTAGCTCAAGCTGCCTTCATCGACTCTGGAATCGGAGGATAGGGGCCCTGGTCTGTTACGGCTGACGGCATGCATTCCGGACTTGGAGGTGGTTTCGCTTGTCTGACCTTACGGGCGCATTCGAGCGGCTGGGAGCTGTCACTTGAGTTTCCTGGGTACTGCTCCCATATCGGGTAAAAGTCAATTCTCAAGGCACATCGAGAGGAACATGTGAGAGTTCGCGACATGAATTCGGAGTAATAAGCTGACCATCCGTATCTCCATCACTCGATTGAGTCCAGGAGTCGCCAACTGACATAGACGCAATCGTTTGTGTGGCTTGTGATCTTTGAACTGAATCAAGAAATGCGGGACGAGCCATGCACCACACTCCGTCCGCGGACACTATGAAAATAGGGTCACCATTCAGCGGGTCATTCAGAGCAAAGATGAATCAGTCAATCAGAGCACGGCGGATGTTAAACTTGCTGGAACCCTTGAACGACGGAGTCCACAGAGCCCTTTTCTTGGTGTCCGTCGTGGAAGCTCGGAAATTGGCGCCGACTCCATCCTCCAACATCTGGCGCCGGCTTCTTCCATCGTTAGACCACCACTAAATTCGCTATTATCTGATGATCGTCGCCTTTCCCTGAGCTTCACGAACATTACATAGTACTGTTAAGTACTAACGGAGCAGATGCCTTGTTCCGTGGGTCGAAAGACTAACGAGGAAATCTCCGCTTGCCCCGAACCGGCAACATCTCCAGGCGAGATTCGTAGTTCACTACCTAGTTCACCTCCTAGTTCATAGAACGATCGCTTAATGGTGGGACCTGGCGCCGCACGGTGCGGGAGAGAGGAGTAGAGGACAGGTGGGCGGGGGCACTGGGCGCATCCTGGGAGCGGGAAACTGGAATTTGAATTTCATCCCGGTCCAGTGGCGCGTCGCGAATCCTGATGTTCGACTAGCGTGTGGACGCACGATACCCGTCTGGGAGTGTTGAGGCTGGGGCTGGCTTCACGTCTTGAGGTCCTATCATGGAGGCAGGAGGCTTGCATCATTGCTTATTTTTATATTTTTGCGCTTTGAGGTAAATTCTCGCAATATTTTTTCTTCTTTTCGTGGGAAAGATTCATGTCGCAATTCAAGTCCAAGGCATGATGAATCATGAAATCGGACGCTTGCTGGGGATTGTGCAGCGGAGCCAGCAGTCAGCGAGACATTGCTATGTACTTACATGATGCAGGTACGAATTAAGGCCCATCCGGATCACCCTCAAGTATTACGTACCTGATGGACCGAGTGAAGTCTGATTCCTGTTGTATGTTCTTGCACCACGCTTTGATGGTTCGATGGCCAGGAGCAGCTCTTCGACTTACCTACATCTCCCCAGGAGATGAGCCCCGATTGCGAGACTAAAATATGGATTCTTTAAACTTGGCTGGTGAAGTACGTAGTACCTTCTGTGCTAGCTAATGGAAGCGAGAGAGCCAGCGGAGTAGCGAACGGAATGGATGCGGTTTCGGGATGGCGGGAGAGCCAGTTGGTTGTTAGCGGGGTGATCGAGTCACGCCCAGCGGCAGTTGTGAAGGCGATATATCACAATTCTGAGTTCACACATCGCAATTGGCAGCGAATGAACCGAGTAGAAAGGTGGTGATTAGAGACTTGATAATTCGGCAAATCTAAAATCCAATGAACCGTTGGCCGATCCTTATAACCACTATCTTAGGTCTAAGAAAAGCACTGTGTCCATTGTCATGTCCATACTCCGTAGAGAGGGTGTTAATTTAGTTTGAGGAGTATCAACTCAACGGTGATTGTCTCTTCGACAATGCGGAGAAAGTTACACACACAAGCACAAGCTCTCTGTCAAGATTCAGAAGTCAGATGGCAGTTTGGTCTGTTCTTCCGAGCACTAGACACACCATCTTTCTGTACTGGGAGCACATGACAATTCCTAAAACCCCCTGGAATATCCTCGCGTCTGGGGGAGATTCGGGTGCCCCTGGGGATCAAAGGCAGTATGGCATGGAGAGAGCCCGTGGCCCAAGTTGTGAACACACTGCGCCCTGCTATCCCCGAGCGGTAGGTAAGGGCTCCCTGGGACTTGGGGGGTTGTTGTTCCCTGGTTGATTTGACCACCAAACCACCATCAATACCTAATGCTACGGTGGGAAATGCTAAACCTCCCTCCAAGTCCTTAATCCCAAGTGCGCAGGCCACCGTTGAGGAGGAGGGGGTACTAAGCCGCAGCCCGCACTATTCCCGCCTGTGGCCTGTCCCTGCAATGAGATTCGAGAGTTCAGTTCAGTTAGTGGATCAAGTTTCGATTCGCCCATTCTGCCACCTCACCCGTCACTATTCAACACAACATTTCAACATTTCCAAGCTCCACACCCCCAAAACTCCCCCAAACTCCCCAAAGCTCCCTAAATTCCCCCAATACCCCCTGGGCCCGAATCCATCCCCACCCCCAGTTCTCCCAGTCCCCCAGGGCCCCGTCCCAACTCCAAACTAAACTGAATCCAAACGGATCCCGACTGGAACTCAGTTCCATGTTCCCTCAAGAGTCAAGCCATTCCTGCTGAGACCCTGGCGGACACCCTGCTGATGCCAGCCATTCATTCCGCTTCGTCGACTTCCTTGCCAACCCAATGCCAAATTCCCCACCCAGCGAACCAAGTCCACCAACCCACTTTCCCTCGTCCCTCGTCCACCGTCCCAAGCGTCTGTCTGCTCCCTTTCCCGCCCATTCGTCCTCTAGTGGCTCCTCACTGAAGTCTGATCTTCTTGCTCGTAGTCTCACGCTTTAATTATCCTCTCCACATTCCCACTCATCTTCCTACCTGTTCCTCCTCCCTCTGTCATCCCCATCGCCGTGTATTCTCTCGTCCATTCCCAGCCTGCGGCGTCTTGCTGTGCGGATTCAAGTCGATCGAGCCTTTCCCACCAAGGTCTCGAACCAAAGAATTGAGTCGTTTGCTCAATTCCTGCCGCCTGTCGACCGTCGAGTCGTGTCGAAGCGAGGGAAGCTGTTGCGTCGCCCAAACCCGAGCGTGCGACCGAAAGTCCGAAACCACCCAACTCCAACACGGCCCTCCTCACTCCAGAAAAACGACATCGCCGTCTATTCACATTGCTGTCACTTAAACCTGATTCACTTGGTAAGCCATCACTTGATTATCTCGATTTGCATTCACCATCGTCTTCAATTGCCGTCTCGACTGGCCTCCACCGTCGAATCACGGCTTCGCCCGCCCTTACGGTAACGAACCTCAAACTGACAACGCTACAGAATCCGGCTCCACGGACAGTTTCCCCTTCCGTTCAATCGGCTACCAACGGACTATCCTTTGATGTATGTGAACTTTTTGCGTTTTGATGTTCGATTTTCCACGCCGTGTTTCGCTCGATGATTTCCGACGGGGCTCAGAGAAGACTCCCAGGAATACTCGAGACAGGTCCCGATGCAGGGGATCTGGCTGCAATCCACGGCGCTTGCACCATTTTGTTGACCCATTTCTTTCCCACCTACACAACTTGCTGACTTTATCCTCTGCTCGTAGTATTTGAATTCAATCTTCTCCTGCAGATAGAATCAGCAGCTATGGCGACCATCCAGGTTCCCAACGAGACCATCTCGCAGGCCTCCCGTATCACCAAAGAGGCCAAGAAAATCACATACCGGTTGAAGGTCATTCAGCAACCGGAGCGAGCCCAAGCTTGCGGATCCGGTGCCAAATGTAAGCTTCCGCGCCCTCGGACAGGCAAACAAGTTGTCCAGGAGTTTTCTAACCTTCGAACAGCATCCGCCGACCGTCGCCCGGTCGATCCTCCACCGATTGTCGAACTGCGCGTCTACGACGGCGACGATGAGGTCACCCACAACTACAACGCCAACTACTTCCTGTTTGCAACCCTCGAGCATGCGCGTACCATGGCCCAGGGCCGTGTTGCTCCGGGCCAAGCGTCGATTCCCGTCTTAACTGGTACCCCCGTGGCCGGCATGGCATATCTGGACCGTCCTCATCCTGCTGGTTACTTCATCTTCCCGGATCTGTCCGTACGCCACGAGGGCAAATATCGCTTGAGCTTTGCATTGTACGAGGAACTGAAGGAGCAGAAAGATATGGACAGCGAGGAGCTCCCCACCTCGAACCTACCCAATCCTGCCGATGCGCATGTGTCACATCGTTTGGAAGTCAAGTCCACACCGTTCACTGTTTTCTCCGCCAAGAAGTTCCCCGGATTGACCGAGAGCACCTCCCTCAGCCGCATGGTCGCCGAACAAGGTTGCCGTGTCCGCATCCGACGCGATGTTCGCATGAGGCGTCGTCCAGGAGAGAAGGGCGCCAAGGATTGGGACGAGTATGAAGATGAGACCGCTTATGAACGTGCCCGCCGCACTGCCACTCCAGATAACCACTACTCTCAGATGGGAAATCAAGGCCAGGTGGAGATCGTCGACCGTCCTCGTTCCGGCAGCGTTGCCAGTAATGCGTCCTTCCACAATATGGGCAGCCGCCGTACCTCCATGGAGAACATGGCCCAAGGATACCAGGCATCGTACCCTCCACCCATGGCTCAACAGGCTCCCAACGGGTATGCTCAACCAATGCCTTATTCCAACGGTCAAGTCAATGGTTACCAGAACCAATATCCTTCTCATCAGACCATGATGCAGCCTCCTCAGGTCCCATACCATTCCCAGCAGTATCAACAGCCCCAGCCTCAAATGCACCAGTCCTATGGCTATCCGCAACCCCAAGCCCAGCAATACCCGCAGCAATACCAGGAGAATGGACACATCCGCCACAACAGCCTAGAGGGATACCAAGCCCAAGTTCCGAGCAACGACTTCCGTCGCCAGCAATCCACTCAAAGTCAGTCATACAGCAACGGCACCATGCAGGCCCCCTCGACGCCGTACGGTCACAATTCCAACCCGTCATCACACGCCTCTCAACCCTCCCTGGCGCCCCTCAAAAACCTCCAAACCTCATCCATCTCCGTCGATGCCAAGTTCGAAACCAGTTCCCCCGCCTACGACCACAACAGCACCGCGTCCGCACCCGACGCCTACCACAACGGCATGACCCGCTCGTCCGCCCCGTCCACCCACGTCGCCCAGTCGGCTACCAAACGCTCGTATTCCGAATCGTTCGATACGCAGCATCTCGACGGTCGGCTGCAACATGGTGCCCGGCCGCATGCAGATGATGCGTACGGGATGCACACCACTGCGCCGATGGCGTACCCGGATACGATCGCAGAGGAGGGCGAGTATGACAGCGGTGCGGCGATGAGCTATCGACGGGCTGATGGGACCGAGCGGAGGAGGGTTGTCCCTCTTAGCGATTGAGGCACTGAAATGCTGATGGACCCCATCTGTGGGGATGTCATCGTCTGGTACCCTGCTTCCAATGCGGGATTATTTCCGATCTGATGTCTTCCATGGTCGGGGTTCAGTGCCCCTCAAGAACGAGATCATCCGTTTTCCAGAATCCCACCGCCGAATCCCACATGGTCGCCTAATACCCCCACCCTTTCCGGCACAATTCATTTTCATCGCATATATTTTCCTTATTCATTTATGGCGTTCTCGGCGATATATCCTCACCTCTCCTACCTACGGCATCAGCCCGCTCGAGCCACCTCCCGGTCTCGCGAACACGGCTTGTCAGCACAACGACAATCCTCCCGTTCCCTTTCCTCCCTTTCCCGCACCCGCACTGCTCCCTTCCACACGATATCTCATGGACTCTTCTGACTGAACGCCTTCTCTCGCCGGTGGCCTCTCCGGCGTTTCTGCTATCGGGGTGCCTCTCGGCCGGTTCCTGGGCGCCTGTTCCATCCCCTTTGTCCATGTCTCACTACATGTGCGGCGCGTGTTTTCCCTTCCGTTAATCCGGCTGCGACTCATGTTCATGTCTGGCGCCGCCCACGCGTGCGGTGCCACATTGCGAACATGTCGACACGGTCCCCATGACGATTCCCGTCCTTTTGTTTTCTTCTACTACTTTTCCCTGGCGGTCGATTCATCCTTTTCGATTCATGAGCTTCCATTTTACGCCTACGAGTTGCTTTTCAAGCGGCGGCGGGCATCGTTGATGCGACTAGCACAACAGCCACCAACAACGACGGATTTTCTTCGGTTTCCATCATGATGATGTTTGGGTTTTTTGGGTGCTGTTTGCGCACGGGGCTGATGGTGATTGTCGGTCCATGGATCGCGGCGAAGAAAAAAGGAGGCTCGCGGCGATTTTCGCATGAATCGAGCGAGGCCTGCCTGCATTAAGTTGGAGTGACGCTTGTTTTTTGGATGGGGTGGACATGGGGTGGATTTCATTCGAGATGTGGTCGGATAGAAACGAATACAGAAAAGAAAACATGATAGTTCTCTTCATTCAACTTTCCAGATCTGGGGCTTGCGCATGCTATGGAATTGTGACATTGCCAACCCGATGGATCTGTCTATCGCCGTTCACCTACTTGCCTTTTCGCTGATTGGACTTGTCGCCCACTGAAGCTCGTATGATGGCACTGATCGCCTCTCAAATCTACCCAACTACGCTAAATCCACAAAAGGGACGCCTTCCTAGGAGTCTAGGAGAAGGGTAGGTATATCAAGGTTCGACATCACCATCATTATCAAGCCCGGTTCCGTCCCTGTGTCCCACTCTTTCCCGTAACCGGTAACCCCGTCTTACCTTCTCCGATCCTAAATTGTATTCGAATTTCAACGGTCGATCTCAAGTTCTCAATATGACTCGCTCCTGTCTCTCTAATGGGCGATGACCCACTCACACATCACAGCAATTCAGGAGGTCCGTCGAGTCGTCAGCACGGACTGCACTACATACGAGCCCGACCACTGTCTGTCCGCCCCGTACATAGTAGCGTCTACTGTCCTGAATAACCAGATGAGTCTCTGTCAGAAAATAAAGATAGTGTCAGCATGGCAAGAAAACCCGTGCTTAATGGCCCCAAATTAAAAATTCCGTGCCCACCCATCCAGGAGTAAGACACCTCAAGGCTGAACCAGATGTGAATTCCCGTCCCTTGCATGTGGAACGCCCGCATCCCTGCGAATCCCAAGCCCCTGTTTTAGGGCCCAACCACGTGATCTAGAGATTCCAGACTTGGCTGAGGCGGTGAGGCTGAAGCATCCCCTTTCCACGCCCGTGCCACTGGATCATCACATCACGTGCATCTCCCCTGGTAACCGGAGCTCCCTCCCGCCTAAACATCAACCCGTCACTTTCCACTGCTGTGCTCCAGATATCACCAACCCGCCATCCGGAACACCTGCATCAAGCACACCATTTGGGGGTTGCTGCAGTTGCTGCGTTTAGCGTTTGATTTGCTGCGTGCGGTGCATATTCTTAGGGCGCTTGGTTTTGCACACTCCGTCTCTCTCGATAGCGAATTGAGCGTCGCGGAGGGAAGTGATTGAGCCACACCACGACCGGACGATTGTTTACGATTCGTAACGACTACGAATGAATACTGCCTACGACACTAATTCACGAGACTTTTACGAGACACGGTTCCTTCCTCTTGCGAGCACATACTCTACTTTGCTTGATCTTCATCAATTGCGTTGAAGCGTTTTAGCATCCGATATTTCACGACCTTCGTGGCTTTTGGTCTACGACAAAGTGGCATATCTCCCTCATCTTCAACCTTCTCGGAATGGGTACACCGACCCCAATCATCCGAGAGAGGACGGTAAGTGTTAATTTTTTTTATCGCTGTTTATATTGCTCTTTTCAGCCTATCTCACAACTTGTAGACCTCTCGTAGACCCCGTCCTTCTCTTTCCGCCGATCCCATCAACCAGGAATATGAGAATTGGCGTCAACAAGACACGCAGCAGCTCATCCATCAACGCAAAATAATGCGTACTCGCATGCATCGAGCGAGCATAGCAGCCATGGAGAAGCAGTCTGTCATTCATCGAAAGCGTAGTCACTCCCGCACTCGCGAGAGCGATGTCAACTCAAACAGCAACATGGATCCTGATGAAGGAGTTTGCTCTTCTCATGGGGACGAGGATGAAGATACCCAGTCTCAAAAGCGGATGCGAGCCAGTGATTGGCCTCTCACCCGCAGCGCTGAAGCCATTGTGAACGCGGACAAAGAGCGTGAAGGGGAAGGCAAGGAAGGCACCAACACGTCCCTCAATACAAACTACTCTGCCGATAGTTACAACGCTAGATCTCACCGTGGACGCTCACCCGGAAACACTGCCAACGCTCCCTCCCGGAATCGACGCTCAGTCCCAAAATCCAGCACCCGCAAGTCCAAGTTCCTCGAAGCTAGCATGGGCGATAGAGCCAGCGAGAAACCCCCTACCTTCTTCACTCGCTACTTCAGGCCCAACACTACCCTTGCTGAAGATGTGGGCACATCACAAGACGAGCTGATGGAAGATTATCACGCCTACGCGTCGACTAGCTCTCTCACCCCTTCGGCATCCGCATATCATCACAGCGGAATGACCTCACGTGCAGGCATGCACACCCCAAACCCTAGCATCACAACCGGCATCACCGCCGACAGCAAGACTTCTGGTGTCTATCGCTTCGGCAAGTCGTTCGCGACGTCCTTCAACCCCGTCAGCATCTGGAATAAGGTCGCGACCACCTGGAGTAAGGAACCTGCTAGTCCCAGGGACTCATCCTCCTCCGAAACCAACGATGCGCGGAAGCGAGAGCTCGACGATCGCCAGGCACGTGCACATCAGGCATACGCGGACCTAAAGCGTTCGGGACAACTGAGCACATTGGGAAGCAAGACTATCCCGAAGGAGATGAGGGTGCGTGCAGAGGGATATACCCGACAGATGTCGACGGAGCCAACCCCGAATGCATGGGGAAAGTCGGTTGGCAGGGACGCGAGGCGCCCGATCAGCTTGAACGCAGTACTGAATGAGCGTCCTTCGGTGCCGCCGATGCCGACGCGGGACGCGCCACTCCCACCACCTCCGCCGCCGGGGCCATCGCCGAGCAGGAAACCTGGATGGGGCCTGGGATTGCTGAAGACACCGTCGTTCCAGAATTTGAAGCGCGTAAGGTCGGAAGTGGAGCTGCAGAGGCCGATGACAGCGAAGAGTCAGAAAGAGGTGGGGAAGAGGAACAAGTTGTCGAAGCGGGTGAGCGATTTGGAGACGAAGTTGGAGACCGCGAGGAAGGAGTTGGCGGAAACACTTGTGAGAGAGGCAGAGGAGAATGCTGAAGCTCCGCCTGTTCCAAGGGTGCCCGAGTCGTACAGTGCCTTTTTCAGACATCGAGGAGTCATGTCTGATCAAGATCCGGCGGCTGGACAAGCAACAGGTGGAAGTGAGCGCCTCGTGATCGATAATCGTATCAGTCGACAAGCATCCACTGATCGATCTCTCTTCACTTCACGTAGTCGAAGTGAGCTCCACGATACTCCAAGCTACGTTTCAGACTCAGAGGCATCTGCCACGAGTCAGATCTATCGTGAGATCGAATCTCATTCCAAGTTATATCGACGACCTGGGGCTGCAATGAAGCCTTCACTTCCATCACTTCCTTCCGAACGCTTACTCTTCCCCGATCAACAGCTCATCGATGAGCCTGGAGACGATAGCGACATGGATCCCTTCACTAATAGCTCTATGCATGGGGCCAACCGCGTCAGTGTCTTTCCAAATCCGACTTCTTGGAATCCAGCCGCTGCTCAACCGTCTGGAGTTGACGGGAATGGCAACTTCATCGCGTTCGACTCGGCCGCTGAAACTACTGCTGGTGCGAACACTGATCCAGTCTTTAACCCACCGGACGACTTGCATGATGACATCGCCGATTCAATTGAGCGCAACAATGAGGATATCCGACCCGAAGAGCGGATCCCTGCAGACAAGCTCAGCTCCGTTGAAGCCACTTCTAAAGCGTCCCGCACTCGACGACGCAGCACTATCAAGCGCAAGCTCGGTGAGAAGGACATTTCCTACAAGCCTACTCGCGACGGCGGCGAGAGCGACGACGAAAGGGAATGGAAGGGAGCTAGCCGTGCTAGTCGCAAGAAGCGCAAGAGCAACGGGAGCATCGACTCGAAGGACGGAATCAAAGGAAGTCTCGTTACCAAGCCTAAGGGAAAAGTCAGCAACGAGAGTCCTAAGGCGAAGAAGAAGGGAGGGAAGAAGCTCACCTTTGGTGATACCACGAAGAGTGTCTTGGTGAAGAGCCGGATCCCAAAGCCTGACAGTCGAGTCGGCAGCAAGAGCGACGATGTACCCAATCCCCCTCCCGCTGAAGCGACCGACTCCAGTGGAAAGCCCGCGAACCCCAAAGGCCAAGCCATCAGCAACGGCCAACTGCTCACCCCCAACGGCAGCGCACGTACCTCCATCTCCTCCGCCAATTCCATCCCGTTCACGGATGCGCAGACTGCGACCCACACTACTTCGGGCTCTACCTCCGCCAATACTAACGAGCACGCGACCTCAAAGCCCGCCTCCGCGCAATGGTACCCTGTCAACCTTCCCCCTCCCTCCTCCGTCCGCAACCGCAGCGACAGCCCGACCAAGCCGGCGCCCCGCCACGCTCCGCCCCTCCCATCGGGGAAGCTGCGCAAGGCACCGAAGGCGTCCGGAGCCGCGAACGGGGGGCGGAGGCGGAAGTCGTTTTCGCCGCCGCCGGTTCCGGCAGTGCCGGGGAGTGCGGGGAAGAAGAACTCGGAGGGGGAGTGGGAGTGGCCGCCGGATGTGTTCTGAGTGACTGAAGTGCCATGGAGAGAAGCAAGGAGGAAGGAGGACGGAGGGAGCTGGTGGTGAGGTGACAGGGATACACAAGCTTCGAGGGATTTTCGGTCGACAGAGGTGGAAGACGCCGATCTTATAGCGGTGGATTTTTCTTTTGCTTTTCATGTTGGGGAGTTTTTACGTCATGGGGAGATACTCAGGTCTCCTTAGGGCTGCATGCCATGCCGCATGCGAGGCTTGGACCGGAAGGTGCAGTCTCACTCAGAGATTCGCGCACAGCACGAGCAAGTCCTGCGGCGAATATGGAGAAGGTCCTTTATCATGGTCATGGAGTTCAGGGTATGGATCACCTTCACATCGATACGTTTCAGCCCAGTCAGGGAGCTTATGAAGTTATGAGCAACGAATCACGATGCGATTCAGCGTCAAGGAGCTTATAATCATGGTTCACCTGCTTTTATTCTCGATAGCTATAATGGATAGCTCTATTTACCGGAACTCAACCTTTCTGTGCCTGCGTCACGCAATAGGTGTGCAATGAGTGCAATGATCCGCAGCTTACATGTACCCATGCGCGCTCAACCACTCCTTCACCACCGCCTGATCCCGCTCCTGATATGTCGCGTTCCCCTTGATCGTATCGCTCAACACACTCAGCGTGCGATCATACCCCTTATTATCCTTCCCCTCGAAGAACCGGCGGATGTCCTCCTCGACCGCAGCGCTCGCGAAGTCGTCCAACCCGACCTTCAGGAACCGATCGAGCACCACCATGTTCCCGCTCAGACGCGGGTACACCTTCGTCTCCCAGTTCGCCTTGATGAACTCCCAGAGCGCGGTGCGCGTCGCCGGGTTCGCGCCGAGGGAGGCGGAGCCGGAGTGCACGTCCTGCACGGCGACGGCGTCGCTGAAGAGGAAGGCGAGGAAGTCGGCGGCGAGCGCAGGGGACTGCACGAGGCCCATGGATTGGAGGCAGATTTCTTTGCCGTCAATGGAGGTCGTGGTCTTGTATTCGTGCTGGAGGGACTGGTATTCGGTCGCGCCGCCGTTCTTGATGGCGACGCGGAAGACGGGGAGGCGGAGGTTGGGGTGCAGGGGTTGGATACCATCGATGTGGGCCTTGAAGCGTTGCTGGGCTCCGGCGATGATGCTGAAGGGATAATGAGTTAGTTTATTCATAGAGGTTGTCTTCATTCATCGGGAGGAGCATACCCTTCATGGCCGGCACGTCCAGCAGATGAGATCAGGAGAGCACGAAGCTGCAGGGTGAGCAGCTCGTCGTTCGGCAAGCAATCCCAGCCGACCTTCTCCGCCGCTTGCGATACGAGCTTCAGGGTGAACTTTCGGAGGCCTTCCGAAATATCTGGGATATCCGCGAATACCGTACGGACATTACCAAGAGACGTCAAAATGCGGCTCCAGACGAGGTAGTTGTCCTCATCCTTGAAGTTCTCAACCAGCGCCAAAAATCCGGCGGTGGTGCCAGTGCCGGCTTGAGCAAGCGCTGCGGCGTCGGCGATAAGGCTGATCTTGTCCTCGAGGCTCAGTTGCGCTCGAGCTTGGCCGAGCTTCATCAACCGCTCAGGCGTGTAGTTGGTTCGGTAGAATCCAGTTGCGTCGGCGTTGAGCTTGTAGAAAGTCTCGTCAATGTCGCGCAGGGTTTGCTCCCTTCCGGTAAGAGGAATGTTGGTCGTAGCGGCCGATCCAGATCCTGTCTTTAGTCCAAGGGGCACCCACCAAATGGACTCGTCCTCCTCAGGCTTAACGTCGCCGGAGAGCAAGAAACGGGACTGCTTCACTCCGATCTGACCCGGCTCTTCAGAAACGCTCAGAACCGGGAAGCCGATCTTGAGGATCCATGCGTCCATGAACGCCTTAACATCCTGTCCAGATGCCTCGCTCAGAGCAGCCCACAGATCATTGGTCTTTGCGTTTCCGAATTGATGAGCTTTCAGGTAGTTCGAGACGCCGAGGATGAACTTCTCCTGAGTCAAATGGGCCGAAAGCATGCGGATGATCGAGCTTCCTTTGAGGTAGCTGATGTGGTCGAAGATTTGGTCGACTTCCAACGCGTCCCGGACTGGAACCTCGATGGGATGAGAGCTTCGGAGCGAATCGAGGGCAAATGCTGTTTGCAAGGATTCAGACTAAACACGGTGAGCGACTGCTACATGCATACCTCGCTGCAGTGAACGTACGACAAACTGTCCCCAGACATTCCAAGCTGATTCGGTCAGTAAGGATCCTGCCAGAAGGCAGAGATAACTCACATGGATTGAAATGGTCAGTTGCTAACCAGCCGACCCAGGTGGCGAAGCCTTCATTGAGCCAGAGCTCGTTCCACCAGTCCATGGTCACCAAGTTGCCAAACCACTGGTGGGCAAGCTCATGGGCAACTACGTATGCCACTCGGACTTTGTATTTCTGGTCGCTGGACTTCTCGTCGAAGAGCACCGCGGTTGTTCTGGGTTGTCGTCAGCAGCCACGCCATGGAATTAAAATAAATGTCATACCGGTAGGTAATGAGGCCCCAATTCTCCATTGCGCCGTGTGACTAGATACACAATCAGTGACTGCCGTTCATATAAGACTATGGATGTACGTATAGAGGACTGAGCAATCAGCCACCCCATAGTTACGAAGGTCAATGAACAGGGCACTCACGAATTCATGGACCGCTAGAAGATCCACTTTGGGCAAGGGATAATCAACCCGGAAAATCTTGTCGACGTCAGCAGGTTCTCTGAATTGCACACTCGGGTCCTGCTCACCTCCGAGAAGTAATCGGTGATCTTGCTGGCATTGACCAACGCCCACTGAGCCTGATCCTTCAGACCCTTGGTGGTATACACTCGGACCGGCAGACTCTTGCCATTGTACAGGCGGGCGGTGTGCTCTTCGATGAACTCGAGGTCTCCAAACGCCCAAGCATAGAGGTAAGTGCTCATGATCGGAGTCTTCTCAAAGGTCACGACCTTCAGGCCGGATTTGCTTGGCTCCTCGCTCTTCACCGGCATGTTGCTCAACGCCACTTGATCATCCGGGATTTCGATGTCGAAATCAAATGTGGCTTTTAGGTTGGGCTCGTCGAAGCATGGGAAGGCACGGCGCGCGTCGCTGGATTCGAACTGCGTGCTGAACATGTAGACATGGTCGCCATCCTTGGGGACGGACGGCACATGGGGCGCGGCCGGAAGGTAACGGGAGCGGTAGAAGCCAGCCATAGTCTGAGGCACGTTAGATAGGGTAATCCCGAGCACGGAACATACGCACATTGTTCATAGTGCCCTTGAATTTGATGATCAGCGATGCCTTCGTCGTGGCCGGGAAGGCATCCGCGAAGGAAAGGGTCGCCCGCTGCTGCTTCTCATCGTAATCGATCTTGTCTGCTTTCGTCGACGACTCCGTCTTCGCCGAGTCGGTGAAGAGCTCGGCGGTCTGGATCTCGAGCTGGTGGGTGTTGAGCACGATCTCCTTGGCGGACTTCACGATGTCGAGGGCGATCTTGACGGTGCCGGCGTAGGAGAAGGCCCCGCCGAGCTCCAGGTCGTAGATCGACAGCTCATAGTTGACCGGCTTGACACTGCACATCAATCAGCGTCGGCTCGGTTCATTCGAGGATTTCAATGGAAGCTCACGTGTCCGGGAGAATGTCTCTATCTTGCGCCATGGTTGCTCTATGTATCCTCGCAGCGGTTGAACAGTATCTGAAACCCGATGGAGGTAGCGATTGAGTGTGATGTCTATCCCGCAAAAACCCAAACGTCTTCCTGTTATGTTGACAGATGGAAGGTCTTTCAGAGTTGGACCGATAGAAGCCGCGAATGGAGGGGATGAATGTGGAAGGTGGAAGAGCAGCAGCAGTGTGCGCCTTCCTGACCCCGCCGTCCCTCACTGCGCTCCCACAGTGTCCAGACCTGGATGATCTCACGTTACAGGCATCGACAAAGCTCCGCCTGGGTCTGGCTATAATTCTCACGGAGGATGACGCAAACAGGCATCTCAATGGCGACGATGCGAGCGGTTTGGCCATGCCTGTCATCTCGCTGATGATCCAGTCTGATGTTTGATAGATTTAATTCCATCGTCCGGTTTGCTACACGGCGACACGCGCCTCTCGACAGGCGACAAACTTTGGACGCGCTGGCCACTGTCGATCCACTGCTTGCCGAATGGGGTTAGTGCCATATAACTCTCCCACTTTGATTTCCTAGAGGTGCTGATGCCTGGGGATATGTGCAGATGCGATACGCATAGTACTGATGAACGGCGTTGAAAGTCGTAGATAGATCCTATGCTACCTATTCATGCTTAGGAGCCAGCCGCAGCAGAGGCAATACCTCCGTTGACCATGAATAATATACAACAATAGCCAAGACGCCTGACCCGTTACGCCTACGACATGCAATCAAGCCTCCTGACGCTGTACTAGAGGCGCCGTCCCAAATGGGTATCTTGCAGTGCTTCGATATGTACTCTTCTGACCATGCACTCTCTGCCCGCCCACCCCAGAAGTCATCGAAAGCCTGACGCCTCATGAATCGAACGAGCAACCCGCTCTATGCGCTAAAAAGACCATCTACAACCCTTTCCCCAAAGATCAGAATGCAATTCGACGCCGACGATGTATGGAGCCATCATAGCCGTACCACTACATCAATACACGGCACTCTCCACTCCTTCTTCGTCCAGCTCGATCCCGCGCGTATCAACTCCCCCGCCCCACCCCCCATCGCCTCCTGCGGCTGCATTCGCTGTTTAACGCCGTCCACCACGGCGCCGAGCATCGCGCCCGCGGTGCCGTTCATCGCCTCCGCGACGAGCGACGCAGTCTCCAGGGCGAGGTTCTGCAGGGCAGCGCTGGCGACGGACGAGGTGGCCGGCGACGGGGAGGAGGCGTAGCGCGGTTCGAACCAGTTGGAATGGAAGTCGAAGAGGGAGATGACGAGGATGGCGAGGAGGAGGGAGCAGTAGACGCAAGGGCGGTTGAGGACGTAGGTGGCGCTGATGAAGAGGATAAGGTAGAGGGGGGACGCGTTGGTGCTGGGAAGGTTAGGTCGGTGTCGCGCGGAAGGATGGAGGGGACTTACAGGAAGAAGAGGATGGGGATCCAACTGCGGAGGCAGAACATGTCGTGACTGAGCGGCGTGGGATATATGTATGTGAGATATATGTACGTGAGGAGAGAGATGTTGGTTCTGAACTGGACGGTTAATGCCACGAAAGTTCGTTCGCTTTTGTTTTGGGCGTATCAGATTTTTCCGAGCATTGCGAGATTGGATTGTCAATCGTCAACCTTAAAAAGCGAATGTCCGGGTTTGGTATTGGCAAGTGTTCTGATATTGTGTTCTGATAATTGTGGTGAGATCTGCGTAGTTGTATCAGGGAGGGTGCGGGAGGACGGCAGTGGAGGCAGCTGGCTGCGTCACAGCCCCAGCGCACTTTCATGTTTGGTGTTGTAATCTGAGGACCTGTGACTGCCTCTTTGAGACTAGCGTGTCAGTTCGAGGTTAGCGCATTTTTCCGTTTTCAACCTTCCCAAAACTTTCAAACATAAATACCTCTATCCCCCCCTCTCGCAAACCCGCTCTCCTCCATCTTTTCCCATTCACCAATTCATTTCCTGTCCGACTTCCTTGTCTCCCCCCTTCGTTTCCGTCGGCCCACCAGCCCACTTTCGCCCCTGTGACCTATGCCTGCCCGCGTGAGGAGTGTCAACGATCCACCAGACATTTTCTGGCGGCGGCCACCCCGTCTACCCCCTTCATTCGATTCATGCGACTTGACTGTTCCCCCCTCTTAAAGGCCCTTCCATTCCAATGGTGAGTAGTTCTGCCCCTTGTCTCGCTCATCCCTGTCATTTTGCTTTTCCCCTCAGTTGAATGGAGGATTCCACTATCGTATTCTATCAGGCTCCTCATCTACAGATCTGGCCCGTTCTTCCACGTTGTAATCTCTGAGAGCATGTCCCCTTGCCACTTTCACTTTCCAGAGACGCTCAGATTCCGCGCGTTCAATGCTCCCTTACTGTGTTCGCTGCTCCTTCACGACTCAGGAGCCCTGAGCCTCGGCCATAAGCCCCGGTCATGAACTCCGGTGCAACCCTCATTCCCTCTGTCATTCCTTTCTTTTGCTCTTATTCTGCTCCTCCCTTATTGGATACATGCATCCCCATTGAACCACGGTTTTCTTAATCTTCCTCGCCGACGACGCCTCATGCCACGTCAGCAACCACACCGGCATCAGGCCCGGATTGGAGAACGCGTCTTCTCCAACCGACGAAGGTGGTTGGATGGCGGGCTAGCCCCACCGACTTTTCTGGCCTTCCTTGACGACTTCGCCTCAGACCGCGTCAGCAGTTACATTATATTAACCATAACTAGAGACGCCCCTTCTCGAACCGGCTAAGCTTGGCGTTCGGCCACACCACGCCGTGCATCGCATGATTATAATCGCATAATGATGATCGTGATTGTCCGATCCCTTCATCTCATTTAAATCAACTGCGGTTTCATACAGACACCGGCATGGGCGTTCTGGGATCAAATAGGAAGCTGGATGTGGACGTTAATGCCCCAATCTGTCTCTGGCTTGGATCATTGGCATGGGAGGTGCCACGCTCGCTCGATTGCAGCTTGCTATTCGTACGTAGGAGTTTCGAGTCGTAGCCCAACTGACAATGCTTAAAGCATCCGGTGAGGCCGAACCAGGTGAAATCGGTGACACCGACGGTGACGATGACGGTGAGGCATCTTGACGAGTGTGCTTTGCGGTGTGGCTGTTCCAGCTCTTGCACGCCAACCCATCCATGCGAACTTAAAAGCCCGTGGATCTAATTGCTCGGTTGCCATTGCATGTGGTCTCGTGGACTAGAATTTCTACGATCATCTAAACGTGAGCAGCTGGATCTACCCGCGGGATAACGGTCCACTGACTACCGATACCCCTGGCTACTCGAGGTTAGTGGCCCAGCACGACCATTGAGATTTCCTCCAACCCAATTATTACACTTCTCGCAACCATGCGCTCTTATAGACAGAGGCAGCCCCTTATCTTTGAGTCAAGCAGCTTGTGTACGATCTCGGATCCAGCGACGATGGAATTTTGTAGTGACCATTTTCTCCTCTAACCTTGGGCGTGTGCATAGGGATGAGAGCGTCGTCGCATATTATACCTGGCCGTCACTGGTCGTGGACTGAAAGGGAGATGAAAACGAAAGATATCAAGCAGACCGCATCAATGTCAATCCATGTTACCGCTTCACCTTCCGCTATTTTTGGACGCACCCCCCAAACAATATTACTGATGGCACGCTAACCAGGACAGAATGGTATATCCATGCCTTGGGTGTAGAATGCACATCCTCTTGCAAGTCGTGGACTGGCGGCAAGAGCGGCGAGGCAAACTCAGGGGTAAATTCCGGGGTTGCGCATGCAAGTAGAAGAGCGGTCGAGCCGTGGCGATAGGATAGCGAGTGCAGAGCGTCTTCCACCGCAGCGGCCCCGAATACTTAAGTGGCAACTATCCCTGTCCTCGTGCAATTCACAATTCAAATTCCCCTTATCCTTTACCGGGCGCCCATATGCCATCTTGGATCGGAGATGCACGCTCCTATCGACAACCCCGGGCATCTCGCGAACCGGAACTCCTGTTGGCGGCGCGAGATTTCCTCCATCGGGCGCGAACCCTTCGTTCCCTACGGAGTAACTTTGTGTGCTACAGAAATTGCCTCCAGACACGGAGGTTTCTGACGCCGTTTTTGGAGGGTTTTCGACTTTCGCAACTGTTATGGTCCCAGGCCTGTGGCCTGAGCCCTTGAGTATGGCTGACGCCACAGGGATGTGGCTAGTGGATGGCACAAAGGAGATAGGCACAAAGGAGATAGGAACAAAGGAAGTATCTTCTATATCTTGCGCGCAGAGACGCTGGGAGGTTTCTTCCTTCTCTCTCTTCAGTTTAGATTAATGGAACTTGGTAATCGCAGACCTTGCGCATCCAAACCGTGTCAGCAACTGCTATATCTCTATGCTAATTTCGGAAAATGACACTGTTAAATACTATAGCTCCGCTGTAGAGCCTCCCTCTGCCTTCGCATATAATTACCAATGTTAAGGGCCGTCACTCGATTGATCGTTTCGTCGTGCCCGTTCCTGTTCTTTTCTTTGCTTGGAGTGAGGACACAGGAGCACAGAGAGCACCTGCTGTTCATGCTTGATCGATCCCGAATCATATACCGCAGAAACTTGCCCTGTTTGTTTCCACATCTTGAAGAGCCAAATCAGGATTTCTTTCGAGTATAGGTCTAGTCTACATAATTGGCTCACATTCCAACATAGCCTTTTCAGATTGCTCTGCAAGTTTTCGTCATTGACAAACCTGGCTTACATCCATGATAATTATTAACAAAAAGACAAACGTAGTACTCTCGATTGTGAAATGTCTGATTCAATATCTGTGGTAGTAAACTACTATCTATTTTCGCTGAACACCGAGTCAGATGCGCTTCCTCTTTCGGTTTGTGAAATGACGATAATCTCAGTGCTGTCGCTGCTTAGAGCTGATTTGATGCAACAGTCTAGACACTCATTCTCTTGAAGAATCAGATTGTGACCAAAACTCGTCAATGCCGCGCATCGCCCTAGCACTGGAGCTTTCAACAAACGAAATGTGATCCCTGTTTCTTCGAGACGTTTTAATAGCTCCTCAGATGGGCTTCCAGAAGCAACCATGGGTTGAACCCGATGCGATTCTGGGCAATGGACTAGACCGCGCGAATGCGAAGCCCCTTGAGCCAAAAGCATCGGGCTGAAAGATAGGTGTGTTGGCTGGTTCCGATCATCCATGATGTTGTATCTTATGGCTAGAGAGCGAACTGTCTCCTTAACTTCAACCTTGACACTACACATCAAAGAGCTGTTAGTCATCTTGGTCCAACGCTCGTCCCCTGTGGGTTCCCGCATTCGACACTCTGCCTGACCGTCCAACCAGCGAGAGAGATTCTCATTCGAGTAAGGCCAATCTTCAACGCAGTAGAATGGCTTCTCGTTGCACTCGATCTGTCCTGGAACCACACAGATCTGGTTTACAACCTCCTTATCATCAGAAGGCTCATGAAGGGTATTCAGATAAACACAGATTCCTCCAGCTGACACCGCACAAGGCCATATCACGTTCTTGTCTAGGTTGAGCGCTGAACGTCCAGCGAAGAGCGATAGCGCAGCAAGTAGCGGTGCAGTGCCTTCTACGCGCGGATCATCCAGTATATGCACTACCGCGCCCATATCTGTCTCTTGATCTCGAAATCTGCAGCGTCTGGTCGCTTGCACGCCGTACAATTTCTGAATACCTCGCAGGAGAGGAAAAGGCGATTCGACAAGTTCAAGCGTCGACAATAATCTGCAAAGCACAATTATTGTCTCGGTGATCACAACGAGGCACCGAAGGTCAGCATCATCTTTGCGCACACGACTCTTTGGTGGGTCGCATAACCTGCATTTACAAGACACTGCCAGCAGCGCAAGCCTCGCCTCGTACTTGCTTCTAGCTTCCGCATCTGGGGTGTTGTCGTAACAATTTTGAATGGTGGACGCCGCAGGCGAGAGTTCAGGGAGCCAATTCGCCGAGTGCTGTATAAGTCCAATGCCGAAGGAACGATCAGTATAGAGCCGATTTCTGGAGGAGTCCCCTGTTTGTATGTCTTTATTGCAATTCGCAATGGCCTTGAAAACCCGTGAGGCACTTGCAAATATCTCGCAAAATGTTGTCTTCATCGTCATCAGCTTTTCGAAGTGGATACCAAATGCCGCATGCAAACACTGGTGCCACTTGACTCGACCACAGATGCGAGTAACATTATCGCCACCTAAAGGTACACTCGAATTAAGGTTAAAAAGGTCCAGAGCGGTGCGGAGTTCGAATGATTTATCCACAACGTGTAACATGGGAGCTTTTCCCACTGTTTCAGACGTATTTTCGGGTAAAATAATGATGCTCGCGACATGGTCAATTCGACTACTCGAATATTTCACGTCGCCGTCCTCGTTGAGGATGGTGACTGTGAGTCCGAACAGCCATTCAGCCACTGCTGCAATCCACCCTACCTCCCTTGGTCCGGTAATCGTGATCGACTTCCACACACCGCGCGAGAGCTTGCCTATACCAAGCAATGTCTCTGCTAAGCCATGTGGATCCGGGTTTCCAACGGATGATCCAGTAGCGATCCCAACATGAACTCCCATGAGTGTCTCTGCCCGCAACGGAAACGGTGTTGTGGCGACAGTTCCCGCGCAACAGCGCACTAAGGAGCGCCATTCGCTCAATGATGGTACAACTTTCAAGTCCGCGGTGCCTTTCGCAAGGTGGCTGAGTACTTCCGCGCTTATCTCATCTGGAAAGCATTCTGCGAGCGTTGCGCAGAGAGCAACCAACATTGCACCCTGTTCGGTAACCGATATGGCACGAATAAGATGTTTGACGCCGAACCCGAACCAGAGAACATCGCCAACACCACCAAAGGATTTGAGGCCTCTAAGCGTTTGTTCAATGTTCTGCCGTCCAGTGCACGAAAATTGGAAATTACTCCCGATAAAATGACCCAACGAGAGGGTATATGGATCCACAGACGCCGCAGATAGCCTGGAGAGGACGCCAAAGGAGAAGTTAATGGTGCCTCGCGATAATGACACCCAGTCAATTTGGCCTTGTTGCGGGAAGTTCTCATTTGCAATACTCCGTGTAAGAGGCAGAGATTCATCATCCAGAGTCAGATTGAGAGGCATAGTTGAAGTAGGATATAAGGTACAGATGATAATAAAACTGAGTTAAGAGTCGGTGAGATTAAGAGAAACACGAACTTGGAACACATTTAATGAAGGCTTGAGGGGTTATTAAACTTGATACAATGCGGCACAGCTGTCTGCCTCGTTGCATCTCTCCCCTTGATGGCTGCAGACTGTAGTGCTCAAAGACCGGGGTGCCTTACCAGGGACGGGTGAGGCTCCTTTCACACCCGTTGGTGCTCCGTTCACACCCTCACTGCCGCTCCATTTACACCCTCATGGTCACATGATATACTACTCTCTCAGAATTACTATTTATGTTTTGAAGGACGTGAAGATTAAAAATGGAAAACAGCGCTATACCTAAATATAATGGCGCTAGACTACAAATGGTAATTCTGTAGCACTCAGATTACGGAGTACTCAATACTCAGATACTCACCCACTGCCTCACCGCCCTCACCCACTACACACCCACTGCTCACCCACTGCTCACTTACTTCTCATCCACTGCTCACCTAGAACTCGCCCACTCCACCGCTTCTCGCCTTAGGGCTCTCTGCCGAAGATCCTGCCGAGCTGGCAAGCAAATCACCAGTGCGCTACGCCACCCCCTATCGGTGAAGCCGGCATAAGCGATACTCGCGCCGTTTCAAAGCAAGGATGCGTAGTCATGTTAATACGAAGAACAGGCAAGGCGACCCGAAGGCGGCACCAATTCCCGGATCGATACGGTCGATACATATAGTATTAGCCACTTGAAAAAGGGTTTAGCAGGCTGGCTCATACGATATTCTGAGCTTGACCTTGCTTGGTAAGCTATGAAAACAGCCAGTACTTTACGGTTAGTCGTAATTTAGCGAAAGTACCTCTTGAGGAGTCCCTACAGACCCCTCAGGAAACTGCGGCGGAACCTCAAGTTTCTGCCGGATCTGACTCTGAATGAATCGACATACATGCATAAATTTTCCCCGATCCTGCTCGCTAAATTTAAAAGCGTAATTCACCTAGAAAATGTTTTATACTTGAAAACACGGACGAACAAGCTCACTGTCAGGCATACTGAATATAGAAATCACTCATTCAAGGTGGTTAAGTTAGATATCAGTGATCCAGAACAACCAAGGAAGATATACATTGAATACCGGCCAAAATATTATCCGCACTTCAAAAGGGATCCTGATCTGGCTCTTCAGAGATGAAATTAAAGACCGCAGATTTCTGCGGTTCTTGATGCTGGATCGGACGGAATACGGTCTTCTTCCTAATCGCTAATAATATGTTCTCGGATTGACGATCTTCGAAAGATTAAAACCACATGATTCATAACCGTCTAAGGCAGCAATGCTTCAAGCCAAGAAATGGTTCGATTATGTAACGAAAACTAGTGGTAAATACGCAGCTGCCCTTGTCATGTTGGATCGTGCGATGAGAACAAATCAGAGTGCAAACCGGAAACCGATTCTGGTCGCAACTGTACCGCCCGTCGCTACAGGAGACAAGGCTGCGGGGAAAGCGGGCCGGTTCGCGCCAAGGGTCTATGTGTCTGTTTGGCCAAACGTGGCCATGGGTAGGTATGAGAACGACTGCAACTCCAAACTATCACCCACTCCTTTGATTCCTAGCCAAATTTAGATCTCATTAATTTTCATTCAACAGCAGCCAACAATGCGCAAGGTTCCCCTCTCTCCTTTTCCACCTCATGCTTGGCCCTGCGTCTTCTAGACAGTCGATACTGTGCGGCTAGTCTTCCCTGTTTCATACTACGTTTCCTGTCATAGCACTAGGGTGGGTAAAATTTATGAAATAAACATTTGTTGCGAAGAAATCCCCAAATTTGTGTAAGAAACAAAGAATACGATGTAAATTTCGCAAAAAACGCTAACCCAATTTGTTTAGCGCATCGTATGTTGATGCCTAAGGCACGAACATTTATGGTCGGGAAAACCAACCGCCAAGGGGCTTCTACGAGATTTCTGATTAGGTAAGAAAATAATGGAAAGAAATAAACTACTTTCTTGCATTAATTCGGTAATTTACAGACTCCTATTTATTTCATTTCTTACACCCACCCTACATAGCACGTATGGAGTTGTCTAGTGTGATATAAAATGGAGTGTCGCTTGCGATTTGCTGCGATTTGCTGCGATTCGCTAGGGGCTGATGGATTCTTTATTGCTTGCCCGTTCCCAGATCGCATACGATTTGAGCCGGAGCCCATTTGAGTCGGAGTCGTTTTAGGCTCCTCGATCTGGTTTCCGTACAGCCACCAATGACTGATAATCTGCTCAAGGCAAGCGCTGCCGATATAAATGAAGTGGGTTGCGACCAGGCAAAGAATCCCAAAGGAAGCTAGTCGGGTCCGCAGCGGTCCTCGCCGCAACCTTGGCGCCATGCATTCGAGTCATCAGTAAGCGATCGTTTTCTTCAATTCACGAGTGCCTTATCTCTTTCCATGATCTCAGATTCGAATATTTCCCGATATGGAGCAGGAATTGTGTTGTAGCAGCGTTACGGCGACATGAGTGAATGGCTACATTCGTCCCATCGGAGTGGGCAGCCAAGCGTGGCGCTAAACTAGGCGATTCGCCTGTCTTCATGAACCGGTAAGGCTGTGAATCTCAGGCAGGCTTGATATCCAGACATTTCGAGTTTCATGAATGAGGCGAAGCGAGTAGTACCCTTGCTGATAGAGCCGTAGACATTGACTGAGGTATTTAAAGAGGACGCCTTTAGGACTGGCTACTATATCATGCCGCGAGGAATCATTGAGAGAATGATTCAACGCTAGCACCATCACATTTAATCAATAATAGCCCAATATCTTATCATTCGACATTATGACTAGCACAAGCAGGGAAGAAGCGAAGGCTCTGATCCAGGAACTGGCGACCGAGAATGGTTGGCTTTCAGCCGAGGATCGCGAATATCTTCGAGTGAATCGCCCGCATATCATCAAAAGCGTCGACGGAGCTCGACGGCTGGCTTGTGCAAGCACAGAGGCGTAGGTACTCTATTCTCTTTAAATGCTTTTGACTGACTTCCCCAGACTGTCCCGTAATTTGTACTCGAAGGATACCCGCTTCGTGTACGAATTGATCCAGAACGCGGAAGACAATAAGTACTCCATCGCTAATGGAAACAAGGAGCGTCCTCATCTCTCATTCACTGTTTCAGCCAAGCGTATTATAATCGACTCCAATGAGGATGGATTCTCCGAGGCCAATACCCGGGCAATCTGCAGGGTAGGAGAAAGCACCAAGTCGGGAATCGAAGGCTATGTTGGCGAGAAAGGTATTGGATTCAAATCTGTCTTCAAAGTTGCCTGCAAAGTTCACGTTCAGTCGGAACCATATTCGTTTGCATTCGAGTACAATCGTGGATTACCGGATTCTGGACTTGGAATGGTCACACCTCTCGTGGAACCTCCCGATGAGTTGTTGGGTGTTCGGACCCGCATCATTCTTCACCTGAATGATAGGGTCGATAAGGACGCCCTGCTTCGCGAGTTTGAGGCTCTTCCGGACACCCTTCTACTATTTCTACGGAAATTAAAAAAGCTTTCAATTCGCATCGAAAGACACGAGAAGATTGTCAGCAAGGTGTACGAATTGTCGATCGAGAATAATAGAGCTTGTATCGCTCGAACCATCAAACATGACACTGTCAATCTCAACTACTGGATCGCGAGCAAATCAATCACTAATATGCCCGAGGAAGAAGCAAGAACAGGTATCACGACAGCAGATGTGTTTTTGGCCTTTCCTCTCAATCAGGACGACGTTCCAACTGTTGAGGAGCAGCATGTATTCGCCTTTCTTCCTCTCCGGAAAGTTGGTTTCAAGGTATCCTCTAGACTCTCTTGACAAAAACTGCCGACGCTGACCTGACTAGTTTCTTATCCAATCTGACTTCATAACTCAGGCGAGCCGTGAAGATGTTTCCAATTGCCCTTGGAACCGACGTATTCTGGACGAAATTGTCAATCTTTTCTTGGAGACTACTACCTCTGGATTTTTGGATCAACCAACCTTGAAATATTCATGGCTCCGCTATCTGGCAACGAATGGGGTGCCCGATGAGTTTTGGGGCACCCTTCAAAGTCGGCTGTTCTCCCAGCTCATGGATCACAGTTGTTTCATTCCATTGGGGGACCGCGGTACCACACTCGCCAGATCATTGAGACTTGTACCGACCTCTTTGAGAGACTTTGAAAACCGACCTCTGCTGTCCGAGTGCGACTGTACTACACCCCACCTTCACAGTCGCTACGTCTCAGATAAGTACGACGCCACTCTTGACATTCCGATCCTCCGAAAACTCGGCCTCGAAACGTTGTCCACCGCAGAATTCATTGGGCTCTTGCGTTGTGACTTGAAACCCAACGGCTACTCTCGGCTGCGCACGACGCCAGCGGAATCACGATGGCATACATATCTCTCCAGGTCCTTGCTTCGAGCAGTGGCCACTTCAGAACAACTTGCAATCGGTATTAAGAAGCTGCCATTAGTGCCACTTCTCAAGGATGAGCGATGGGTTCCATCATTTAATGCATCGATCTATTTCCCAAAATGCCGAGGGATCGATATTCCGCGAGATCTTCCCCTGAGTCTAGTTGATTCACGGGCGCTTATCAACGACGAAAGGACAGAGCTGTTTCGAGAACTCGGAGTGTCGGAATGTGCTCCCCAGCGAATATTTCCATTGCTAGAACAGGCCTGCAGGAAGGATGACTGGACAATGGACACAGCTCTCGACCATCTCAAGTTTGTATTCTGGAACCATACCGATCTACCGTCTCAGGGACAGAGAATTTCTCTTATGGTTGTGAGCAAAGATCTTTTGAAACAAGTCCCTGATTTGTCGACCAGATGGTGGTACAGCCCGAGCAGCACAGACCCTTGCAGCGCAGCCAATGTCATCGGCCATCCAGTTCCGAAGCAGCTAAAGGGAGAGATTCAATTTTTGCATCCACGCTACTATGAAGTGTTTGGAGCTTGCGAACGAAGATATGACAAGTCTGGCATCGAGTGGCTTGAAGAATTCATCCAGGTCAAGTCCATACCAGAGCCCAGGATTAGAGCTGGCGCAGCGATTGCTGAAGAGTTCAAATACCTGGCAACTCAAAAGGCTCATTCAATTGTTCTCGGAGTTCTCAAGCGGCAATGGTCTCATGTTGACTTCGACATCCCATGGAAAGCAGATTTCCAGAAGCTCGCCCGAGTTCCGATACTCCATTCAGATGATCTCTCACCATTGAGCTCAACCTATCTTCCACTCCCAAAATTGAAAGCTATCGTTGATCGACTGGAGCTTCAGAGCGGTTTCGGATTCATCAAGGAGCTTGATGGAATGGAGGATGACGGCGTGTCCGACTGGAGTTTCTTGCGTCACTTAGGAGTGCAGTACGAAGAAGATTTTTGCTTCTGGTTGCTACTGTTGAAGAAGGCTCGCGAAAAGAAAAACCCGGGATACATTGTAATGTCGGAGATATACTCCAGACTTCTAGGCTTCTGCTCGACACCAAGTCACAAAACCACTCTCAGGTACCTGATGAATGCCCCAGTCTGGGAGTAGAACTAACAGTTACAGAACAATCTTCGGTGCTATTGAAGGCCCCTCCATGTTCGGTGGTATGCAATGCAGCTTCCTCTTCTTACCGGCCAATACTAGAGAGCTGTTTGAGTGTTCCTCCGAAAGGAATTATATCTTCACTCGGGAAGACACATGGTGCTACCCGAGTTTCTGCCGATGGAATACTCCGACTTGGTACACGCATCATCCTAACCTCGCTCGACTACCTGGATACGAATCTCTTAAGACATTCTTCGTCGATGGTCTTTCAGTTCCGACTGATCCGGGAGTGGACGATTACTTGAGTTACATTTCCTACTTGAAAAATCCAAACCGTGTGGCAAGAAGAGACCAAATCCTCAAACTTCTCTATAATAAGCTCCACTCGGAGATTCGAGGGGACAACGCTTGGAAGGAATCCATTAAGTAAATTAACCGCACTTCTACTCACTTAATTCCTATGCTAATTCAGCTAGATCACGTTTCGAATCGGATAAGCTTATCTATAACTTCCAGGACCAGATGTGGCATAGTCCATCAACTTGCGTTTGGGTCAACGATACTGTGCGCCTGCCCGAGAAATTCTCTATTGCAACGGAGTACTCCGCGCAGAAACCTTTCTTCCTGACGGTCCTTGGGATTGAAGAGCCGAAGCTTCCTCTATACATCCAAGCACTAAAGCGGGAAGCATCCAAATCGCCAAGCAGCGATTCAATAAAGCAACTCATCAGGAACATTTGTCAGTTCAGTCCTACTGCGGGTGATCTAGCAATGGTCTTCGACAGCAAATGCTTCCCCGTTCGCCTCCCCGATGGAACACTCGCTTGGATGAATGGCAAGGAGGACTTCGCTATCGTCGATCGACAGGAATACGAAACTCTCTTCCGAGGAGAGCTCAAAACGTTGGATTTCTCCAAGGAGGAAGTCCACGAAATGGAGGCCTTTCTCATTGGGCTAGGTCTCCGGAATCGATACCTTTCCGGAACAGTCGCAGCTGAGACGACGGCATCCAGAAGCTCGATCGATCACTCAATGACCACCAAGTTAAGAAGAAAGGCATATGCGATTTGCCGGTGAGTGTTTATTACTAGCATTGGATCAATACTGATTAAACTAGGTACGCTGCTCATGCGAGATGCACTACGGCTCGCGATGACCCAGCCGAATGTTTCAAGAAGCTTCAGAACATAACTGTCCTGATTAGTGAAGAATTTTCAAAGACACTGACTACCTACCAGGATGGCAGGCCAGTCACAATGGTTTCTGGGAAGGCATACTGCCACCTGGAAGACGTAGACAACGAGGATAGCAATGTTGAAAGCAATGAAGGAGGTGGTCTTGAGAATTCAGCTGGCCTGAAAGTATACATCCCGAGGGACCCCCGGCTTCGGTATCGATGCCTTCTGACTCACCTGCCCCAAGCTATTCTCAATCACTTCGGCGCCCCGAACAGTTATGTTGGAGAACTGGGCAGCATATTCTCAGCCCACGGGCTTGCAGACGTTGACGAAATTCTAGAAAACGCTGGAGTCATTTCCGTGGCTTGTGTCAATCGGCCTGAAGATGTAGAGTTGGATTCGTCTGAACCGGAAGAAGACGACGGCGATCCAACGTTCCAGTTACCAGATGATACTGGAGAGATTGGGCCGGTCATACCGCCTCGACCTACTTTCCTGGAGCAGGCGCAACTTGCCTTCCGCCCGTCCAGTACAAGCTCCAGCCACTTCATTTCTCAAAGGAGCTCTGGGCTTTCGCCAGGTTCGAACTTAACTCCCCCGACGTCAGTCTTCAGTACACCAGATACTCAAGAAGATCCTACTCGCTACACTATGCTTCTCGAGGTGGCGGTCGACAGCGCTCGGCGCGGGCCGCCATTTCCGCGTGTTGGTGAAACTTCCGCTGTATCTCTTGAGCCTTGCTTTTCAAAGTTCGAGGTCGATGTGGCGGTGGCTGGTACCCAGAGAGACTTCAAGGTTGGAGCAGCTGGAGAACTCTTTGTAAGTCCGCCGTTCGGCCTATGAGTGTTGCTAATTTGAGTAGATGTTCGAATGGTTGAAGAGTCTCCAATTACCGAACTTCGGCCTTGAGAGTTGGCAGTCTAGGATTCGAAATCTCGTTTAGTCACATCGTGATTATAGAGCGCTAACGAATTGGTCATTACCTGAGACTTCAGACATCGTTTATGAAGACCACAAGAGCAAATTCACCGGCTTACTGGTCGCCAATGGCTATCTCCGGTCTGACCTCTGGGCAGGGAAGCAACCAAAGTACCATATTGAGGTGAAAGCCTCCACATGTCGCCTCACCACGCCACTCTACGTTGGCCGCAACCAGTACGAACTCATGATAGACACCACACTACCCATAGAATCGGCTTCGGACAGAGTATACATCCTCGCGAGAGTGTTTAATCTTGGCCAGTCGGATATGGGGCTGAAGTTGTATCTCGACCCGAACCGGTTGGAGCGTGAAGGCAGGCTGAGGTTCAGATCGGATAAGTATGAGGTGACGGAAGCAGCATAATTTTAAGAAGATTTGAGGCCGTGTCCGTGGTTTGTTTGTGAAGGATGTTGCTCAGCAATCGTAGTATATCATAATTCATCTTTTGGCTAGTTCTGCCGGCATTCAAGTTGTAATGTATATGGTCAACATCAATTTGAACAGGGTCGTTCAATCCTGTGTTGCAGTTGATGACAACGGCATTGAATCGAGCTGCTCGAATTCGTCTGAATTGGTCCTCTGACTAGTCTTGATACCTCTTCTTCTCAGCCTTTCATCAATCCGAGTCCGGCCGTTGTGCCATACCAGTCTCATCCGCACTGTAGTCGCAATCCTAGTTCTTTCCTTCTCCTCAATCCTTCATGACCACCTCGCTCCTTCCATAATGCTTCTCTCTACGGATCGTACGACTTGAACGCCCTTGTCTTTTATGTTGTGTTCGGCGAGAAGGGTGGAGTCGCTCGGTCTTCTTGGGTTTATCATCGTTGCCGGCTAGCTCTAGGAGCGAGGCAATGATATTTACCACCTGTCGGGTCATGGCAGGTTTGCGCGTCATGGATGTGCTTCTGCGACGGAATATATTGATGTTGTGGGCCGTCACGTGGGCCAGCTTGTGTATCATGCTGGAATCCAAGAATGGGAGCCTACAGAACTTCTTTGCCATGGTATTAAGGACCTCTAGATGGGAGAGACCGAGGAGCTCGGCCACCAGCTCGTCTTGACCCTCGCAGGGCGACGGACAGGATCATCAATGTGGCCAAGTCCACCTTCCGTGCTTGGTGCCCCTGGGACGAACGAGGACCTTGACCTTCGTCTTGGAGAGGTGGTGGAGCAATCGCCATCGACGGGTGCGCCCCATTGCTTCCACGGCAATCGGATCGGTATACTGGACGTCAAGCGTTTCCGACTCCAAATGAGTGGAATCGCTGAAAACACTGCGATACGGCTCTTCGGTAAGATTGATGCGGCCGAATTCTGGTTCGGCAGCGACAAGTTTGATTCCCTCGCGAGGTGCCTTGAGCACACCGTTCTTGCCGTTGAAGTCGATGTGTAGCTGGATCATCCTATTCTGCTTGTGCTGGTTGCGCCTGGAAGAATTATTCTTAATCCATCGACGCCGACCAATCACCTGGGTAGTCGGACGGTAGTTGGCATGTCTAATTTACGAGAGATAGAAGATGGGTATAGTGAAAAGAGGTTGAATTTGATGGTGCAGTGTGTCTGCCTGTGCTTGGCTATCTTCGTACTAGCCTACTAGGAACTGTTTGGCTGCTCGGGAAGTGCAGCGCAGATGAAGAGAGATGTCGTCCTTGAGGTTGGTTAAATAGTTTCAGACCAGTCGCCTGCTGGACAATGCCAGCAGTATCTGAGGACGAAACCACCATTCGACAGGAACTTCCACAGTCACGACATGCGCAACTCAGCTCCCAGCCGCGAAACAACCCGAAGCATGGCAGCGCAATGAATACGCTCCATGTGGTCGATGAGATCCATTTTGGCAGTGTTTTCACCTACTCCCATGACCTCCTTAGCAATCCTTCACCGACCCAGTTCGCAATAATAAGGTCAAATTTGGTTTAACAGAGAGCCAAAATTCACAAAACGGTGGTTCAGCCCTGCGGCCGAGAAGAGACGCTGCATCTGATGACCAGATGGGCTAATTCCACAGGATTTAGCGCATCGGAGCTGTCCGCTAATTACGAGATCATACAGTATTAGGCCAGGGAGCACCTGCGGCCCACTTGGGCCAAGATAAACCCCCTGTCGAATTCGTGCATTGTCACGACACCTGCGAAGCTGCGAAGTGAATATAACATTAACTATTGAAGTAGTTATCTCACTTTCTGGTACAATTAATAGGATTCTAGAAGATCTTGTTGATTAAATATTTTGTTTCCCTCCGGAGATATTAAGTGAAGTGTTACTAAGTGCTACTGAAACCTGTACAGATCAAAATATTTCCGTTGTCCAGAGCCAAACCCTCACAAACCTGAGGCTCAATCCTCAGCTTTCTGCGGCACTTTCTCCAGGTCGATACGTTAGATGCAAAATCGATCGACCTGGAATGAAGTGTCACGGTCCCAGGTCAATTACGAATCCTTGGCTCCTCCTGGTGCTTGATAAAATGGAATTTGACATCTCCAATCATTTCTCTATCTCTCTTATGGTCGTACAACTCCCCAACCGATTGCTTCTGTATCATTCCCCGACCCATTACCCCTGAATTAGACTCTGCCTCGTTACTCCTGTATCATTCCCCTGAATACATATTCTAGATCCTACTTAGCGAAGGCCGATGGGAGCACTAGCTCCGACTGCTGGGTGCTCAGCCAGAGGCTATGGCAGCAGTCTATCCTCGTATACAGTACTAAAACGTTGCACAAGCACATATACTACGCGATATACATCCCTACTACCGTTCACCAAGCTGAGTTCCATACGTGCCATCCTTGGGAGCTGAAAAAACATCTCGTCGTGGCGATTCCGCCGGCCCCAGACCGTCTGGGTCTCGTGAGACTCACAGGGGGGAAACACTTTAACTAGGAGATCTCCTACTTGCGGTAGGTCCTGACTAAGCGTTAAAAACGATCTAAAACCTTTCATCCAACGAGCTCGTTTCCCTAGGCATAGAGGCGCGACGGGGAGGTCACGATCGAGAACTATACTCCGTGAAACCCCTGTCTCTGTCGGTTACGCCACTATATGTCGGTGGTCGGTATCCCCTTTCCTCCACAGCCATATCTTTGTGATCGATTTCGTGCTTGTCCGTGGGCTACGATAGCCGTGGTTCGTGGTTCTTTTCGAGCGGACAACAGTCCTCGCTTAGGGGAAGAGTATTTCGGTAACCGGGTGTAGATAGGCTGTATTTCAATGTCGTGATCGATCGTTGAGACTGTCTTAGCTTCACCCTTCGAGAGGCTACTAGACCCAAACACCACGATGAGGTGCAGTCCCGTCGTTGTGATGTTGGTGCTTGGTTGGTGTTATTGCTGTTTGTGGATCTGAGACGAAAACTGTTTAAGCTCTGTACCTGTCAGGGAACGGCCCGTGTGTGGGTCCCAGCTTCCCGTGTTTTTTGTGGGAAGTCGAGGTGGACCTTCCTCTTTCATCAAACTCACTGAGTTTCGGTGACAACCCTCTTAATGTCCGAGGAGATGGATGCGATGTCTTTTACGGCAAGGTAACTACCGGACGTACCGGTATGTCAATTCATCCGATCTTGAGCTACAGGTATCTAAGTTTGCTTGCTGATATTCCTTCGAAGACGTATCGTCTCGAGTCTCTTCCCTTGTCAACTCCCAGCGCTACGCGTCCCGTTTTTATTGTGTTATTTCTTCTCCGACCCCTGTTAGGAGTACATGTTCGCGCTGCAGCCAACGTTTGAGATGCGAATGAAGATTCTAGGTTTGCCGCACTGCTGTGCCGCAATTCTGCAGCGCAAGGTACCGAATTCTGGGATCACGGTAGAGCTAACACCTAGATAAAAAGTCGGACGCCAGTTAGAACCTACAATGATTCGTAAATCCCCTTTCGTCTCCATATTTCGTTCTTGCCTCATTGTTTTAGGTACCTCAGTGACCGGCCCTCTAAGCGTTGAAAATGACTATACCGATTTCGAAAGAGCGCGGTAGGGAGGTGGTCGCAGAGATGCGCAGAAAGAATGGAGGAATGAGTCAAAAGCTGACAGAGAAACTCCATTTACTGGAGAAGGACGATGAATCTGAATTGCTGGGAATTATTTCCGGGCTCCGCGGACAGCTGGGTGCTTCTCTGAGCAGGTAAGCACGGATAGGTGCTGTAATAATGTCATTCTGACGCTACGATTCGCAGCTTGACCGACAACCTCAACTCGGAGGATACTCGTTTCATCTATGAGCTCATCCAGAATGCAGAAGACACCAAGTTCGACGTCGCTTTAAGTAAGGGCGAGACCCCTTTTCTCTCCTTCGACATACTCCCAAAACATGTCATCGTCGATTCGAACGAAGATGGTTTCACAGAAGAGGACGTGAGAGCCATCTGCGATATCAACAAAAGTACAAAGGCTGGACAGCAACAGAAAGAACGTCGCGGTTATATCGGGGAGAAGGGCATCGGCTTCAAATCCGTGTTTAGAGTTGCTAGCAGGGTCCACATTCAATCTGTCAATCTTTCCTTCTCATTCAAGCGACCAAGCGTGGACCTCAGGGACTCCATGGGGATGATTACTCCCATGGACGAGGACTTTCTCCCTTTACCACCTTCTGTTCGAACGCGGATGGTTTTAACTCTAACGAACCCCGCGAGCATCAAAGAGTCAGTAAAAGACTTGTTCGACCTCCAGGGCACTATGATGCTGTTTTTCAACAAGCTAAAGCAGCTCAAAGTCAATGACCATCTTGATAGCGATAGCATCACGACAACCAGCTATACTTACAACAAAGGGGGACTGAACGATGAAAGAGGGCAGATTAAAAAGCAAGTTCAGCGAAATTGCGACGACCCAGAGATATCAATATCGTACTTTCGCGTTTTCGAGAAGGACGTGAGCGGTCTGCCAGAACACCAGCTTCGGAAAACAAGATCTGCTCCGGTGGCATTGGCGTTTCCGGTCACTGCCAAAGATGAGCCGATTGTGGTACCTCAAATGACGTACGCTTATCTCCCTCTACGCAAAGCCAACTTCAATGTGAGTGTTTCATTCTAGTTGGGTTCCATATCCTCGTTTCCTTAAGCATGTAATAAAAACCAAAATATTGTCTTCTGAACATGCCGAAGTCTCTGTGAAAATGGAAAGCCGTGGAATCTTCGCGATCCATACTCTTCTCAAGAATCATAATATGTCTGCGATCATCGCTAATATTTTCCTTATACAGTTCCTCATTCAATCAGACTTTGTCACATCAATCAACAGAGAGGACGTAGACCACTCCGAAAGGAACAAGGCGCTTCTGACTGAAATTGGTAGTCTTTTCGCAGTCGCTGTTCTTGAATTTTGCCGTCACAAGACTTTGCGGTATAGCTGGCCTCTTTGGCTTCCCTATGATGCCGTTCCCAGCGACTTCTGGTCCATTGCAAAAGATCGCATTGTCGAAACCCTCAAATCTACCAGAATACTGTTCTCGCGGAGTAACAATGACTTATTTCTACCAACGAGTCTCCGTAAACCCGGAAGCGACAGCGTCGATAAATTTGGCAACCCGTTATTCCGCGATATACTCCCTGAAATATACATTTCTAAGGCGTATGAAGGGAATCCATTGGGCCGGCTTTATGAAGTTCTCGGCCTCAAAACCGAGAACATTACTGAGTTTTTAGATCGAGTATCGGCCGATCTTCAAGAGCAGGATTCGCTGTGGAAGAGTAGTACTACGTCAGATGAATGGCAGTCCAGAGCATCAGTGGCCTTGAAAGAATTTCTGAAAAAATTCGCACCAGGGATACAGCGTAAAATAAGGCAGCTTAAGCTAATACCCCTTACGAGCAACCGCTGGATTGCTGCAGATGACGTTGACAGCTCTGTCTACTTCGATCGCACTGACGGAGTTCCAATTCCAAATGACCTAGGTCTCTGCCTGGTTCCAAACTCAATGACTCAGAACATAGCTCGACAAGAGCTGTTCGAAAAACTTGGTGTCCAGCCTTGCACTCCGAGTTTGGTGATCCAGAAGATTGATGATAGATACCGAGAGTATTGGTTGAAGAGTCCTTTCGGCAGACAAATTGAACTCGCCGACGCTGTTTCTCATATTGGCTATCTTTTTCAAAAATCTCCACCGGAGGACTCTATTGCGAACCATGACATTGGCCTGTTTGGAAATAGCTCCCTGGTACGGTTGTGTGGAACCGAAAAGTCGAACCTATACTTTCGAAACCCACGAGACCAAGATGAATACGGCCCTTCAAGCTTGCTTCGGGACGACAAAGATGAGCCTGTGCGTCTCAGGAACCATACAGAGCTGAAAGCCGAATTTCTCGATGACGCGTACTTCTCGGCAGCGGGGGAGCACGAGCGAAACGACGGAAATACCTTCCGGTCCTGGCTCCAAGTTTGGGCCGGCGTGAGATCGAGCATACCGCTGCTCGACGATACTGGAACGTCGCTCTCTGTCGAAGCAGAATATGTGCGGCAACGCCAGCCAGACAAATTCGTTGGGTTCCTGAAGCGCAGTTGGCGAGCGAGCGGACTCGATGATAAGATGTTCTTCGCCGCTCGAAAAAGTCTTCGCCAGATCGACGTACTTACGCAGAAAGGCTTCACCGAACTTCGGAAGGCGTATCTACCGACCCCGGAGATGATCGAATTCGCCGAAAAGCTGCAAATCTCCGACTTCCCATTTCTGCAGCTTCCTCAGAAATTGGATTTGTTGAACCAAGATGACTGGACGTTCTTGCGACATGTGGGAGTAGTGGTCACTTCAACCAGACAATTCTATCAACAATGCCTCCTGGAAGTTAAAGCCCAGACAGAAGGTCCTGGCACAGCTGCATCAGCTTGCACCGTATATCAAGCATTATCCTCATGCTGCAACAGTACTACTGAGCTGGAATCTATTCGGTCTGTTCTCTCTCTTCCATGCTAATATTTGGCTCATCCATTATAGAAAGTGGCTACGGGAAAATGAAGGGATATACTTTCGGCAGGCCTTTAACATGAAATTATCGGTTTCCAAATGGCAATCCCATGACTCCTGTATCTGGGACGGCCCGTCATGGGAGACTTATGCCTCCGTTCTCAAAAGTGTCCCAGAATATACCGGCTTACAAGACTTTTTCCGAGTGACGTTAAAAATAAGAGATATATGTCTTGAAGATGCCCTGAAGGAGCTTCAATGGAGGAGTTGCGGGAAGGGGGTCGCAGCAGTTGTCGAAATCAAGGCCATCTATCATTATATTTGGCGACAAGTTGAACATGATTCAAATGGCGCGCCTTCAATCAAGTATATCATATCGATCACCTTGACAAAATCTGTTGAAAAAACTGACACGCCTAGGGCTGCCTTTGAAAAGGAGAAGATGATCTTCAACTGTCCAAGCGGATCGTGGCTGTCCGCTAGCGATGCTATCTGGGCGGACGCAACCTTGCAGATTCCGGACAAAGTTTCTATTGCTGCACAGTATCCGGAACTGAAAGACTTCTTTCTAGGAATCCTAAAGGTCCAAAAGCCTGATTTGCAGATGCATATTGATGCGCTGAAGGCGCTTGGCGGAGATCTATCCAGATACGCAGACATCAAAAGGAGTATTATCCAGATTTCGTTAATGGATCCTACCAAAGATGACCTGGACAAATTCGGCCGAGCACAAGTATTTCCGGTCCTTACAAAAGATAAGCAAATGAGACTTGCGGACAAAGATGCAGGTTTTTTCATTCTGGATCGTAAGGAGCATATATCTGCATTTGAAGACAGACTGAATAAGTTGGATTTTTCTCTTGCGGAAATTCAGAAGGCCGGCGCATTCCTTGATGCAGCCGGATTGAGCGGACGGTATAGCTCAGCCTGCGTGGACGAGAGCACGACCGCGGAGGGAGGCTGTCGCAGTGTACGACTGACAGGTTCTTTCAATGAGAAGGCATACTTTATGACCTGGTGAGCTCCGCCTAGACCAGCTATATGTCTCAGCTAATAGGCGACAGCTGTGCTCTGCACTTTGGCAGCGCGAAGTTCGGGAGCGACGAGACAGGTCTCTACGACCTCTTTCGATCCACGTCAATTTATACCAGTGGCGGCATTTCAACGTCAATTACATTGACTCAGTACGACATAACACACCGGGTCCCTCTACCGAGCGCGAAATTCCACCTCGAACATAGAAACGGGCGATTGGACCTCTACGTCCCTAGGCGCAGAAGTGATCAAGAGGTTTGCTTCAAGCAGCAACTTCCTAGCAGCATTTTTCGGTTTCTCCTCTGCCGAAACTCTAGAGCAGAGAAAGTCCTCGGGGACATTATCCAGTCCAGTTGCGTCTCGGTCGCTGACAGAATAATTACAAATGCCGGGGTGGCCGAGCTCGAGGGCCTAGACAAACCCGACGTAGACGACGACGACGATGACGATGCCGAAGATGACTATGACGGCAGCGAGGAAAATTCACCAGACTCAAACCAGCATCGAACATCCTCTGTTCAAGGGGGTGTGTTCATGCCAGCTGTCTCTGATACCGCACCAAATAGCGCGCCTTCTCAACCCGCATCCCCAAGCCGAGACAGATTAAGATCTACTTCCGATGCATATGATGCACCTGCCTTAAGCCGTACGTCGAGTAGCGAAGAAATAGTTGAAAGGGATAGGATCCACATATCTCCTGAAATACCGGACAGAGACTCGACCTCTCAAATGGCGCCTTACACTGAACTCCTCAAACACATAGTAGAGGCCGCGGCGAGAACAGCTCTACCCAATATCGGCGAGTCAGTTTTCTCTGAGCCTGCGGACCCAACGGCATTGTGGACCAATCTGAACACCGAGGCCGTCTTTGGGCCCCGCTTGTTGGATCGTGATAACATGATCGGAGCAGCTGGAGAGCTATTTGTAAGTAGAATGAAGTTTTGGATCCGCTTCTGATGCGCTGACAGCGGGTCTAGGTCTTTGAATTTCTTTGCAGCCGCCTCCAAGATTTCGGTAAGCTTAACTGGCCGAGCACCATCCGGAAATACATACGTGTGCATCCGAGCCATACGACTCTAGAACCATGGAAAGGCACTGAAACAGCCGATCTTGTATACGAGGACAGCTCTGGAAGGCTGAGGGAGTTATTGGTTAATGCGGGATATGACTGTCCGTCAAAGCCGTCTACAAAGTTTCTTCTTGAAGTCAAGACGACTACGAAAGATTGCTCGGAACCCTTTTTTATGAAAAGCGGGCAATACAATCTGGTAAGCTGGCACTCAAGCTGACGGAATACTTCTAACATGTTGCGCCCCGTAGATGCAAAGGGCGCATAGCTCCCTCCTTTCGGACACGCCCGAAGTGTATGTTCTCTGCCGAGTTTTTGGCATTTCATCCCGAAGAATTGGGTGGAGGCTATTCCTGGACCCAGAGGCCGCTCGTGAGACAGGAGAGCTGCAATTCTCGACGCACAGCTGGAAGGTAGCGTCTAGATAAGGTTGAAGAGATCCAAAGAAGCATTTCACGCATGCGCTTGGTTTACAGTACGGAATACTGATGCTTAAATCACTCTTCCACTTTCGTTTCCGCACAAAATTCTTGTAGAGATACACTTTCGACGTTTAGTAAATCTCGCCTAGCGTCAAGGGCCGTTTCTAGGGTACATAACTAACTTCTGATGCGGTTCTTATAGCTACTCAAAGAGCCGACTTGACGAGTTGCTGGTGAAGTAGAAATGGAACGGGCTTTTTTGAGCTAGATTTGGCGAAGTGAAGATCTGACAGTTGCAAAATGTGAGAGAACGCTTGGCGTTTTTTTGAGGGTGTGTGTCGGAAATCAGAGGCCGTTAGTGAAGAAACTTGGTAAATTTTAGCCCTGAACCTATATTCTGTCCACTTCTTCCACACAAAGCCAATTCCCCTCTCAGTCGCATCTGTGATAAGGCGCAATGTTGGGGTTAGGTCGTCGGCATAGAGCGATTCATAATACGCCGAGTCTCGTGGTGGTATCCTTTTTGCCGCAGGGGCGCGGCTTGTTCCCCCTTCCATTACGATGATCTCGGCGATTGATGCATGGAGCGGTCCCGTAGGAGGGCAAAGGGCAATTTACCGAAGGCAGCAAGATAATATTAGATCGGTCTGAAACTGCAAAACATGGAGGGCTCAAGAAAAAAAGTTATCAGAGAAACGGGAATGACAGAGCGATCCATCGAGCGACGGGGCCTGGACATTGGTTATTATGTGCGAAAACAAAGAGAAGCTCCGCAACAGAGCCATGACGTTTGACACCGCCATGCTTCTGAAATTGACCTGGAGACATAGAAGATGTGAAGTTCGAAAAACTGAAAACTGAGAGTTGGAATTTCAAAATCGGCCCCCTTCCTCTACAAGTGCTTAAGCAAGTCTGTGAGAGTGCAAAGCCTTGGCACTGTGGCAGGGGGATTTGGGCACCACTGGTACGAAACGAGAGCGTTTCGCCTAAGCGGAAAGCCCTCTGAAAACGGCATCAGACACCGCCGTTTTTGGAGGCAAGTTCGGTAGCACACAACGTTACTCCGTACAATTATAAATATTGTGCCCCCGCCCTTCGCTTTCAGAAGTCCAGCCGTTCCTTGCACGAACTGCTTCCTCTTCTACTCTGAGCTATTGCACCTTACTGTTAGCTCGAACAGCTATTCTATATCTATGTAATTGTCAGGTCTTTCCTATCTCTCCTCTGCTTCCGTATACCGCTAATCACTCGTCTTCGCTATGTGTATTTGAACACTGATGGGACTACCCGGAATTGCTCCAGGAGTCCAGTCCGTTACCCCAAGACACATGTACGACGACATCTTCGCCATTGTTTAATATGAAGCACTTGGTGCTCGCCGCAGATACAACCCCTTTCCAGCAACAACAGGTACCAGACGTGGACTTCAAGCTTATACTTATCTCAGCAAGCTCAGACGGTATCTTCAGATGCTGCACGTGACTACACTGTGGCGGTGCAGCCAAGGTATCTTCAGATACCGTCTGAGGTCCTTTTGTAAGGTTTGTGTGATGGTGTAGTTGAAGTTTTCAGAGTTCCCAGTCGTTTCAGTCAACCATTTCAACTTTCAGTACTCGAAATTAGCTTAAAGTTTAGGCGGGGCTAGGTAACAGGTAAAAGAATCTGCTCTTTTATAGTATATTAAGAAATATATCAAAATAATTCTATAACAAAGGATTAGCACCGGCTGTTTCGAAGGGCTGGTGTAGTTGGACTTTTGGAGCGACCCCTGTCGCTAATTTTGGTCGAGTTTAGTGCGCCGTAGGGGCCAAATCCGCTCTTTTTACCTACGCGCCCACCAAAATGCTGCAGATGGTCCTCAGACGGCATCTGAAGATGCCTGCACCGCCACAACCATCTTCCAGATCCCGTCTGAGTCCCAACTGAGATAAGCTTATAAGACCCTAGAAATAAATCACCCCTGTCTTTCCCGAACTTTTAGTTTGTGAAAAGACAGCAGCAGGGCGAAAGATATGGTTTATTTTACCGTTAAGTAGCCAAGTACTTGCTTCAACGGCCTGATTTTTCTTGAACAGTCTTCTAACGGTTTTTGAACGGTTAGTTAACTGGTCATATACGGTCTTCCTGTTTTCGACTGTTGTTGAAGGAAGGAACCGCTACGAAACGACTACAAGAAACAGGGCCTGCGCCCTACTGAGGGCTGACACTCTAAAAGCGCATGGAAACAGAACAGGTTACGAGTAGTAACCACCACGAGAGGACTGTTGATATATTTAGCGCGGAGCTCGATCAACACCCTGGCTTGAGGCTCATTCGGGAAATACCAGGTCACGTAGCTATTTAAAGGAGGTTGTTTGGGCTGCATACATAAAATGCGGAGTGTATAATAGCCCTCGGTTCATGCAGGGCCCTCTGCTGAGCGTAAGCTCAAGAGTGTGCGGTGAGTTGCGTGCCAGTTAGGGGAGCCTACAACAACAAAACTGCAAACGCGGAAAGTATACGGTAACGGTCGTGCAGAGCAAGGGGATGTAGGGCTGGAAGCGTGTGAGAGTATGCATGTGGCCAAATTCCTGCCAGCAAATAGCGTGTGGTAAGAAAAACACGCAAAGAAGATTATAGAGTAAGCCGTGCCAACATCTTCGGCTGCGAAGTAATGCGTATGGTTGTTAAGCATGTGCCCTAAGAAACGTCCGAACCCGAGCTGCGTGTGACGGGTTGCGTGCGGTGGAGCGCATTTCGTCGTGTCATGTTTCAGGATTTTTAATTGGAAATACATGTTCATAGCTAGGACATGCCAAGACACACCTGGAGCCTAGGATACAGCTCCAGGTGTGTCTTGGCACAATATACGTTATCATTCCTGAAATGGAAATCTCCATCCGTTTGCCTGAATAAGACCACTGCATTCGGGATCTATCATAAGAGTAAGTGCTGGACCTACTCGGCAGTAGAGGGGTGCTATCCATTCAATTCTTGTATCCCCCCGATCTCTTATACCGACGCCATTCTCCTTACCGGAGAAGATCCTCCAGGAGGAGGGCTCACAGGAGGAGGATCTTGATGCCATCCCCAATCTCAACCCACCGTACGGAAACCTCCCCCACGAACGAATGAGCTCCTACGATCAAACAAAACGTCCTCCCATGATCAAACACAAACCTACAAACGCAAACCTAAAAACACCCACCCACAAACGCCCTCAAACGCAAACCCACAAACGCCTTCCTGCAAATGCTCTCCTGCAAACGCCCTCTCCTACAAGCGCTCTTTCCTACAAACGCCCTCCCCCAAGTCTACAGGATAGAGCCATTTTCGGCCAAGCGAGCTAGACCCCTAAGTATGGCGAAAGCTACTCTGACAATAATAAAACCCAAAAGCCCCCAGACGCTTATCGACTCACCGCCTTAACAACTTTCTCCTAGTGCATGATTGCATCAACAAACTCGTTTCCTTTGACCTTCATTACCTGGTACCACTGCTTGCGTAATTCAATTAGAAAGTGCCGCTATAGGAGTTGACGCTGGCTTCGATATGGTCCCCTTGTCTATCTGAAGGAGTCGTTGATAGACACAAATGGAACCGGTTTGTCGGCTTCATCAAGAACCATTATAAAGACGATAGCCAGGTCGAGATAAAACCGAATTACATCCTATTCAAAGCTGGGGAACACCCTATACTTCCTTTTAAGGGCCACAAATTCCTGCATTTCAGTTCGAAAGTTTCGGGGATCATCGCAGCGGCTACAAGAGTAGCAAGCTATATCAACACTGTTACCAGAATTGCAAAGGTTCACTTCGGCTCCCGTGTCCAGTACTGGGACGAAGGTGACGACCAGTATGGCAATTACGACGGGAATGAAGTCAGAGTTAATCAGATCCTATGAGCAAGTCAGTCATGCCTTCGTAGAGTCTCGTTCCTGCTCTTTGACAACATCTAACCCCTTTACTCACAGCGAGACGAGCCTGAGATCAATACCAGCATCGCATCTCTCCTCACCGGTACTAATCCCATCAATGAGCTTGGTATCCCACTTTTCGAAATTAAGGACATTCCCAGAAAAGGCAAATGTCTCATTGCCCGTTTCAATATATCCAACGGCACTCGGATACTTTGTGAGAAGCCAGTTCTTACGGCTTAATCCATGCCGCCCAATGAGTTGGAGTTGATCCTCGCGGCCAGGCTAAGGGCATTGCCCAAAGCGTCGCAACGACAATTTTTGTCCCTTTACAACAACTGCCCGGGAAAGCATCCGTTTAGCAACACTTTTAAGACCAATGCTCTACCCTGTGGCGCAGGCTCAGTGGTGGGTGGAGTCTACCCTACGATTTGCCTCATCAATCACAACTGTATTCCAAACTCTCACAACAACTGGGATAGCAACGCGGAGCACGAAACCATCTACGCGATCCGGCCAATCAAAACCGGAGAGGAGGTCACAATCTCGTATGACTACGGAGGTACTTCAACTGTACGACGTGCCTTCCTGAAAGAAGCCTTCGGTTTCGATTGCAATTGCCGTGAATGCTCTCGTCCTTCCGAGCTCCAAGCCAGTGACAGCCGTCGTTTACTGATTCAAGACCTCGACAATGCCATCGGCGATCCATTCCGCATGCAGATTAGGCCGAAGGAGAGTCTGAGTGACTGCCACTCGCTGCTTCAAGTCTTTCAAGAGGAATATGACGGGTATGCTGGGGCGCTCATCGCCAGGCTCTATTACGACGCCTTTCAAGTCGGCATCGCGCATGGAGATCAGGCTCGGGCAAGCGTGTTTGCGGAGAGAGCGTACGAAGCAAGGGTTATCTGCGAGGGTGAGGACAGCCCCGAGACGCAGAGGGTGAAGTCACTCGCGTTGAAGCCAGCCAATCATATTAGCTTTGGACTATGTTCTATGATGTGAACGACAATGAGGGAAATGGTACCGAAAGGTCTAAATACGGCCCAGTTTGAAAAGTGGTTGTTTAGAGAGTAGAGTTCGATGATGAATTCAACGAGGTTCACCGTTTGCCGCCAGGGAACAGCAGCGATTCGTGTTTTTATTAATTTCACATAGTTATACATTTTACAATTCCTAGTTGCCTATAGCTCCAAAACTAACCAGCCCTTGACAACGACACAGAAGGTATCGCTAAATTGAGCAGACGATGCAAAATCAAGCTCATGCTGGACCCTAGAAACAAATCACCCCTGTCTTTTATGAACTTTTGGTTGTCCAAAACAGCGGTAATTAATACGTAATATGGCTCTGAAAGCGCATAGAAATAAAGCGGACTTGTTTGCCTGGAGCCCGTTCGGGCTACGAATAGTTTGGCACTGGTGACCGGTGGATTGCCTACTGTGCGGATTTCGAGTCCATTTCTGGCCTTATCCGATATCAGGCGGTGTCCCAGTGGAATGCCATCCCTTGTGGGAATACCACCCCTGCGGATTTCGAGTTTCTGACCTCACCCTTTATCAGTGCATCTATTTTCGGGAGTCCTTATGGATCCCTTGTGGGAACGCCATCCATGCGGATCCCCACTCCATTTCTGGCCCCCAATATCAGTCGGTCCCAGTGGAATGCCATCCCTTGTGGGGATGCCGTCCCTGGGGATTTTGGGGATCGTGTGTTTGTTTTTGTTGTCTGTTGTAGCGATTGTTTTGGGTAAACATATGCGCAATTTGAGTACCAGTGTTTTTCTTTTCTTCAAAGAGGCTGGGCACGCTCTGGGATAGTGTTCCTGGGATAGAATTTCTGGGATTAGAAGGCTGCGGAACGATACAGGAATAATAAGCTTTGGAATGTTACGAGCTGCGGAATGGCACGGGAAATATGAACTCTGGAATATTACGAGTTTTGGAGCGCTACGGGAGAGATGAGCCTGGAATGATACGAGCTTTGAAACGCTACGGGCTATGAAGTATTACGGGAGACAGAAGCTTTGGAATGCTACGAGCTGCGGAATGGCACGGGAAAGATGAACTCTGGAATATTACGAGCTTTGGAGCGCTACGGGAGAGATGGGCGTGGAGTGATACGAGCTTTGGAGCGTTACGGGAGAGTGATGACTGTGGAGATATACGCTCACTTCCAGGTATATGTAAAGTTTGTTTTGTCGCAACACAGAGTGGGTGAATAACGTGATACGAGTAAGCGAGTAGCAAGAGAGTAACTAGCGATGCTTGATTGATGAAATCTATGCTGTTTCTGGCTTAAGATCAAGGCTCAGACTGATCCTTGAGGACGAAAGAACTCTGTGATGGCTGCGACCGTTTATATAGAGGGATGCACGTGTATCACGAGACTAGCATCCTCCCAGCCTGACATGCTACGAGCTGCGAAATGTTACGGGGAAGAGGAGACATCAAGCGCATTCTCTGTAGCTCGTCAATGGCAGTACAAGCAGCCAATATGATCCTTAGGACTGGGCTCTTAGAGCAATTCCGGGCAGTTCCAGCCACAGTACTCAAATACACAGCGTAGACGAGCGATAACTAGTAAACAGAAGCAGAGGAAGGCCAGGAAAGGCCTGACAAGTACGTAGGCACAGAACAGCAAGTAAGACTATTAGTAGAGGGGTTATCGTACCGAAGCGGAAGCAGTTCGTGCAAGGAACGGCTTGGTCAGCCTATGAATCAATCAATCAATCAATCGAGCTGCAGAATGTTACAAGTGCGGAATGGTACGGGAAGGATACTGTGACAAGTAAACGTGGAAGGCTCTGAAAGCGCATAGAAACAGAACGGGCTTCTTTGCTTGGAGCCCGTTCGGGCCAAGCGTCGATAACTTAGTATTGAAGTTCACGATACTGTCCCATGTATTTTCTTCGCGTGGTTTTGCAAGTGCGTCTTGCAGTTGAGTGACATCTTGCAAACCCCGCAGTCGATCCTCTTGCCGTCCCTGATATTGGACAAGTGTTTCCGTCGAAAGCGCTTGCGAAGATCAGAGGGGGTGCTAAAGGAATAGACTCGTATGGCACGCGCTAACGACTGAGACGATTCCTTTCAAAATTTCGAAATCTAGATAAATTGTGCTGGGAAAGGGGATGAAGGAGAGAAAACCATAAGGAGTAGATGAGACAAAGAAAGCGATGCAGCCCGATAAGTTCCCTGTAGTGTACATCCCCATCCACCTCATCTAAGCTACTACATTTCATCAAGCTCCATTCCGGGCTCTATTCTCGATCGTTCCGAATTTTACATCACCTCTTCCTGAAGCTGAAGGCACGTATTTCGGATTTATCGAATGCCAGGATCGCGGCCGACGGCTGAGATTTCGACTGAATGGACAGGATGCTGGGGCATAACGTACTTCTTAGCCTTTCGACTCCGCATTTCCCTCCTTCAGGATGATTGGGTCAATCCTTTCAAGAATATCTATATACGGCGGCGACGACGGTGTTGATTCAGAATCCGTCATCGCCGTCACTGTCGTGCTTGGGGCTATTCCGTCGATCGATAAACCTTCTAAGGACTCTGCACTCGAATCCTCGGTCGAAGGTCTTCTATTCCCGCCTATTTGCTGCGTGCGACAGAAACGCTCAAAGAAATGGGATCCAATCTTAACGTCGTAATCGTGGACCGTGGCAATATGGTTTAGGAAGGCTCTAATTTCGATGAAGGCAGATCTGCTTACGCATGTATCCTATGCGCAGGAGAGAGGAACACCTTCAGGCAGATGACTCAGGTGTTGATTTATTAGGTGACGTCTTAACGAATCCATGCGCTGGAACCTGCGTCTATGCAATTTTGGGCATATGATACAAACGTCAGTGGGACATTTCGTTTCGTCGAGACATGGACTGGAGTCCTGCTCCTGCTTTGTCTTCATGACGTTATCAACCATGTCTTCGTTATCCTTGTTCCAGTCGAACCTCTTCCCTCGGCGGGTCGGCTCCCAAAGCCCGCAAAGTGCGATCATGTCCTTTGTGACCTGGATCCGTCGGCCGATGTCCTGTTCGCCATCAAGCGTGTCAGCGTCCGGCCCGTAGAAGGCGTCCACAAGACGTGCACGCTCCTGAAACACGTATTTGGGAGGCGGGGGGTCCGAGTCATCATCGTCGTTCTCACCATCCGAAGAGTCTACGCCTGGGTTATCTAGGAGTTGGTCGATCTGCTTGTCGACTTCGATTATTGGTATGCTATCGTAGTAGTCCTCCCTCATCTTCTCCTTGGCTTCCCGAAGGAGTCTCTTCCTTTCGCTATGCATCCTCTTGCAGACCCGGTCGTGTTTCTGGTGAAGCTCCGGATACAGATCTCTAGCAGCCTCTACGGTCCCCGCTAATAATCGCATCTCGTTCTTTAGTTCGATTCTCTCTTGTCTTAGTTGGAGAATCCGAGAATCCCCACGGACGACTTTGAGCTGCTCGCCGCTGAGTGCTTTTGGCGCTAGAGGATCTCTGTTCCTACACTTCCGCGCTTCATTGCATAGAGCCGTCTGTGACGGCCGTACCAAGACAACATGTTGGAGACCACCGATGAAGTCGCTTTGATAGTGTTTCTCAAAAACGCGATTCCCAGATTGACCGAGGACCCTCATGCGCTCCGCCTCGGTGTAATTACCTGCGTAGATATCAGTGCCGAGTTCTACGATTGTTCAAGGGATGGAGGCTCGGGCAAAAAGGAAGGTAGGATAAGCAGAATAGGGACCGTTCTCCGAAATTGCTTACGATTAACAGCGTTTGCAGCCCAGCGTCGAAAGTTATAATGAGTTGGTAGGTCCTCGTACCCTAGCCCTTCTCCGATATGCTTCAGTGCGCTATTACTGGAGTCGTACTTCATCGGCAGGAACTGGTCTACTTCATAGCCGTAAGGAGCTTGCTTCATGCGACGGAGAACTGGAAGTTTCAGTTTGTCTTTCTTCTATCTTAGAGGCAGGCTCGGTAGACGTTTCGGGACTCGAAGTCGCCAGAAAAGTTCTGGTGTTAGTCGTTCGTTTTCGAAGGCCCCGTCGCGGAACGCCATCGCCACGATGTGCAAGATCGGGCAATATGTCAGCAGGTAGTCGCAATGCATGAAGAATCGTGTTCTGTTCCAAAAATATATTAGCAACCCTTTTTGCTGCAAAAACACTTCCAGGAAAAGGTTGAATTATACCCGTCGGAGCCTTCTGGTCTGCCCTTCAAATTCCGGAAGGTAATAATTGCGCACGGGACGTCTCTACCGCCTTCTGGATTTCTGAGGTAGAAGAGTTCGATATCCTCCCAACAAACGGTTTTTGGGGAGGGATCAATGGAGACATACTCCGGCAGATCGCTAACGAAAGTTTGGTTCGGCTTCCGTCTCTTCGGTTTCGGTGCAATAGTGATTTGCTGGTCTTCATCGTTCCGAGATGAAGCGTCAGGACTACAGTTGTCCGGCAGAAGCACGCCAGGTCGAGTTCCCGTGATTGAAGACCACAGCATAATTGTGGATTGCTGAACGAGCATGTTGCCGCAGCGGAAATAGAAGGAATATTTCCACAGATACCTCTGGAAAAGTCCATATTCCTCAATTGTCAGAGTATGCTTGCTCTTGGCACGCCTTGAAATCTCGCGTTCGGCCGGGAATACATGTTCAAGGAACTAATGGTACTCGATCAGCAGGGGAGGTTTGATGAATAGAAGGTACACAAACATACCCGTCGTATTTGTTGATGAACGTGGTTACTCATTGGATGGCGGGTGAAGAGAGTAAAGTACTGGTTCAATCGCCTCCAATACTCGTCGTATGATTGTAACTTCTTCTTCTTAGAAGACTCGTACATCCAATCAAAGAAGCTCATATAAACTGGGGGGTCCTCTGTAGTGAGATGTTCCACATAGTTTACTCCTAGGTGGTCGCAGTACCTACCGGCCCAATCGAGACAGTTAGCATTATCTGCCCAGCAATGTCGAAAAAGGTGACCGACCTGCGCCAATATCTCTCCACTACGGCGATACCCTGAAGTGTTTTAGGCTTGAAGTTTGGAGGAAGGTGTCCGAAGCTTCGAAAGTGCTCGAGCCTCGCTCGGGTCTCATCGCAGAGGATAGGCCGAGTCCAGTGCTGGTGCTCCTCTGCGTCGGCGGCAGGAAGCGCCCTCTTTCCCATGGCGAAGCACGGGTAGAGAGAAAGTGAAAAGAGAGGCGAAAGAAAGGTAAGACCAGCCGGGAGTATGGCGGCATACGAGAGAGCGAATCCGTAGGGATACCGGAGAAGGGAAGGTGGAAGCAGGTAGGAAGGGATGGGATGAGAGGATGAAGGGCATGGCAGCGCATGGTAGGCTTTTGTATGCGATCATTTTTGGATGCTGCCGACTGTAGCGGCTAGAGGGTGGCAGAGCATATTGGAAAGTTGGGATGAGTTGAGTGCAGAAACGGGATCCCGATTTCTAAATTCATGAAACTCAAGAAACTGATAATGGACAGAGTCACATGCGCTTGGCATTACGGGGTGTTTGGGGAGGAGAAGAGTTGATTTTCGTGACCAGGTCGTGTGGAAATGCCGCCAAAAACAGCGTCAGAAACCGCTCTTTTCGGCGGCAATTTCACAGGTCCTCAGATTCTAGTTGTAATTAGTGCTGCGGTCGAGAACCATCCTTTTCCACGCCTGCATCCGCCTCACTTCAACACTTGCACAACACAATCCGACAGCTTGCATTCCCCCGCACTGCCAAACTACAGTGTCTCCTTAGTTTAATATGCTGCTGGTATTCGAGATACACCATCCCGATTTCTCGGAAGTAGCCGTTGTCAATCCATAGCGTCATCATTCGATCGTAAATATCCATTCACTCCCCATCAACCGGCCACTCCTCCTTCCACCATCCCTGGAACACCTCCAACCGCCGCGTCCGTTCCCTCGCGAGCTGCTTCCCTGTCCCCGTCTCCAGACATCTGTTAACCTCGCCCATACCAGCTCAAGGAATGATCCGACTAACCTTCATCATCCCCTCCAGGCGCACCAGCTTCTCCTCCAAATGCTCCAAACACCCTCGCATCCCGCGCTCCCCCGCCTTGGCTCCCCCATAAGTGAACACCCGCCCGATCCCAATCGCCCCAATCGCATCCAGTCGATCCGCGTCCTGCACGATCGCGAGCTCCGGGTGCCGTGCGAGCACCTCCGTTACCGCCCCCGGGTTCTTGACCTCTGAGCTATATGAGACCGTCGTCGCGACGAGTTGGACCGCTGACGCGATGTCCGAGGGCACGCCGTGCGTGGCGAGGAGGTCGTGGATGCGGTTCGCGTCCGCGGAGCCCGGGGATTCGTATTTCTTGTCGCCGACGTCGTGGAGGAGACTGGGGAGGTGAGTTCATGACAATCAACGAGGAAGGGCGCGGTCATACGCTGCGAGGAGGACGATGTCCTTGTTGTACGCAATTTCGGTCTGCACCTTTTGCTCGGCTTCGAGGATCGTGGTTGCTAGCGCGACGACGCGTTTGATGTGATGGAAGTCGTGCGACGCGTCGAATTGTGACATGTATTGCTCGACGAACTTCCAGATGGGCTCCATGGCGCCGTCTCGCCAGTGTGCAGCCATGTTTGAAATCGGTGGTAGGTCGCGAACCAGGTTCTCAATACTGAAGCTTCTCAGACGCTGTGCTTCATCAGATTCGTTCGTCGGGCTTTGTTATATTTCCTTTCAAGGAACAATAATCCCTGATGAGTCAGACTAGTGGGGTCCGTCATATTTACATGCCGCTTACACGCAGCCTTGTCGTCTTCTCTAAAAGCGTCGGTTTATGTACAGCGTGCTCTGTACAATACTAATAACGCCAATCTCGAAGACGATGTGGTCTTCCCGGAACGCCACCATTCCGTTATTCGTTTCGTAAAATATATCCAAATCATGCAAACTGTTCATATTACAAAAATCAGACTAACAGTCATGAAAATCCAGGGGAGTTGCTGTCGAGCTGAGAAACCACTACTCCCTCTTGACATAGAAGGCGTCCAAGGAGCAGGGGATGGAGTGTACGGCGCGTTTTTTGGAATGAAGCACAGCGGGTTCGTCCAATGGTACCAGTCATCATACGACGCTTCCAGGCCCGCGGCGCATTTCTCCGCGGCCGCGGGATAGCCGGTGGTTTTCGTTAGGTCGCTCAGCAATATACCCGCATCGCAACTCTCGTTCAATCGGCGACTGATGGTATTCCAGCTCGTCTGATTGCTCGTCCCGTTGCCCGTCCCGTTGCCCGTCCTGTTCCCCATCCCCGAATCCACCGGCTTCGGACACAGGGCGACATTCGCCGGACACGGCGAGCAACCCCTCACCCTCCACCGATGTATCGGGATGAGCGTCTGGTTCACCGCCGGTGACCCCGCCGCCGCGTTCACGATCACCTCGGCCAAGGTCATCAACGTATCGACGAAGTCCTTCATGCGGCCGTAGTCCGCCGCGGCGCTGGCATCGGTGTTCGCGTCGCCGGGCTCGATAGCGCCGAGGCTGGTGCGCTTTGTGTCGGGACGGGGTCGAGGTCTAGGTCGGTGGGATCCAGCGCCTGAGAGAAGTGAGAGGTTGGGAGTCTGAGGATTCGGGATTTTGGGAGTTGGTGGTTCCGGGGTTGGGGGTTTGGGAGGCTTCGGGAGGATGAGAGCGGCCGGGAATGGTTGAGGAGAGCGGTTCTGAAGCTGGGAATCGGTATCGGGAACTGCGGTGCAGGATATCAACGGGCTGAAGAGGGTGGCGGTTAGAGTGAATTGGCGGAACAACATCTTGATAATATGTATCCGTATTCTCGAGGCGTAAAGGGGGCCAAGGAGCAACAATTGCAGCGGCTTGGTCCACGCATGTTATAATATACTTGGTTCCAAAACTCAACAGCAAGTTTCTATCATGAGCAACCTTCCAAAGATCTGCTGCCTACAGGTAAAAATAACTCCCCTCGGTCCTGACATATTAATTCCTAGGATTCGCTGCGACTTGCGATCCTGCGACATCTTCGGTATCCAGGGTGATGATCAAGGGATGACCTGAGAGCAGGAGACCAGTAACTAGAATAACACTATAGTAATAATTAGACACTTGGCGATACAGCCACAATCCATGATAGACACTTGACCAAAGTCTACATAATGATAGACAGAGGAAAATCCTTCTGGTTTAGAATGATGCAGTTTAAATGAGCAGAGTTGGAAAGGATGGAGGCGAAGTATAAGGTGAAACAGAAGACAGAACCTGGGGTGTAAGCCGAGCCGGGCTTAGCACTCTCCATGCAATAGAATTCCATCAAGGATTTAACGTCATAGACTAGTTCATGGCCTAGGTATCGAGTACACACTATCGAACACCCATATCCTAAAAGTGAAGAGCCTCACCATCGTTGAGATGACAACGGGAGGTCAGAATTCAGATCAGGCAGGATTTAGGATTTCCGTTGGGTTGAAGCGGCCTTGCAGGTGGGGGGGGGTGGGGGGGGTGTTCGAATTCTACATGACCAGAACAGCCAATGAAGTCTTGGCACAACCCCACACCGGCACGTGACTGGGAATTAACCACACATCGCTCTGACTTACCAATTCTGGAGAATATATCCACTGGTCTATCTCCAGATAATGATGCACTCAAATCATGAACCTCATGTTGTTAACTATGGAATCTTCTTCGGGCATCACTTAACTGACGTCTCAATTCTCTTCTGTTCTATATTGCTGGTGGTCAGGCGGTATTTTTCATCTTATTGAGTGATATCGCGTGCGATACCCTTTGATCGCCGCGATGATGTTGGCAGGGATCAAGCAACCTATCAAACGCATCTGATTTGTCCTCTGGGTCTAATCCTGGAACTACTCTAGTTTTCCACCAAGGTTGTGCTTCGGCCCTGTAACATCCGGATTTCCCTCTGGAGGAGGGGGAGGGGCACTGGAGAGTTCATAGCATAAGCTGGTTCCAAATAAGCAATACATTGTATCACCGGTACTCCAACATTGTATAGGAATGAAGAACCAAGCAGTGCAGGCTTCTGAGTTCTGTCTACCAGTACTTCCTGGCCTCGTGAATCCACGGGAAAGAGAATTATTCAAGCATGATGACATGGTGCAAAATACCATTACTGTGACCTTCATTATTCTGTACCGCTATAAGTTAGCAAATGTCTACGTAGTAAACAGCTAAATACGGACTAAAAGCTCCTCTAATCCTCTCCGTTGGACTCCAATATTCAGGGACCAAACCCTTTCCGGTCCCTTTTCCCGATGCACCCATTGATAAACCGGACCCTGGACGACCAGCGCGTTTGCAAGTGAGTGTAACATCTAGAACTGCGGGGCTGACGAATCACGTAGGAAGCTTATGGAAAACAGATTCCACAGGCTGCAGTTGCCGATACGCGGGGCAATTTCACCGGCATGCCTCTTCAAGTCTTCATACCCACCAGCTATATAAGCCCTGTAACCTCACGAATCTCCCCTCATCGTCTTCCTGTTCTCATCCTCCTTACCTGCTCTTCATCTGATCATCGACACAATCCCCCATATTGAAACCATGGCGAAGCAATGCCCCATCCAGAAAGCCAACGTTGGTGGAGGCGGCACCAGAAACACCGACTGGTGGCCCAACGAGCTTAAGCTTAACATCCTTCGTCAGCACACCAACGTCACCAATCCGCTGGCCAAGGACCTCGATTATGCCGCGGCATTCAAGACCTTGGACTATGACGCCCTGAAGAAGGACATCACTGCCTTGATGACGGATTCTCAGGACTGGTGGCCTGCCGATTTCGGTCACTATGGCGGTCTCTTCGTCCGCATGGCCTGGCACAGCGCTGGTACCTACCGCGTCTTTGACGGCCGTGGTGGCGGTGGACAGGGTCAGCAGCGATTCGCTCCGTTGAACAGCTGGCCCGACAACGTCAGCTTGGACAAGGCACGTCGCCTGCTCTGGCCCATCAAGCAGAAGTACGGAAACAAGATCTCCTGGGCCGATCTGTTGCTCCTCACTGGCAATGTCGCCCTCGAGTCCATGGGCTTCAAGACCTTCGGATTCGCTGGTGGCCGTACCGATGTTTGGGAGGCCGACGAGTCAGTGTACTGGGGAGGCGAGAGCACATGGCTGGGCAACGACGTCCGCTACTCCTCCGGCAAAGAGGGTCTCGGTGGGCAGGGCGTTCTGGGTTCTGATGAAAGCAAGAAAGAACATACCGACATCCATTCTCGTGACCTGGAGAAGCCGTTGGCAGCAGCACACATGGGCTTGATCTACGTTAACCCTGAAGGCCCCGACGGCATCCCGGACCCGATTGCTGCGGCTCGGGATATCCGCACCACCTTCGCCCGTATGGCCATGGACGATGCGGAGACGGTTGCATTGATTGCCGGTGGTCACACCTTCGGAAAGACTCACGGCGCAGGGCCATCCGACAACGTTGGCAAGGAACCAGCATCGGCTCCCATCGAACAACAGGGTCTTGGCTGGGCAAGTGGGTACGGCTCCGGTAAGGGAGCTGACACCATCACCAGCGGTCTGGAAGTCATTTGGACAAAGACTCCGACCAAGTGGGGCATGACCTTCCTAGAGTATCTCTTCAACAACGAGTGGGAACTCACCAAGAGCCCGGCTGGTGCCAACCAATGGGTAGCGAAGGATGCCGAAGCCTCCATCCCCGATGCCTTCGACCCGAACAAGAAGCATAAGCCGCGTATGCTGACGACTGACCTTTCCCTGCGCTTCGATCCCGCATATGAGAAGATCGCCCGAGGGTTCCTCGCGAACCCCGATCAGTTCGCAGATGCGTTTGGCCGTGCCTGGTTCAAGCTGCTCCATCGTGATATGGGCCCGAGGGCTCGCTGGCTAGGCCCCGAAATTCCATCGGAAGAGCTGATCTGGTCCGACCCAATTCCCGCCCGTGACCACCCGCTCATCGACGACCAGGACATCGCCGCTCTTAAGAAGCAGATCCTGGACTCTGGCGTCGAGGGCACCAAGTTCCTCTACACCGCCTGGTCCGCGGCATCCACGTTCCGCGGCAGCGACAAGCGCGGCGGTGCCAACGGTGCCCGCATCCGCCTTGCGCCTCAGAAAGACTGGAAGGTCAACAAGCCCGACCAGCTGGCCGAGGTGCTCAGCGCGCTGGAGAAGGTCCAGACGAGCTTCAACGGCTCTGCCAGCGGCGGCAAGAAGGTCTCCCTCGCTGACCTCATCGTCCTGGCCGGCGTCGCCGCCCTCGAGAAGGCCGCTGGCGTCCCCGTCCCCTTCACCCCCGGCCGCACCGACGCCTCGCAGGAACAGACCGACGTCGAGTCCTTCGCGCACCTCGAGCCCCACATCGACGGCTTCCGCAACTACGGCACGGGCAACCCGCGCGTCCGCGCCGAGCAATTCCTTGTCGACCGCGCCCACCTCCTCACCCTCTCTGCGCCCGAACTCGCCGTCCTCGTCGGCGGCCTCCGCGCCCTCAACCTCAATACGGACGGGTCCGCCACCGGCGCGCTCACCTCGCGCCCTGGGCAGCTCACCAATGACTTCTTCGTCAACCTGCTCGACATGAGCACCGCGTGGCGGGCGGCTGGCCCCGACGGCAACCTCTTCGACGGCGTGGACCGGAAGACGGGCGCGAAGAAGTGGACCGCGACGCGCGCGGACCTGGTTCTGGGCAGCCACGCGGAGCTGCGCGCGCTGTCGGAGGTGTACGCGCAGAACGACTCGCAGGAGCGGTTTGTGAGGGATTTCGTGGCCGCGTGGGATAAGGTGATGAATCTGGATCGGTTTGATCTGGGCTCCGGCGCTGGCTCGGATAAGCCAAGGCTGTGAGGGATGGAAGGGTTAATTCCACCACTGGATGGTTGTGGGTAGCGACTTTCTCCCTTTGATAATATTCCAGTGTCGTTTAGCGGAATCAAGAATGACCAAGTCGATTTCATGATAGCAACTTTCGAATGCCAAGCAGTTCTTAGCAATTATAGTGGCCAACCATTTAACCTGGATCTAGGCACGGTTAATCCTGAAATGAACAGCGAACAATGTAGATCTGGCATCTATAAGGTAGCCAGAAATTTGTACAGCGAACTATAAGACTAGGGTTGCTCCTTTAATTATAAACCATACGGTATTCATACACATCATGTGCCCCATGGCAGGCCCCGTGGTTGGCGACCGCAAGCCTCGCATCCCTCCAATAACTACCCAACACCAACGCCCCGCTTCCCCAAGTTATCGATACAGTCGGAGAATTCTCGGATGTGGAGGGGATCTGTCCTCTCGTCTAAAGACCATTCGGCTCGTAGCGTCCGCATACATGGTGAGCATCCTGCTCGGATCTGGTGCGATGCACGTCTCAACAGGACGACCTCCCGAACCTATGTGTCTGTCGCGCTTCCACGGCTCGCGATAGAGCGCTGCTCAGGAGAGCTCGGTCGGGAAGGGTTAGGTGAGGGTGTCTCTCCAACATTCGAGAGGATGGTGCGCGATCAGAAGAAGCGCCACCAGATGAAGATGATCATGATAAGCCCCAGTCCTGCTATCGGGCCATACTGCGTTCCAAGTTAGCCGACCGGCCCGTAACCTGCCGATTCCATACGCACCTGCTTCAACAGCAACTCCCAATTAATCCGCATCGCCGCCTTCTTATACTTCAAGCTATCGTCCCGCAGCCGCGAGCTCATGTCCCCCATCCGCTCCAAGCTGTCCCCCCGATACAGTAGATCCTCGATATTCTTCGTCATCACCTTCGTCACGTCCTGCAGCTCGCTATTCAGCTTGTCGAGGTTCTGCGACGCCCGCGCGTCCTGGTACGTTTTGATGGTCTTCTGGATGAAGGTGTCGAACTCGACGAACGCGTACGGTCGCAGGTTGGCAGAGAGGTACTGCTGCGCGGGGTAGGTGTTGGTGAATTCGCCTTGGATGTCGGAGAGATAGGTAAAGGCGAGCTTCCGCGGGTAGGATCGCTCGCATATGCAGAGGTAGATGACGTTGTCGTGGATGAGGTAGCTGTTGAGAATTAACGGAGGACGGCGCTGATCGCCAGCGGTGCGGATACATACTGGAGCGTGTATTGCCCGCATTCGATCGTGGCCTGCGGTGCCGCGTTCTTGTTCAGGCGCCGTAGGATCTTCTTCACGTTGTTCTTGACTTCTCCGAGTTCGTTTTGCGACTGGACAATAGTAAGCATTGTATCGGATGCAAGGAGCTTCCAGGGCAAGCTACCTGCTCATTGTCGACTGATGCCGCTAGTATAAGGCCTTAGAACAGATGTTGTGTTAGTACAGGACCATATATATATAGAATTTGGAACAGGACATACCATCCAAACGGACGATTTGTGTTGAACGGATCATGGTAGACGAATTGTTGCGATAGCAACTTTTGATGTTAGCCGTGAGTCGTGGTTTTCGTAGGAGGATGAAGTTATGGACGTGGAACAAGTGAGACACAGACACGAGGATCACGAATAGAAAATGGGATCCTGCGGTATGACTGATGTGGCATCAAATCCAGGCTACTAAGTGTAATAATAGTTAGTTATACGAAATACGTAACTACCTGAGTTTGGAAGTCGTTGGATGTGGTCTCACTGGCTCGGCGAGTCGGTGGTAGAGATGCGACCGGACAGGCAGGTACCGCCACGTGCAACTTTGACACCGAGCGTTCAGACTCTACCTCAACCTTTCATCAAATTGAGCCTGTAACTGAATGGACCATCTATCCTAATACAGTACCTTTTGTTCTAACAATGGCATTGGTCAATCTTTCCACTAATTATGGTCTTCTACTTTGGGTGGTCCCATGCTTTCAACCGCCCATTTGCAAATGGCCTTCTGCAGTATGGGACGGATCAGGCAACTCAACCGTCATTATTAACCACGAATAGGGGAAGACAAATTGGTACAACGATTGGACCTTCGGGTTTATTTGAATTCCCCAAATCCCATGGCGAGTCTATTGCAGAATTGGTTTGATTCTTTATGTCTTCCCCTTTGTCTCCACGGGCTCTATTCGCTTGCAGAAAGCCAACATACCATACAAGAGATCTCCTTTTGCCCTTTGTCCTTCTTTTACCAAGTACAATCCCAACATCGCATGAATCGTAGTATAAGTCAATCTTAGCGACCTCATGTCAATTCGTTCCGTTTGGGCTGGATTCCTTGCTCCGATCAATCGCCCAGAGGCCACGCAAGTACCAGACGACGAAGCCATGGTAGGCCTCAACGGGTCCAATACGAATAATGGACAAGAGAGCTCAAATAAAAAACACGCGAGGGAAAATAATAGAGAAGACGAACTAGCGGCTAAGAAGCAAAAAGTAGGAAACGAGAAGCCAGCGGATGGGGCCAATGGACAGCTTTCGCAAGAGCAGTTGGAACGTGAAAATGGGCAGAGGTGGGTGGAACACACCGCCTTTATACGGGCTCTGCGGACCAGTGGAATTCTGGCCAAAGACAGCAGTATCGGTATCAACGACATCCTCAAACACAACCTAGCATGGACCACTTTGAATCCCGCCCAACAGGCTGAGCTGACGTCCCTACTCGCTCCAGTTCCACGAGGTGGTGGGAAAGGGTGGGACGAGGTATCAGCTCCCACTGGACATGCCCTATACAATACCTCCTTCAGGCCTGACTGCCGAATGGTGGGCGATCAGGTGAACGCCGGCCGGTACAACCCAGCTACATTGGTCGCCTATGCACGCGCGAGGAAGTGAGAGCGACCGCCGCTTTTCAGGAGCATGAGAAGATTGGCAGACAAGTTCGGCACGGATATTGGCCAGACAAGGGTGAGGGACAAGGGGGCGAGGTAGTAAAAGATTCACCTGCAGCAGTACAGAGCGGGAAGGGCGGCAAGGGCAATCAGGGGAATAAGGGCGAGGCCGGCAGAAAGTCAACCGATAAAATCAGCTCCACAACAGAATATGTGGCGATCATCACGATTAGGGTAATCCCGACAGATGAGACAGCGAGGGGTTGGGCAAACATTAAAGCGAAGAAGGAGAAAAAAACAAAAGACGACAAGGAGAATAAAGACAAGGAGAACGAGGGGGACGAGGACGGGGACGAGGATGAGGATGAGGATGAGGACGAATATGAGGACGAGTATGAGGACATGGACTAAAGCTGCCATAATTGCAGCCTGTAGTTCACTGCCCGTTTGCTAGTACAAGAGTCATTCTCACTGTAGCCTTTGTGTACCTAATCCTATGGTGTAATTTTCGCGACTCCGTAACTCTATGTTGTTGGTTGAGGTTAATGATCCCATCTCTAGACATTGGTGGAAGATAGTACCGATATCCAGTGGTTCAATTCTCGAGCCAATTTATGGGACCTGAGGTGTAAAGGCGACCCTAACGTTTGGTCCTTCAGCTCCAGCTATCGCTGAGATAATACTTCACGTTTTCTACATTGTTCAAAACACCAGATAAATTGATAACTTCGGGACATACCCAGAATTGTAAATGCCCATAAGCCAACTATCACATCGAAGGACTCATAACCTTCTGCTGATCTCGAGGCTCTTCAGCTGCCGCGACAATGTCTCGCCATTCACGCTGCTGCTGGACTCGCTTGAGCAGTCGGCCGCTCCTGTCGCTGAAGAGATGATCGCAAGGGCAAAAGTACGGCTTAAATCCCCCGCTATAATTCCAGTCAGGCTAACTCGTGCAATTCAGAGTGGGAGGCTACGGATTGCGTTTCTTGCGTTCGGTACCTTGCGATGCCCGCGGAATGTGGATGCATTTATCGATTGCGTCGGAAAGAGCATGGATGGGATCAGAAAGGAGGTATTGTCAATTATATCGGCAAGTCCATCTACGAGTACGACCCTTTGCACCGCCTCTGGTTGCTTTTCGCCTTATTAATTTGCCCAGGAACTCTGCTAGTCATCGACTCCCTCAATGCCCTGAGTGCCACCGTCTCAGAGCAGCTCTCTGGATTCTTAGGCTCCTTGATAGCGCCTCAGGTCAATCTACTGGGCATATATCACCTCGATATCCCTGCCCAGCGTTCCTCAAGCGGTCTCCAGTCATCGCTCCTCCAATCCTATGCCCCCTCTCCATTCAGCCTCCTAACCTACCTGGCCACCACCATCATCACGGTCCACTCCCCGGCCCAGCAGCTGGCCCGTCGCGCCTCAAAGAACCGATCGCTCGCCGAGCCATCTTTCGGGCTCTCCGAGTCCGTCGAGGGCGTCGTCGCGGGCCTGGGCAGCAATGACCGGCGCGGCGCCGTGCTCGAGGTGGAGCATCGGCGAAAGAGCGGCCGCGAGATCATCGAGTGGTATTTCTTACCCTACGCCGTTTCTGCACGTCCAGCGGCGGTGGAAGCGCCGGATTCGGCGGCGAAGACGAAGCGGATAGGCCCGGGGTCGCAGAAGGAAACGATCATGCTACTGGATGATTGGCCTCTATATCACGATTTGGTGGCCAAGCCGGATGGGGAACCACGCGGCGAGGAAAACGTGGAGGGGCTAACGTTTGATTTGGGGCTCACGGAAAGACAGAAGAGGGAGCGTGAAGGCGTGGTGCTCCCATACTTTGATGCGCAAAGGGATGAGGGAGTGGGACAAGGTGGTCGCATTATCTATGACATGGGTGTTGAGGATGACTTCGATGAAGAAGAAGACGAGATATAATCAATATGGATCACTTGATCGATCCGAATAGAACTTATATTAATGTGAGATCTTACTAGGCGCCTATTATCACGCTTCACAGCCTGCTTTCTCGCTTTCCCAAATATCAACGTCAAAGACCAGATCCATCCGGCGGGCTCTAGAAACCATATATGCAATATTCATATTCCATCTCCGTTTAAGATGAAGAAGCCTAAGTTCAACATCTCCACCATAGCCGCCAAAATGCAATTCTTCACTCTCCTCGCGAGTATAATTCCCCTCTCCGTAGCCTCCCGGCTTGCCATCTCCATCCCCGCATCCGCCCAGATCCCCCAACCCGCCAGCCTCTCCTCATCAACCTACGCCATCCTACATTCCTCCGGCCCCTCGCTCACCGCGCCGCTCACCAGCCGCAACACCTTCGAATTCGGAAGCCTCGAGCCCGGGTCATATCTCCTATCCGTGTATTGTCGCGACTATGCGTTCGAGCCGCTGAGGGTGGATGTGAGTGGAGAAGCGGACGAGGAGACAGTCCAGGTGTGGCAGACGTTCCGCGGAAACGCGTGGGATAACAAAGGGGAGTTGAGGGGCGCGGGGAAGGATGTGACGGTGGATATCAGGGCGTTGGGGTCGAATGAGTACTATCAGAGCCGTGGTGGATGTGAGTGCACATTTCCCAACCGCGGAGTAGTTGGCTGATTACTGACGACGCTGCAGTTTCTCTGTTATCATTCTTCAAGAACCCGATGATCTTGATGTCATTGTTCTCGCTTCTCGTCATCGGCGGGCTCCCGTGGATTATGAACAACAGTACGTCTACCTGACTATCCCCATCTCGGTGCGGTGACCGCGGTATCTAACACATGCACCCTAGTGGATCCCGAGACGAAAGCCGAATTCGAAGCAATGCAGAAGCAGCGACGCGAAAAGCCTGCTAGCTCACCATCTGATACTGCATCGCAAATTCAAAATTTCGACATGGCCGGTTGGTTGGCTGGTTCGTCAAAGGACAAACGAGGTTGAAATCTCACGTATTGGACTGGAATTCACTTGGAGATTGGAATAGACGTGTTGCTCAAAGGGGCATATCATTTTTACCCAGCACAGCTAGGTAGGAGCCTGCTCCTCGAAGGTATCGTGCAGTTCATAACCGCGGGAGGTCGTATGTTACATTTCTCGTCAAGTCATCCTCGTTGAATACGCGCTCCCCTGGTATCATGCAAGTCCAAGACGCCAAATCAGTGCAAACGCTGAGGCGAACGCAAGAAAAACATTTCAAAGAGACAGGATCTGCACGCCCTCATCTTCCTCCCCTCGTCGAATTTCGTAGCTTAGGATGGAGTGGTTCATCCAGGTGAGGATGAGCCGCCACCGCTTGCAACCATTGCCATGTAGGCCCGACGGCGTGTGGCCTGGTTCCCGCTGCCACCCACTTCCAGGGATGGGACCCACGGCAATCCCGATCAGGATGTGTTCAGGGCGTTCACACTTCTCTTCCTGACTGGCAAAAGGAAGGATGTGGTCGAGCCGAAACCCGTAGACGGTTTTCGTACCCTCCCAACCCGCATATCGGGCTTGTAATTTCGCGTCCGCATTGCTCTCCCGCAGCTTCTTAAGGCGCGCCCCGGAAGAAAAGACGTCCATCTGCGTCAGTGTGCAAACAGCCACACGTCCTTTCCCGCTGGCAATGCAGATGACTCCCAGGTCGGGAATAAATGCGTGAAGGTTCATTCGGTCAGTTTGACTGAAGACGTGAGAATAAAACGTGGGTGCAATGGCAGATTTGATTTCCTGGAAGAGCGGGTCGTGCGCTCCAACGACTGGATAGTAGTTCTTGTGATCGAACTCAGAGATCGCATCCATTGACTGGCGCTTGTTGTGGAATGGTGGCCGCTTCGAGGAAATCTTCGCTACCTGTGGCTGCATGATGAAAATGTCTTTGGAAGAGAGGTGGAGAATCGGGGCTTCCGGAGGAAATAGCATTTGTTCCACGTTTGACCGTGATGGCGGGATGATCTCAAGGAATGGAATAGACCTGGTGGGAACGCAGTTAGGATGAGTAGAAATATAAGGCCCCTTTAAAGGGCTAGGTAGAGGCAAAATCTAGGAGAAAAGCTGAAAACTGGATGAATCTAAAGGAAACGCTCAGGACTTACCCATCTAGAGACCTTTGCAGAGGCCGAGCGGGAGTGAACCAATCCGACATCGGGTCCACTAGCTCGGTGTTGTGATCCTGCATTGGGTGTTCATGGTATTGGACTGACGATGCGGGACCTCCTGCTCCACCAGACATGGAAGGTTCAATATCAGACGCCGAACCGTCATCTGCCATATCTGTGCCAAGATCGTCGCTAAGGGTACTGTCCGCATCGGAATATGCCCCGTCGTCGTCATCGTCAGAAACATCTTCAACGGGTGACATAGGTGCTTGTACGTTGGCGAAGTTCGCCCTGCCGTCGTACCGCTCGCTCGCATCGATGACTTCCTTGCGGGAAGCACTGATATCCCAAAAGTCCGTTGGGAAATCCTTGTCACTAAAGTCTCGCTTTTGGAGCCCTAGCGCTTTGGAGAACGACGGTGGGTTGATCCTGCGGAAAGATCGCCGATCCAACCAGTATGTACCCCATATTGCATGCGGGTATGCGCTCTTCCCGCCGCATGCACAACTGCCGTCGAGCTTCCGATCCTTGCAGAATGCGAGCTGGGCTTTTTTATAGAGAGTCGCGGTGCGGGTGTTCCAGACCATCATCCAGTTCCCGATACTTCCGGAAAGGAGCCATTCTCCGTCCGGGTCATCCCCGGTGTTGCAGAAATTCACCGTAGGCAAGTTCTCGCCGGAATCAGGAAGCTCAAGCCGTTTCTCTTTTCGATGGATCATATCGTTGCCGTCCAACCCAAACCAATAGACGACAAGCCTATGAGTATTGGAGCTAACGGCTATCATGCGAGCAACCGAGTGAATGGCAAGACCCCAGGCGCTCATCCCAACATTTTTATGGAAGAACGGACGAACCCTGTAGTCGTTAGGGTTGCGACCACCCCGGTTCTCGCCGGATTGCAAAATTTGAAGATGGATATCATCGATGTAGTAGCCCAGGACGTCTCCATCGTCGCACGCTACCAGGACTACCTCCTTGTTGCCCAGATAGTCGATGATCAGGTAATTGACAGAATGCGGCCTCAGTGCATCAATGGTTCCGGTAATTCCAGGACTTGACTTCGGAAGATCAACTACCCAAGAAAGCTGGCCGGGCAAGCCATGGGCTGGGAAGGTCGGTTTGTATACCTCGACCTCTGCAGCACAGGCGACCAGGTAGTAATCATGGGATTGTGCGAGGGCTGTCAGATTGCATCTCCACGGCAACAGCTTCCTTAGATCACTCCGAGCATCTTCTGACGGGAACTGGCTTCAGTTAGACTCCCGTTGACACGTGGGACCAATGGATCGGAACGGGAACTTTTGAAGTGCCAAAAGATCCGGATTTGTACCAAACGAAGCTTCCCACGTCTCCATGATTTCAATAACAAGCAGGAAAGCTAACGAAGCACAAATGTCTATGACGGAATTGGCAAGATGGAACAGCAACACTTACTCGACTAGATGTAGTTTGCCTATTTGTGGGAGTTACTGATAACTCCTTGAACTGCCGTCCGATCTCTCGAGAAACCATCATCCTGGTCCCATACTGATATTTTTAGGGAGAAGGACGGTGCGGGGCCAAAGCTAGTAGGAAAGCGGGCCGTGAGGATGTGTTACGTGGGATAAGATCGCAAACTTGCATTCAACGAAGTGACAATGACAGACAGTGATGATGCTGTTGGAAGACCGTACTGAACTAACTGAAGGAGCCCAACGATCTCACGCTTATCGATAAACGGCGAATCCTTGTCTTCGGCGGACAGTTAGGGAGGTCCGTGCACAAACAATTGCTGTGAAGTGTGAAGTGTGAAGTGTGATGAATTTGTTGGAGGGTAGGACAAGATACTGCAACTAAAATTGGTCATTAACGAGAGGGCTGGGGAAGCGAATTTGAAAATTTGATGCATACAGGATGCATACGGGATGCATACGGATGATGAACGGGTCAATATCAAAATTCAAAACATCTCCATTGTGCTGTCTGATGGAACGATGATGCGGGGATTCCGTCTGAACAGCAAAGGGTCCTCTGGGGGTACTGGGACTGTGGGGAAAGCACGTGATAAGTCTAACGTACTCCACTGTCAGTCTGTCTCCAACCCTCATAGTGCTGAATGAACGAACTTCAAGTCTTCAACTGCCAACTAAATGTGATAGATCATACATCTCCATTTTCTCACTTGATCCATTGAATCTGATCTCGAGCAGTATCTACAAGGATGAGACCACATGTTTCACATCTGCTGTACTCGATAAAATCACCGCTTGCAACCCTACCAAAGGACATCCGGATGCCCAACTAGCATTCAACATCTCGAAATGTCCGCGCATATGCGTTGCAGGAGGCCAATAGACATCCATACGTCCCGCAGCTATCACTCTGCATTATGGATCCAGGAACTCTCTGCCTCAAGGTCGTCCAACTTCAACTGTTGACCGGTTCCGGACTCGATGTGGTACGACGCCGATGTTTCTCGCATCGCGGCCTTTTGGAATCCAATCCCGTCCGTCTTCATCTGCTGATTCTATCCTTTCGTGCCAAATTCCATTCCCAATGCCTGCATCATGGAGATCGACCACCGGACCCTGAGCCCATCAGCTCGAACGCGCTTCCGCTGCACGCCCGGTGGGGATCTCTCCGCCTGCATCATCTGGCTTTGCCATCGCGCACGGCGGCAACGAAAGGGCCATGACGGGCCGCTGCGGCTGCGAACCGTTGGATGTATGGCGACTCGATCAAACGATAGGTAGGTTTGGTACCAAGGCTGCAGCTTCCCGCCATGACTATGATTTCCGTACAATGGACACCTCCACGTTCTGCAGGCTTCCGAGGGCGATGTCTGAGTCCGATTCGCATGGGTTACTCAAGGCAGATCCTGCCTTCTCCCCGCGAATCCTCAATACGTCGTCGGCAAACCCGTCTCGATATCAGTCGAGACCTTGTTGTGTGCCATTATTTGCAGGTTCTGTCACTCCATTCAGTTATGGTGTAACTTGATCCCGTCTTTCTTGAATGCGTCAGAGACATTTTGTGTGATTCCAATGTTCAATCTTTGCTCATTACTGGTCAGCCCACTGTCCTGTGAAGCAGTCTAACGACATTCGGTGTGCATTGCACCGATATGAACCAATTGTGAAGTGAAGGAATTGCGAATCCTGCGCAGTACAACCAGAGGGTGGGGAGCATTGATTCGATATTCTTGCAGAGGGAGGTATATACAGATATTTCAATGCTCCCCCTCAATCCTCTGCTTTCTTTTAGCTAGTCCTGACGAAAGCAATACGTTTGAACTATCATTTGACGCTTCCTGACCGAGAATCTTTGTTGAGGGTGCACCTGACTCGCGGACGGCATTACTGTTGCATGACTGATATACGGACCTCTCCTTGTTCAGAGGGAATCCTGAGTCGGGCTTGAATACGCAGGTCGCCGGACTTCTCTTTCACCAATCATAGCTCTCCAGTCGCCTCAGCTGCTCCGCGTCTGATCACCACTCCATCAAGTGTCATCGTGGCAAAGAGAAGTATACTATAAGAGCTAGGAAAGATTTGGTACTATGGGCCGAATCAAGTCACCCGCAGTTGCACCAGGCGACTCTACTTTCGACTCTTCGCTCCGCATTCAAATCACCAATCTCCTGCATACCGCCAACATGTCGGAGTACAAGTCCCCATATGAAGCCAGCGCCTCGGTCCTCTCGACGCTATCCTCCTCCGACATCCTGCTCCTACTATCCCCCGCCATCCCCGGCCCAATTCCCGACATGGACCCCTTCGAACCCCTCGGCCGCGCCTTAAGCGGCTTCCACCCAAAAGTGCGCCATGTACCCTACGTGCCGTCCATCGGGATGCGCGACATCCACCGCGAATTCCTCGCGGAGGCCGGCGCCGTCATCGTGGTCCTTGCGTGCAGTCTGACGTCCAAAACGGATTCGGAGAAGCAGAAGCAGTTCGCGCAGCAGGTCACGACCGAGCTGGGGTCGGAGGTGCCGTCGTTGCTCGTAGTCGTTCAGACGCCGCTGGTGGGATCCGGGGACGGGGAGGTGGGGGTGGGATACGATGCCGTCCTCAGTGGGTCGTCGTGTCGGCCGGAGCATCTGCAGGATATTGCGTATAAGGCTTTTGGGCACGAGGAGTTGTCGAGGTACATGTGATTCGACCGTGGCGGGAATGAGCGGACGTTTTAAAGGGGGCACATTGCAGGTTATGACGTATACGACGCGGATGTGGTACAGGCGTTGCAGTGAGGGCAGATGAAATTTAGCTTCTGAAGGATACCAGGCGGTCGATTGGCATGTCAGGGTGTGTCGTTGATGTTTCGGTCTTGAATTCATATTCTGGCCTGCATAAATATCTTGCCTTTAAATAAGCTCTAGCAGCATGCAGCATGAGGTGGGAAAATTGTTCTGCTTTGGTCAATATCTGGCGCGATCGTTTGAACTTAAATGTCTTTCATTCGATTATTTTTATGATGAAATATTAAGGCGCCGAAATCCTACCTTCAGTGTCAGATCCAGCCAGTCAATACGTCCAAGAAACCTTCCACTGGAAGCATACACGCTTGGATGTGTTTGATACACAATAATTATGCCCGCAATGTCCGCAACGCCGTACCACATCCCATGCCATCAAATGCTAAATATCGCTCACCAGTTACGCTTTCCCTCAGATCTGACTAACCGCTTCTGATACCGCTTCCGATACCGCCGTAGTGGCGGTTTCCGCAAGGGTACTGCTGTCCCCAAACACGCTCTGCGAAGCGTCCCACAAGGCCTCCATACCGTTCTTGACCATGCCGTGCAGGCTGTCGGACTCGTCGCCAAAGATGTAATAGATGAGACGCGGGTAGATAGTGAAGAGATGTCGAGGGAGGTAGAAGAAGGTGGCCCAGAAGAAGAGGAGGAGGATCGAGAGGAAGATGAGGTCTGTGGACGAGGATGTCAGCCAATGTCCATGTAGTTTCTAGAGGTGCGAAGCAGTTGGAAGCAAATAGCTTGACAGCGCAGAGATGCGACCAAACTTAAACTTACTGAAGACAATCGTCTCATTTCTATTCATCATGTAGACAGACATGGTCACCTCGTACTGATAATACTTCCTCAACAGCCATTTCCGGGTAGTAGGAGAAGCGCCCAGTGCAATGCTGATTACAGGAACGATCGCAAGGAGAGTGGTTGTGGAGTTCAGCTCGGGGAGCGCGATGTTTGCCAGTGATGCCATGGCGACGGATCGGGAAGACCGCGGAAGCGATAGAACGAGGGCTGATATTCGTGCGATTCAAGAGAAGGCGGTGGCAGCCGGAAATTGCGGTGCTTTCGATTAACGATGCGGGTAACGCTGGATCTTCGACGTGGTGGATGGGGTGGGTGGAGGAAATAGGAGGATCACGACAATTAGGATCTGGGATCCGGAGATCGTTCTGTACCCCAATTGACAAATTTTGATGCCTTGAATAAATCGACAATTCTGGGATAGACTTCAATCTAAGAAAAATATTAGGAGAGGCCGAGTCGTCCGATGAGGTGAGGTTCGGACTTCGCGCGGTTCCACCGATCACTAACGACTCATACCCTGATAATAGCACTAGGAGGCACAGGGCAGACACGTGTGCGGGCAGAAAAGGGGTGTTCTAGACGCGTGCATGCGTTTCATCTTTTTTTACCATGCTTAGAATTCAGATCCATCAATGACATCAGATTATTGAGATCATTTGGGTGATGGGATGAATCGGTAGCAAACAACCCCAATGCGATTCCATCAATGGCGTCGGGTCACAACAGCGCTTCAGTCATGGCGTGCTCCAGCAATTCAGAGGGCACGCTTCTCCTCCAGCGCCATTGCGGCAGCAAAAAAGCCGAAACAGAAACCCCTTCCGCCGAAGCCTACTGTGGATGACAATGACCTTATCGAAAACTTTCTGAGGGGCTCCGGGCCGGGTGGGCAGAAGATTGTATGGCATTTCATTTCCTCACCTGGTCCTTCCAGCGCGACCGGATTCTGACATGGCCTAGAACAAAACCACCTCCGCCGTCCAACTTATCCACATCCCCACCGGACTCGTCGTCAAATCCCAGGACACCCGCTCACGGTCGCAGAACCGCGTTATTGCGCGCAAACGACTGGCGGAGGCGCTGGACGAGAGGGAGCATGGAGAGGCGAGTCGGAGCGCGATCAAGCGCGATAGGCAGAGCAAGAAGAAAAGCAGCAGGGCGAAGAAGAGCAGAAGAAAGTATCGGAAGTTGGAGGAGGAGAAGAGCAGGCAGGAGGGGGGCGCTGCGGTTGGAGAAGAGGATGGCGATGGGCTCGACGAGCACGATGATGATGATGATCAAGACGGGGACGATTCCGAAGTGTCTCCGGGTGTTGAACGGACGCAGGACATGCAGCCTGAGACACCCAAGTCCAATGGATGATTTTGGACCTTACATCAGGATCTGCTACCATACAGCGACGACATCGAGGCTGACCGAGGCCTCTTCTCCAGAATCGCTCTCCCAACCGTGAGCCTGAGCTCACCATCCGACCCTCCATATATTTTCTTCGAGAATCGGAGTCGAGCAGTAGCGATTCACTACTCGACTCCAGAATTCTGCACCTCGATGCAGTCGACGAAACTGCCTCGGTACTCCCAAGGACATACTGTCGCTATCCGTCGCAAGCCATGCAGTATGTGTTGGCCATATACCGGTGGATCAGGGTATCCATTCACAGTCGCGAGAGGCCCTAGCCATACGCTCCAGTATGCTGCTACCCGTGTACATGTCCACTTTATGGCTGCAGTAGGGCTCTGGCGTAGAAGCGAGCTACGCGAGTACACAACCCGGGTGTATGACTGTATGTGTCTAGGAGAGGGTGGTCATCCGGTTGCTTGCCGGATAATTCCACTCGGAGCAGAAGCTGGATCCAATATAAATGTCGCACTTTGGAGCAGCAGACGAACGGAAGATCTACGGGAGTGAGATCCTGTGCGCTTGGGTACCGGTGCTTTACAAGAATCCATCGCCGATCTCTCAGGATGTCCTGGGTATTGTATACTTCCCTGTGCGACAATCTAACGATATTTATCGTGCGTTGGAATCGCTGCGTCCTATTCAACGACTTCATGGAAACCATGCCGCTCCAGCCCTAGGGGACATGGACTCGGTGGTAGGTTATTGGCGAGCACGACAATGTTTCTCAAAAAGACAACGTCTTCAGGAACCATCAATATCAGCGTGTTGATCTAGCAACGCATATTCTGTCGTCTGTCAATGATGAATCCAATTTGCTGCTTCCTCTTTCTATTTGAAAACCTTGTTGTTACCTCACCATGCGAAACGTACTTTCACAGTCCCTCAAGCTGTCAAGCAATAGTTGGGCTTGATATACCCCGAACGGGCAACTGCCTCGGCTTAGGATATCTTCCGGTAGCACTATTCGCCTACATATCAGTACATGTATACCCAAAGTCTGGGTCCTAAATGCACGCCTAGCCTAATTTATTTGATACCGGCACGAAAAGTGTCCTCCCGTCGTGCGGCAATATTACAAACAACGTGCGGTGCGCTGCATTTGTTACTGGCGAGGAGGAGACTATTCCGACTAGGTTGGCGGGGCTTCCGTTTGATGTTCATGAACGACCAGCCGGACATATTGTCAAATAAGAGGCCAAGAATGCCATCGTTGCTGGGCGAGGGTAGCAGCCGTTGAGACTGGGCACCGGCCATGGCCGCCATTGACTGGATGGGGCTATACTGTCTGTCTATGGTTCTACGCAAACTGTGCTGATCAACGTTTCAAAACAGCCCTCAATATGGACATAGGTATATCTGCGTCAAGATATAGCCCGGTTCTACGATCGGTTCAGTTGTCGGTCCCATAGCGTATGTAGGGCTTGAGACTTGAAAGGAATTATCTCGCAAAGCATTTGGGAGTCAAGGGTTCTCATAGACCCCAATCGACAACACGATTGTCGTGATATATCCTTCGATCTGGATTATCTATCCCAAACCTTGAAATTCTATTATTATCATGCTGCATCGGACGAAAGCTGTCAAGCTCAGCGATATATTGCCCGCTCGATCGATATTAGCATGTGGTAGACATCTTTGCCCCACCATATCACATATGCCGTCTGGCTACTTGCTAACAGGGCAGGGGATTCCCCTCCATTCTCCTCGAGGCTCGAACAACATGGAACCCTCAACGGGTCAGTTTGCAGCACGCCTTTGCGGGGTATCTGGCTCTCCAAAGTAAGTCCAATGTGACATTCCCGTTGAAGTCGCACAAATCCGCGAAGCGGCAGAACCACCGCGCCTAAGCGAGAAGAACTTGAGTCAAACTTGCATCATCCGGCCTGAAAGGGAAGATAGATGCAACTTTATGTACGGTCGAGCACGCAGAAGCGACTGGTGTCGGGCGGCAACGCTACGGCCAGTAGATGGAGCGTTGGGTCGGGTTGCAGCCTCCCACTTCTCCAAGCGCCGGATTGCGGTTTTGGGAGGATGCCGCGGAGATACTATTGGCGCTACAACGAAGGAATGGTGCATTGCATTTGAGGTGCTTCTATGCCAGCCATGAGACCGCAGGAATGAATGTCGAATTGCCCTTCGGTCGATTGGAGCTAGACATTTCGGAACTGGAGGTTTCGGAATGACATGTTGAAGTGAGACCACGCCATCCGGCCCAACACACTTCCAATCGCACGGGTGGAGAAGAAACAAGCTCGAAGAGGACGGACAACGGCGATGCAACGGAGGAAAGACAGCCCGGGGCTTTGATTGGTAGGGAATGATGATACACAATGGAGAAGAAACCTGGAGCAAGGAGTGACATTAAGATATTGCAATATTGAATTGGATAGCGGCCACGCCATGGGCTTCCCTGGCGGCGATCCCTCGAACCAGGCATCTGGTTGATGGGGAATTTCTTCTGGCCCTGTACTTAGGGCTCGTCCAGTCGTCCTGGCTCATTTTGTTCTCTCGCTAGTCATTAGACTTGTTACACTGTAAAACATATTTGTGAGGATGAGACGACGCCTTGTCCAGAACCGACGGCGGAACCGATCAGCCCAAAGCGCGGAAAATCGAAATGCATCATGGTTCATGGTTGCTGGAGTGCTTGCAAAGGGCCTGGATCGTCCAAAAGGAAAAGTGAAGGGGTCCGTCTTGGCTTGCCGGCTCACTGGCTCATCTCGAATCTGACGCGTGAAACGTTTGAAAAAGGCCCTTGCGCTACGGAGACGGTGGGCCGCAGGGTGTAGCTGGAGCTGCTGGAGGCGTTCGTCGACCAGTGAGAGGCCGCAGGGGGTGCCAATCCTAGCGCGTGCGGAAGTCATCTGCGGCGGCTAAAACAGCGATGGCTGCAAATGTGCGAATAATGCGACCTTCATCGCAATTCGCAGTTTCGTTTTCGGGGGAGCCCAAGAGTGGAGTGGGTTGGATATGTTACAGCGATGGTGAGGACTGAGAAGGGAATATGACTATTGACTAGTCTGTATGTATCCGGAGGACTGCTGTGTGATCTTGGTCCGATAGGATGAGCACACGTTACTACCGCATGTTTGAGACGGACTTTGGTGTTGTGCGACGAGGCAGACTTGCGGCAAAGCGATGATGTTCCATGGATCGAGATTTGAGAGATCTTCATGATTGACAGCATCACCCACAACTCGGACCACAAGGCAATGGTCAGATACCGGTATAATGTGCATCGTGTGTAAATATGGATGACTCCCATTCCCTATTGAAACTCTCGCGTGTTTCCACTTCCACGAGGAGGGATCTGTCGAAGGCTTAAAGCGTGCGATCTTCGTATCATCTCGCTCCACTCGCTCCACTGATCCTTTGCAGGAGTGGTTCAATTTCCCCATCGTGATTATCAAGCGGAATTCTCGATACTTTCACAACTCGCACACACAAGAATCATGCAGCAGAGGGACAAGTACCTATTTGAGTACGGAGCCCGAAAGGGTTGGCCCCACTTTGGTTTTACGCTTCTGCACGACAGTGACTACGGGAAGCAAAGATGCCAGCTCAAATGGAAATGCACCACGCTAAATGGCAAATGGGAGTCGGTAAACCCGGTCATTTCTCAGATTCTCTCCAGGAGTTGGAAAGAATAAGCCAGTCAGGAAACCCGTTGCGGCAGAAATGAGAAAAGCCATAAATCATAATTGTGTATGGAGTAAATGATAAATTTGCAAGCCCCTGGCCGTTCTGCACCTCTCGCCTCCACGCTTCGGTTTCATCGTCGTGCTTAGCCTGCGACGACCACACGCCGACCCCATGTCCGATGTCTCCTTTACAACTTGCTCGGCTACTCCATGTCCATCGTCTTGTTTAAACCTTTGGAATGCCGCCAATCGTCAATTGGTAGTTGGTAGCTCGCCCTCTAGCCCTGTCGGCATCCCTTGGATGTTGAATTGTTAAACTCTGGGCCCCCCTTGCCCCCGATCCCTCCCCAGTCCCCCCTCCATACTCAATAGTCAATTCCTCATCCGGTCTTTCTCGTTCTCCCTGGGCCGTTCCAATCATTTCCCACAATCCCTCTATCGACGGAACATCAGATTTGGAGAGGTACAGTGCGACGGCCAGGCGAAAACCAATCAACCCATCCTATATTGCTCTGGTCCCAAGAAAGGGGTTGCTCGGCTAGTTGCCGTTCTCCTTTCAGCTTCAGCATCGCAGCAATCCCCGTCCTCCCGTCCCTCCCATCAGTGATCAGCGATCCTGTCGCAGAATCCCCCTAACCTCGCTGGAGTCAGCAAGGCCTAAGGAAATCCCGTCCCTACGCCTAAACCTACTTAGTATAATCGCCAAACCCTTCCTTCTTGCACCACCACTTGTCTCGTCTCTCATTTACATCCTTCTCCTACTTCACATCTTCCCTCTCCCACCACCTATCCCTTCCTCGGGTTCCTCCCTTTCTCCTCTGCCACCGGTTTCTTCCCCCTCGTGCAGCCGCCCGTTACTCTGAGTAGATCCCTCTACTTGCACCGAACGCTCCTTAAACTCGTCCGACCCTGTACCCGCCCCACCGGTCGGATCGTGGCCTCTACGACGGAAATCGACCCCTCGAATATACGTTGAAGGATTAAAAGATATCCTACAGATACTATAGCAGCTATGTCGACGGCAGTAGCCCACCCGCCCATTACCACCTCTATGGAGGCGACAACGCGAGCGTACGCCACAATCCAACCGTCGGGTAGTACATCGGGGACTCCGAATAGTCGCTCGGCGAGCGGAAATCAACTCAGCAACAGTCCAGTATCCGGCGGCGAAGGGACAGTACTGAGGCGCATGGGAAATGGAAAACACTCACCAACGTAAGACCAACCTTGTCTCGAAATGCCATGTGCAGATGTCTTGGGGCTCTTGCGTTCTGGCAATGCAAGAGACCAGGTTCAGATGCATTGCCTGTACCGTGACCTAGGCTGACTTGACCATATAGAAGCCGCAATGGAGCCGTGCCAAAGGTGATCGTGAAAAAAGAACCCGCCTCTCCCGAAATCACGACGCGTCACCGTCCTCGTCGTCTCGACCTCTCCGTGAACATGACCAGTGCTCCAGGTCTCCCCACAAATGGCATGGAGAGTGCCGGACTGGCTCTGAAAGACGTCGGACTGGCCTGTCTCTCTCCCGGATTCCAGACCCATGACCCTTCGATGCGCGAACAGCTTCAACGCAGCATGGACGTCCGGGAGCAGCAGCGGCTAATTATCGAAGCTCGACAAAAAGGACAAAAGGAGCCTTCCTCCGCCCTCAAGAACTCCCTCAAGACTCCAGGAACTTCTCGCCGCAAAGGGCCGCCCCCGGGACTCTCTATCGCACCGCCGTCCCACGAGCAGTTCGCCAACGAGCGAGTGATCCAGTCGGCTCCTATCAACCAGACTTTCACAGGATTGCGACAGACCATTCAACCCCTCACGCGACACATCGCCAACCAACCCGCGTCCCTTTCACACACTTCTCACATCCACCACGTCCCCGCCACTCAAACCAACAACCGCCTACCCCCCATTACCGACGTCTTCGCTTCCGAACTCAACTCCGCCGCCCCGCACACCGCCCGCCCGACCTTCCACCACTCGCCCTCCTCGCATTCCACCCACCAGGTCCCCCTCCCCTCGCCTGGATTCCCACCCACCTCCAACTCCCACCCGCACCAACTGCCACACAACCAACAACTCTCGCAACTCCCACAATCCACCCGTCGCGAATTCAACTCCGCCGAGGACGCTGTTCAATCCATGTCCGGCGGCCGCGAGGACCTCCTCCCCCGCATCGTCCACTACGGCGGCCACCAGCCCCCCACCCCTCCGTCTCCCATTCCGCAAAAAGCCCACCTCGGCCTCTCCGCCCCCTCTGCCGCCGCCCACTCGCATCCACACCCGCACGCGAGCTATAACTACGAGCGTGAGCGCGACCGGCCCGAGATGCCGCATCCAAGCAGCACAGGGTCGACGTCGCGCCGGAGGACGAGGGAGGAGTATGAACGGGATATGGGGACGCCGCCGCTGGGACGCGGGCCTGAAAAGCGGGGCGCGTTTGGCGAGGGGCGGGATAGCCCGGAGAGTGTGCAGAGGAAGAAAGAGGAGTTCTTGAGGTTGTGTGACCGGGCGTGGGATCTGTTCCATTCATAAGCGGAGTGAGGAATAATGGGGGCGCTTTGGTGGCACTCGATCTTTGATTTAAGACGGCGGTTTGCAGTGCGTGGAGTTCCGTTCTCAATCTTCCGTTTCCGAGTTCGGATATATCATCGGCCCCGGAATCAGGTCGACTTAATATTTGCTTTCCTTCGGCGTACAGCGGATAGCGGGCTTTGGGCTTTTACTGGCTTTTCATTCTAACGTACTGGTACGCTTGTATTTGTACGGAATCTTCTTGGGGTATGAACGGAGGTACCCAATCCTGTTTTATAGTCCACTGGGACGATGACGGAGGGTGAACAGGATGTTTATAGAAGGAAAATGATGATGACAGGGGTGATGACACCGTGGTTGATGAGGTTATTTACCGATCTATCGATATATTTGAGATACCAGGCAGTTAGAAAAGCTTTTATGGCAGATGATGGCAATTGATAGGATTTATCGTTCCGACTTTGGTTAGACCTGCAACTATTTGATCTCAATTCTGGATCCATATTAGCCGGGCAAAGCAATGACCACGAGGGTGAATTGCTAGAAGCATCGTCAGGGTCAAATAGCCAGACCTTGTAGTTTTTTCGATGGTGCTCTTGCCGATATAATATCCAACATATCGATCGTCTTCAGCGGTTGAAATTGATCACCGCACGTGACCACGCTCACAAGACGCGTCCTTCCGATCGCGTTCTAACGAAGACATTAATTCCATGCTATCACCCCATTCGGGAGGAGATGTTCAAAATATCATAAAAGTGCAAACACAAGAGCTAGGAATGACAGGATGGGGTCACAAGATGGGGATACGCAGATGGCTGATGCCGAAGACCCTTACTACCCGATCGAAGACTGTCTCGACCGGCTCTCAGAAGGTTAGCATCTCATCCTCAAGAAGCTCTTTCGTCTTGTTGAAGGAATATTGACAATACTGCTATAGCCGTCAAGCTCACATCGCGATCCCGAACGCTCAAGTCTGAACCATATGCTGAATCCCTCGCTGCCCAAGCCCTCTCGTCCGGCCTCACTCTCCCGCAACTAACGCGCCTTATTCCCCTTCTCCTTATTCCCCAACCCAACTGTCTTCCTCACTCCACGATCAATATCCTCTTCACCAACCTCTTTCCCCTCTCACCCCTCCCCACCTCTCTCATCCTCCCCGCCCTCTCCGCTCTCGGTCCCTCTCCCACCAAACCCCCCCTCCCTACCCAAATCTCCATCCTCCTCTGGCTCCTCAACCTCACCGCCGTACCGTCCGCCTTCGAGGAACCACGGATTCTATCTCGCGTCTACGGTCTGCTCTTCTCCCTCCTCGACGTCGGTGCCCTGCGCCCGGCGCTCTGTGCGCTGCTCGCGCGGATCACCCGCCGCGCGCATGTGCGCCCGTATCGGATCCAGATGTTGCTGGAGCTGTGTCGCGGGGCGGGTGATACAGCGCCGCTGGTCGGGCTGCTTGGGGTATTCAAAGAGTTTTATCCGGAGGTCATTGTGAGCGTCGGTGTAGCTCAAGGGAGGCGGACGAGGTTGAAAGGGCCCGATTGGGAGTTAGTAGGGCGGTTGAAGGAGATTCAGGGAAGGGCGAGGGACTTGGTGGCGGATGCGCCGGGAGGAGGGTTCTCTGTGCAGCGGGGGAAAAGGAGAGGGAGGAGAGGGGTTGTCCCGGAAGTGCGGACGGCATACGCGAGTGAGGAATCGGTCACCCTGGAGGAGATTGATTCCGTCGAGCGGTTTGTGGAGGTCTACGAGAAGGTGGAGCCGCCATCGCAGATGGCGTCTGCGTTGCGAGATCCCTTATTACAGCACTACCTCACCCTTCATCCGTCCGACGATTTAAGAAAGCGGTTGCAGTTCTGGTTGGCGCAGGTCTTTGACGACGAGCTAAGAAATTTGAGGGAAGGGGGTGAAGATGATGGCCATTTGCGAGAAGTGTTGGCGGGCTTAGCAGACTTTCACTATCGAACTAAGGAGGTGAGTTATGCCTGGTTCCAGAGTCGGCCTATTCTAACGACTGGATAGCCACTGTCGCCGCTTGCTCAAACCTTCGTCAAACAGTACCTCGACGACTGCGTTGCGGAGGAAGATCCGAACCTATCGTCGCTGATGGCTATCTTGCCCTATCTCCCACTTCACGACCTCACAGGTAGTACAACTATCATGCCCATCATCGCGCCTGTGGCTGATTAAGTTTTCTAGCGCCCTATGAAGCGTACTTCTCCCGCATAAACGTTGTCCGGGCTCGGATCCCTCCCGACAAGCTTCACTCTTTAATATGCTCGCCGCTAATTTCTCTTCTGTGGAACTGGGCTCAAGAAGAGAAATTGTGTAGCCACTCTTCTTTGGGGACTGGTATGCTACGCTTTCAAATTGAAAGCATCTACTCTTTCGTCGAGCAGATCACCCGATCCTGCCCACTTTCTTGCGGTCATCCTCAATCAGATCTCTCCATACCTTCTCTACCCCATATCTACCGGATCATTCCAGACCTCTTTTCCCCATCTTTATTTCCGCTTCCTCTGATGCCGGCACACATCGTGTCTCCATTACTTGCCTCTCCACATCTTCCCTCTCTTAATCTGGGGACCGCTGTCCTTGCATCGTATAAACCACCGCTTGAAATGCTCATCCGTTCATCATCCCGCAACGCACCGTCAGCAACCACGACACAAACATTCAATTCACATATCCTCGATTCCGTGAACTTACTATGGCGAAACCGCGCCTTCGACACTAGCCATGGCGGATATGCGTTCGGATTAAGCCCCGAGTATGTTGCTGCTCTGAAGAGATGGTGGTCTACACAGGGATTCGGCCTAGATCTCAAGGAGTTCGGAAATGTGGCGAATCATTTGGCGCTTATTTCACTGGCCAAAGAAGCGTGGGAAGAGTTTGGCCGAAACATGGGGAAGCAGGATGTCTTTTCCACGTTGAAAATGCCGGTTTCCCAGCGGTCTCTGGAGGAGTGGACGAAGAGTACAGGGGAAGAAATGACTTGGAGAGAATTTAGGGTGGTCGTTGTGGAGTGGCTCAGCAAGCATGGGGTTGAAGGGGTTGGGCGTTTGATGCAGGTTGCCATGAAGGAAGGAAAGGGTAGCGGAGCAGGCTAGAGGTTTGCTCTACAGGCTAAGTCTTCCTTCATCTGCATATGAGGCCCCATAGATACGTTCAGAGATGGTAGGAAGTGTCTATTGCGAGTATAGTTTCTGTAATCCTTGTGGTGGATCTGCTAGCGATACTCAGGGGTTCTTCACAGTATGGGACACCCTTGAACTGGCTTGGTTGTGCGCCTGTTCGACAAAGCACGCATAACGCTATTGTCCAAACATGCAGTGCAGAATCTGCAGCATGGATTAGGAGCTCAGGACTGGAAGATGGGACATCTGGCGATAACGATTGTGCGACTTGTCTTCGCTGCAATAAGGAAGGGAAAGTTGCCGCCTCGTCACCTCGCCAACACAGTTTGTTGCCTCATACATGAGTCTGTATTATTCAGTTTCACTTATTTGGAGAATGGCGGCTTCATCCAGGAAGTGATTATCGGACTCCCTGTTGCTGTTGGTGAATTTTCACTTCAGATACCCTGCTTCTTTCATCTCGCTCCACTGATTATCTTGATTCATATCCGACCACCAACCATCATCATCCTATCTCGGTGATCAATGTTTGAGTCCCTGTTGTTCTCAGTTGTTTCAGTTGTTTCAGTCGGTTTAGTCGTTCCAGTCCTTTCAATCACATAGGATATTGTCCAATGGCACCAGGAAAGGAACCCAGGGAGGTTGCTCCCTCCCCCCCTCCTCCCCCCCTTCCTCGCCGGCCTCCTCCACCTTCTCCTCCCCAGACACTACCGCAAAATACTTCGGAGATCGGTGCCGCTAGAGCTCTACTCCCTCTTGCCTCGAACCCTGGCGGCCCGTCACCAAGGTCACGGCCCAGCCTAGAGGAGTTAGAATTGCCTAGAATGAGTGGACCTGGCAATATGACTATGGCGGGAGAAATGATCTTCTTGATCACCATAATGATGTCAGCTATGCTATCGGTACATCACCAAGATCCCTATACCTTCTCATATGAGGTCGCACTAACACTATCTTTTCGAATATTAGGAATACTTCACCAACGGGTTCCTCGTTATCATGCCCCAACTCCATGTCGCACTTGATTTCCCTGAATCAACCCACGCCTGGACCCTCAATGCATTCACTCTCACGGTTGCGTGCTTCATCCTCCCAATGGGCCATCTGATTGATGCTATCGGTGAATACGCAATGTTCCATTTGGGAATCGCCTGGTTCTATGTCACGAACCTAATCACTGGTTTCTCTGTCAACTACACCATGTTCCTCGTATTACGAGCAATCTCCGCACTCGGACCGGCTGCATTTCTTCCTGCCGGACTCTCTCTCCTTGGAAAAGCGTACCGACCGGCGGAAAGAAAGACTTGGGCATACGTCTTTTACGGTGCTTCTTTTGGGCTTGGATACCTCCTAGGCTCTGCAGTCGGAGGTATGCTGGTTGAAACCATGGGTTGGTCGTGGTTTTTCTTCATCGGGGCACTTATAAGCACACCCTTGGCCTTGATATCATTCTGGTACATTATATGGCCGTGGGAGAGAGTGAGCACAGTCCGCGGGCAAGATTGGCTTGGGCTGTTGCTCCTTGCATCCAGTTTGGGTCTTTCCACCTTCGCGATCCTCCTCAGTCCGCATACGGCAGCTAAATGGGCATCGCCACTGGTATATTCGACTTTCATTGCCGGAGTTGCACTTCTTGCTGCTTTCGCATACGTCGAGTGGAAGGTAGCAGCAGAACCGCTCATTCCGTTCGACATCCTCAAAGTCACCCATATGAGACCATTGGCACTGGCACTACTTTGTGGATTTGCATCGTATGGGGTCTTGATGTTCCATCTCTTCCAGCAGTAAGTACAGAGTCTATTTTTAAAACAAGTCTTTGGCGGTTGGTACTAGGACCCAAGGAAATGACCTGAGAGCTAGTATCTGGGTTTCAATGGTCACTGCTGACAAGGACATAGCATCTATTGGGTTTACGCACACAGAAACGCAACCATAGCAGCACTGTGGTTCATGCCAAGGGCAATCGCTGGAATGCTTATTCCTGTCGGTGGCTGGCTGCTCATTCGTCGATTCGACGGCAAATATCTCCTCGTAGTCTCGAGCCTTGCAAATATTATTGCGTTCTTGTCATTTCTCTACATAAAAGATGTACCAAGTTATTGGGTTGTCATATTCCTGCCCATGATTTGTATCGCTCTCGGGTTCGACTTGCTGTACGCGGTTTCGACCGTCTTCATCATGACAAATTTCCCAAGACGCAAGCAAGGACTCGCTGCGGCCCTGATCCACACAATGTACTTCCTCGGAATGAGCTTGCTCATCGCCTTTGGCCACATGGCCTCGGAGGCCACTTCCAGAGTTGAATCTCAAAGGTTCCGGCATGGCACGTGGTTCGGGGTGGCAAGCAGCGTTATTGAACTAGTCATTGCCATGAGTATGGTCACTGTCCCCAAAGCTGTCGGTGCCTGGACTTTCGAGGAAAAGGAGGATCAGGCTCCGGAGCATGGGGAACATGAAGAGTTGCGTCCACCCAGCCGGGCAACTCTGGAGAGCGTGGAGATGGCAGGAGCGTTACCAGTGGGTAACCCGGATGGAACCCCAACCGCACGGGACTCTCGGAGCAGCCCGACCGATCGGGAGTTTAGGAGCAACCCATCAACGCTTCTTGATGTACCGAGACAGCCTCCAACGGTGGGTACGGAAGCGGAAGTGGCAGCAGTAGTGGCTGCTAGGCGGACAAGGCGGGTATAGATCATGGGGCCCTTTTATGACACGCAACAGGGCGAGTTGGTGTGATCAGTATGCTGCTCGGAACACAAAACGCAGGCTATCACATTCGGCGAGAGGCTCTGGAATGGCGGATTAATTCAAGTAGCACAGCATAATGAATATGACAAGTTCACTTAGGTCCTACCTGAACGTGGTCAAAGTCTTAAAGGACAAAAGTCGCGATGAAAATCCAACATCGCTGCCTCGCTGGCGTCTGAATGCCGCCGCTAGATTTCCGGGCCGAGCCGCCTGGTCCACTAAGTTCGAACCCCTGCCTGTTGGCCAACCACCTACTTGGCCAGTATCACCATCTTAGCCACCATCATGAAAACCGTGACATCTCTACCACCACGTAATTATATTGAAAATTCAAACCATAGGACTATTGTACAGCATCTTGGGGAGCGTCTGGTATAGTTTCAGCCACGGGAATACTCTGTTCTAGTATAGTATTTGCCTCCAGAAGCCGTACAGCCTCTTGCGCTACTTTGATCTCTTTAATCTGTGCGAACTTAACATTGGGATCTATCCGAACCTTCTTCTTGCGTTTTGGGGCTG